AGTCTATCCGTCTATGGGATGTCAAAACAGGATAATAAAAAGCCAAATTAGATGGGCATACTCATTATGTCTTGTCAGTTTGTTTCTCTCCTGATGGAAATAAATTAGCTTCTGGTAGTTATGATAACTCTATCTGTCTATGGGATGTCAAAACAGGATAATAAAAAGCCAAATTAGATGGGCATACTAGTTTTGTCTAGTCAGTCTGTTTCTCTCCTGATGGAAATACATTAGCTTCTGGTAGTGATGATAACTCTATCCGTTTATGGGATATATAGAATGGAAAAGAAATTAAATCCTCTGATAAAAACTACAAAGATATTCTTGCATAATTAAAAATTCCACTTTAGAATAGTTCATTATTAGCAAATGGTATTTGTTATTTATTATTATTAAGTTAATCCTGATCGTACAATATTTAGAATTTGTTAGAATCCTTTATTAGAAGCAAGAGGTACACTTATATTGTAAGGAGAATTTATAAATCATTAAGGAAAAGATTTAAAACCTTTATTCAAATCAAAAGGAAGTTGCTTTTTGGAAGACTTATAGAAAAAGTGATTTTGATGATTATCAAACAAAAATTATAATTACAATCAATATCTAAAATTTTTTTTAATTCTGTCTTTATTAGTTTCACTCTTAATCTTCACTTCAAAAGCTAGGTAAGATCTTATTCATTAAAGCTTTTTTTCAATTTAACTGTATCTTCACCACATTTATTCAATATTATGAAAATATACGATCAGTTTAGTATAGGGATTATTTTTATTTAAATATCATAAAAACTGTTTTCAATTAATATTTCTTGAGATTTTATTATAAATGATATAAGTTATTAATCTAAACAGAGAACAGTCAAATTGAGGAGATTAAAATAAAGATCGGTCTAATTACTTAAAGAAATCTTAATTAACACAACATTTTTTTCTAAAACATCTAGGATACTATTTGATAGATTTACTTAATTTATTACTATTTAAAAAAGGGATTAGTCTTAATAACATAATTAATAATTTTTTAAAATTAATTCATAAATAGTTAAAGATATTTAAATATAAAAAAAAGATACATCAAATTAAAATAAAGTTAATTTAAACTATAACAAAGTTAAAAAAATTAGATTGAATGATTTTTCAAATTCAAAGTAACTTACCAATCACCTTTGATTATTATTCTTCAATTGATATTAAAAGTATAAGTTATCAAAAAGACTGAAAAGACACATTAATCATCAAAAAGTATGATATCATTGAAAAATTAAGATTTAAGGAGATAATAATTAAATCTTCCCTTACAACCATCTAATCATCTTAAATGCTGATTAGCAGGCTCTATGTAATTTGAAATTAATTAATATCTAAACAAATAATATCCCTTATCACTTCTAAGCTTTTTAAAAATTTTATTCTTTCGATGAAGTCATCAAACCACTAAATTTATTTATTTAGAAATTATACCAAAATTTTTATAAATTACTTCAAAAGCAAATCTATTGAATATAGTCATAAATCATAATTGATAGTTATAAAATAACTTAATTTTTCATTTCTAAAAATGAGATTAATTCCCCCCATCAATATTAGATTAATTGGATAAGAATTCTAAAGAACTAAGTAGCGAGGAAATCAATGAAATTTATTATTGGGTACGCATATATATGTATGTGTATTTTTTTTATTATTACAATATAATTATTCACTAAGATACAATTTATCAATATTATTCTAAGTTTATAAATTTTTGTAAATTAATGAAATTTAATTTTAAAAAAATAAGATTATATATTTTTCAAATCTTCAAAGCCTCGACTTGGGGATAAATCTATTTGAACTTCCATAATTCATTCCTATAGGCTACATTAACGTGAGTGTTTATGTAGCTAAAAACCAGTGCTCTATCAATCTCATGCACTCAAGTTTTCTCCTTAATTTCTTAGGAAAGTATCTCCTTAGGGAAGGATAAAGGATAAAGACTCATCGATTCGACTTTTGAATTTTATCTTGCTTGCACTAAAATCAATCTCTTCCAAGCTTAATTAATAATGCTGAGGCATTTTCGAGTTAATTAATTAATTCATTTTTGATTCTACCTTTTTTATATTATAGTACTAGTAGATTCTGATCTATTATGATTAGAAATAGTTTAATTTGTGGTACTTAGAAAGTGATCTATAAAAATTTGTTTTCATGATAATAATTAAATACTTAGCTCCAAAAGAATCTACTTATTATCCTTTAGCTGCTAAAAGATCATAAATTGCTGACAATTTAATATTCCTACTACCGATCCTCCCTCTTAAATGAGAATAGAAATTTAAAGATTTTCTCTAGTTTAGCTTCTTGGCTAACTTAATGAAAATCAAAGATTTTATCTAATTCTGTGTTTTAAAGGAATAACTATAAGTCCTTATTATTTCCTTCTTAAATTTCTTATCCACATAGGTATAGAAGATTTGCTTAGATTAAAGATTTTTGCAAAAATTTTAATTAAAAATTTGTTATTTTATATTTTTCCTATTTTAAGTTTATTTCTGTAAAAATTATTTCCTCATCATAATAATTGATATTTCATATATTGTTGATGATAATTATTTGTAATTTCAACTGCCCAATAATATGAATCAAATCGATAAAAATCTTATTGAAAATATGAAACATAAAATTAAAGATTTTTTTATTGTTATTAACATCACTAAATTGAATTGAGATTTAAATTAATTTAAAAGAGAATTTAAAATTATATGTTATTACTTATAATTTTTCAACAAGTTTATTTATTGGTAAATTTTTTCAATGGTATTCTCTATTATATTTATAATCATAAAGAAAATACTTAATAACTTATTAATTTAAACTTAAATCAACTATAGTCTCATAACCTTCTTATCAAGGAATATTGATTTGTAAAAATCAAATTCTTCTTTATTTGAAGATAAATCGATAGTGAATTTAAATAAATTTTCATAGGGAAAAAATTATCAAATTAAACTAAATTGCAGACATCAAAACTAAGAAAAGTGAGAGCATTCAATATTCTATAAGCTTGAGATCTTATATATAAATAAAATAATCAAACTTAATTATTATTATATAAATATAGTAAAAAGAATTTTTTTATGAAGCTTATACAATGGTTCTCATAATCTATCAATGCACGCACAAGTGAAATAATTAGAAAAAAACTTTTAGAAAAATCTCATTTATATGAAATTTAACCACAGACCTATAAATTTAAGATAAATTAATTCTAATCTGTATTTTTTTTTGAAATAAACAATTTATCATTATTATACTTCATATTAATCATTCTTCTTTCATTTGAACCAAATATCCTTGATCCCAATTACCTTTTATAACTTCATTTTGTAGTGTCGTAAATTCACCATCTCCATGAATCATGCCATCATCAAATTCTCCTATATATTTTTCACCATTGGATAAGATGAGCATCCCTTGACCTTACATTTTACCGCCTACAAATTAACCTAAAATTTATGAAATTTACTTCTTACCCTCATAGTATGACCAGCCATTTCCAATAGTTGTCATATTATTGCAATCAAAAGCACCATCAATTTCTTCAATTTATAAATTCTACAATCTGCCTTATCCTTCATAATAATTCTATTTCCAGTAGCCAGCATAAACCTCTCTACCTTCATTATCTGAAAGCATGCCAAATCCTTATCGAGTTTATGGAGGATACCCTTGGCCTCTATAAATATAACCATCTTCATATTATAATGCCAATTCTAATAGTTGTAAAACAATACCTTCTAATGCTTCTACATGCTCCTCTCTTTCATTTCGTTATATTTTACTTTCTGTTGTTTTTTTTGGCTCTATTTTTTTTATTTATTTTTCTACATTTTTTTTATTGTCAAATAAACCTTAATTAGTTATAAATTATTTATTTGCTGCTTGCTTTTATTGATTAGATTCCGCTATAAAAATATTATTTTTAATACCATATTCATTCTCTAGTTATTATTTAGATTAAGGTATGCATTATTAATTCTGCTTCTATTAGTATTATTAATTAGCATTTTTTATTCTTTCCATTACTTAATCATATGTATAAAAGACTGTTCTAGATGGTGATTAAAAGAGAGGGTTTTATTATGATTGAGATTTTTATTATGATGACATTAAATTATTTCTGGAAGGAGAAGTAAATCCTCTAGAAGGGCTTTAAAAATTTTTTTAAGGTGATTGAAATGTCTAACTAGCAATAATTGTTTAAGGTTATTTAGGTGCTACAGGTATTTAGAATCCGTTATAAGTTTAATAAAAGGTTTATGGGTAGGATAATTGCAGTTGATGTTAGTAGTATGGCTGTTTGAATCCCAAAGTTGGTTATTGGTAGATTCTAGGAGGACATTAATATGGTTGTCTAAACATATACTTATAATTATTAAAAATAATTTCAAAGTATGAATCTTCTTTTTGATTATAATCAATTAATTAATGATAACGTCTATCAAACAATAATAGATGTCATCTTAAAATAAAGATTTTAGAGTAATTTATATTTATAGTGCCTAGTCATAAAAGAATCATTAATTGGTGTTGGCATTCTCTTTTATTTATAATTGTGAATACTTTTTTCTTTGGAGCTTATCTTGACAAATTTTCAATAAGTGTATCTAGAATTTTCTTTTGAACATATACTTAAAAACAAAAGAAATTGCCAAATTTTTACTTTTAAATAATAAATTTTATGAGAATAAATAGTTAAAATTAATTGATTCTTTGATTATACACATCATCATTATCTCTGTTAATTTGTTGTTGTTACTCGCTTCATCTCATCATATAAAACTAAGCAAAGAGAACTTCCTATTGCTCTTGCCATATTGGAAGCATTTCCTTTCATTAATCCTTTGAATCCTTCTGTATTTATAATCTATTTAAAGCAATCTAAAGCATTTTTATATTTTCTTTAAACTCCAGCAGTTTACATCATCAATTTTCTTTTTAATGTGTCTGTTGGATAACTAAATTTTCATATTATTTAATACCTTATAGTTTCAGAAAAAATAACAACACATTAGGCATAAAAAAATTTCATTATCAAAGACTTCGCATCAGCATCTAAAATGATTTACAAATCTTACCTTTGAAAAAAATATCTCTTCCAGTGTCGTAAATTCCAAAATATAAGCCTCTATAAATAAAAATTCCAACAAAGCAAATTCCTATTCCTTAATACCAACCTCTTATACCGTCTGATCTGTAAATCTAATAATAAAAGCAATTCGATACTTTTGTTAAGCAGTCAACTAATCCTTAAAACTATCTCTCACTCTTTGTTCTTCCTAAATCAACCCCTAACCTTGTTCTTGCCAAATCCAATGGATATACAATTGATGTACTACATGTTCCAGCCAATCCTCCTGATAAAATATTATAAAATAGTTGAGATGAATGATCCTCTAAAATAATTAAAAATTTTGCTTTACAATTATTATTCTTATTTAGCAATTTTGCAAAGAAATCTTTAAATGAGAAATTCAAGGCTTAAGTTGGAAAATATCTTAGAACGTTAACTCCATTTCCTCTCCAGAGGGAAAGAGCTCCATCTTCTCTTACACACCTTAAAAAACAATCTGTTATCCCTGTATATGGTTTGGTTAGTTTTGTATTCATGCTTGCTGTTTGCATTAATAATTTAACTCTTTCTATTGGGGCACATGTTGTTTTTGCAATAGCTCCTGATAATCCTCCTGATAAAAAATCAATAACAAATTAGTTTCTTTGGGATCTTTTTACACTTGACATTCAAATAAATGATTATAATTAATTAAACTTGAATATTATTAATAAAAATTCTTTAAATTATAATTTTTTTGTTTCCCTTTTAAATATCGATCACTCCTTGCATATAAATTTGAAATAAATTAGATTAAATTATCATTGTAATTATTGAAAAAAAATTCTGTATATATAAATGTAATGTATAATTCTCAAATATTAATTTTATTTTTGCAATCAAGTTATGCTTTTAGAATTTGATAATTTTCGTCTAAATTTTCCTAAAATTCATATATTTAATATACTTAAGTCAATTAGAATTAATATAAAAACTACTTTCCTGATTTATTAGGGTAAATTAAATATTAAACAACATAAGGAGCGCTCTATCCCGACCAATTCCTAAATAAATATTAGCTAGTACATTTCATTAATATTTTAAGGTGGTTATTAGAGAGCAAAAGGATTTGATTGTGCAATAGGCTAGAACATATTTTAAGGTAATTAATAAGGTATATGAGGAGCTTATATTAATTATGATTATGGATGTATTTATTACTGTTGTTAATACTGTTAGTAATTCTACACATTTGATTACTCCTGATTGTATTAATAATATGATTATTCTTGCTCTTAATGTTATTAAGATTATTGATTCTATTATTATTATTAGTATTATTAGTATTATTATTATTACTATTATTATTATTATTATGATGATGATTACTTTTAATCATTATTCGAGGTTATATTATGATGTTATTGCAATTAAGATCTTTCTATATTCTCAACATTTTATTTAGCCGCATTATCATCCTTATGTTGAGTGACACATTCTTACTTCTATATGGGCAATTAATCTTCTATTTTTTTTTATTAGTATTCGTCAATCTTTTACCCTTAATCCTGAGTTGCATACGAAAAATCATATGGGGATTATTGTTATTATTAATTTTAATTATCAATAGCATTTTTTGGATAATACAATGGTTACTATTGATAATTTTCTTAATTTGTATTTCTGTATTTTATATCTTTTTTTCTGTAATTGTTTTATTCTTGTTTCCAGCCTTACTAATCTTTCCATCCCTGTTTTTCTTTCCATCCTTGTTAATCTTTCCATCCTTATTATTCTTTTCTACCAAACTATTCTTATTTTTAAGGACCTTAAATATAAGGTGCTGATTTTGTAAAGAAAGGAGTCATTTCATTGTACATTTTAATAATTAAATTAAATAATAAATAATTTGGTATTTTTATTAAAAGAAGAATGGATTACAAGAGATTAATACACTTTTGGAGCTGAATATTTTAAGATAAATGTGTTTTGTTTTTATATTTATTTTATATGCATCTTTATCCAATCATTTCAAATTGGCTACATCCTGGGCATTTTGATTCTTTAATTATGATTATAATGCTTACTTTGCCAAGCAATTCTGAAACTCTATTTAAGAATTTTGTTTTTTCTTCTTTCACTTATTCTTCGTTTAGATCCCCTTTAATAAATGCTGATCTCAATTCAGAATTGCATGATTCTGACAGATCATAGTCACCCTTAGCAAGACGTTATTCAGGATGTTCATCATTTACTCTACCAGTTAGAAATCCAGGTCCAAAGTTGAGAGCAAATTATCCTAATCCTGATTAGAATTGTAATAAAAATTTTGAAAGATAGTATGGGTCAGATTTTTGGTTGGCTTGTAATTCAGCTAAGAAAAACGTATCAATTGCTTTGGTCACTGCCTCTCCTACATCATCAGGAACCTAATTGGAAAAAGGATGTATACTTCATAAGGTGTTTGCATCATAGCGCTGAATACTGTGGCTAGTTATTCTCTATTGAAATTGCTAAGTTAATCGACAGTAGCTCTCTATAATGTGTCCCAGAAAAGTTCAGATCCTTAATTATTAACAGCGAAATGGTGAGCAACATCAGCTATTTCTGCGGGTGTCAATTATTTTGGTTGGAGAGCTAAAATAAAGATAAGATTTTACTTGTTTCTATTTGTTGCCATTAATTAGCAGCAGATGTATTGGATAGGGTGAGGAGTTATTTAACCAATGATTACATATTAATTTAATTAATGATATGTGAAGAATATATATTTATTAAATAATTTATATCTTCTTAAAGTGGAGTCAAGGAATAATTAAAAATAAATTTAATTAAAGATCTAATGAATAATACTCGTCCCTCATAACTTCCAGCTGCAAAAGCTACACCATCTTAATTACCTCAGAGTGGTTAATTAATTCCTGAAGGTTATTAACCAACGGTTGGTTGGGTTCCAGCTTCTTCATAGATTCAGCCTGGAACTATGAATTAAGCTATTCCAATATAACAAACTGGATTAATAACAAATCCTCAATATTTTTAACAGCAAGCTTATGCCTAATAACCCCTAATTCAATCAAACGGGCCTGTAGTTACTTAAGGAAATGTATAAACCATAATTAATTGTCTTAGGTTATAAAAGGGGAGTCAAGAATAGAGTATATTCCTTATACGAAAGAGGTGACAGAATATGTTACTCAGGAAGTTGTTGAATATGTTCCTAGGGAAAGGAAGATTACCGACTATTATGCTGTTGAATATGTAACAGAACACATTCCTTAAGTTATTTAAGAAAAATATATTGGTAATTCTTGAACACTATGACAGAGTATGTTCCTGTTGAAACGATAAAAGAGAGAACAGAATATTAAGCAGTGACTAGATAGAGTGTTATTTAGTAACCTATTGATTATCAATAGATATAAACAACTCAATAATATTAAGGTAAATAAAATTTATTTATTGAATCTAGTGCCAGCTCAAATTCAATATGCGACCACAACAACAAATTAATATATTCCTACAACCTAAAACCAATTCACCACAGTACCAGTGACAACATCCTAATACATACCATAACAAGTTACATATGGTTAATTACCTGCAACAACAACTACATATGGTTAATTACCTGCAACAACAACCACTTATGGCTAATTATCTGCAACAACAGCAGCTTATGGTTAATTGCCATCCCAAGTTACTTACGGTTAATAACCTGTAACAACTACTACAGCTTATGGATAATTACCATCAACTACAACCTAGGCCTATGGATAATTACCATCAAATGCATATGGTCAAGTGACAACAACCACTTAATAATATTCAACAGGATGGCAATAAGTATTTCCATCAGCTGCAGGTAATGTTCAACAACCTTAATTCTAACAATAATAACCCTAGTAAGCTATGCAAAGACCAGGATAAAGTCCAAAATATTAATGATGATATAAATACATGATTATTCAAAATAATTAATTATTCTTAAATTTTTGAATGAATATATATATCATTTTGCTCTTGCAAAGCCAACTCTATCGTTATCTCTATCGTAGACTGAATAATATTTGCTTAGGAAAGTGTCCCCCAAAATCCAAGCTGGACCCTAAGGTGATGGAATATCCAAAGGCATGAATGATCCTACACATTGACAATTAGCACCCATTTCTACAAAACTGTCAATACTTGCAAAAGTATCATATGCAATTTCATTTCCTTGAGAGTCAATCTTCATGACATAATCATTAGCATCCAAATCATAATTAATTCCATCTAAAACAAATGTTAATTTTGGTAATTCTTTCGCATTTTTACAATTTTCATCTATATTCAGAGTGTCTATATTTATGATGTAAAATTGTACCCAATAGATCATACAAGTCATCTGATGGTCCTGTTAATAATGAAGTACCAGTATCAGCAACTACTTTGCAGCCATGTTTGCATAATCCAACATCTTATCCATTTACTAAAATATTATCAGCATCCAACAACCAATAATATTTATTGACAACATTGTGAAAGTGTAACTCTCCTTAAAAATGATCAGTGTCCCATCCACCAAGAGTTAACTCTGATGATCTTGATCCTTCTTGTCTTGAAAAATAGAAAGAAAACACATTTCTGTCCAACAATTTCTATTACATAATATTATCAAACAATGGATTGAAGTTATAAGCAGCCATTGAAGGGTATGCTAATCCAACAATACCATCAAAATCAGATTGAGCAAATACATCACCATTCTCTCTTACGATTTCAGCAAATTCTTATTTTGCTATCTTCACTCCACCAACATAAGCAGTATCTGCATTAATCTATAAGATTAAAAAATTTATTACTTCACCCATTAATTCACCAGTTCCAAACTCAACATCCAGATCATATCCCAAATGCTCGTAGGTTGCACTCTTTGAGCCATCATATTGTTTATGATTTTTACATCCATAATCATTACATCTAGCTGAATTCAACCATATATTTGCAGATCCTGTATCGAATATAACCTAAATAGGTAAAATGCTATACCTTAAATTTATTATCTTAACCACCTAATCCAATCTCTCCTGTATATTAAGTATTTTTAAAGTTATACAATTTAATTGACTCTTTTTATTTTGTTTATGCCATAGCCATGTCTGACTCGTCTAAGATGTCGGGGGAATTCCTGTATTATTAGCTGGTTGTAATGAAATCAAATAGAGATTTTCTAGCTTATGATTCAGTTCTCTCAAGCTTTATCTTATAGATTTTATTTTCTAGAGGCTGTTATTCTTCCAAGAATGTGGCACAGCTGCTTAGTGCCAATAAAATAGCTAAACCAAAAACCAATTTCATTTTTGCTATTAAGAAATAAATAAAAACGATATTTTTCCAAATGCTCAAAAATAATTGAAACCAAAACGCAAATTAATATTTGAATACTTCAATTTTAATGTTTAAGAAATAGAAGTCTACTTATATTCTAAAAGTAAATTTTAGATTATATTTTCTTTACTAAATAAATCCATCAATACTAAATAAATTGGAATGCACATTATTTTAAAGAGGAAATCATATGTTTTATAGTTAAATATTTTTAAATTGAAATATGAAATAATGCTATTTTATACATTAAACATCATTGTTTTATTTATTAATTGTCAGTATAGTCACTCCTTATAATTTTGCATAACTATTGATTTAATGATCATTTAATTCTAATTCTTAATTCTTAATCACAACACAAAAAAAAACCAAATTAATAAAAAATAATTTGTCACATCTAATCATAGTTCCTTAATACTAATAATATCTTTTTATCAAATTGGCTATAATCATAATTAATATATAATTATTAATCAAATTATACGAAGTTCAGCTAAAATGAATTAAAGCTTTTAAATGTCTAATGGTTTATGAAGTACATGCTACATCCCGGCTTATTTGCATTTTTCCACATCTTCATTACTTGTAAATGCAGTTAGGCCAATAATGGGAATTTTAGGTATTTATTGATTCAGCATCATTTCTCTTAGTTTTCTAGTTGTTTTCCATCCATCCATTATAGGCATTTAACAGTCCATAAGAATCATCTTATATCCAGAACAAGTGGAACAACATTTGGTAGGATTTTACACTCTCTCGATTGCTTACCTACCATTAAAAACCTAACTTGACATAATAATATTTATACAATATCCACATTCATCCCTTATTAGCCTAAAAGCAATTGTAGAGATTTTTGGTTAAAAACTTCATCATCAACACTTAAAATAGTACTACAACACAGAAGAGTTGATCCAGTTTCTTTGAATGACAATTACTATGAAGATTATCTAATACTTAATTTATTATTATTATTGCTTTAAATGTTATTATTTTTTTATGGAGTAGCGCATGAAGGCTTTCTTTAATTTAAAAGTTCAATCGAACAATGTTTCAATTCATACCGATGTATTTTACCAGAAATTTCTCTGATTGAGGCACTTGATAAATCACATTCATCTTATTCACTTGTTTTAGACAATAAAATTTTGCTTGGAGATTTTGATTTAATGCTAATCAATAATCCATATTCTGCTCTCAAAGTAGGCATGCTTCTCATTCTGGGAATAGATTTCTTTGATTATTAACCATAAGTTTATTCTTATGTTTAAGCTGATATATGATTTGATATTATAAATTTTACAGTTGTTCCTGTATCCTAACCATCTGATTCAATCTTAATACTATTTCGATTAATCGGAGATAAATATCGCAACAACATTTAGCAAATTATTAAGCCAAATCCTTGCCATTATTATGATCTTGTAGTAGTTTATTGTTCCTAATTTATAATCTATCTTATTGAAGTAAGTTATTTTCTTGTCAATCCTATTCCTTCATCTTTTATAGAAAATTCAATCTCATTTAAATCCCAGCTGTCTATCTTTACTAATACATACCCAGTTTCTGAGTAAGTTAATGCATTTTAAATAATATTTGTTAAGACTTATAATAATCTTTGGTAATCTGTTTTTATTTAGGTTAAGAGAGACATAGGTCTGCTAATTTCGAAGGCAAGACCTATTTACTTAAATTAGAATTGAAATTTAAATTATTCAGTTACTTCATTAATTATTTTTTATAAATTGAATTAACTGAATTTAAGATCTAATAGTTTTGCATTTATTTGACTGAAATCTATTATATCATTAATTAAATGATTTTATAATTTTAAAGCAGATAAACATGGTTATAAATACTAGTCTTTAATTATTTTATCCAATTTTGTATCTCCAATTGCAGTTCGCAAAAATATAGTTGCACTATTTAAAGGAGTTCGCAATTCATGCGAAAATGATTAAACAACTTTTGTTTTAAATTTATTTTTTTCCTCCAATTTTGATAATTCATTTTATTTAGTAAAGTCCTAAATTATAACCATATAGTCTATTTTTTATTTTTCTTAAAATAGAACTCTACAATCGAAAAACACTTATCTTTGATTATTAGGACTTTCAAAAGTTGAAAATAACTCAATAATTTATTCTTAATCATTTAAACATCTATCTATTTATCCTTCTTCTATTTTCTAAATCAGGTCTTTCAAACAATATTATTCATCCTCAAACAAATTTGAACCTTGTTGTTATTGATTTTTGATATTATGCCTTTCATTCTTAAAAATAGCTGAATGAGGTAAATCATAAGGTCCTACGTAATCAATTCTTTTAAATTAAAGATGATTCATAAACAATGAATATATAGTTTCAAGGTTATTGTCACTCTATTCAATACAATTCTTTTTAATCATATTAATTAATGTGTTATTCATAAATTTTGGTTTAATTTCATTGCTTATAATGCATATACCTATAGGCATAGCATTCATTCGTAATTTCCAAACTTATTCATTAAAAAGGCTGATCTCTTATAATACAAATTACCTATCCTAACTAGACGCTATACGACGTATTAATTAGTTAATATCAATGGAAATATTTTAATCTAAAGTTATTGGGTTGAATTCAATTTCTTCAACTCTGGAACGAATACGAAAGTACTCCTTAGTTATTGGGAGTCTGGGACTTGAATATAATTTTTCTTTTTCATCTTTAGAGGAGAAATATTCTTCAAAAAGCTGTTGAGATTATGGCAGGAAATACATTAATGGTATAAGTATTGTTGTAGGGAGTGAATTAAGGTCTTCATTTTGATATTTCAAACAGACTAGTAGTGTAGAAGCCAAGCCACTGATGACTTTCCATATGAGTATAAGCAGTCTATTATTTAAATAAGTGGGAAGAAAATGATCATCAAGGATAATTTAAAGGATGCTTTCATTTTATTAAGAGAGCACTCCAACCAAAAACAATATTATCTTATTTAAAGCTAGTCCATATAACACGAATTTATCGATCCTTATAGCAATTATATTTAGAATGCAACAAGCCAGCCTTACAATTTAAATTATTTCGACTTATGCAATTATGCTTAGAATAGAGATTGCAATGGAGATGATAAAATAACCATAAAGGTTTTTCATTATTAATTATAATAATATCATTAAGTTTAAATTTATTTTTTGCATTCATTCTAGATAGCTTTGTTCAAATTTGTGTACTACAAGAATATCTAATTTTATGTTGTTGAAATTAGAAATCTAATCAACCTAATACATCTTCAATTCATTATAAATGACATAATTTATTGTTAAAAAATAGTTGTTATTAAATTTGTTATTCATCAACTTAAATGAAGGTTTTTGAATTAGAAAATTATATATCAGTTATTAAATATCATCAATTTTTAATTCAATTCAGAATTAAATTATTTCTCTATTTAAACTAAATGAATAGTGAATTAGAAAAAAGCAATTAATATAAATATTTAATCACAGTGTAAAATCATTATTATTAGTTTGTTTAAAGATCATTATATAATGCTTTGATGTTGAATTTTTTTGTAAAAGAATTTATTAGATTTTAAGTAGCTTATTTATATTATGTGTTTCTCTATTAATCTAAATATAGTATTACTTTTTATTTTTCCTTCTCAATATTTTCCTCATTTAATTTCTTTATAGTATTCACATCATCTGTTGATTCCGTTTTTTTTAAACATCTTTCAAATCTTTTGATTTGATACTAAGTCAAAGCCAGATTCATCTTATTAAAGTGAGAATGCAACTACCATCTTTATTTATTTTCAATTTATTCTTTTGGCTTTTGTCGTAATTCTTCATTCATAAGATGACTAGATTTAAAGCTTTTTGTTGGTAAACTAGTTTGGAAATATTATAACTCATAAGGAATATTTTTCAATCTCTAAGCTCTCTTGCTTTCTTACATTGGAGTATATAATTGTATTCTTCTACCTGATGAAATCGTGATCGTAGTAATTGCATTACTACTACCGATTCCATTAGATCCTCCTGATCTAACTGTATAAGCCCACTCCCCTTACATTAAAATGTAATCGTACTTCGTTTTGGAGAATCTAATTGAGTGTCGATTTCTAATTTAATGCAACCCTCAACCTTGGGCAAGATTAAGTGTTTACGAATTGATTTCTCTAATTACATTAAATTTATGTTAAAAAATGTCAAATATCATGAATTGATTGTGAAATTTTATAATCCGGTTTGAATTAATTTTTCCTCATCAAAATTTTTTTTCTATTGTTGACATTTCATTAGCAGTCATTTTGAAAGACACATGTATAATAAATTGATAATTTGAATTATTTCTAAATATAGAAGTGATTCCATCATCATAAGTGATTAACAATTCCCTTTTCCAATTTATCTAAAGATTCATTCTTTGAATTTGTTTGATTATTCCTATCCAAATATCTCGAAAATGCACTGTATTTCTCAAATCAGTACTTTATTTATCTTTTTTAAGGATTAATAATTATAACCATTGAATCTTAAAACAGAGTATAAGCAATAATAAATCCAACTTTTCTATTTTTAATTGGATTATTTTACATAAATGGATTTTTGCTTCGTCAATTATAATTGTCCTATTATATATATTAATCATTTTTACCATTTATATGAATAATTATATACTCTTACTGATTTTATTTTTTTACATCTTATTCACAATAATCTAAACTAATACAAATTTTTATTCATTTTCAATTTTTGTTATAAATTTTGGTTGTCCTTTTGTTACATATGGTAATTTTATTACTTTCCTTTATCAATTATAATCACAATTTACAGTGAATGTTTCCAAATACAAGCTTATTTTATTATTGAAGTAATTAACAATTCATTTTGAAATTACATCATAGACATACAGGATTTGTGGAATCTATTGAGTCTTATAAATCAAGTTTTATCCTTTTACTTTTGCTTTGATCAGTTAGGAAGATGAATTTATTTTCTTATAATTTATTCTCTTAATTAAACCATCTTATTGATTTCATTAAATAATAATATATCAAATAAATAATTATACAAATAAATCATATTAACTACTTTATCGAAATTAATGAAAATTAATTAGTAAAAAACATATTTTACAAATCATTATATAGATAGTAATAATTTGGAGATATGAATGAATAAAAAATATTATAAACACTTTTTCACATGATATTAAAATAAAATTTTATTATTATTATTTCTGTTATAGTTTTAGCATGGCAGAATCTAGAGCATAATTTGAGAGTGAATTAAAAAAGAGGTTGAGTCTTAAATCCCCTCATGAAGAACAAACATTATTAAAATCATTTTAATACTATGACCTTAAATAATCGAATGTTGTCAATTAATAATAATTTGAAGCTGTATTAGAAAAAGTTGGTATCACTCTTCCAAAAGATGTATATAATTTTAATATAACATAGTAAATCACTTCTTTGTTCAAATATTATCAGTAGAACGGGTAATTGAATTACAAGAGTTTTATTTAGAGAGTATACTAATCACCAGAATCAGCAGTGTTCTACTTTTAAAAAAAAATGTGGGAAAATGGGTTAGATTTATTTTTTGATTGGCTAGAACAATTAAACTGTAAAGAGTATAATTACGCATAATTTAAATACTTATTTTATTAATATCCTGAAGAAAAAGTTAGAGCTCTATTCTAATATTTCAATTAAAACAATCTTGTAAGAATAGAAGAAGTAGTAGAAGCATTTAGAGGAGTTGTTAAACCTAGTGGCTTTAAAGTAGATTCATTTAATATTGATTAAATTATTGATATGTTTAAAGGAGACAAGACAAAAATTAGAAAATATTTGTAAAGCTATATGAGATTCAAGAATATAAAATTGTTATCACAAAGTTAATTCGATGAATTCAATCATATTCTTGAATTAGGTAATATCAAAGCTTAATGGTTGGGAGAGAGAAGCACAATCTATACTCCAATTAGAAAATTAGATTTTAATGAATTAGATCTAACAGAATTGAGATCAGCACTTGTTAAAAAAGGTCCAAAAGCATTAATTAATTTAAAAAAGTTATTGATTCAAGCAGATGATGATTAAGATGGTTATTTGACTGAGAAATAAGTCTAAAAAGTATTAAGAGATTACAGATTTCCTTAATAAATAGGAGGAGTAAATATCTAAGATTTCTTCATTGAATTGCTTGGACCTTTTGATTAACCTAATATTGTTAAATAAATATTTGAGTAAATGGATATTGATATGGATGGTGTTATTCCATACTAATTATTAAAATAATGTTATCAAGCAAGAAATCATCCAGATGTTAAAAAATAATTAAAAAGTGAAACTGAATAACTTGCAGAATTTTTGGATTCATATGATGCTCATCATAAAATGGGAAGTAAGAATGTCACATTTGCTGAATTTTATGAATATTGTCATATTCTTTATGCTTGTTAACCTGAATAATTTGAAAATAATCTGATCAATGTGTTTACTTATGTTAGACCACCTTAATAATAAACTACTAGCGTTGCTTAATATGCCCCCTTTGGAACTAGTGCTGAAAAAACAGATTACAGCACAGCATTAAGACCATTAAGTAGCTAATAAATTTAAAAATAATAAAATATAAATCCTGCAGGATTAACATATGCATAATAATAATTACAAAAAATAGATAATGTTTTAGAAAAATTAAAATCTAAAGGATATAGGGGCATAATTTATATGTTAAGAAATATTATGAGATATGATGCATAAGGAATATATGTTGGTTTCAATTCAATAAGAGTTTAAGTCAATCAATAATATATTAGATAGATCTTAAATTAAAGTAATATGTATCATATTTTATTATAGAAAATGAAATTTCTATGAAAGCATTCTTAGAAAAGATTTTAGGAGAATTTTAAAATTGGAGATTGAATTTAGTTCAAATGGCCTACAGAAAATTACAGTCAACCAATTTTGAAGATATGAAAAGTAATTAAAATATACAATATATATATAGAAAACTTTCTTGCTAGACCTCGACAAAAAATGTCAGATGACGAAGTCTTGATAGATTTTCTAGATACTTTTGATAGCCATCATCAATTATTTAATTCAAATAATGTATCATAAGAAGAATTTGAACAATATTATCACATAATGAGCTTTTGTGTAACTGATGATAGAGAATTTGAAGTTGCTGTTAAAAGTGGTTGGATGGTTTGATTCTTACATTTTTCACAATTCAACAATTTACATTTAATTAAGTTTATTATTTATTATAAATTTTTATTACATTCAATAATATCCTTAATTACATAATGAATCTGCCTTTTAATAAATGGTCTTTAAACTTTTAGCACTAAGAATAAGAAGATCTCTACTAATAATATATTAATTAATATAGACTCAATAATTTTAAAATCTTTACTCTTTTAGTTTGTGTTTTATGTTTACTATTTTTGATGGTATTTCTGATTGAAAATCAATCCCAGATGATAATTATTATGATATCAGCCGTTGTTGGATCACTCTTTCTTCTATATATGCTAAGCCATAGATTAACTCCTTATTTAATCTATATCAATTTCCTTCTCTTATTATGGCACATAGCAACCAGTTTAGCAATTTCAAAAAGTGGAATGAAAATGTATAGAAATTAAACTATTATATAGCCCCCAATATATGTATGGTTTTAGCACATCCACCTTGGCTTTACCAATGTTATAATATAGTCATTTTAAATTAAAAATGTCAGCTATTTTATTTATTCCGGCCGTGTAGATGGGTGTACTTGGAATTTATTCAATAGACAACTTAGAGTTTATATTCTTAGCTTTTTTTGCATAAATTTTATTGGCTGTATAGGCTCATAATAATGAATACATGAGAAGACTAGCTTTCTCTTTGGAATAGATTAACATTAAATAAAAGTATAAGTTTACCATCTTATAATAGAGAAATTATCAATCAATATATAGATAGCCCTTTTTTTGCGATTAGCTTAAGTGAAAATAGATAATTATTTGATCTAGAATTTTCAAATAAAGAAGCATAAAGAGAATATCTTATTAGCGATTCTAGCTTTTTGAAATAATTTTTAAGATTCAAAGTCTTATTAGACAATAAATAAACATCTGAATTGGATCAATAAAATCTAGGATTAAAAGTTACAGAAGGAACTCTCAAGAAGCCATTTATTAAAATGTAATAAACTTTAGAAGAGTTTGCTTTTAAAATAATAAAATGCAGGGATAATTTTTAAATAACAGTTGAAGGAATTCATGTAAGTTAAAATGAATAAACCCTTTTGAGTATTGAAATAAAGAAAATATTTTTTGGAAAACCTATTTTATTGATATTTATTAAGAAAAAAACAATCTCTAAAATAATTGAAAAATATGAATAAAAAATTGTATATTACAAAACAATTATCCATTAAATAATAAAGTAAATTGCTGAATCTCATGAATTATTGTATTAAATTATTAGATGTGATAAATAATAAGATATATTAGAAAAAGTTTAATGCATTAATATATTAACATTAAATAAAATTAAAAATATTATTGTACTTATTAATAGTGATAAAATCAAAACTTCTAAACTTGAATTTGAAATAATCAATTTTAATTAATACATTCAAAAATTAAGCTATTTTTTATCAAAAATAGCCAAATAAAAAAATAGAATATTTGAATTACAAATTTCTATTAATGAATTTATGAAAATTTCAACTCAATAAAATTACCTAACATAGATTATTCTCAATCTATATGAATAAGCATTATAATAATCCAAATATAATAGCCTAATAAAATTATAGGTTTCTTAATTGGAGTTTTTTGATGAAAAAAAAAAATGTTTATAAAAATAAAGAGATCATAATATTAACTTCTAATAAGAATAATTCTTATTAAAATTTGAAATGTCATTTTAAAGTAATAAGTAATTTCATTTGATTCCTTTATAATAATAAATCTTAGATCCATAACTGCCATAAGATTATTTACATAATAATTCAATAGAATTTGAGATTAATCACCCTATATGTAATTTATTATTAAGTTTATTGGGTCCATACAATGAAGTTTTTCAAAGTTAACATATAAAAGCAAAATCTTTAAATGGAATACTTTATAGCAACTCCATAAGTTTTTTTATATATTCAGATTAATCTTAAATTAATCAATCCTACTTGAATTTTATAAATTATGTTCAATAATATTATTGAATTATTTAATAATGATTAAAGAAATATCTTTTTCTGATATCATTTAAAATGCCTTAGAGTTTATACTAAATATTTTAAATAATTTATATATATTTAATTAAAATGGATGATTAAATCTTTATAGAAAGGCTAGTAGAAATCGAAGAGCAGTGTAAAAAGATCAGAAGTTCACTAAGTTCAATGTAATTGTATTTAAATATATAATTAATCATTGTAATAAGTTATATTTCATTACCTTGGTTGTATGAATATTAAAAGGCATCTATTTTTTATTTGATTTGGAGATTGTTACAATACTCATTTCACTTATTTAGTGTTATCAAAATAAAAAAAACTGTAGAAATAATTTCAGAAGGCTCAAGATAATTTATTGAACAATTAAATGATTAAATTGATGTTTGGGCTGCAGTAAAGGGAAATCATGGAGCATTAAGTAAATGCAATGAATTTGTTTATATCATAATGTTTGGATTAGGGAATGTAGTGTTTTTGTAAAATACTCTATTGCTTAGTAAATGGATTTTAGTTGTTCAATTAATGTTTGGATGGATTGTCTTAGCAATAATTGCTCTTGGTTTACTTGCTATTTGTTTTATAATGCCCTTTTTAATATATAGAGTAAATCGTTAGAGAAGAGAAGAAGAAAGAAGAAGATAAGAGCAAGCAATTAGATTAATAGGAACTTAAATTAAATATTCTGATTTGAATTGTCAAACTTTTTAACCTTGCTATATTTGTTTATAACCTTATAATAATGATGATCTAGTTGTTAAATTCACTTGCAATCCAAATCATGTTTTTCATTCAGATTGTATTCGGCCATGGGCTGAAATAAATGATACTTGTCCTGTTTGTAGATAAAGATTAGAATAATGATTAGTTAAAAACTTTATTACTATATTCACAAAAGATGATATCAGATTTGATTTCATAGTTATATTTTCTATAATTTAAATCTTCCACTTCTCAGTGCTTGCTTATAAGGGGACAATTTAACTAGTTGTTCTATTTTTTAGTTGTTAGTAATTTAATTCGAATTTGATCTTTATTTTTATTATAGAATTGGTATTTTACAACTGCCAATTGATTAAGTTCGACTTCTTGCTTTTATTACAGGTGTAGCCTTTTTCTATAATTAAAGACTTCTTTTCATAGGAGTAAAATCATTATTTTATGGTTTGCTCTCGATATTTAAGGTTTTCAAACGATATTTTTAGGAATTCTTTTAGATTATTTTGTGATTATTTTCATTTCTTGCTTCAGCTCCAGAAGTTACTGTTTCTTCTTCTAATTCCTAAATTTCATCTATGTTATTGAACTTCCATTTCCTTATTGTAGTTTCTTGAGTTTTCATTTTCTATTAAAATTTGAATCTTGTGTTTGATTTTTCCACTTATATTCCTCGATCCCACTCTCCCTTATAAAAGATAACTCCATTTTAATACATCTCACCATATCCCTACCTATAATCATCAAAATAATTTCCTTTATAGACAGTCCCATTAGACCACACAAATTCACCGTATCCACATTTTTTATCGTTAGAATATGCTCCTTCGTACCTATCTATTTTACCTTAAATATTAGATTGCCAGACTCCATGCCCATGTCTCATGCCATCCATAAAGAAACCTATAATTAACTCTATCTTCACCTTAATATAAACTTCCATTTTTCCAAAAATATTCTCCATAGCCATCTGGCTTCCCATTTTTAAAACTTCCTACATATTTGTCTCCATTAGCAAATTATTCTTCTCCTAATCCATGTTTCATAGATTACAAAAAGTCTCCTGTATACTAATCCCCTTACTTAAGAGCTCAAAAATACCATTTTCAGATTAATACACTCCCTTTCCTTCAACATATCCATTGTTCCACTCACCCTTATACGAAGTATTTTATCCAAACCATTCTCCATATCCACATTTCTTCCCATCTATCCAATTTCCTTTATAGCTCTCCCCATTAGCCCAAACATATTCTCCATAACCATTTTATTTATTGTTATCATAATTTCCAAAATATTCAGCTCCACTCTAAAATTTTTCATAGGCAAGCCCACTTTTCTGATCATTTTGCCATTCTCCTACATAAATTCTAATGGATTCTAAAAGTTTCAAAATACCTAGATATAAATTATCCAAAACTACCTGTTCCATGTTTCATTCCATTTTATACTTAGCCTATATAAATATAACTATTAGTTTATTCAATCTTAAATCCTGGTTATTATGAAAGTTTTTCTAAATCTACTATTTTTTGAATATCTGTGTTTTTACTCAATAACTCCCTAATTGTATGATCAAACATCTCCATATGAAATAATTATTAATAAACTAATCAATAACAGAAGAATCAAAATAATAATTATGTAATAACTTTAACTATTAAATTCTCATTACTACATCAAAAAACTCATATGTATTATTTTACATTAATATTAAATTATCTATCTAAAACTATATAAAACTGATCGATCCTAATTTTAAATTTATTAATATGTTCTACAAATTTTATTAAATTGCTTTAATAATATAGATCAGACAATTTGATTTAAAGAATATAAGTTGATTTTATGATCGCCTAAGTAAGAATGATATTAATAGGATTAACTGCTTTTTTATAAATAATTAATTTAAAATGCAATAAAACATAGTGTTTGATATCTCTTCAGAGAATAGCTCATCATCAGATGAAGATGAGTTCATAAAAATTGATTAATAAAATAGCTCAGTAATTTATATTTCAAAGACTAATAGATTATAAGTGTAAGAGCTCCTAATTTATTTGACAGTGATACTCCTCAAGAATTCCAATAAATTCAAGTTGATACACATTCAACGAGAAAATAACACACTGTCACTTTTGATACTCTGAATACTAATGAAGGTGAAAGAAGATAATTAAATAAATGGAATTTATAAGAAAAAGAAAATAAAAATTATAATTCATTTACAATCAAAACAGAATTGACAGAAAAAGGTAGAATGAATAGTAAAAAGAATATTAATGAAAGTGTTGAGTATTTACAAAATCAAAAATTTAGTTAAAAATAATAACATAAGTTTAATTAATGTATGTAGTTGTTATTAATAATAATCTAGACAAAAAACCTTATTAACCAAAAAGAGTAGCTAATGTCAATTATTCTTCAATTGATAATTTTCAGAATTAATCTATGGCATAAGAATTATTAGAATTGGATTTACCTGCTCTTATTTCATAAATTACAAATAAGAGACGAGTTAATAATAATAATAATAGTTTTCATAATCATCATAATAATTCTTTCTATAATTCAAATCCCAAGTAATATTATTATAGTATAAGATAGCTAGACCCTAAATAACTTAAAAATAAGGCTGTATTATTCGATAATCATTTAATAAATAAGGTTCTTAAGTGGAAATACCTATTGTACAATAAACAAGAGAAAGATCAATTACAATGATTTTAAGATAACCTGGAAAGATTGTAAATTAAAAATAGTTAAAAAGTAATAGCATTGCTTTAAGAAAATGAAGATATATTGTTTTACTTTTAATTATTATTAATATTTTTTTTAATTAAATGAATTGTCTTTTCTGTTAGCCCATTAGGATGACTTTATATGGCAATAATTTTGAAGAAATGCAGTTTAAAGGTAGACTGAAATTAAATTAATTATCAAGAAAGTATCCTTACCAGAGAGGATCACTAATTCTCTTTATAATAAATATGCTGAATCACAAAACTACTATTTTACAAAGGATATCAATGAAATCATTTTAGATCAACCAACTAAACCTAATATAGTATTTAAAGTATATATTTACATTATTTAAACTAGGATTTAGTATTGTTGGATGAAGATGTTGAATATATGAAAAAAATATATCAACCTCATAGTTTAGAAAATAAAATGGAAGTTTTAACAGAATTTTATAAAGTAATAAATTATATTAATCTCTTAGTTTCATAATGATTTACCTAGATGGGCTGTTTCAAGTTCTATTGTAAATATTTTGAATGAATATTACAATTAAAAAAGAAAGCTCGAATATTACAAAATTTAAAAGATAATTGATGAGGAAAACAAAAATAATCCAGAAAAACCTCCAAAAGGTATTGTAGGTGATGAACCAATCTAAACAGAAAGTACTCCTCCTTCTCATACAATTGAAAGCGGAATCATTGTTGGAAATGTACTTGATGAATTACAAAATACTCCTTCTTATTCAAAACAAGATTAAGAAAAAGTCAATCGTTAAATTAATAATAATAATGATATTCATCAATAAATCTTAAAAATTTAAAAATTAAAAACTGAAAGACAATAAGATAATAATAATATCATCAAAGAATTCAAATTATAATAAATTCTTACAACTGATAAAATGAAAAATATTAAATAATTAATAACATGTTAAAAAAGACAATTAAAAATCATTCATCCTGATTAATGTGGTGAATTGGAACCACCAAAACCAAAATTAATACATCAATAAATTTTAGACTAATGTAATTTATATATTTATGAAGTACATAAAAGAGTAAATGAAAAGATTTAATTAAAGAAAAGAAATTTATTATAAAATAAAGATCCATCTAGAGAAATCAAGAGTGTACATTTTGGTGAAGATAAAAAAGAAAACTTTTTCAAATCTCCAAGAAATATGAAAACATAATGTACTTCCAAAATGACTCCTAAATCCTATAGTAAAGTAGGCAAAACCCAAACATTTCATGATAGTTCATCAAGGTAATGTCCTTTATACAATAAATATTTAGAAAACTTAACAACAACCTTTTATCAACAAGGAATATTGGAGCAAAGACTTGTCATTAAATAAGTAATAATATCAAATCAAAAATGCAATAAAAACCTATATCATTTAAAACTCTTACTACTCCAAGATCTGTCTAATAAAAGTTATAAATATGAAAAATTTGAATCAATTATATTAAAATATCTAATAACATTCATATTCAATTTAAATATAAAATAGTTTTATTCTTTAAACTATTAATTACTGTACTATAAATTTCCTAGAGATCTACTATTTCTTTGTCATTAATTTTTTTTATGTTAATTAAATTGTATTATTCATCCAACTTCATAGCACACACCAATACTATTATAGATTATTTAATTACAATGTTCATTTTAATTAAACCAATTTTTATCTAAATTTATATATTCAATAATCTATTGATTTCGTATTGTATTCACTATTATTCTATCAATAAAATCAATATCCATAGTTTTATTCCCAAAATTTTAACATATCCTTACTATCTCTGAAGTATTTTGTAAAATTAAATAAACATATTATTCTGCCAATTCCTCTATATTACTTTCCTCTTCCTTAATTGTAAATTCCTTACTTTACACTAAAATATTATAAGTATTATTTTCATCATCAACTTTATGATTAATTGACAATAAAAAGTAATCAGAATGAAAATTATAATAAAATAATTAGTTCATTCCTGCTTGAAAATCAATAATTTATTTCACATTCATATTTGTTAAATGATAATAATTATTCTGATTGTTGATAAATAATGTTTGTATTTCTCCTATTGTTGAATTGACTTATTAAACATAATTCCCACTTATTGGTTTATGATTTAATCCAAACTTTAATTCTATTTAATAAGAGGAACGATTTATAAAGGATTTCCATTTTAAAAAATTCCATTTCCATAAGTCTCTTTTAACTATTTATGCTAAGGTTAAAGCCTTTATGGGTTTAGTAAAATAGAATTTATAAAGAGAATAGTTTGTGATTAAAAATAAGGAACTCCATCCAAGTATTGATGAAATTAACATTTTAATTATTTTATTATAAGTATAAATATAAATATTCTAAAATAATTTATGTAAATCAATATAGTATAATGGGAATTAAACAATGCTTTAACTTAAGAAGAATAAGAAATAATAGATTAAATGGAAAGTTAACAACAAAAGGGCTAGTAAGAAAAAGATAAGACAACTAATTTTCAATTTTATAAGAAACGTGATAAGAAAAATGATGATTTCTTTAGATTGGAAATGATATAAGGATAATATTAATAGAAATTATCATCATTATAAAGCATAACTTAAAATTTAGAGATAATTTGTGATTAGTTAAAAAAATTGAATGATGATAAAGACAAGATTGTATAAAAAATAAGTCAATTTCATTAAGAAGCTAATATTCATATAAATAAATAAAAGGAATTATTAGAATATCAATATCAAATTTAAGAAAACATTCAATATTATTATAATATCTAAAAAATTTAAAAAGAATTAGAGAATGATGATAAAAAAGAAATCAATTATTAAGTATTAATCAGCGAAATTTAAGAAGGCATAATATTCTTTTCTTCTAAACCTAATTATTATTAAAGTGATAAATGCATTATATAATATTAATAATTGAAGAAAAAATTAATAGGCACTTGCAAAAGTTCTTTAATGAAACTTTTAAATAAAGAATCCCAATTTATCAATTAAAAGTTTTCACAATTAAAAGACTTAATTTGTGTATTTTATCCTCCAAGATTTTTTGGATATTAAGATTTTAATGCAAATGACAATCATATTCTTTAACCAAACCCTTTAAAATTATAATTTTTATAGATAATATTTCCATAAATGATTCCATAATTGAAATTCAAAGATGCTTAAACTAAAAATAATTATTAATATGAAGAGGAATTTTAAAAATTCAACATTACAGAATAAATGAAAGATCTTTTTCTGTATATTGAATCTCAAATTTAAGGTGATTAGGATTTATATTCATTATATAATGATGTATTTTTATAATACAATTTTTACAATAGATTAAATTTACATTAATAAATTAATGAAATGATTAATAAATAATCAAATAATCTAAATTAAACAGGTTAGATTTTACATAAAATTAATTAGAGTCTAATATAACAAAAATTAGTTAGTAATTAGCATTTATAAAAATAATAAGAAATATTGGTATTCGAGGCTTTATGTGGTATTATATTTGAATCTACAGTTATTGAAGCATTTTATTCAAGAATATTTTTCAGATTAAATTTAAGAATTGTCAAAGAAAATGATAAATAACATTTATCAAAAATTCTTGATAATTATTATTAAACAATGAGAATATTTTTATAGAAAATATATAATTTAGATTAATTAGTCATGATTAGTGAATCATTATTATAATTGAAAACTCATACAACAAAAGTATTTTAAAAAATAAAAGAGAATTCATTAGATTAATAAGATTATTTATATCCAATATTTTAAATTATCTAATAAGAAAAAGTATTGAAACCATATATATTAATAGGATTAAAACTAAATTGTGGAATGCTTTTAGAATTACTTAAATATATTTACGAATTTGTTTATGGAAAAAATAAATTTAGATATTATTCACAAATCTATATAATCATCTTAAGTTTAAATACAATAGAAAATATATTAATATTCTCCAAAAGATTACATCAGATAAAAATAAAAATTAGTGATTCATAAATTCCTAAAAACTTAACCAATTCCAAAAGGATATGAGATTTAAAGAAGTGATCTTTATCCTGTTGTTATATTTGGATTAGATCTAATTACAAAAATGCAAAGATCAGTAGATTAAGTAATTTTTAGATAATTGGCTGGTGAAACATTAAGAGAAATCAATTCTTAATTGAAATTAGTTGCAGAATAATTTGATGTAAACAATTATATTATATTAGGTTAAATTTGATAGCTATATATTTTATTTAAAGAATATTATATATTTATGTGATGGATTAGCATAATTAGGTGGAGATTATATAGTAAAGGAAAGTGAACTTGATTTTAGTGAAACAAAAGCAGTTTTACTTTAATTAATTACAGGATAATTAAGACCAGAAATCTAATGGGTAGAATTGAGATCTCCAGAAAAATTATGGACTTACATTACAAATTTCTTTTAATTTGTATATAAGGGAATGCCAAAAATTAATTAATATGAAGTTGATTGGAAGAATAATCTTATGAATCAAAAGAATTTGATGCTGTTTTAATTTGTTAAAGATATGACTTTTATAGTTGCTAAAACATTAATTTAATATATTAGAAATTATTAGTATTTATAACATAAAATAGTAGAAGGTAAAAATTTTAATGAAAATTAATAGAAAAGGATGAATAGAAATTAGGTTAAGCACAAAAGGATTTCAATTAACTGATATCATAAGGTTCGATAAAGAGATCTTATTCCTTATTTTATGAAAATATTATTGATTTTATTTAAGAGATAAATCTTAAACTTAATAACTTTTTAGATAGAAACACATTCGATTAAATATAAGTAATAATTTATATTCACTTTAGATTTAAATTAAAGAAATTATATAGAATTCATTATCATTGCTTAGTCAATTTTATATCATTGTTTCTAAACATTATGGAGGAGAAGAATATGAAAATTTCTAATTCAATTCTGCAGATGAAATAATTAAATAAATATAAATTGAATATTTTGAATGAGCATCTATTTCTATATTATAAATTTATTAACAAAATATTATTTTTTAATAAATATCTAAAAATTTTAATAGAAATAGGCAAGAAGCAAATCTTATTTTATATTATTAAAAATAAATCATTAATATTCAAACAATGGATTCTATCTGTAGAAAACATGGTTAGAAAATGGAGTCAATTAACGAAAAAGGAGAACCTTAGTGTAACTAATGCTTTTAGGAAACTAATTAAATTGTACTTGAATACAAAGAAAAAAAAAAGACTTTAATGAAGAAAAAATAGGAAGAAATATTAGAAAAATTGAGATAATCAAAGAAAAAAATGGTAGAAGTTTAAGAAAATTTAATTTTAAAAATGAAATCTCATTTAGAAACTATAGATAAAAAAAAAGAATCTCTTAATGGTTTTTTTTGTGATTAAGAAAACAAGATTGAATATTATATAAACTAATAACAAGATTTTCTGACTTTTAAGAATAATAATAGATCTTTTAATGCAAAAAATTCAAATGATTCAACCTTGCAAAAAGTTGAAGAGGAGTTTGAAAATATATATTTATTTCAAAAGGAATTTGAAGAAATATTACAACAAGCTAAGACTGATTACATCGATAGTGTGACCAGTATAATATAACAATAGGGTTAATAATAACAATAATTAATTACTTTACCGTAAGAATAACTTACATATCAAGACTTTTTATCATGGTCTGGTTCTAAAACGAAATTGGATTAAATTTTAATTAATAGGGATAATAGCATATTCGCCCATTCAGATGGTTTTGAAATAAAATTCTTTAGAATTTAATAAGAATAACTACTTAAAATTAATAATACTATTGAAGATGAAGATATGTAATTAATTTAATGCATCATATTTGGTCAATCAAACGATGATATATATTATGGTAATGATGATGGGAAATTAAAGATTTGGAAAAATTAAGACGATACATGGTCAAATGTAAACTCTATTGAAGCGCATGATCATAAGGAAATTGTTGATCTCAAGATAACTGATAATGACTCTAGATTGTTTAGTGCAGGAGGCGACAAATTGATTAAAATTTGGAAAAAAACTGGTAGTAATAATTGGATTGTAATGAAGACTTTTGATAATACAGACTTTTCTTAGATGTGTTCAATAGCAATTGATACAGTATCCCAAAAATTAATTTCATGTTCTTTTACATAAGTTAAGATATGGAATATGAATGATATTAATTCTGGATACGTATTGGGTGGATTAGAACCAAATAAAAACAATAAGGTTTATTTTATTAATGATCAAATGTTTTTTGTGACTTCTACAGATAAAGTTTATTTTTATGAAAAAATTGACGAAGAAAAGTTTATATAAATATAAAGAAATATATTGCCTTAAAATAAGTAATACAATCTACCATTTTGTTATAATTCAGAATTAAAGATATTTCTTTTGTAAAATACACAGGCCTAAAATGTTGAAATTTTGAGATTCAATGAAGGTAAGTTCGATCACTAAAGTTCTATCTAAGGAATATATCATAACATATTGATAGCCAGAGATGCTATGTATTTAATGTTAGTTCCCAAAAATGAAACTAAATCATTAAAAATGATGAGATTATAATGAATAATTAAATCAAAATATTAAAAATTAGATATTTTCTATTTATATAATTTACAAAAATACTCTTTCTAAATCGAAAAGATTTAGTATTAAAGAATTTATTTAATTTAGCTAGAGTAAAATATTTTAAATATTATTTAATCGATAATTCTAAATTAATATCTAACAATTTTTAATTAAGATTAAATAGAAGTTATTGGTAATGATAAATAAAAACTTGAAATTACAGATAAATATTGACACACAGTTATAATTTGTCATATTCTTCTACCTTCAATATTTTGCCTTACTTATCTATTTTATTATCGTTATCTAAAATTTATAATAAAATCAAATTACTAATATCTGATTAAATTTTAATCAGATGCATGTCTTTAATATGTTTCAATTGGATAATAATGGTTGTAATTAACATGTATTTAATTACATTATGGTTAGTATTCTTATTTTACTAATCTTTCATTAGGAATCAAATTTGAAGATAAAGGCCTTGTCTATTTTATTGATTAATTTTTTTGTTCAATTTGTTTAGTCTTTACTCTTGCTTAAACTGGAAATACTTATTATCTTTCTAATTTCTGTTATTCTACTCTTGATGGTAATGCAGATTAAGGATGTTAATATCTATCAGATATTGGTCTTTATTATTGATTTGATGAGTATTTTTAAGTGTTTGGTGCTGCTGATTGTGGAATTTATTATTTCTTGCTTGTTAAGTTTTCATGATGAATTTATAAACTTGGATTACTAATATTTATAGAATGATTGATTTGTGGTCTACTTTATATTTGACTTTGTACAATTCTATTACTAATTGTTAATTGATATATTTACTTATTATATTAAGGTGTTTCTACTTTCCTAGTAATAGGAGAATATGATTGTTTTTATACTTCTTGTTATTATTAATATTGTCCATATTATCCATTTTATCTAGTTTAAGAAATAGGTGAAACTCGTCTATTTTCAGTATTTATACCTCTAGAAGCATCTCGGACTTATTTCAAGTCTCTTAGCTCTCGATATTTTAAATCTTAGTGTTCTTACATAGCTTTAAGGTCATTTTCCCTTTTTATTCTAAGATTTTCAGATTCATTGTATTTATTAATTTGTGAATTCTTTACATTAGAATTACTTAATTATTATTATCCTTATTCATCCTTCTAGTTACGAAGCTGTGGTTAGGCAGATTTTGGTTTTTCAGTTTTTCTTGTTGCAGATGGTCTTGGTCCTTCAACTAACAAAGGATGTTTGTTCTATTTTTCTATGTAAGCTATACTTTTGGTGATATCAATTATTTATTTATCTTTTCCTTAGCTTAATAGAGAATCTTATTATGTTTTAGTTATTTATTATGGTGATCTAAAAGGACTGGATGAATTTTCTGTTGATTTATTTTCTATGTTTCTTTCAATACTCATAATTTCATTTTCGTATTTAGATTTTGGAAATTAAGAATTTAATTAATCTATAGTTCTGGGGATTTATATAGTCTTTAATAGTTCTTAATTTTATGGTTAATTATTAACATAAGTTTCAATATCCCTCATTCTACTTTGAATAATTGGAATTTATAATAATTCGTCACAATTTGGTCTTGATGAAGATTATGTTTTTAATAATAAAGATATGATATAGGCTAGATCTTTGGAATATTTGGCAGGTATTTAATCATATAAACCTTTCTATACTTTTTAAAAAAGAACATCCATTTCTTTTGCTCTAAAGGGTGTTTACAAACAACACATTTCATAAAGAACACAACCCAAAGACCTTAAATATACTTAAATTTATATACCAAATATCACTCTTTAAATTATAAGGTTCATCTCTCCACACTTCTGGACTAGCATAATATGGTGTTCCAGTTTAAGTATACACAAATCCCTATTTAGCCACTTTTGACACATTCAGATCTCCCAATTTAAAAGTTCCATCTCTAGATAAAAATATATTTGCTGATTTTAAATCTCTATGCACTATTTTCTAATCATGAAGTGTTTTCAATCTATTTTACTATAATGTCATACCCTAAGATCATATGAATCAAGGCTTTCCATACATCTTATTCTGAGAATTGTGGTCCTCCCTTTAAAGCCTATGTAATTCTACGATACACGTCACCTCCTGATAAAAGTTCCATTACAATACATAAACATCTAGATTCATCATCAAAAAAAGCGTCCTATTTTTATTATTTTTAAGTTACTTTATAGGCTACAATATATTTATTATTAATTGAAGCCAATAATCTAACTTCATTTAATGCATTCTCTTTTTCTTTCTATTTTAAAGATCCTAATTTCACTTTCTTTAATGCATATTCTTATCCATCTGCTATTCTTTTCACCTGATTATTAAACATTAAAAGTACCTTATAAACTGTACTAAATGATCCCTTTCCTAACTCTTAAATGATTTAAAAATCCTTAAGTGATGATGTCTTATTTTATTAAACGTTCATATTTTATTATTATATATAATATATATTGCAAAAACTTATCAAATCTATAAGGGATCATCATTTTCAGTTTATTTATTACTCAATTCCAAAAAACTTTTATGTTCTATTTGTTTATCTTCAGCAATTTAAATCAAATTTGAAACGAATATTACATAAACCACAATAATTCCAGTTTATTTTAAATAACTCATACTTGATCTCTCATATTAATAAACCTTCACTATTGTGTTTATAATCAATCCTAAACATGCAATAATAGAATATCTGAAAAAATCATAAACCATAATTTCTTTATCATTTTCATTTGGTATTGAATCTGCTAATTCATCATCAAAGGGATCATGCTATTTGAAATTAGCACTAGTTTTAACATCTCTTATTTAATAGTATTTTATATATAAGCCATATTAAAATAGAAATACTACTCCATAAAGTAATTCCAATCCTAAAAGCACTTAATATTCTCTTTCCTTTTAATATATCTAAAATAATCAATCTACAATTAGAATTACATTACGATTTATTATTTCTAAACCTGAATTTATTGGATAACCAAAACAAAATAGTACTTTAAATATAGAAATAGGCTTAATAGATTATTATTCAACATTCTCTTTTTTCTTTTATTGCTCAAACATCTCTAACCATGTGTAAAATAAGATAGTTTGATTAATCAATTCAGTATAATCTCGATATATCTATTGAAATTAATCACCTAATAGATTTTGTAATGGCAAACAATTTAATATTAAAGTTATTAAAAGTATCTTGGTTAATGTTTATCTTCATTCTTTACATATATTTATACATTTAGTTAGATTTTTTACAATATGTTTTAATAAACTTTGATAGATAATAATAGGATAATAAACAACTTATTAAATAAATAGCCTAATCAAATTAAATTTATACATAGAGTGTATATTCTATTCTTTAGCCAAAATCCATAGTATTTTTAACTGAAAATAAAAGAGTGTAGAGAGAAAACTAAACAACACTTCTCAATTTATTATCCATTAATATTAAATTTGATTTTCTCTTAACAAATATTTAATTAATTATTTTAAATTATAAGATGTATTGATATATGATGAATAAAATAATCAAAATTCAAGCACTAGGTATATTCAATTTATCATGACTCTTTGCTGAAAACATATTCAAAAGCTTTTCATTTCAGACATTCAACTTTAGATATGCAAAGCAATTACTCTCTTCTTGTAAAACTTATTTAATTGGCTTTTTTCAATAGGTTCTAAAGCAAAATCTAATTTGAATCCATGAAATGCATTTAATAGATTTTTTTTTTAATCTGTATTTCTACTTCCTTTTGATATTTTTTCATTCATTGGCTGATTATTTTATTTATTATAAATATGATAGTTGAAATGTCAAAATTAAATATCCTTTCCTTTTTGATGTAATAAGCATAAATGGAAGTTAATTTGATAAGTATTTTAAAATGATATATCTAAATTACAATAAATTCTTAACTATCTCCCAAAAACAATTTGATTTTGTGAATCCAATAGAATTTATTCATTTATTGGAATTCATATTAATAACTTGATTAAGCTAAATAGATTATAGAACTTTCTCTCATGATTAAAAGTTAATGTAACTATAATCTCTAGAAGTACTGTTTCCATTTTATATTTATTAATATAAAAGAATTAAAAATGTTAAAATTGATTGATAAACTATGTAATACTCTCAAATAGCAATTAGAAGAATATTCTTTGACAAATGTATGGATTTGAAATTAAAAATAGGATATTTTATAAACCAATATAGTGAGGTTTGTAAAAGATTGTGTAATTTACATTTTTCATATTCCAATAGAATACGATATTGAATAATATTTTACAATTGCAGATATTGATAAAACTATGTTTAATATATAATAATATTTGAATTCAATTTAGAAGAAGAACCATTTTAAAAATATATTTATGAATGAAGGTTTTTAATCAGGAGAATAAAGTTCAAGTGATGAATATGATTCCATCATATAAAAAAAGTCTAAAATAAACAAGATAAATTTATTAGAACACAAACCAACTGATATTACTACAACTGATAATGATATAACTTAATTAAATACTCTTCAGTAGTTATTATATGAAACTAACCTTAAAGTAATTAAAAGAGATGAATAAATTTTATAAATGACTACAAATTATTTAAAAGATATATAACATCTTAAATTAATGGTAAATATAATCTTTTATTTTAGTTTCTAAAGTAACTAGAAAATCCAGGTACTGAATTTTATGAAGTTAATTATTTTGATATAAAATAATCATTAGAACCTGAATTATAGAACTATATTTAAGATAAGTTTAATTAATTATAGAAATAATGTTAATAAACTGTTTAAAGATATAAAATAGAATTAACTGCTTTAAGTACTGAATGTGAATCACATAAGAGAACTATTTCAGTTTTATTATAAAATAATACTTTATAATCCATAATTAAAATGTTATTTCTTATAGAAAAAGATCCATATAAGATTTGGAAACAAATATAAGATTAGGTTGGTAATAAAATAATTTTTTAAGTGTTTGAAAATTAAATTGGGGGATATGGAATTAATTATAGAGAAATAGATGAACTTATTTCTAAAAATTCAGCTGGAGGTAGAATGTTTAACAGATAAAAATAATTATATGAAGAATAGTTAAAAATTATGATAGATGACAATATTTAAATTATATCAAATATGAAATAAGAAATAAAAAATAAAGAATAGATTATAGATGAACTTTTAACATCTCATTAAGAAGATATCAATAAAATTAATGATTAATTTTAAGAAGTCTTAGAATAAAAATTAAAAGAATAATAATTTAATTTATCATAAGAATTTGAGAAATAATTAAAAATTTAATAAAAAGATTTATCTGATCCTTAATTAATAAGAAAAATTACTTTAAAATGTGCATTTACAAGATGGATTCATTATTCTAAATTTTATCAGCTTTTTGTATCAGAATTAGATGAAGATAGTTTGTATGAATTGAAATAACGAATTAATTAATATTTAAAATAAGTAAATGATGAATTTACTATAAAAGATTATGAAAAATTAATATAAAATTATTAGTAAGCTCAATATAATATAATAAAACTTGAATAAGAAAAGAATATTAATGAATAAAAAATCAAATCATAATCATTAGAAATTTAAAAACATAAAAATACAATTTTAATGTTATCATAAACAATTCAATCTTTAAAATAAGAATTGTAAAATAGTGAATCTACTGTTAAATTAATAACAAAACCTTTTTGTTCAATATTATAAAAAATAGGTTATCCATCTAAAATAAATTTATTAGCTATTTTAAAAAGTGGAATTAATTTAGATTTTTTATAAAATGAGGATCCAGAAGTTCAATCTAGTTTAATTACATTCTTTTAATTATCTATTTCTTAGTAAATAATTCATTAAAATAAATTGAAAAGAGAAGCTGAAACAATTACTGAGTTTTTTGATGTATCATTATTGTGTTAATATAGATTAGATATGCTATATCATAAGAGTTGAATGAGGATAGTAATTTCTAATAATACAATCGATTCTAATCTCCAGATGTACCTCTAATTTAATTATAAATAACTGACTAGGCAGCCAGTCCTAAAGATTAATTTAATTTTTAATATATAGAAAATAAATTCCCTTTAAAAGCAACTCAAAAAACTTCCAATTATACTAATTAAACTCCAAAATCTAATCAAATATAAAATTAATACTCATAAATAAATACACCTAAGATTAGTCAAAAGAATGAGAAAAAAAATGAGAGTATGATAGTAAAGAGAGATAAAAAGAGTTAATAACACTTATTAGATACAACTTCTAGTGGATTCCAGAAATAGGTTGAAAAAGTCAGAAGAAAAGAACATCTGATGATATAAGAAATAAATTATTAAGACTAAGGAATTTAAGTTGATATGGATCTTCAATCAATTCGTTTTAAAAATAGTCCAAATGTATAATTTAGAGATATTGAACAAAATTCTCCTTAATAAGATATTTTAGTAATTATGAGAGACGATGGAGATTCAAGAGCATCTTCAGTCACAAAACGTAGGAGCATCAGTCAAAACAATAAGAAATAACAATTTAATATTCCAAATTAATTTATCAATAATCAAAATCTTACATTATATTAAGCATCTAAATAAAAAACATAAAATAGAACAATTTACTCAGAATAACACTAAATTTAATAAAATGAAAAATAAGGGCTTGGCTTCTTACCTTCTAGTCCATATAATTTTTATTAAGAATTATTTAAGGAGAAGTAAAAATTGCAATTGAAAAATTACACAATAATTAAGGATTAGGGAATTCAGATATATAATAGTAATAAAAGAAAAATAGAACCAAGTATTGAAGGTAAACATCTATAAATTCCAAGTTATTTAAAATGAATATTAAAATAACCTTATTTAATATTTTATTGTTAAATTTGATCATTAATGTCCTAAATTACTTTAATCTTATTTTCTATTTAACTCTTATAAATAATATTCTAATAATGAATCAAATTATAAGTATATATTATTATAATTTCAAAGTCACTAATGTTAATGAGTGGCACCTGTAATTTATGAAACTATCTAACATAATCTTTCCATTAGATATATGTCACGATGCATGTATAAATCCCAATAAGTAAGATGTCCTTGTTATATTCCATCTACTTCTTACATTAATCTAAATTATAAAAATATACTATATACTATCTGGCAAATTGAAAATCTGTTTTTTTTTCAAATAATTCTAAATCTTAAAGTGTTAAAGTGTTAGGTATGGTTGGAGACCCTTTCAAAGTTTCAAATATAACTTTCACACAATTCTTTGGTTATTCTACTTATAAACATAAGCCTTCTAGAATAACACCAGTTTCTCTATAATTTATCCAATCATCTTAATCTTTATCTAATTCTTTAAATAATGAATCTCTATCAATTTATAATAAATTATATTTTAATTGGTTCTCAAATGCAAAATAACTTATTTTAGATTTCCCAGAATTAGGAAACAAGATAGAAAATATTTATTCAGGAGTTGAATTAATATAAGGTACAACTCTATAATTTGGTACAAATTCAGGTCGATCTAATTTATGTAATAGGGATGGCCAATGAGTAAATAAATGCTTATATTATGGTTATGCTACTTTTTAATAATCTTAATAATTATAAAAACTATAGTATTTTTAAGAATCCTTTACGATAATTTTATTTTCATCTTCTTATAATTTAAGAACAACTGGTGATTTTTCTTAAATTGTTAATATAGGTTAAAGATAAGATTAACAAGTGTTTATTTATAAATATGTGGAATGTCCACTTTGAAATAGTTATGATGGTTTGATTTCATTTTTTGGAGTAATATCTTATATTTAAGGAGGTGGTTGAGAGATCTAATTTAAAATGCTTTCATTAGAAGATTCAGATTGGATATCATCTTCTTCATTTATATCTATGTCTTAATCTTATATTTAATGTTGTTAACTATTTTATAATTAACTGCTCTATTGAATTGTTTAAGAATGATCTAATTAATTAGTAGTTGGTTGATGAAATGCATATTATTATGATATGTTAGTTTAAAATTAAATTTATTCTATATCCTTAGATTCATTTTAATTTCTATCTGAAAGTACAATTTCTGAAAATTGAACATCATTAACAAATTAATTATTTTTACATAAGTTTATTGCTTTTGGAGATTGTTATTCAACTGGTTTCCATAAATCAGGGCATGATTTCTTTTAACTATTTTGTAAAGGTTATATTTGTAATTGTTAGACTTTTTAAATTCTGTTGGATGTAGGAGATTAACAAGTAAGAACTTTTTCATTTTCTTTGTCTCCCTTTCTTCTAAGATATTTTCTTAAATCAGTTGATAAATCTTTAAGATTATTACCCTTCTTATATTGATTCAGTATTGCTATGACATCTTGATTTCCTTCTTTTACCATATTTCTTAATGCAATCCTATCATCCTTGAAAATTACTAATTTATAATATATTCATTACATGTGCAATTATCTAAAAGTGTTAGAATTTCTAAATTATCTGGTTTTTTTGGGTTCCTTTAAATAGGTTATGGTGATTTTCCAAATCGAATCATATAAATTAACTGTTAATTACAAAATTAATAAAAATTATATAATTTATATCAAAATATTTATAATTTAGGATGGAAAATATATATTTGGATTATTTAAAGATAAAATAAAAAAACTATGAATATATATATTATAATTAGCAATATGAATATTGTTTAAAGATTAACTTTGTTTATTTGAATTACATTAATGAATTTATTATTTAAATATTATATTATAGAGTCTCTTTAGATATCCTTCATTAATGTAATATTAATTATAATGATTATGATAGACAAATATAATTTCAACTTTTCTCTACATATTTTCTACAGAGAGACTTCAATTATGAATATACTTTTCCAGGAGGACTTCCCAAAATCAAAGCACAAATTGCATCTCTGGCAGCTTTGATATTTGAATAGCTTCCAAGAATATGTATTCTTTAATCTGCTAAAACTATTCTAGTTCTTGTTGCATTCTCTATTGCAAATTTAGTTTTGCCCTTTTCACCTGATATACGACCAATACATCTTGACAAATGATCACCATGTAATGTTTTAACTATTTATATTTTATTTACTATTATACCATCTTTAACTTCAAATGATTCTACATATAAATCATCTAATCTCAACAAAGCCACTGAATCATCAATATCAAATCCTATAATTTTTAGTTAAGTTTTATTACCCATCATGAATGCTTTTAAAAAGTCTACACCTCTCTGTAATGAAGTCTTATCTTCAGTAAATTAAGAAGTTTTTATTTCAACACACTTTTTTTTGGTATTCATTCTTATTTACAATTTCATGTTTTCCTTTTCATTTTTTATTTAAATAAATACCACTATTGTTGTCAATATTTTATCCCAATTATTTTTCAAAGGTGTTACTCTATGAGGAGGAACTGGCACTCTTCTTATTTCACCCTTTTTATTCTAATTGTTTAATTATTTATTAATACATTCTCCTAATTATCAGTGACTTATTAGAATTGGATATCTTATACTTCATTTTAGATTTAATTGATGTCTTCTTCTATTATTTAATTATTTTCTTCGTTAAATTCTTTCTCTTAATCGATGTCCATACACTAAATTTCTCAATTAATTACAATAAGTTAATTGTATTTATTAAAGAAATTACAAAAAAATTACCATAAAATATTTATAATATTTACATACAGCTTATTATTATGATAATTTGTTTCAAATTGAAAATTCTTTATAACATTTCATACAAAAATTTGTAATTTATCCTGCAATACTTCCAATATCACTGCTAAACTCCTATTAGCATTTTAGACATTTTTTTTTCTTCTCTTCTGACAATATTTGATTCTTCATTAACTTTGCATATTGTTAAGCTTTAAATTCAGGTAATGTTTTCAATTGATTTTATTCTATTAATACATCTGTCTATTGATTCATTTCTTCCAAAAACATCTTAACTTATAACTGAATAGATATTTATTTATTATTCAATTCTGTACTATTTTATTATTGAGGATAATATTATTATTAGTGTTTCGATTATTGATTTTTTTAGTTATTCTACTCATCTTAAAATAAAGAAAATAATAGCACATCTTAATAAATATCATTTTCTATCATTATCTTTACACAATTAGGAAGGCTAGAATTCAATAATACTAATCTATGCAATGTTTTATTTGGTTTGTAATAAAGTATTTATTGTATATCAACATTAATAACATATTTAAGATTATCAATTAAAAGTGCACTCTATCCAATAGACAAATTTTTAATATCAATTTAATCACTAATTTTTATTCCATTTTCTAATAGATGGTTACTCAAATTAAGATTTATACTATTTTTCAAAAGTATTGTAGCTATCTCTGTAAAATACCATAATCCTATACTCTAATGAATTTAATTTGTTTTAATTAGTTAATTTAATTGTTGATAAGCTGTCCCATCAGCAATAAATTATCCTTTCTTAATTTATAACCCAATCATAATTGCATAATATAGACCCTGTAATCCTTGTCCAGTATGTTGCATAGTGGTTTCAGGTATTTAAAGTTTATCAATAATTATTTTTGGTATAGGTGATAATTATTGTATGCTGTTTTGATTATTCTAAAGATATTCAAACCCTTTGCTAATATTGTAATTGTTTGCTGCAAAATATCTATTAAAGTCTCTTAATTTCTTTATTACTTCATTTTTATTTGGTTTATTTTCTAATTATATTTCCAAAAATTCCTGAAATTTCGTTAAAATGTATTGAGGAGCTAACATAGTAAAATATAATTAATATTATACAATCAATTTTAATTAATATCAACATTAAAAATCAATCAATTTTACTTCTCCCAATTCACAAGAACAATTAGTACAAAAATGTTAGCAATCTTTAAAAGTCTATATGATTATATAAATATAAATACATCACAAAATATAAAAATTAGACCAATTCCAAAAGCAGGTAAGAAAAAGAGGCACAATAATACTTGAGTCAATCCAATTTTATGCTCAATTTAGGAAAATACTTCTTGATTACACCATTTACATTATAAACATTAAGATAATCTTAATTTTGGAATTTAAGTTAAGTTATGATGAGTTGGTATACCAGAACCAGGTTGATATGACATACTTTAAGGAATCATAAATTATTAATTGTCTATTTACTAATTAGAAGATTGTTAAACTTAATTCACTTCAGATTATATTTATTATGCTACAATAGATGATTATTAATAAGGAACTTATTTTATCCAATTATTTGGTATTTCTTAGAATCCTGGAAAATTATTTTGATTCAAATTTATGTTAGATTCTACAGGCAGTTTAGTTTTTTCAGAAACTGGTATTGATGATTATTATATTCGATCTTATTAGTTCAATTAAATTTGATGGTTCTATTAATTTACTTATTAATATTCTGAATTTTTGATTGGTATGTTTTCTTCTTATTATATTTATGATTTATTTTAAGTTTGCATAAAATTTACAAAATTTATATAACAAAATTTTTCAGAAAAATATCAACTAATTGAATATCCCATCATATACTGTATTTTCTTTATTTAATTAATTATTCATCTAATTATCTTCTAAGCATCAAACCACGTATTTTTTCCCATTTGATATAATTTTCATTCTTGATATATATATACTCATCTTCCAAAATATCTTTAACACTAATTCTTGAAATAGGATTAGGATCCATCATTCTACATATTAAACTTCTTAATCTTAGAGAATACATGTTTTCAGGAAAATCAGTAATTCGAATACCATCTCTAATACGATGCCATTCTTCTCCATTTGATGGTAATTACTATCTTATCATTAATTAATAAAGAGTAACACCTAAAGAAAATATATCAGTTTTGCATAGATCTAACTTCTCTGTCTGATTAAGTAATTCTTTGGCAATATATCTAAAGTCTCCAACACTTACATCTTCTTGACGTTATTATATTTTCTTTGATAAACCTAAATCAGCCAATTTATATTAACCATCTTTCTTACTATATAGAATATTTTCTGGTTTAATATCAAGATGTGTTATTTATTATTCATGCAAGAAAATCAATCCATTAGTTATATCTTTAAGTATTTTTTTAATTTCGAATTCCTCATAATCTTATCTTGAATTAACACTATAATCACAATATTCCATTAACAAATATAACATATTTCCTTCTTACCATGAAGTAAAATATCTAACTAAATTTTTACATGCTCCTTTAGAATTTAAATATGCCAAAGCTTGAGATTCATTTGCTAAATCAATATTTAATTTATTGTTTTTTATTTTTGTACATTTTATTGCACAAATTTAATTTGTAAATCTATTTTTACATTTATAAACTTATCCAAAATAACCACTACCCAAAACATCCACTTATATATATTCTTCTTAATATCTACTTTTTGAAACCCCTAATTCTCCATCAAATTACTTATTCAAATTTCTAATTACTTTTCTCTTATTAATTTTATTTATTTGATTTTGCTTACTTTTCTCTCCTGTTGATTATTATAATTTTCTCTCATTTTATTTAGGAGTACTAGGTGAATTAATTTAATCGTTTTAATTCTTATATTCTTATTATTAATAAATTTTCAAAGCTAATTATTTTTTTTATTCAATTCCTATCCCCTCTCTTACTTATAATTTTATTGGTTATCTAATTTAATTGCCAAACTCAGGTGTAAATGGAGGATTAACAAATAACTTCTTACATGGATTTGGTTCAAAAGTTTAAGGTGAACTAGGGTTTGAAAAAAGATTTCTTGAAGGAAATAGATTCATTTCAAAGGTGTTTTATGTCAAATTTCGAAATTTAAATTAATTTTCGAATTACCGCTAAAATAATTCATAAAAATTTATTTAAAATTTTAGATTAACTTTGAATAAATATATATATATATATTTATATTCACTTTCAATTTTTAAAAAGTAAACTTCCAAATTTTGGTTTTGATGAATTCTATTAGAAGATTTGTTATGTATCCTCTTGAAAACTTCCAACATCTTGATTCTTTATTTCCTATTCCTCATCTGCATGTTCATCATGTAATAAATCCACAATACAAATTCCTTCTCCTCCTTCTAAATTATATTTTTTTGCTCCAACTTGTTAAATAATTATTAAAGCTGTTTATTTTTTAGATAAACATATATCTAATTTTTGAGATTCTCTATGATCAATAATTTACATATTATCTAATTTAAAATACAATTTCTATCTCCAAATTTTATTAGTACTTTTATTATGTAAATGTTATAAATATGTTCCTTCTTTTTTTATAAAATATTAAGTAATTACAAGATCACTACTTCCATTTTCTTATTCACTTAGATCTCCTTTATGAAAATATTTAATTTTTTGAGTATCTTAAGAATGTTTATCTGCAATAGCTATAGCACTCTCATATACTTATTTTTAGAATCCTTAAATTTATTAATCAAGTCTTTGAATCTATATCAGTTTCTGACTATGAATTGTAATCCAAAACTTCATTTTTTTTAAATCAAATTATTCTTTATTATCTCCTGTTTCAACTTACACAAATAATACATAATCTCCACTTTCTAAAGATACATCCTTAAATAACATTTTCTCTGAAGATTAACCTCTTCCAAAACAATATTTGTATGGATTAAGTTGTTTTTTATCAGAATTTTATTCAAATATGGAACCATATTTCATATCACCTTTAATTGTTTCTTCCTTTTTATCTTTTTCTCTTTCTTATTTTGAACGATTGGCTTACTCTTACCATCTTGATACAATCTTTTTCTTTACTTAATTTTTATTAGTAAATAAATCCTTTTGTTTGGCAAGTACAATTCTTACAGGAAATGTTTCTAATATATAATCATTTATAAATTACTATCTTAAATAACATATTCATCCTATTTTTCTTAATGATCTTAAGTAATACATATTAAGCAATCTTAAGCTAAATTTGTTCTAAATTTACAAAAGAACCTTAATTCATGATTATATTTATCTTTATCTTCAGGTTCTATCAATTATTGATTTTGTATTGGATATCTGGAAGCACATAAGACATATACATATTGAAAATTTTTGATAAAATCTTTATATTCCATAAAGAAGTAACAATCATTACCTCTAACTTAAGGATTTCTTTCCTATAATTTTTATCTAGCTAATGAAATTTAATTAGTTATTTCTTATTTTAAAGCAAGTTTTTAATTTGATGCAAGAATAAGTAGATAATATGATTCATCTCTTTTGCCTAATGATGACTCTTGCATATCAACAATTTAATAGGCTGTATTTCTAGGTAATTTTAATCGATCTTCCATATCTTTATATAAATAACAAATTCTGACTTTAGTATTTTAATATTTCTATGCCATAGTTCTCCATATTTTTTTTTACTATAATATTTACAATATAATACTTAATCAGAATATTCTTGATTATCCCCAAAGATGTTAGGGACTGATAATTATACAGTTGGCATACCTGTCAGCAATGTTAAATATTCAACTGCCCTCATTATTTTATCATTTGAAAAATATTGAAAAGATTAATTGTATTTTGCAAATGCTTTGAATAATATAGTCCATGCTAATTCTGGTTCTTAAGAATTAGAAAATATAGGCATTTTATCAGATTTGAATACTGGAATACGATCATCTACAATAAATTCTTTCCATTCATTTCTTAAAAATAGTTTAATGAAATAAAATCCAATTCTAGATTATTAAATATTATAATTACTCGGCTTCATATTTTCTAGAAAATACTTTAGATAAAAGATAAGAATGAAATGTAAGTGCATTTAATACAACTGTTAATTATTAACAACAATATTATTCTGAGTATTTTAAATAACCAGGTTATATCTCTTTAGTGAAGAGTTTAAATTCTTTCTTCTTGAAGTATTTAGATGTATATATTCTTTCAAATTCAATTGGTGCTCCAACAGGTTAATCATTTTCATCCTTAATGCTAAAAGATTATTCAGTATAATCAAATTCTGGATCTTCAAAATCTTCTCTTTTCAATCCTTTTTCATCAATAAGTACTTTATAACCATCTAATTCAGCAGGAGGATAGCTATTCCCTTTTATTGGATATTTCTCAATCCATTCAGGTCTATTGTCTCGTATGATCTTGAAGAAATTAATACTCTATTCTGTCTATAATTATTTAACATTAAGAATTCTCCATTTATGACCTTCAGCAATATACTCAATAAAATCACGAGCAGGTTTATTATATTCCCAATAAGCATATATATAAGAACCATTAGGATAATAGAGTCTTCCAATCCCATGTTTATATCCATCTGCAAAATCACCTTCATATAAGTATTCTCTTTTTTCTTTTTCTTATTCGTGATCTTAAATTTCCTCATTCTATTATGAGTCCATTCTACCTTCATTATTATAAGGTGGAGGGAATACAGCAATTATTCTTTCCTTAGAATAAGCAACTTGAACTCCAAATCCATTAGGTAATCCTAAACTTAATAAGAATATAATTACCTCTCTAAAAATCACCAACATAATAAGATCCATCAGAAAATACTAATTTGCCATTTCCATGCTTCTAATTGTACTTAAACGATCCTTCATAACGTCCCCCTGTAATGTAAGTTTCTTTACCAAAACCATGTTTTTATCCCTACTCAAATTACCCATCATAGAGGTATTAACCTTTTTTACCAGGATAGAGTTGAACATTATTATAAAGCAAACCTCTACCATTAAATACTCCATCTTTGAATTAACCTTCATATACATCACCATTTGGGAAAGTTTCAATTCCACATACTTTCTCGCCTCTTTTCCATGTTCCCTTGAAAAAACACTTTGTTTCATTATTAAATAGATATCCTGGACCATCATAAAGTACCTATTTTGATTTATCATCTGTAATTATATCTCCTTCATAAATAAATTTTCCATCTTAGGCTGATAACTTCTTGTTTTTGTTCTTCATTATATTATATAGTTTTTATTTGTCAATTTGAATTTTCAATCTTTGATATCAATTATAAACATATATTCTAAAGGAAGCTTTCTCATTTCTTCTGAATACAACTTTAGACATCCATAATTTCTTTATTTCTTGAATAATTCACAAAACTCAATTTCTTGACATTATCAAATTTAACCGTCATTCTTAAATCTAATATAATATAGCAAAACTTAATTTTCATTTGTTTTGATAGCAAAACACATGTTTTAGAATTACATTTTCATTATTTGAACAATATTTGATTTTTATTGATTTATATGTCTATTCTCTACACCAAAACATACTCTTTCTACATTAATCCAAATTCTAATCATAAATATCAAGGTCTTCAAATATATCAACTTTTGAGAAATCATTGATTATAGAGCTAGATCTAAGAATTATATTTTCTTTGTAAGAAACCTAATTCATTCTATCTATTTCAATTTCAACCTCAATTATGTAAATTATCTTTCCCATCTTCACATTATAAAAGCATCATTTTTTTATATAATCAATCCTATCTACTCTATTATTCATATTATGACAAATCACTTCTTACAACATAAACATTAAAATCTGATTTAAGTTTAGTGTGTTTTTACTATAAATCATTTTGATATTTGCTTCTATCCACATGTTAATTCTGTAAGATTAATAACCTTTAAAAATTTGTATTTGTAATCCTGTTATATGAAGGTAATCCAAGTAATTATAAATACGATTGCAAGGAAAGGCAAAATTATGAAGACACACTGAAGAAGGATATATTTATTTAGAACTAATTAAAATACTGAATATTGATAATATCATGAGGAAATTATTAAATATTTTGTTCCTGTAGATTATATTTATTAATATTAAAAATTAAATTAATGTCATTAGAATGTCAATGATAATGAAACCTAATCTAGTCATTTTACATTATTAAATTGAATATCTAATGAATAATTTGAACCAATTCAAAGCTAATCGAAATATAATTGAAAATAATTAATTTATAATATGAATTATAATAAAGCTCTTGATAATGGATCTGGTGGACCTGATGAAATATCAGATTAACAAATAAAGGGTTTGATATAGAAATTTCAAAGAAAGGGATTTGAAGGATTGGCTTTGGAAGAAGTTGCTACAGCACTGATTATTCCAAATTTTGGAAAAGTATTTCAGTAGCACACAGGATTAGATTGGTAAGGTAAATTTGAAGTGAAAGCTTTTGAAAGATTGAATAGATCAAAATTTGATATAAATTGGATGGCAAGGAAAGACAATTCAGAACATTCAGCCTTATTTATCAATTGTTCGCGCGGTGATCTTGTAAAGGTGAGATAGTACTTGAAAGAGTCAAAGGATCCTCAAATCAAGTAGAGTGTAGACTAAACGAAAAAAAGCCCTTTGCATGTAGCTACAATAGAGGGACATTTAAGCATAGTGGAAATACTATTGATGAGTGGTTTCAATCCTAATTGTAGAGATAGGACTCTGAAGACACCTTTACATTATGGATGTTTACATGGACATGAAACAATAGTTGATACATTGTTGAAAGCAGGAGCAGATATAACAGCAAGAGATTCATTAGGTCGTTCATGTATTCATTTTGCTGCTTCTTGTCCAAGTGCATAAACATTATAATTGGTATTAGCAACTAAGCCAGAGTTATCAAATGATGTTGATTAGAGGAAAAGAACTCCATTGCATTATTGTGTTTGGAATTCTTCTTAACACTAAGTGAGTTTATTAAGGACACTCTTAGATTTTAAAGCTAATCCTATGGCTTTAGATGAGGATTTGAAAACTCCTATTCATCATGCTTCAGAAGGTGGAAAAACAAGAGCTATTCCAGTATTATTATAGAGAGGTGGATAGGAAAGTATGTAATTGAGAGATAGAAGTTAAAAGACTCCATTGGAATTGGCTGCAAATGATCGTACTAGAGAAGTATTAATTGTTTATAGTTCTTCACCTATGAATAATTAGGATTAAGATTTAAAATACTTAGATTAGGCTGTTTAAGGATAGAAATTAACAAATTAAAAGAAAGAATAAGGACCATAATCATCTATAGTAATTGCAAATAAATAGCCATAATAATCTCCTTAATTTCCTATTGTTGAGAAAGAAATAGTATCTGCTGAAGCACCTCCTTTATAAGTGAAATGGACTCCTGCATCAATAAATTAATGGATAAGGGAAAAGTTTTTTACAATAATGAAAAAAGTATAGGAATCAGGTATTCGTGCTAATCATCATCTAAAACGTCCATATGTTTATACAGGATCTTGGATGGAAGGAATTAATACTATGGAAGAATTGTATGGAGCTATTAAGGATGTTCCTCCAGGGGAAGCATGTGTAAGAGCTTTTAATATTTTGTGTCCATTTGATAGATAATTACCATCAGGTAGTGGTAATGAAGATGTTATTGATGGATTTTATGGAGAAATGTGGTTTGATGGAAGTGGAGCAGTTAAGAGAACAGAATAAATTGAAGAGATGAGAAGAAAGATGCAATAAGAATATTTAGCTAGAATTACTGATTTAGAAACTGAGATTTAAATAAAAGCAAAACATTTATTTGAAACTGATTAAGATTTAGCATAAACAAGAGCTTAATTGGAAGTAACTTAGAGATAGAATAAAACTAATAGTGAGAAATTGTAAGCATAAATAGATACTCTTAATAAGTAATTAAAAAATAAAGATGAAACTATAAGTAAGTTAGATAAAGATAAGTAACAACTAAATTAAACAATTAAGAGATTAGAATAAGAAAATGAAGAATTAAGAAATTAACCTTAAGGTATATCAGAAGAAGAAGTATAAGAATATATGACATAAATATCAGAATTAAAAGAATAATTATAAACTAGCAAAGATTAAGAGAAAACTCTTAGAGCAAAGGCAGGTTAATTATTTTTGAAGAGCATTTAAACCATTAAGGCATCTAATGAAGAGAAATTATCTTAAGTGAAGGCTTAGACTTTAGCTTAAATATAATAAGAGAAAGAAAAAATGTAATAAGAGAGATTAAATGCAAATAAACAATTTGAATTTGAAAAAAATTAATTATTAGAAGAAAAGAATATGTTAATTAAAGAGAAATAGAAAATTTAAGCTGAAGTATTACCTACAAATGCTGCTGGTGGTATGGATAATTTATAAGATGATGATGCAATTATTGTATTATTGAAAGCATTGAAAGGTAATCCACCACCTATGAAGTAAAGAATGAAAACATTTGATGGTGATTTAGATGGATCATTAACTTAAGATGAATTTAGATAATTTTTAGCATCCTTAAAATTAAGTTAATAAGATATTCATTCTTTATGTAGAATTGGAGGTTTTTTGGGATAGAAAAAATTAATAGGAATTGAAGAATGGGCTTAAATATTATAAGATAGACCAAAATAAAGGGAATAATTTGAATAAGCATTATTTTGTAAATTATTGGATGCCATTAAAGCTAGAAATTTAACTGTTGAAAAAATGTTTGAATTAATAGATACTGATGGATCAGGATCTTTGAATCCTGCAGAACTTAAATAAGGACTTAAATCTTTGAAAATTATATTAAATTAGAAAGATTTAAATAATATGTTTGCTATATTTGACTCAGATAAGAGTGGATCAGTTTCATTGGAAGAAATGAGAGAAACACTTAATAATTATTAGAAGATGAGAGAGGAATAAGGTGAGGGAGAAATAATTGTTGATGAATAAGATAGAATTCAAGTTTAGGATGAAGATAATCCTTATGAAGAAATTGAAGCAACAGAATCTGAATTAAAATAAGAAATTAAAGAGTGGAATATTGACATTAAAGATTTTACAAAGATTACAGGATTTTTAAAGGTTTAATTAATTAATGGATCTTAAATCAATTCAAAATCATTATGTTGTCATATAATTTTAAAGGGAGGAAATGTTATGGAAAAATCAGTTATTCTTTTTAATCAAAGTGAATTCAAGTAGGCTTTCATCTTTCCTATTGGGTAAGCTTTGAAAGAGAATTTATGTGAATATGTTTGGATTAGATTATATAAAAATGCTGTTGAGGAAGAGAATTTCGTAGGAGATGTTAAGATTATGTGGAAATAGACTATTGATAAACCAAATTAATGGATAATAAATAATAAATTCATACTTCAAAATACTACTTATATTAAAGAGTAAAGCAAAATGTATAAGCCATAAGGATTTATTAATATAGCAATGAAATTTATTCCTGGTTAAGAGATGGAAATTAAGAGACCAATAATTGGAAATAAAATAACAGCTACTATAGTAGAAGATGGTGTTTTAGAAGTGATACCAATTTAATGTATTTTAAAGTAGGATTTGAAATAATTGAAGGAACCAAAATTCTTTATGCATTTAAGATTTATGTCTATTGATAAGAAGATATAGGCTTAATTAACAGCATCAAATGATCTATATTGGGAAGGTAAGTATTTGTAAGATTTGAAATGCATAACAAATGAACCTATTGATTCAGTTTATGTAAAAGTTTATGTAGAGACTCCTAAAAATCTATTATAAACAAATACTTAAATAATTGGTGAGTTTTATATAGATTGGAGTGAATGTTTATTAAATCCAGGAGAATTCTTATCAGAAAAAAGTTATTCATTATAAGAAAATACAAAAGTTTATTTAAAGATTAGATATGTTCCATAATCAATGTTTTAATAGATAATAGGATTCAGAGATGGTGTATCTAAAGAAGAGAAGAAGAAATAATTGACTTTAGATGATATGATAGAAGGAACTCTTAAAATTTTGTTTGTAAGAGGTAAGAATTTGAGAGCAGATGATGGTGATACTTCTGATCCATATTGTATTGCTAAAATAAAATCATTTGATAAGGAGATAAAAATATAATCAAAGACTATTAAATGTAGTTTGAATCCAGAATGGAGAGATTTATAATAGATAAAAGTATTGATGCCAAAGGAGGCACCATATCCTCCTCTTGAATTTCAATTATTTGATGAAGATGTTCTTGGTGATGATGAATTAGGAATGTGTAAAATAGATTTGGCTCCATGTATAGAATAACCATGTAAATGGTCTATCAATGATTATTTTGATATTATTGATACCAAAGCTAAATAACCAGCTTAAATATATATTTAATGTTATTGGGTTCCAAAAGGTATGAAGGATCCAAATTTAAAAGCAAAAGATAAATTTGATTCAAGTGGTTGTGCTGATCCTGATCCAAATTTTATAGATGGAGAATTAGTCATTAAAGTTGTACATGCTAGAGAATTGAAAGCAGATTCACCAGATCCATATGTTATTGTTAATTTCCCAGGAGGTAAAGAATTAAAAACAGAAACAATATCTTCTTCTATAAATCCTATTTTCAATTAAATTTTGAGGAATTAATTCAAAGTAAAAAAGGAAACTGGAAAGACTCCTTTAAAAGTATTAGTAAAAGATTCAAATATATTGAGTGATGATTTAATTGGATATGTGGATATGTAATGGGAAGAATGTGTGTCTCATCCAGGAGAATGGGCAATTAATTAAGTTTACAATTTAAGTGCAGCAGCAAATAGTAAAAATTTTGGATCTATTGGTTTTTTATATATGCAGGCTAAATTTATTGAAAGAGGAATGATTGATGATTAAGCAGAAGCTCCATTAACTGAAAATTTATTTGAAATAATTAATTCTAAATAAGGATTATATTCAGGCTAATTAAGAATATTCTTAGTACATGCAAGAGGATTGGTTGTAGCTGATAGCAAAGCAAGTGATCCATATGTAGTATTCAAAGTACCAGGTGGTAAGAAAGTAGAAACACTGTCTAAACCTGATACAATTAATCCATCTTGGAAAACAATATTTAATATTAATGTATCAATGCCTAAAGATACTATTTAACCACTTAGAGTAGAAGTGTTTGATGATGATTTAGTAAATGATGAATTGATGGGATATTGTACTATTGATTTGTTAGATACATTTAATAATCCATAAGTGTGGAAATTTAATGAAGTTATAGATTTATAAGGAGATTAAAAGATGTAAAAGAAATATAAGACTAAAGAATTTGGAAAGATTTATTTATAAATTATGTATTGTTTATAAGGTATTTAAAATAATGATCCTCCATTACCATTAACAGAAGATTTAGATTTCATTTTAAGAGAATAATAATAAGAAAATAAAAGGCCAATGAAAGGGAAATTATATATTAATATTCCTGTTGCTTTAGGATTAAAACCAGATGATGGAGTCACTGCAGATCCTTATTGCAAATTGACATTCCCAGATAATCATAATGTTAAGAGTAAATAAATTGATAAGACTATTAATCCTATATTCAATTTTTAATATTAATGGAATTGTAATCTAATCAAAGAACAATATAAACCTATTTTATTATAAATCTATGATTCAGATGCTATGAGTGATGATTTATTAGGAGAAGTAGAACTTGAATGGATGGAATGTTTCAATAACCCTACTTAATGGATGATTAATAAATAATATCAATTGACAGAGGGTAAAGTTTATGTCTAATGTAAATTTCTACTTCCAGGTTAAGAAACAACTCCAGAAGGTATAAGAGCATGTGATACTGTTTAAGAATTGAAACATGATTATGGTAGAGTACTTGGAAAAGTAGATGTGAAGATTATATCTGCATCATAACTCTATAATTCAGATATGACTGGTAAAAGTGATCCTTTTGTGGAATGTGGATTAAGTAGTGAAACAAAGAAAATGTAGACTCCAATTAAAGAGAATACATTAGATCCAATATGGGATTTTCAAGGGAGTCTAGTAATAGAGTTGTTGAGATGTTAAGTTTAAATGAATACTATTAATTTCATTATATATGATGATGATGAAATTGGTAAAGATTTTCTTGGGTAATGTGAAGTTGATTTGATTGATATATTAGAAAAGAATCCAGGATCAGTTATGTTACAAGATCTACCATTAAAAGATCCAAGTAAGAAAGGAAATCCTAATTTGGGATCATTAAAAGTATAGTTTGTTTGGATTCCAGATCCTTATAATGAAGGTGTTGTAGGATTAAGAATACCACCTAAAATGTATGAAGGAGATTTATGTATACGATTCCCAAATGCTAGATAATTACCAAAGGGAGATCCCTATGTTACTTTTATTTTAACTGAAGATATGGAGAAGAATTACAAATGTAAACATATTGAGAGTAATTAAAATCCAGATTGGAATTATGAAGAGATTATTAAGATTTCAATAAGTGAAAGATAAATTCTGACTTAAAGAATAAAGGCAATTGTTAAAAATTACAATTCTGCATGGAGTGATACAGTATTTGGTGGTATAACTGTATTATTAACTGATTTATTCAGAAAACCAGGTATGTGGATTAATTAATATTATTAACTTTATGATGGAGATGGTAAATTAATTGAGTCTTATGTTTATTTCTAAGCTTAATTCAGAACAGAGGAAGTATTAGATAAAAATCCACCAGCACTTACTGATTTTACATAATTTATTAATTAAGGTAAGCCTCCTACTTTTAATGGTAAATTGAAATTTACTTATATTGGTTTGAAAAATTTAGAAAACAAAGATATTACTGGATTAAGTGATCCTTTTGTAGAAATAAAGATTTCAAAAGGATCAACTACAGCATTTAAGACTACAACTTAAGATGATAAATTAGATTGTTTTTGGATAGATTGTGGAGAGTATTTATTTAAAGAAGTTACTTAAGAAGATCTATCTTTATTAAGACTTTATATTAATGTTTTTGATTATGATTACAATTCTAATGATGTTCTTGGAAAATGTGAACTAGATATCAGTAAATTAAAATCAGGTTAATGGGTAAATTATCGAATTCCACTTTTGAATGAAAAAGATTTTCCATAAAAAAGTGAAATATATCTACAAGCTCTATTCACTATTGATGGAGATGGATCTGCTATCTAATAATAACCTAAGAATTTATATGAAGATATAGCTAGATAATAATAAGAAGAACAAGAGAGATTAAAAAAGGAGAAGGAAGCATAAGCAGCCATACCCAAAATGCCTGGAGTTTTAAGAGTTTTTGCTCCATATGCTAAGTAATTATTAAAGGTGGACATAATGGGAAATAGTGATCCATATGTTGAATTCAAAATTTCTAAAGGAAGTAAACAAATTATTAAAAGTAAAACTATTGATGATGATCCTAATCCTGCTTGGAACTTTAGTGGAGAGTTTAATTTAGATATGTAATCACAAGAATACAATGATATTGCTATTATGTGTACTGTCTATGATTATGATACTATTGTTTCAAGTGACTTTCTTGGTTTCATAGAACTATAATTAAATGATATTTTTGCAAAACCAGGAACTTGGATTAATGGTTTATTCCAACTAAAAGATGAACATGGAAACACTGGTAAGAATGGATTAATTTACTTATAACTTTAATGGGTACCAAATTCCATTAAAAACAATGTCTCTTTAGCCTAACCAAATTAAATTTAATAATAAGTTGCTCAGCCTTAACCAGAAACATAAATTTAAAAATCTTAATAAGGAATTCTACATGTCAATATTATTAAAATAGTAGGTTATGATAAAAAATCATAAATTAAAGTTTCTTAAGGTCAAAAATCATTCAATAGTAATCTAGTATAGGCAGATGTTAATTATAATTTAAAATGTTAATTTGAGAATCCAGAACCTTAAATCACAGTCAATTTGATAGATGAAAAATAACAATAAATAGCTGATACTGTTATTGATCTATAGAGTATTTTATAATAACCTGGAACTTGGATTAATTCTTTTTATGGATTCCAACATAGTAATCTTCAACCAAACTTATAATAATTCTATCTTCAAACTCAATTTAGATTGAATGATTAAAATGTTTAAGATCCTCCCCTTCTTCCAGATCCAGAAATCAAAATTCCTATTAGTTAATCTTAAATAATTCAATCCTTAAAAGGCAAATTAAAAGTAGCTGTTATTAAGGCAGAAAAAATTAAGTTGATGGATAGTAATAAGACCTCAAATGTAAAAGTTACTGTGATATTTAATGGAGAAGAAAAATCAACTACTGCTGTGAAAGGGGCTGCTCCTGAATGGAAAAAGATATTAGATCCATTTAAACTTGATACTCTGAAACCTTTATAAATCAATTTATTCCATGATCCAGGTGTTTTTAGTCGTTGTGTACCAATAGGAGAAGTGACTATATAAGACATATCTGCAATTTTCACAGCTCCAAATACATGGGCAATAAAAAATGATTTTGTTTTAGGAGGAAATGGAAATGGAATAATAACTCTTTATATTGGATTCATAGGTGAGAAAGATAAGGATGCTTTAACAAAGATATGATGAATCACTAAATACCATATATGTGTTCTATTATGGAATTTATAACAATTTTTTTTCTATTAAAAAATTATAGATTTATCTTCACTTTTTATCATAGTCTTATATATTTATATTCTTTTTCCAATATTCCATTTATAATGTATATCATTTAATAAAATATTTAAGAATTAAAAGAATTTGAAAAAATACATCATAAAAAAAAATCAAACCTAACTAAATGCCAAAATCACTTGAATTTACAATATTAGCAACTCACAATTTTGCAAGGTACCTACTAAATTCAACACCTCAAGGGCTTCAATAATGAGACTTCCACATGGATAAGTAAATACTCCAGTTTATATGCCAGTAGGAACAAAAGGAGCTATGAAAGGAGTGACTTATTAAGAAATGGATGATTTGGGATGTAGATTATTATTAGCAAATACTTATCATTTGGCTTATAAACCTGGGGGTGATTTATTAGAAAAAGTAGGAGGATTACATAATTTTGTTAATTGGAAACATAATATATTAACAGATAGTGGTGGATTTTAAATGGTTTCAATGTCTAAACTTAGTGAAGTTACTGAAGAAGGAGTCAAATTTGAATCACCTTATGATAAAACAATAATGTATTTAAGACCAGAGGATTCAATCCATACATAAAATTAAATTGGAGCTGATATAATTATGGCTTTGGATGATGTTGTTAGGACTACAACTGATGGTCCTCGTATGCAAGAAGCAAATGAAAGAACAACAAGATGGTTAGATAGAGATATTGCAGCTCATAAAAGAAAACATGATTAAAATTTATTTCCTATTATATAAGGAGGAGTTGATCCAAAATTAAGAGAACAATCTTTGAATGATTTAATTAAGAGAGAAGCAAATGGATATGCAATTGGAGGATTGGCTGGAGGAGAAGATAAAGTATATAAATAGTTTTAATTTTTCAAGGTTAGCTTTTGGAAAACTGTTGCATAATGTACAACTAAATTACCTATAAATAAACCTCGTTATTTAATGGGTGTTGGATATCCTGTTGATGTTGTTGTATGTTCTTGTTTAGGTGTTGATATGTTTGATTGTGTTTTTTCTACAAGAACAGCTAGATTTGGTACTGCATTTACAGATTATGGATTTCTTAAACTTAAAAATAATTAAGCAGCTAATGTATTTGAACCAATTTAGAAAGGATGTTAATGTTAGGCTTGCAAATCTTACACATAATCATATCTACATTATTTAATTGCAAAAGAAGAAGTTGCTTGTCATCTTATTTCTATTCATAATCTGAATTATTTAATATAATTGATGCTCAATTTACGTTAATCCATTATTGATGGTAATTTAATTGAATTTGTAAATGGGTTTCTTAAAAAATGGTATTAAAAAGAAGGAAAAATACCTTAATGGATTATTGAAGCTTTAGACTATTCAAAATTACCAGTTTAATAATTATGAGTTATTATTATTGTTCAATGAATTTCTTAAAATTAATACTTCCATTTAGATTCTCTAATATATTTTATATTCTTAAATAAATAAAAATTAATTATCAATTTTAAATTCATATGATATTAAAATGATTTGTTTTTTTAATTATAAATAAATGCTAGATTATGGACAATTTATCTTTAATAAGATTAGTTAAAATTAATTATAATATAATAAATTAGAAATTTAAATTTATATACTTTTGTATTGTAGTAGAATATTAATTATACTTTTACTTTTACATTTAAATTGAATACTATAAAAATAAAGAATAACATAATTGAATATATATAATGAAATAATTTCAAAATTAGATAGTTCAATATTAAAAGTTCAAATTATATGAGATATTTCTCAATTATTTAAATTAGAATTAAGATTAGATGAGATGATAAAAGATATTATAAATCAGACTCAAAATATAACTAATTGAACTTTTGTAGATGATTTAATTGTGACTATATTACAAGTTAATTAAAATTGATTTATATTTTATTATTCTTTTATAGAATACAGAAGGTTGTATATGTCATCAATCAAACTCTACACTGCATAAAGGATTGATTTCATGAGCTGTGATTGATTTCTTTCCATATAATTGCTCATCAAACTAGAGTAATTATCTAATAAATCCAATATTAGGATTGACAATATAACGTTTTTCTTTAGTAAATTTAAATGCTTCTCTTAAGTTCATACCAAGATGTTTCATCAAATACATAATCACAATAGTAGCACTTCTAGATTTACCCAATTAACAATGCACTAAGGCACATTTACCTTCCTTTCTGCATTTTTCTTTTTATTACTTTTAAATTATTACCTAAAAACTCATAAGCTTCATTAAAATGAACTAAAATATTTTCACCAATAGTGTCCATTAAATGTAATTTTAGATATTAATATTTTTAAGGATAAAAATTTTAGCATTCTGCAGCAGCATTCAATATATATGTAACATTCGTCCTTAGATCAAGTTCAATTTCATTCTCTGAATTAATTGCCGCTCCCAAATACAACCAATCTAAAATCTTAGTAGTAATAATATTATAGTATTACCCTTGAAGAATGGCAGATTAAATGATGTTAATATGATTCATTTTTTATCCATTTTTAACATCTTTCACATTGTGTACAATTTGAAGTATCTAGAGGTTAGTTTTCTAAAACTCCAGTTCCATCAGCTTCACTAAAACAAGTTTCATCAATGTCTTCTGATTTTTTTAATTTTTTTTCAATTTCATCAGTTGTTGACCCTTCGAAATTACCAAATTTTTCTAAGAGTTTCTTTCTAAAAGCATCTTCTTTTTCAATTTATTTTGGTGGTGGTGGTGGTGGAGGAGGAGGAATCATCAAATAATAATAAATGGAAATATATATAATTAGAATGCTAATTAATTATGTATTAATATAAGATGATATACAAATATAAATATATATATATATATATATATATAAATGAAAATTTATTATAATAAATAAATAATATTAATTTATATTGATCTTCCTCTATTTTTACTCTCTATATGAATATTTAAAAATAAATAAATATTTTTACTTTAGATAATGAATTTAAGTTGATTATATTATTTCTTAATAATATTTGTCTTTTTTTTGTTTAAATGTATAAATTTAAAAAATGTCATATTTTCAACTGAAGAGGTTAAATCTAGAAGTATGAATGATGTTGTTTGTAAGTACAATATATTGATTCTAATATTAATAGTTTTAATTCATAATATTTTTATTAATTCATGTGAAATTTTGATTATACGTCATTTAAGCTTTGTATACTATGCTCACATTACACTATATTGGATTACAAATCTAAGAATCAATAAATCATTTTTAATCATTATATAAAATCTTTTTCTAAATATAACATCGTTTTTAAATCACCTACTATGATTAACTAAAACACAGGTACATGTAAATTTAAATCGTTCTAGAATCGTCAAAATGGGATTGGGTACCTGCTACTCAAACACTAGAGATTACAATCAATTCGAATAAAGTATAAATAGAAACAACTCCTTCAATTGTTTTGACTCATCCAGAAGGAGATGTAAATATATATCAATAAAACATTCTTAGGCCTATCCTGAACCATATGTTACTTTGGTTATTGACACAGAGAAACAACTAAAATATTCTGAAGAATTAGGATGGAATTGGCATAAGAGCTGGAATTTACCAAATATTGTGGTTAGATTAGAAGTAAAGACTTTTACATATTAATAGATCAAAGATTCATAAACATAGGAACTTTTACTTTCTCCTAAAAATTTGTATGCTTAATTATATGCTGTTAAAAAAGTATAAGAAGGTAGTCGTGTGATTCTTTAAGATGTTGGATTAAGAGGAACAAGTAAATTAGAACTGATTGATGGTCAAGCATATTTTTCAGTAAATTAATTTGCAAATTTTATTATAGGCATTGAGATTTGCATCAACCTCATATAATAATGAAGGTGTGAAATTTCATTTATTAATGAGTGTCTACATTCAAAATTCTGATACTGAAAAACCTCAAATATTGAATTCCACAATTTCTCCTCCTATCTTTGTAGACAGTCGAAAGAGTGCTGGAAATTCTGAATAAAAAAAATTATATTTACATGCAGAACCATTTACTTTTGACTTGTTAGATAAAAAGTATTTCAAAAGAGAAAACAAAAGGAAGACTGAACAAGATGTAGAAATAGAAAATGACTTCGAGAGTCTTTTTAATTATTTAACTGCTCCCAATATTCGTCATAAGGTTAAACATCCTTTATTTTTAATCATCAAATTTTCTACTTGTGTTTCTCTCTACTATAATCCTATGAGTGTAGAAGGAAATATTAAAATAATAATGGAGAAACTCTAAAGTCAATTAACTAAAGATATTATTACTAAATAATTGAGTACAGCTGGTGAGAAATAATTTTATTTGTTGATAGAAGAAAATAATGATTAAAATAAAAATAAAAAAGTAACTGAAGCTATTGATTTTCTTAATACTGGATGTTTGGAAATTGTTAGAAAAGAAGATTAAATTCCTTCTAAATTTATTAAATTAGGAGATTCTGCAGAAATATTAGAGAATTATAAATAATGCTTTGATCAATTATTAAAGATTTTTAAATAATTAACCTAGAAATTTTGTGAGAGTGATTCAAATGAATCAGATGATAATTATTCTGATTCAGAACCTTAATCCCCATAAAAGAAAGTCAAATTAAATGAATATTAGAACTAACCATCTGCATCTAAAATGGAAAAATTAGAATAAGAAATTAAGAAACCAATTATTCCTCCTGAATAAAATCCTATATAATTGCAATAATAATAACTGACTGACATTGTAATCTAATAAGCACTTAATTAATAATAATAGAAACCTATTTAATAATAGTAATAATAGTAATAATAATAATAGTCGTAATAATAATAATAATAATAATAATAATAGTAATTATAATAATAATTATTATTATAATAATAATTATAGTAATAATAATAATAATAATAATAACCAACTAAAAACAAACCAAATGATATTATAAATAAACCTATTACTACTTAAGCACCTAACTTAACTTAATAGAATCCATAATTATAAAATAAAAAATAAGTAGGGTAACCATCTTCTTCATTCACTGCTCCTTAACCAACTCAATAACAACTATAACCACCTTCTATTTAACATCAATAACCCTATCAAAAATCAAGTCATATCCCAGGTATCCAACCTATTAATATTCCTGCCCAAGGTTTATAAGGAGCACCTTAACATATGAATCCTGCATTCCCTTATTAATTCTCATAACCTCTTGATTCTAATGCCTTGTAATAAGTCATGTAATATAATCAACTTCAATAATTACTACTTTTATAGTAGTAATAATAACTAAATTAATAATCTTTCCCTCCTTAAACAGGAATGATGGGTAATCCAATGCAATCTTAATTATTGAATTACATGTCAAGCTTAGGTGGATTAGGAATGAATTAAGGTTAAATGAATCCTCAATCTTTGATGGGATAAAACTAAAACTTTTAATAATTATAACAATAATTATTAGCTTAACAATTAAGTTCTTAATTGGGACTTTAAGCTGGATTACCTTAATAGTTAGGAGCTGGAATGGGTATGAATCCATTATAACAGTAATAATACTTATAGTAACAATTGTAATAACAAATGGGTTTAGGCAGTTTTCCAAATTTTAATCCATTGATGGGACTTTACTAAGGATAGTAACACAATATAAAGAAACCTGGAGAAGGATCAGGAATAATAAAATAAGAGCCATAATGATATAAATATATATATATCTGATAATAATAAGTATCATTGTTTTGAAGCTATAACTTATTCTCTTAACTCATCTATTTCTTACTGAATTTAATTTCTAACTTGATTCAAAGATGTTGTCACCATTTATTCAACAGCTTATAGTACATTATATTAATATTATTATTATGATTCTTATGGTTGTTAAACCTATGATACTTATTTACTATGAGTTTTGGATTATTCAGTATTAACTCTCTTTTCTGATCCAACAGATTTCTAAATATCAGTTTTAGATTTTTCAATTTTATGTTCAAGATTTCTTTATAATGCTTGATTTTCTTCTTTTAATTTGGCTTCATACCATCTAATAATATTAAATATCATTATAATACCTCTATAAATTACTCATTTGTTATTCCATATCTTTGACTTTGCCTTAAAGTTCTTAAAGTTACTTTTATTATTTTTTGGTATCCTTATCTTGATTTCCATCTGGATTTTTAATTTTAGATTCAAGTAGTTTTTCTGATTTCAAAATCTTTGATTCATTTTCTTCAATCTTTCTCATTAACCCTTTAACTACACTATCAGTTCTTTAGATGGCTGGAATGTATTCAATCATTTATAACAATGGCATCAAAGCGTCTTATTATAAACATACTCTATTTAAGTTAACTACTAATATTCTGTGTATTTACTTTCAAGATGAGCTAACTTAGAGGTTTCCTTATCTTTTTCGGTTGAAGGTGCAAAAGGAGGTAAGTTTTCAGCAGACTTCCTGAGTACATTAGTTTTGTTTGCTTATTTACTAGCGGATGTATTTTTCATAAATGTCTGTTAAATATTAATTTTATTATTTATTGAATAACTCATTTTTTATATTGATATTTAACAGGGGCAATATCAGCATTAATTTCAGCCCCATCTCCTATTAATTCTCCACCAACTGTTAAATCTAGGTAAATTCTATGAGCAGGAAGTGGTTAGTTTGTCTTTTCTGCATACAAATGGCCTAAATCTTTATTCAAACTAAAATTATTAAATTAATAAATTTACGTTTCTTATGATGGAACTGGATAATTGGTATAAATCATATATTATTCTACAGTGATGGAAGAAACATTCACATTATATTTTTCTCTGAAATACTAAATGAATTATCCAAGAGTCATTTATTAAGTAATTGTAATTCTTTCCCAAGCTGTCCATTCTAAAAATTATTATATTTAAATAATTACTTGGTGGTACTGCTTTTGTTGGTCCCAATAATAAAACATTATATTCTTAGTCTGAATGTTCTCCAGGTGGTAATGGTTCTGAAAATAGAAAGAGTGGTAAAGCTAAATTTATGAAGGCATTTCTCATTTTTCCAACATTCTTTTTAAGAATGTATTTAAAGATTTCTAATCCAACTGCTCCTACAATCATTGCTGTTGTTGTAGCCAATGCAGGAATGATTTTACCTGCAATTAACTTAACTTAGAATGGTGCAACTTCTGGGATCTTATAATTTCTTGCTCTTAGATTAGAGACTGCAGATAAGAAATCAATATGCCAATTAGTTGGATCATCTTTTTCAAATGCACATTCTTGTAATTATTTAGTTACTTCTTTATTTTCTAGAGTTAACTTTTCTAATTCTTGAGCTAAAGCTTAAATTTATGTTTCATCATCTTCAGATTTCTCTTCTTTTTAATCTTTCTCATTTTCTTTTATTTACATTTATTTTGGAACATATTATTAGACTTAGATAGTTGGTAATAGTTTTGCAATTTCATCAAATTTATCTTATTTTGGTAAACCAAAGATTTATGAGAAAATATTAACAGCACTATGAATAAAAAGTTGATGAAGAGGATCATTTTGATCAAATTCAATTGGAGTTGGTGGTCTTTTAGGATTAGTCCAAAATAATTATCCTTCTGAAGTTCTGTGATCAGGTGGGAAACAGTAAAGTAATTATTTAATTTAATTACAAAAAATGTCTTAGAACATATTTTTAGCTAAAACAACAATAGCATGTAAAGTAGGTTTTTAAGCAACTTCAGCAAATTTCTTAACTGATTCTAATTTTGGTCTTAATACACCTGGTTGAGATTTAAGTTCATTCAAAATTCTTTTAATGTAATTTACTGGATTCTCTAGATATTTGATACAATCTTGAGATCCATCTTCAAAAAATCCTGCAAAGTAATCTCTAGCCCATTAAATTGTATGTTCAATTTAATAAGGGAAGTTTTTCAATGTACATAAAGGAATAGTATCTTCAGGTGGATCCTATGATTCACTATAAGATTATGTTTGATTTGGAAGAATTAATTAGGAATTACATTTAGTTCCAAGGGTTCCACTTTCAAATAATGGTTTACCATAATAGCAACATTATGAATCAATATATTTTCTTGCATGAACATTATCAACAGCATTAACAGCTATATCTAATCCATCCCAAAATTGATCATTAAAGATTGGTTCATTTTATTTGCCTACTCTAAGGGCATAAGATTTAAATTTGGAAGTCTTATTCATTAATTCACCAACTCTGCATGCTGTAGCTGCTTTATTAGAACCAACATTATTTTTTCTAAATAAGAATTATCTATTTAAGTTAGAAATCTCAATATTATCATCATCAGTAACAGTAACTAAACCTTAGGTTCCATTTCCACATCCCATAAGTGCAAACATTTTGATATATTCACAACCTAAAGCACCTGCACCTACCATAAATATCTTTGAATTTTATAATTATTATAATGCTTCTCTTCCAAAGATTGCAATATAATCATCATATTAACTATTTAATAATGTTCTATTAACTTCTGTTTCAGGTAAGGCTTCAAAGAATTCACTATGTAACCATTATCTAATTGGTGTGAATTTACCTGTATATTTGACTACTTCTTATGCTATAATACCACCCCAGAATGATGTTAATGGGGTTATTTATGCTGAGAAATACAATGAAGTATTTTTTACAAATTGTTCATCTAATTCTGCTTTTAATGCTCCCTCTCCTCTATCTGAATTATTAATTTATTATGCTAATTCCCATACTTTTTGTGCATCATCTTAATTCAATAATCCTGGTTATCTACCATTTTATTATGTGAATTATAATAATGCATTATATACAATATGTAATTATTCTGGTCTTCCAATCTTTTCCCAATCCATTAAATCTAATTCATTCTTGCCTGGTGCAAAAGGATGACTCAATGATGCATTAAATGATTTGAATTCAATATCTTCAGGAACCTTCACTTATACTGCAATTCCTTCTCTCATATATTATGAAAACTTTGTTGTATCTCCAATACTGAACATATATGGTGATTTTACCTTTGATATTTATAAATATATATATACCTTTATTTTAAATACTTTCTCATTTACTTCTGTCATTCCAACTACCTCTTTAAATGTTACACTGTCTCCATCTTAAAATCCATGTCTCTTATCTTCAATTGTACTTACTATTCCTTCTAATTCATTTGTTATTCCAGCTACAATTGCCTATCTAGGTTCTTCACCATTAGGATCAAATATTTAAAATTTCTATTAAAGAATATAAATAAATGTTTTACATCTGAAAAATCAACGAATGTAGATCCAAATAATCCTGAAGAATGAGCCAATATAAATCCATGTCCTTTTTATCTGACTGCCTCATTTACTTCTGTAATAAATTTCTAATCCCAAACATCAGTAAGAACCACAACTGAAAATTCACTCAAACTTGCTCCATTCACTTATCCATTGTATATTTCTACACTCACATATGGATTTAATTCTTTTAATGATTTAATTGCTGCATCTTATCTTGTGACTTTTCCAACTTATTCAAGTGTAGCATAAAAATTTGAACCCAAATCTGAAATAGATAATACTGTTGGATCGTATACAATTACAGATTTTGGTCCAGCCAATATCAAATTCTTTGCAATCTCCAATCCCAACTTGCCATAAGAAAACTATATACCCCTCTCAAACCATGAATGAAACATTTCATTTAGATCAATTTCGATTAAGTTTCAGCTCCCAATACAGCCACTTGTCTTGAGTATAAATTTTCGTCAAAGTTTGTATCCTATTATTACATTTTAAATAAAAGTTAAAGATATTTATTTCTATAAATCCCTTAAATGAATATTAATCAATTCTTTCTATATTACCGATAAATTCTTATTCGAATAAAAATTCATGTTATTCTCATTAATTCTAATTCATTCATAATTAATTAATTGAAATCAATCATTTTAATACATTTAAAAAAAACCTAAACCTATTGTCTCAAATTAAGATCAATTAAAAATAGTGATCTATTTTTTAAAACTTTTTCATGAAATTTATTTTTTCTTATTTTTCATAAATTATTAATTTCATATTTAATACAAAATAGTTTTATTTTTTGAGAATAATTTTAATAACTCATGCTATTCTAAAATTTCTCCACTTAAATTTATATAATAAATCTTCTGAATCAATTTTTATATCCTCAGAGAAATGAACCCTTTTATTTGAATTAACAGATTTTACATCAACAGAATTACTTTATTTTTTAAGTGAATCACTTTTTAATATTCCTCTTATCTCCTTATTCGGTGCACTAATACATTCTAATTATGTGCTTTATAATTTTTCAATCACTAAACTTGAACTCTAAAGATAATTCAAATTACTTTTAGATTCATTTTATGCATGATTTTCTATTTTATATTCATTTTTTAATGAATCCTAACATTATTATTAATAAAAATACATGTTATTTATTACTATAATTTAGAACATTGGAGGAACACTTATCAAATTTTTATGGTTATTATTAATCATTTATTTTGGAATACTTTAATTATAAAGCTTAACATTTTTCCTTATTTTATCTACACTTTTTAAGGAATAAGTACATTTCTTTAATTTTTTATTTGACTTCATATTCAATATCTTAAATAAATCGGTTTTCTCTTTTTGGAACTATAAATTAATGCAATTATTTATTTAAAACAAATGCTGGTACTGGATTTATTTTAAAATTACTAGATTAATCCTCTTCCTTTATTTCCATAAATTTTTCTGAATCACTTAACTAACTTGTTCCTTTTAATGTTGTCTTTGATGTCTCATATTCATTTAACAAATGATGTTATATTTTTTAAATCTATTAATTCTAAATCACCTGCAATTCTTAATTAGAATTTTAATCTCTATTCGTACACTCTCTTACACAACTAGTATGCAAAATTCCCATTAATTATATAATTTTTGTTAATTTATCTAATAAATCTAATCCTTTGTTCTATTGCCATTACCCTAAATTTAAATTCCCTATCAATATATACATTTTGGAGTACTTTAATACCAGAAAAAAGGATAGCTGTTAAAATTAATAAAAAATTAAAATACTGGTCCATTTTAAAGACAAAGTTGTATGTGTTCAAACTAAATTAGTATTTGAAAAGATTTAACGATAATTCCCTAAAATTTTATCAACTCTTAGGTTATTCATTCTATTAAAACTTTTTTATTGAACAGAAGCTATAAATTTTTATTGAAATATTTTAAATATGAACTTATCAACTTAATCTTATTTATATTATATGTAAATGATAATTATATAATTAATAGAAAGCATGTTATTTAACTAAAAAATAGATCATATTATTGTAATTTCATCAATTTATTATAATCTGTTATTTATGGGATATGTATAAAAATATAAAATATTACAAATGAATTATAATTTTATTTGTATGATAAATTGAGAAATCATAAGTAATAAAGTGATAGAAGGAATTTAGGACAATTTTGAAATGGTTAATAATTTTATTAATTGATTATTTTTAAGAAAATAAAAAAATTAGAGTTTATTAAGTTTTTATGGGATTTAAAATAAATTTTTAAATAAAATTCAATGTAATACGTTGCTGCATATGCTTTATTGACTTTAGGTGGAAAAGCAAATCCTAGTATGATAATTAGTTAAACTCTTAGGTGAGGCTGATGTAAAGGGATTATTGGCTGAAGTTGGTGTTACAGGATCAGATGCAGAAATCAAGTCATTAGTGGAAGCTTTGAAAGGAAAGTCATTATAAGAAGTTATAACAGAAGGATTGAAGAAAGTAGGTACACTTTCTTTGGGAGGAGGATGTAAGAAGAAGAAATATTAATTATTTTAGCATCCCAAGCATCAGCTCCAGTTGCTGCATAAGCATAAGCAGTTAAAAAGGTTGAAGAGAAGCCAGTTGAAAAGGCTCCAGAACCAGAAGAAGATGTTGATATGGGTGGCTTATTTGATTGATGAAAGAAATGTACATTATATATTATACATTAAATTGTGTTAATTTTTTAATTATTTGCTTTATTGATTAATCAGCATCTTTTTAAATTATGAATTAAGTTTATAGTTAAATTAGAAATAGAAATAGAGAAGACTATTATGATTGAATATAAAATATTAATTTTATTAGATATTAGATTAATTATAATAAAATGATTTACATAAGAATGATTTTGAAGGATATATATATATAAATAAAGATAATAAATATGATTTTGATTTGATTTGATTTTGAGATCATAATAATATAATTTCATGATTGTCCTTTTAAAATTGAAGCTATTGATTTGAATTTGAAACTTCTAACTGCTAAATAGCTTGCATAAATTGAAATAAAGATTCCTCCTAGAAAAGTGGTTAAAAAAGTTAAAGTAGGAAATGCAAATTTGAATTTAAACTCTGAAAATGCAACTATTTAAAGTGTAAATGTAGTTGCTATTACTAATCCAATAATAGTTCCTATTAATCCAGATGATATAATCAGAGTTATTGATTCATAAACAAAAACTTTTGAGATTTAATTCTATAAATACTTTATAAAATATTACCTCATTTAATCCAACTGCTCTTAGAATTCCAATCTCCCATGAAGTATTTCTAACATTTCCAATAAAGGACACTAATAATAAAAAGAATGAAAGTATAAGAGCTATGGCTGCTACAACTATGTTAAACAATTCTAGATATTTAAAGAAATCTTTTGAAGTCTCTGTCATAGTAATGGAATCAAATAAATAGATTTAATCATTAGTAAAATAATTTCTTAATCTATTACTAAAATCTATTCGTTCTTCTTTTGTTGTGACTCTTTTAAATTTAATTAATAGACTATCTTTTGGTAGCCCATAAGTAAGATTTTTGGGCAATTTTTAAAAATATTAATGAGCCCTTTAATTGTTAAATTTATTTTCTTCTATTCTACTATTAAGTATTTCATTAATTAACATTTAAGCATCCTTCATAGTAATTAATCCTTCTCCAAATAATGCAACTGTTCTGTAACCACTAAAAGCATTATTAGGTATTTTAATAGCCATATGTTTAATTTTTAATCTTCTTTCTATAGCTCTACCTCTATCTCTAAAATATATTCTTAATAAAGCAGGTGTATCAACATCTACACCATCCTCATATCTATATCCTTCAGGTATTATTACATTAATTTCTTTATCAACTTCTTCAGTTTAATTTGTAATATTATTAATCATATTTAACATTGCCTTATAATTATTTTATGCATGATTATTGGTTGCAATTCCATAAACATCAGAAGTTTTTGCAATATCTAATTTACCTTCATTATTATATATGTCTTTAACACCATCTCTTACACCATTAGGTAAATATTCAATAGATGTTTATTTAGTATCATATTCTGTTGGATAATAATATTGATAATTGATAACCTACAAGTAATTTTCTTCGACAGCTTATAAACGTATTCTTCTTCTTGGAAAATGAGCTAAAGGAGAAATTTAAAAAAATCTAGGTATACCAGGAATCTCATTTAAATTTACTGCACTAAATGTATAATCTTATATAAAAGTTGGATCATTAACTTTCTCCCATTCTAAATGTTGTCTAAATTTATATTCATCTAATCCTAATCTCTAAATAGAAGCATCAAAAACTATTATATCTGAAGTTAGACTTGTTTTAATGAAATCATTCATAAATTCTGCTTATAAAGTGAATTAAGCTCCTGTAAATATAATAAATGCCAATCCTAATGAATACATTAATGTAGTCTTAAAATTTCTATTTCCATGTCCATTAAGATTATTTAAAATTATCATCTATAAATTCTTATCTGACTATTTAATAAATAATATAATCTTCAATATTTATCTTTCCAACCATTGTTCACTCAAATTCATTAATACAGTCACTCCTACAACCATTGTTATAAATATCAAATTGATTACTATAATAGCACCTCTTATATTTTAAAATATTATATTCATGGGGATTACATAATAACTAATAAAACCCATACTTATCAATATTATTGAACATACTGTTTAATTAGTAGATATCCCCATCATCTCAAGTTTTACTACAGTAACTAAAATATCATTCACCACTCTGTGAAATAGATCTAAACTATCTCTAAGAGCTTTTGATAATGCCTTCTTAATTGGCAAAATGTTACTAATTATTGGCATAGTTATTCCTAAACTTATTTAAAATGCCAAAGCTGAAGATGGAATGGAATATGTTGTAAGTAAAAGTGACATATCAAAAATATACATACTTATTAAGGAATTAATTAAATAACAAGTTACCAAACCCAAAAACAATCCAGGAACTATAATAAAATATTATAATAATTATACTAACTTGCAAATGTTAATGCCTATAACATCAACAATACGATTAACCATGATTTCTTAAATCCTAATGCTCTAAGCATACCAAACTCATAAGTTTTCTCTTCTATATCTCCTATCATTAAAGAATAAATTAATAATATTGACAACATTAATAGAATCATAGTTGCAACTCCCAATAAATTTTCTATAAAATTCTTCATTAAATGATATAATCCAATTGTAAATCCTAAAGGTGCTGTAATTTAAACTGGATAATTATATCCTGCTCCAGTAAAAAATTCATTTGTTGTTTTAATAATGGCATCTTTAGCTATTCTTGGAGTTTCATATTTTTCTCCTCTATTCTTAAATAATAGATTAGCCATTAATGAATATTCCTACAATTTAAAATTTATTGTTGCATTTTTGGCCCAACTTTAAGTGTCATTAACAGGAATTAATTCAGATATAGCTCCAGGCATTCCTTCATTATTCTATTTATTATCTGTTATCACTTGATCAAATTTATTAAAAAAAGATTCTAAAAATATTTCTGTTGCATTTTTATAATCCATGAAAACCATCATACCTAATGCATCTGTCCATTTTCCCTTAGGAGATTCAACACCTCCATGAACTTTAGCATTAATATTGAATTCATTAATTTGTATAAGCAAATCAAATAATCCATCTTCAAATTATGATATTGTAATAAAAGATGAAAACTTAGAAACTCTAATTAAAAATTTATTAATTGCATAAGCATCTCTTGTCATATTTCTTTGAAACATTATGTCAATTACTTAATATGCAAATTCCTTTTATTCCTCTGTATAATTATCTAACTAACGAACATTCTATTTAAAATACTCTTAAGCTATAGTTTTAGTTAAACTTGTTGATTCAATTCTTTTTACATAATTCAAATAAGATTAAGAGTATATTGCAAGTTCTGTTATATTATATTCCTTATCCTGAAAATTATCTTCCTTAAAATATGTTACTAATTATTAATTTATGGCATTTTTAAAAGGTTGTCTTAATTATTGAGTAAATTCATTGCTTTCACTTTCAATCCCAAAATTTTTTAGTAATTATAAGATATTAATATTCAAGTAAATCTAATCACCCTTACTTGCATTTAATCCTCTTAAACCTGTTTCAGATACATAAACTTAATTGTTATTTATTATGTCAATATCTAATCGCCTTCCTATTCCAATACTTTATTCAAGTTAGGAATCGAGAATCAAAAAATATGCTCTAAATTTTTATTCAACTCCTACTTTTCCTAAATTACACATAAACATCCATCTTGGAGATATATCTAGAAATTCTGAGACTTAAGTTGTGTGCTAAAATAGTAAAAATTGATACTTAATGTAGATCTGTCATATTAATTAATCTGTAGTTGCTAGTGTTTTCAGCAGCCATAGGTAAGTATAAAAGATCTGTATCGCCAGTAGTTGACTCATTTAATTAAAGAAAAATGAGTGGACTCAATTAAACTACACATTAAAGCAGCCCCAAGAAGGTGATGACTATATATGTTGTAAATAATCCTATTTTGAAAGACCTAGGTCTTTTGGCTATATCTGCAAAAATATAATTGATAATAAGTCCAAGTGACATATTTGACTAAGTTTACTCTTAAAAATATTGCTAAGACAGAGTATCATCTATTTAATTATGAAATTATGCCATTAGATAATATTAATTAATAGTAATTATAAAAATATAATTTTATCATAAGTATATTCATAAAATAATAACAGTTTTAATCAGGAGAATTATTCTTATGTCTTTTTCAATTTAATCTTCTTTTAATACTATTCCATCATTTGAATGATTACTTAAATTGGAAATCATAACTATATATTTTACAAGAATTAATTAGGAACTTTATATTTGAAGATTTCTAAATATTAATTTAATAATGGTAGATTAATAGGTTTAATATATAATCATACAATTATGTATTTATTTGAATGCTGCAATTATCATTATGGCCAAAATTATATTTCTCAGATTTTACAAGAAAATTCAATAATTAATAATATTTAATATATCCAATTATACACTTATCATTTCTTTTATTCTTTAGCATTCTTTCTTTTTTCTTTTACTCCTACGAATTTTGCATTATACCATTCTTATCTTATTCTACGATATACATTTTTAGCTCTAAGCTCTTTAGAAATTACTGTTGCCTTCTCTCTTCTGGGAGTTCTTTAAAAGGTGATAACCTTAAGATTATCAACATAATATATACTTCAGGATTAGTATTCTAAGTAACAGGTTAAGCAACAACATCATTTCCTGAATCTTTAACAACACCATTCTTTGGTTTGCCTGCTACTCTTGGGAAGAGTACTAATTTAGATAAGTATGCTTTAATTCTTTTAACATTAACTGCCAATTCCTCTTAGCTATTGTTTCTACGTCTATGATCAACAGAAATTCCAACTGTTCTAGCAAATTAAGCATTGAGTCCAGCCTCTTTAAGCTCAATTAATGAGAATCCTCTTCCTAACTTTTATACTCCATTATATTTGATTGTTTGTCCTCTTACTACTGGTCTAAGTAATTCAATAGGTCTTGGTGAAGCCCCTAAAATAGATATATCTAAAGAATTACTTAATGCATTTGCTTATCTTCTTTATTATCTTCTTCTTTTTGCAGCTGGTTAATTGTAATAAGTCTTCACGAATCGTGTCCAATGTTTACGTAAATGGGCATTAGGAAGTTGTTAATTGTGTTTCATTCAGAATTTATATTTAAATAAAAATATAGATTTTTAAACTCACATTAAAATTCTAAAAATTTAATAATCTCAAGAAGTTTGTAAATAATTCATTATATTAATCATAGAATTCGAATATTGTTAATTCAAAAAAATCATTAAATTAACAAGTGTTCTTATTTTCACTTGTTTATGAATAAACTATATTAATTATATATATAAATATTTTATCAATTAAAATTACTTATTCCAGTATCTTTACTCATCAATTTAGAAATATTCTCTTATTTTTTTAATTAAATATATAAGTTGATAAACCATTATTATTATTATTATTAATTTATATGAAAAATAATACTCTCAATCCTGATATATGTAATGCTCAAGTTATTTAGAATAGAAGAGAAATTAGAAACTGAAAATTAGGCACATTCTGTTAGATCTCTTTTAAAAAGTTTTGATTAAGATTAAGAAATCATTCTAAGAGATATTTAGGAAAATAGATAATCAAAACAAATTGATCACAAAAGTATAATGAGTCTCCTTTTAGACTCTAAAAACAAGTAAGTTTTAATAAAATCATATTACTTAGATCAAACTAAACTTGTAATATGGGACCTAAAATAAGAGCTATAAGTTTTCAAAGTAATAAACCTATGATGAATCTCAAAGAGGAAAGTCCAATCTTTATTGATAGTCATATTGATCATCCTGGATTTAGTAATAAAATTTGGAGAACAAAAGCTTTAGAGATTCTAATGATAACATTGAGATTCATAAGTTTTATTACTAAATCAAACTTTGCTACTAGTTTTAAATTAATCAATAAAAATGTTTTTGATATAATAGGTGATGTTTCATCTGATTTTTCTTATTACTTGTTAAAAAATTTCTTTAAATATGAAGTAAAAATGATGAATAATACTAATTATAGAAACCAACAGGATTTTAAAAAGTAAAGCACTTTTTAAATTAAATCATATTAGTTCCAATACGTAAAACAAAGCTGCTTAAGATTTATTGTGGAAATTAGAGATTAATAATGAGACCTGAATCTTTGGCTTCAATTTGGTGGAACATATATATTCTCACTATTTTGAATATTAATGTACTTTATGTATCCATAAAAATTGCATTTAAATTTGATGAATAATCAAATGATGCATTTTATTAAGCAAGATAAATTATGTTTGATGTTTTGCCATCATATTCATTTATGCTTGAAATTCTATTAAAATTCAATACTTGTTATTATTATAAGGGAGCAGTAATTGAAAATCGATATTAAATTGCTAAAAATTACTTAAGATCATGTAATATAATAAATTTATTAGAATAGCATTCTTCTTTGATATATTTGTAGTAATCCCATACTTTATAAGTTTAAGATTTGATTTGGAATATCTGGATTTGGTAATTATATTAAAAGTCTTTTAAATAACTAAATTTTCAAGAACTCTTTTTGATAGATTAGAATTGACAGCAATCTAAATTGTTATAGTAGATTTAGTTAAATTAATATACACAATATTGGCAGCAGCCCATTTCTCAGCATGTATTTGGTTTTTAGTAGGTTCTACTGGAAATCCAAATGACACATCTTGGATCAAAGCTTAGAATATAGAAAATGAATACTGGTTTAATTAATATCTTCATTCTTTTTATTGGAGTATCATAACTATGACTACTATTGGTTATGGCGATATTACACCTTAGAATTTGAGAGAAAGAGTATTTGCAGTTGGAATGGCTTTATCTGCAGTAGGAGTTTTTGGTTACTCTATTGGTAATATTAATTCTATCTATGCTGAATGGAGTAGATAAAGCTTTTAAGTTAGAACTGATATGAACAACCTTAAAAAATTCATTAGAATTAAAGGGATTAATAAACATTTGGCTGAGAAGATTAGAAAATACTTTGAATATGTTTGGAGTGATCAGATGGAAGATAATGATAGAGAAGTTTACAAATTCAGTGAATTGATTCCAAAATAATTAGCTGAGGAAATGAAAATTGATACTAATATGAAATTAATTTCAAAAAATAGCTTTCTTGTAAATAATTTTAGTGAATAATTCTTAATATCATTATCTAAAGCAATGATAGAAGAGAAATTTGTGCCAGAATCAACAATATATCAAGTAAAATTGATTAATATTCTTATAGTAAAATGATCCTAGTAATTATCTCTATATTTTATCAAATGGAAATCTCTCTTTTTATATAACTTTGAATAATAAATAATAAACAATAAAGGTTTTGGAAACAATTAAAAATGAAGGATCATCCTTTGGTGTTTTAGAGTTCTTTTAATCATAAGCTTATCAGATGTCATGTAAATCAAATTAATTTTCATATGTATTAAAAATTGATAGATCTTAATTTATGGAAATAATATCTTAACATAAGAATGATTATGTAATTAGAAATATATTATTAGTATAAATACTGTGAATTGGTTCAATAAATCTCATTTATGAATAAATAAGAATTAGTAGATGTGACATGTAGAGCCTGCAATAAATCTACACATATTATTCTTGAATGCCCGTAATTATAAAATATTATATTAGTATGGTATGTGGTTATCCAAATAGATCTAAAGTATTGTTGAATTACAGAAGAAATATTCCCTCTGATAGAGTTAAATATGCAAGAAAGTTAGAACGTAAAATTCAAACAAGAAGAGAATCATGTGATATTTAAAATAGTATCTATTTGTATATGTGTAAAACATAAATGATGAAAGAATAAATAGATAAGTTAAAATACTCAGGGGAAAGTAATGATGATGGTAATAATTGATATGATTAAATTATCTATAGGTACTAGTTTTATAGAAGATGAAAATGATGAAATTCTAGAAAATACAGATAAAGTCGATAAAGAATTAAAAAGTAATACTCTATTAGCTCCATTAAAATAATAGAAAACTGTATGTTAACTTTAAAGAAAATTATCATTTTAAGCTTGCACAGATGCATTACAGGATGATGAAATTGTAAAATCTATTTTATATATATATATAGAGAAATAGAATCTTAGAAATTATTAATTAAATTTAGAAAGCAGAAAGATCTAATAAATATTTGAGTCGTTTTAATTAAGGACCTTAATAATTGTAACCAAATTTAAGAATCTAAAATCATCAAAATACTCATCTTAGCAATAAGAGTTTTTTGGATTCTGATAAAAAAGTTGGAGAATTCCAAAGGGGAGAATAAAAAAAGTAAACAAAACAAGCAGGAATAAAAGTTAATGAATTTTCAATTTAACAATTATATGTAAATAGAACTTAGGATGAAGATCCAGGAAAAAAGTTAGGATAATATTTGGACATTTTTGAAGGTTTTGAGAAAGTTAGGAATTTTGAATATTTTTTGAAGCATAATAATGCAAATGAAATAGCTCGGTTAAATAAAGTTATGAATAAAATTCATAGAAAACATAAATAAAATAAATGAATATGATATTAAATAAAATTTATTTTAATATTGATTTGTATAATATATCAATCTTTTGCTGCTCTATAAATTTTATTCGCAGCATCTTCTAATAAACCTAAAAGTGATTCTTATGATTCTTCTCTTAATTTCTTTTCTTCCTCTATTTCACTCTTCACTCTAGAAACTAAATCTTTCAACATTTCAAAGATAGCTGTCTCTGATTCTTCTCTAAAATAAAATATAAATTATCATTTATACCGTAACTTTTTTTGATTTGTTAAACCTTCATTCAATCTTCTAATCTCATCTCCAGATCTTCTTAATGTTCCATTATCACTATCTTCTCTATCTTATCCTTCAGTTTTAACCATATCATACAACTTAGGCAAATCATTTTCTAATGAGGTAGTTATATTCTCAATTTATTCTTATCTGATTTTACTCTCTGTTTGAATATCAGATTTTAAGTAGACAACCTATATTATAATAAATACTTTATTTTACTTTTTCATCCAAATACCCTTGCAATTTTAAATTTCCATCTCTTCTTAATGCTATTTCTTATTCTAATTTAGTTGTTATTCTGCTTTCAAATGCAGCAATTTCACGAACTCTTTACTCAAATTATGTTTCAAATACATTATTTTCTTCTTCAATCTACTTTTAAAGTCTTACTATCTCATCTTTCAAAGTATGCTTTTTAATCTTTATTAGACTATTACTAGTTTTCTGTTATAAGATGTTATTGTATCCTAAATTCTCTCCTCTACTGCTGTAACTCTAGAATTAATGGTATCAATTCTATGAGCTTTAGAAGTATCATGATGAAGAGGAATTGAATTTAATTTCTCTTGAATCTTAAAGAAACGTTCATTGAAAGGTGTATTTGGATTCATTTTTTTTTAACAAATTTATTTAACAAAAATAGTGAGTATTAATTAATGAAACAAATGAATATAATAAAGATTATTTCATCTAAATGAAATTATTCTCTAACCATTTATTTATTCTACTTCATAAGTATCATAATATAATAAATTATATAATTTTTAATGAATTGTTCAAACTTGACTTAAAGTTAAAATTATTAAAAATAAACTAAATTTAGAAATCAAATTAATCTAAAATAAAAATTCAATTTTTTTTCTTTTGTCTATTTGGACTAGCACTAGAATGCATTGGTTTTCTATACCTAATTATAAATAATATATTTTTCTACATATCAACACCTTTCTATTAAAGCATTCCATATTTTTTAGATAACGGTATTTCATCAAAATTCTCCTCAAAAATTGAATCCTTCCATCCAACTGTTTCAGTATAAGGATTTTGAACATTTTTCTATTATGCTGGATCAATTGCTTTCCTCTATTCTTAATTTAATTCTTTAGGCATTGTATCCACACTTAGCTTAACATCAACACCAAGCTATGATGATTAATATATTGGTCTTATTGAATTATATGTACTCAACATAACACTGCCTGATACTATACTTGGTTATTGAGATGAATCTTGTCTTTTTAGTGTATGAGGTTGTAACTAATTAGATGGAGGAGGAGCTAAGAATTGATTATTACTCATTCTAATCAGATTTATATGGATTTATACTATCTGATCAGATTGCTTCCTTATTTATCTAATGATTTTTTCATTTCGCCTGTAGATGGTAATTATAATTGTTAATTCAAAGTAGTAGATCTTTGCATAATTTCTGAATGAGTATTTTATGATACTTTCATTGGTTATTACTAATCCCAATCAAAAGAATAATCCAATTAAATACACAAATTACTTGCAGCTTTTTCAAACTATTAATACACAAAATTATAATTAGGTTCACTTTAATATTCCAATTATTTAAGATATCTAAATTATTATTGAAATAATTACTCAAGTATTATAGCAAATTCAATTGGTACATCTTTACATAATTCTCTAGGATCTATGGACATCTTCAATTCTCCTACTTTAACTGTTCTTTCTTCATCACTGACATTCTACATATTTTGCCATGGTAACTGCCTAGACTTTTTATAATTCACAATTCCATTACCCTTTCATAAAGTATAACAAAACATAAATCAATGATTCAATATCATCTTTTCTACTCAATTCATAACCCTTATGTGCAGCTATAGAAGCATATCTAGTCGTTCCTATAAAAGATGTATTATCACGAAAAGGACTGTCTATATTATTGAATATTACTGAATCTTTCCATTTTTATCTCGAAATATTTTACTAATTCCAAAATCAATCACATAAATTTTAGAACATTCATCATCAATCCCAAATAATATATTCTCTGGTTTTAAATCTCTATGTACAACTCCCTTATTATGAATCCTCTCTAAAACTTTTACTATTTAAATTCCTAATTAGATTGCTGTTTTAAATGAAAATTTCTTTTTGCTTTTCATATAATATGCTAAATCCTTTCCCAAAATTTACATAACAATAATATTATAATCATCCTACTCACCATGCCAATATAATTAAGGAACTCCCTCAATTCCATTTAATCTTTCCAACACTTGAACTTCCCTTTCTAAAGAACGCACATCCTCATTCTCTTCCTTCTCTATTTTTATTGCCACATCTATATTCTTATCCTTATCATGTCCCAATAGAACTACTCCAAAAGATCCAGATGATATCTTCTTTTAAACTATATATTTTCCATTAAATATTGAAGCTGGCTGCATAAATAAATATTTTATTATTAATATATTTAATTTTATCATCTTATCTATCCTTTATCCCATCAATAATCAAATATAAATAATTTAATATGTTATTATTTACTCCTTTCCCAATTAATCTAATATATATTTGATTCAATAATTCTAATGTTTCAGTAAAGATTCTTATAAATTAAATGGATTAATATTCACAATTATCAGAATTGATTCTAAATTAATATTTATTGAGAGATTTTATTAATACCTCTCCTAAATTTATTAATATTATTTTATTTTTACTAATGTCAGAAATAATTCCCCATGTGTATTTGTCATCAGTTGTTTATGCCAAAGACTAAAATTGGCTCAACAAGAACTAAATCTCTAATATACTAATAATTGGCGATTTACCTGAATATTTCCCTTCTAAATTTTCATATAAATGTATTTCGATTGAGGACAAACCAGAAACCAACATAAGACAATATTTTGAGGAGTGCATAGACTATATTGATTCAATAATTGCTCAAGATAAAAATATTTTAGTTCATTGTTATGGGGGTTAGAGTAGATCAGTGACAATTATAACAGCCTATATTATTAGAAAATTAAGGCTCAATTCGTAAAGAGCTTTGAATTATGTAAAATAAAAGCATTCCAGAGCTGGACCTAATTAAGGGTTCTTGGATTAATTGAAGACATTTTAATGATGTTTATAAATATATTGTACTCTTATTCTAAAATCTATTTTTATCATTCCTAATCCATTAAAATTTATACCCAGAAATATAATGGCCTTTTATTTTCATTAAATTAAAAGAGCAAGAATTATAATAGCTTTTTATTGAAATTTAAACTTACTTGTTGATTTTAAATCAACATACATATTTAATTTTATTTAAGTAATAATTCTTAAATCTGAAATTTAATAAAAGAATTTGATAATAATATATATATATTTATAAGATTACTTTATAATATATAATATATTTGAAAAAAACTTAAACACATTGTTCAATAATGATTAGGGAAATCTTATTTTAATATTGTTACTATTTCATCAAAATTTCTAATTTATTATCATAAATATATTACTTAACTATTTAATTTTATGAACTAATAAGAGATCTATTTTATTTTAGATATGTTGACAAGATCAATTCTTTTAATCTAATCAAATCAGGTATACATTGATTATCCAATTAGAATTCTGCATTTGAGGTTATATTTACTTTCTTAACAATTTTTTGGTAATGATATTGTTTATTTCTATTGTTAATATTATTGGAATAACTATTTGATCCACTATAAAGATTACTAAATTTAGTTTATTCAATCTGTGAGTATTTCACTGGATTGTGAAGAGAATGGTCTTTTTAAACTAAAGGCGAAGATTTAACTTAAGTAGAAGTATGCATTTTTGTGGTTTATGGACGTTGAGCATAAGAATTCAAGGTTTTTTTAGGAATATTTCTTTCTATAAAATTTTTTTTAACATCAAAGCTTTCTTCATAAATAAATAGAATACATTATTCTTTTATACTTTTAGCATGAGGACGTGTAGTGCTAGGTGTTTTATGTTTATTTTAATTGACTTTATTAGATTAAATTCCATTCTATTAATCTCCATCTTCTGTGAATAAGAGATCTTCTTCTATTATAATATGAGGACGATTTGATTATCTTCCTTGACTTTCAAATTATGAAACTAAATTATTCAAAGAAAGAGTATACTTGGCTGAACATTATTTGAACTTGAGTTGAGAGATGATGAATTCTTTTATTGTATCCACGAAGCCACTAAATTTTCAACCTTTTAATTCTAAGAGCTTAAATTTAACTATCAATATTGATTTGAAATAATTTACTGATTTTTCAACAGAATATGCTTTATGTCTTTATCTACTATTCTCTATTGATAGTTTAATAGATCGTTCATTTATTTATTATCTATCACTAGATAAGTTTCTAGAACGTGAAGACACTTAAGGTATCATATTAAATGTTGATGATTCTATATCCTCAAATTAGGTTGATTATCTTTAAGAAAATAACATAATTATTAAGAAAAAATTATATAATGATTGAATTCACTTCAAGATGTTCAAGAATTAAATTAATTCTTCTTATTTAGCAAATAGAATTTCAACTTTCTGATTTTTCTAAAGTAATAAAAATAGTCCATAGAAAGTGAAATCTATAAATATATATATATATAATGATTACTTTATTTAATAACACCTTTAACTAGTTATTATGTTATTCCAACTATTTATTTGATATTCAAAGCTGAATCTTTGACACCTAAATCACTTCCAATTCTATTAGCATTATAAAATTCTATGCATTTCATTTTTTCATTATATTTAACAAATCTATAATATAATAATAATTGAATTTACTTTGGTACATAATTGTTAACTTCTTAAAGTTTCTATATGAGAGTATTTTAGACTGTTCTTTTGTATACTTTAAATGTCTTTATAAATTAGATTTATTAATTTTTATTAGAAATAAAACTTTTATTTGGTGATAATAGGGTGATATCATCTATCTTTTGAACAGAAGAGTTGATTGATTATTTTTATGAGTTTCTGTTGGAATGATTATGAATTAGTGTTAGTTTAGTTCGTTTTAATTGGGATGGACTTTAAAAATTCAAAAAGTTTCTTAAAGAATTAGATGATGAATTTGCACCCAAAGCTGATCTTGATCTTGAATGACTTCTATCTGTTGTATTTTCATGACAAGAATATTTCAAATTTGATTTATTATTGTTGTCAAAAATACTATTATCTAAAGATTAACGTTTAGAATGTAAATCTGTAGGAGGAATATTTTCTTTAATAGGCTTTTAATTACGATAATCATTCATTGCTTATGATATAGTTTCAATTCTATTTAAAATAGCATCTTTATATTAATATTAAATATTATTACTTTCTTCATAATCAAATTATTATAATTTAATTTCACATTCATTTTTAGATTTAGAAAATAATAATTCTTAAGTATGTAATTCCTAATTGAGTTATTGAAGTTCCATTTATAAAAAAGCTTCATCTTGATCAACATCTTAATTATACACTAATTTTATATCTGATTTAATGCTTAATAATTATTCAATCAACTATTAAAATTAATTTTAGTATTGAATTATTTATGATTCAATTACTGAAATTTATTGAGGATAATTCAATTCTATTTACTATTTATTTTTCTTTTAAATAATTTCAATAGTATTTATTCTATCTAATATTTGTTCTAATTGATAACTTTGGGTGTTCATTATAAGGATAGGCCCAGCAATCTTGAGTTGTTGTAACTAGGATTCTAAACGTTGATAGTTGCACTGTATCATCGATTATTCATACAATAACTTATGAACTTATCTTTCTAGCTCAATTTATTGAGCTCTAAGCAGAATCTATGATAACCATACTTAAGACTTGTGTGTTCTTGGGTACAACTAAAAATTCGTATTTATTTCTGTAAAACAGCCTGGAATCGCTAACTCTTCTATTCAATGATACTCATAAATTAATGATTATTAATTTTTTAAACTTCTAATTAATCAATAAATACCTAGCAAACATTCAAAATCTTAAACATCTATTTCTTTGAACCATTATTAATATTAATTAATTAAATTAGTAGCATCTTGAAAATTCATATCAAATAATTATTATCTTTCTTCAAATTTAATATGTTTTTGTAATAGACTAAAACAACATCCAACTATTTTATCATGAATTTACATCAATATACTAAATACTTCATCAATTTTATCTTTATTAAAATCAACATAATCATTAAATATATCTAAAAATATCTTATAAACTAAATCTGGTGAAAACCAAAATTAAATGCTTTATTTAAGTTGAAAATCAATTTCTTAAAAAATTGGTATTTATTCTTTTCTCAATTAATTAAGATTCTCTTAAATTGAATCAACTTAAGATGTTAATTCATTTAAATTAGATTCTTTTCGTTATCTTTCACTTGATAAATCTAAATAACTTGCTCTAAGTTCATTTAACTATTTTTTTATTTGATATATTTTGCTAATTGGTTCTATAGCAGAACCATTCCATTAATGAATTACTTCATCTAATTCTTCAAATTCAATAATCAAAGCACTATTTTAATCATGTAATCCATTAATATCCTCTTAAATCATGTTTATTTATTCTCTCCAATCATTTAGTTATTAATCAGTTAATATAATTTTTTAAATTATTTTTATTTTTTAAGATGTTAACTTATTATTCTCATGTAGATATCTTGCTATATGATCATTCCAATTATTATTTTTAAAAGCAGTAATTAATTAATCTAATCTGATGTACTATTAATTATTATTAATCAATTATTGTAATTCATCTACTTATTTTAAGAGTTTTCTATTTGTTTTATGATAATTCTAAATTAAATCTTCTCTTTTAGACTTTAAATGGTTTTATTGAAATCTTACATCATTTAGCTATATATTGTATACAATAACTTTTTACATCTCTTTATGCCTTATTTAATGACTACTCTAAAAAGATGATCTTCTATTCTGTTAGAGTAGCCTATGATTTAAATGCATTGGTAAGTGCTGATTGATTTGGTTAATAAATGTTCATAAGATAATTCAAATTTTTAATATAACAAATATATTATTAATTCATAATAAGAATTCTAATCTAAAAAAAATATTAAGTTTCTAATAAATAAAGGATTAAAATTAATCAATTATAACATAAATAATATCATAATTTCCATTCTTTAGAAATATAATCTAAAGAAACTCTCAGATTAGTTAAGATACGCTTTTCATTTTCAATTTCCTATATATAATCATCAACAAAGAATATTTTTGCATAGAGATTAGGAACATCACTCATTAATGCTATCCAAATTAATATTGGCAATTCATCATCCATAGCAATAATTTCTTCTTTTTGATTACATTCAAAAGCTACTCCTCTAATCAATACTAAAACATATTGAAATTATTTCAACATTTCAGTTGGAGTTTTATAAAAACTAATTAATTTTAATTCATTTATTGCCTCAAAATATGGTATTTATGATTTTGGTAAATATTAATTTTTAATTTCTAATTAATTTATTAAATCTTCTTAAGAATATCTTTTTCTTAATTATATTTTCTTTTAATCTACTTATTCCTATCTCTATTAATATTTTTCTATATATTGATTCATCATCTAATCAAATATCTTATTGAAAATAAAACGCTCAATTGTAAAGATATGAAATTAACTAACTTAAATTGATTTAATTAATAATGGTTCTTCTTTTATTTTATCATGTTCTTTCTCTACTAAATTATAGAGTTATTTCATATTTAATTTTTCTGGTATTACAATTTTATCTTGAAGATATTTATAAATCATAGCAACACTCAAACTATCTAAATGAAATGGATTGAATCTCGAATCTTCATGTCTTATATTAATTTATACTTACATAATTTCATCAATATGTGATAGATGTTAATTTTTATCTGTAAATTGATAAATTGCATTTCCTATTTTTTTCATGATACCATCATTTATTTCAGAGTCCTTTTTAATTTAAATTTAATACTCCTTTAAGAGATTTAATCAATAATGAATTCTAATTCTCTAATTTTATTAGAATTATGCAATATTTTGTTTCATTTTTGCATATCAAATATCCTAATCTTTTTAGTAATAGCAATTTCTGTTTATACATTACAATCATCTATTGATTTGTTTTGAAAACACAAGTAAATGGATCAATCTATGATTCTATGGATTGAAAAATGTCTAAAATTCGATCAGAGTTTATTTGAATATGATATTCTTGCTAACCATCTTCCCTATCCCATAAGGCTTCCGACTCAATCTCAGTATTCTTATCTTAAAACTAGATTACATGAACAGGAGAATGATCATCTGATTCAGAGTGCTGTTGCATATGTTTAAATGAAAAATATAAATTATTATGAATTCATTCATAAATACCCTTTGAACATATTGATACAATAGAAATGCAAAAACCTTAAAATACACTAATTCCTTCATGCAACTCTAAGTTAAAGGTATGTCTATTTTATTTTCCATGACATAAATAGATTTCTTAATCTGTATTATTATTTTCTCCTTTTTTTTGTAATACAAAATTTCTAGTTGATGGAGTAATAGCAATATTACTTAATTATAAAATAAAAGAACCTTTAGATTCATCATATTATGGTTCTTTAGTTATTATTTCTTATGAAATATATATATATAATAATATTACCATCATATTAATTAGTATTTACATTGTAACATTTCACATCAAATAATCTTGGTTTATCATATCTTTTTTCTGAATAGTAATCAAAGATCAGCATTCTTCTTTTTTTCCTACTAACCCATTAAGGAAAACTATTTTCCATATATTCTGGATAACCATCATCATAAACAATGAATTCTTTGCCTTAATTCTTAAATTCAATAAGTCCTAAATAATTATCATTATATTTTATCAGTTTCTCTTAATATTCTTAGAAAATAAGAATATCCCCTTTTATCTCATATTATATGGCTACTAAGATTGTTTAATTTTCTTTATTTTTAAGATAATAAAGATGAGGAAAATCTGATTATTCTCTACCTTCAGGGCAATTCAAATTTCTATAAACAGTAAATGATTTCTTATCTCTTAATGGTTTGTAATATTAAAATAGATATGATTCTTATTATTTAAAAAGGGGATATAAAATAGTTGAATTTATTTTAAAAATGTGTATTTGAGTAATTAATTTAATAAAATTTGGTTTTTCTACTTATAATTATTTTTGTTTCATTCCATTTTAAACAATCTTCTGCAATTAATTATCATATGTTTCTTTTAATAATCCTTTGCTAAAATAATATAAATGTTTAATAAGTCTATTATATAATGAATGTTTATGATACTTGTAAAAATAATGTTATTTTTTGGATTCATATTATACAGTGATGAGTAACAATTTAATGGCATTTTCTAAGTTAATATTTTAAAAGAATAATTCAAAAATGGCTTCTTCAATTTGTGTATCCTCAAAATAATAGAAGACAAGAATACTTAGAATACAAGACTGCTAATAAGTAAACCATATAAATGTTTAGTGTCCATTTAATGTATTTATTTGATGAATTCTTCATTATTATTTTTGATTTTAGACAATTTAAAAAACTATCTAATATCATATTCATTAGGAATACGTATTCCATTAGCTGAACAGATGGGCAACTAAATTCTTTATGATTTAATTATACTTTTATTACATCTAATTTTTCAATGTAATTAGACTTTAATAATTTAGAACTTTCAATATATACTCTTTCTAAATAAGTGACAATTTCTTTTTTTATACAATCAGAAAGATCTTATTATTCTATTTTAATTATTTTGATTATTTACCAACTACATCATCTTTTTCTATAATTTAACAATCATTTTCAGAACATATTATTTTTTCTTTAGTTGCAATAGTCTATTATTAATTTAAGATTAATAAATACTTCATTAGTGAAGGTACAAATTAAAATAACTTTAACATAATCAGGATTGTTTGAAATATCTTAAATAGTCGAATCAATATTTTAGATTTGATCTTTGAATAAACTTTATTGAAACCTTTCATCTTTCTCTTGTTAATATTTCTTTATTTCATTCCAATTATTTTACATGTGATTTACAAATTATATATTTACTAATTATATTTTGATTGATTCTGATTTATTCGTTTTTATTATTAAATATGAAAAAAGGAGAAGACCAATAAAGTTCAGGCTTTCTTAGATACATCATCCTATTATTATCATGTATAGCTTTAGTAAATAACATGTGAATACTATAGTATGGAAATATGTTTATATTTGATTAACCTGCATTATTAAAGGAACAAATAATGCAAACATATAGTCCAATATATGGAGAACATTTAACAAGTTTCTATTTTAGCTTTATGTATTCATTCTATTCCATTCCAAATATAATATTACCATTAGTTGGAGGATTTATGAGTGATATATTTGGTAATATTATCATTTATGCAAATTTAGGTTATAGAAAGATGTCAATAATATTCATGTTCTTTGTTATTCTAGGTTAGGGATTCTTATATTTTGGAAGTTCAGTTGGCAATTTTAAATATATGATTTTGGGTAGATTTATGTTTGGATTGGGAGGTGAATCACTATTTGTTGCAAGTTCAATTATTATTAATAAATGGTTTGTAGGTAAAGAATTGTCATTTGCTAATGTATATTATATAGATATAATAATAATGTTAGGCATTAAATTTGAGTTTGATTAGAAGTGCCACAGTATTGGGTACTTATGTATCTCCAAGAATTGCTGAAAAATCTGGTATGACAACTGCTTTTGGAGTTGGATTTGGAATTACTTTGATTTCTGGAGCTTCTCTGTTGATTCTGAATTTCATAGATTCTTATACAGAAATCTTATAAAAAAGAAATCTACAGAAAACTGAAGGTTTATTGGATAATAGCATTTAAGTAATGGATTTCAAAGAACTTGTAAAATAGATATTTGAAGATATTGGAACATTTCCTAAAGTAAAATAACAAAATTTAATTAATTTCTAGATATTTTGGATCTTAACTTTAATAATGACCACATTTTATACTTCAGTCTTGATTTTTATCTCATTTTCTAGTGGCATTATAATAGATTTATGGTTACCAGCAGATGCACCAATAGAATAAAATTAAGAAGTAGCTGGTGAATTGATGGGTATTCCCTATTTGTGTTGTACATTCCTAAGTCCTTTTGTTGGATTAATGGTTGATAAGGTTGGTTAAAGAATAAAGTTTCTTGCAATAGGATGTGCTTTAGTTTTTTTGGGTTTGGTATTGATGCTCTTGTTTTATCCTATATTTTGTATGCTTACTTTGGGATTATCTTATGCTCTATTTGCTAGTACAATATGGACAAGCATTGCATTTGTTGTGAAATAGAAATAATTAGTAAAATTTAACTATACAAAGGGGCACAGCATTTGGTGTAATGAATTCTGTTCAAAATTTTGCTTTCTTTTTGATGCCTTTATTTATAGCCTTTATTTCAGCTGAAGCCTCTTCTTAAGTATCAGTAGTCCTATTCTTTTTAATACTAGCTTGTGTTTCATTAATCATAGCCATCTATTTATATATTGAAGATCGTAATCGATTAGGTAAGACTCATTTATATATATATATAATTAGTCTCTTTGAATTCAAATGATCAAAAGAAATTAATGAATTATGTAAACAATCAAACAGAAGATGGAGAAGAATTTGAAGAAGAAGAAATAATTGAAACAAAATGATCGAGTGTATAATAAATTTATAAAATCTTTTAGTTTAATTTAATATATCGATCATTAAAAAATTTCTATATTTTTTTATTATATTAAAATTATTGGTATATAAGGGCAATTTTCATTGGTATCAACTTCTATTTCTCCTTCTTATTACATATGTCAAGCTCATAAACTATTTTGATAATAAAGTTTTAGTAAAATCATTATAGTATAAGGTTATGAGATTTTCATCCTTATGCTATTATATAGGGTTATCTCCTTATTGTCTCTTATCTCCTCTAGTATAAAACCAAAAGGATAAATAATTATATAAGCTAGCGTCTATAGTATAGAGGTTCGTACGAATGCCTTCCAAGCATTTAGGTCGGGTTCGAGTCCCGATAGACGCAACTTTTTATTTTTTTTTTAAATGATTAATTCATTTCTTATTATTTCATACTTTAAAGCTTTTTGAAATTGAAAGATAATAATAATGATATTTATGATTTATTGATTCTATTACAAAAAAAATATAGATAATTATATATAAGTAATTTTCTAAGATATATATTTTAAAATTATTAACAATTATGTTTGATAAATGTTTTAATAATTTCATTCAAAATACTATAGCAACATGGAAAGAAGTATTAAATGATATAAAAATTCAAAGATTTATCAAATTGATTGTATAAATTAATTATTTATATAACTTATAAATTTATTTACATCATCAAATTTTTGGTTGTTGTATATATTGTTACCATTTATCCATGGGTAAGTCTCTGAAATAATTTAAGTAGTCTAAAGTTGGATCCATAATCCACTATTATATAACTAATAATTCTTCTTACCCTTTTAACAGTAACTAAATTAGTTTCACTATACCATTCAATATGTCCTCCTTTTTAAGTTAAAGCAAATATTAAATTTGGCATGTGTCTATGTAATTGGATTGGTACAAATTTATATGGTATTAATGGATCATTTTTAGTATTAATAAATAAAGTTGGAACTGTAATATCTTTGATATATTGAATTGAAGAATTTGCCTTTATTTAAAATATTGAAATACCCTATACATTTATTCAACTGATTCAAATTTTTACAATTGTCTTGTAAAATAATGATCAAATTCATATGGGGTTTTTGCTTCTAATACTTTTTTAATGTCAATATTGTGTTCATCAAAGCATGCATTCATTACATCTAAATGTTTATTGAGTAACCACTTGAAATGCTTAGTGAGATAATAGATATATAAATAGTTGTACCATCTATCCAAATTTTCAAAACAAGCCTAAAATCAATAGAAGATTAGAATACACCAATAAATCAAATGGATTGGCAATACAAACAATTGATTTGAAAGCACATTTCTCTTTCATAATTCCTGCATATTTTGCTGCTAAATTAGCACCAATTGAAATTGCTACACATTATAATGTTGCTTCTGGATATCTTTATTTTATTAAATCAATAATTTCCATCATATCAGATGGATCTCCATGATTATGATATTAAGGTGTCTTTATAGTTTAAATAAATAATACCGATAATTTTGTAAATCCTACTCCTCTATTATTAAAACATACTGCTGTATAACCAGCATTATGGAGTCTTTCTAATGTATCTTTGATATAATTGCAATCTCCACCACCTGTCAATCCATGTAAAACTAACACAACATTTTTGGGATCATTGATTTTCCAATCTAATGCTACTTGACCTCCATCTTTTAGAGTCACAATCTCTCTTTTTTATAAAGGCACCATTTAATGTTCAATTAATGTTACATAGAACAATCCAAAGATATTATTCATACTCCAAATGCTTGGATTAAAATGTCCCTATTGTTGTTAATTTTCAATACTATAATATTTGGGCATTTTGATAGAAGGTCTTTATTAAAAGTTGTGTTCTAATAAAAGACTTCAATTTCTGTATTATATAAACAATCATAAATATGTTAACCAAGTAAGGCAAATGAAGCCCCAGCAAAGAATTTCCACTTTGGAATACTCAAAAGCTTTTTTATCATGTATTAAATAATAAATAAACTTTTGTTTATTCTAAATAATCTAATAGTCAAGAACAATAATATTAATGAGTAGAATTATTGATAAAAATGACCATAAATGACGAAATTTAATTATTTTTTATTTATATATTCAATTCAAAACATATATTATAAATTCTATTTACTTATAATCAAATAATACTTGATTATTATTAAGTACTTTTATAATCTTATTATAATGTTAATTACTCTTTTTAACTTATATTGAATTACAAATAATCATTATTCAATTTTATAGTAATATAGATAAGATTCTAATTAAAATTATTATATAAAATAAACTATTAATATAATTTTGTTAACATAAATGACTATTATAAACTATAATAAACTATAATAGTACATCATTAAAACTATATTAAAAAAGAATTATGATTTAACTATTCTCATTGTATGAAATAATCTCTTTTCTTAATTAGCCATTGATATATATTAAATAATTTAGATTAATTTTTGAAATAACACTAGATTATTGTTTTTTATAAAATGTGACAGAAATTATATAAATTATATATAAACATATTTAAATAATTATTTGTTATGGGAACATGTTTAGCGAATAATGTAAAAATATCGGAAGATTATATGAAGAATTATTAGAATTAAAAATAATTTACCTATCAATAAAAGTAGTAAGTTTCTTTAGAAGAAGAACCAATACACATGTTTAATATTGAGATTGATTTACAGAATCCAGTATTCACTTTACATCATTATGATCCATTATTGATAGAGGATATCTATTAAGGTGAATTGAGTTCAGATGGGAATGTAAAATAAAATTTTGAAAATCCAAAATAAGTTTAGAGATTGAAATTAGAGAATCCTAAAGAATTTAAAAGAGTATTTAAGGAACTCAGAAGTTAATATTATACACTTTAAAATTACATCTTACCAAATATTAAGGTTGAATAAATTAAGAATGATTATTATATGGTGAGCCCAATTATAAATAATAATAACACTAGGGAGGATATTAATGGTGTAATACGCCAAGTAAATAACAATATCTATAATTTAAGGTAGTCGATTACAAAGGCAAATCATTAATAAATATTGTACAATCAGAGAGTAAATATGTTGCAATATATTGTATAATAATATAAAATGAAAACATAAGGTTTATTGATACATTATAAGATTATAATTTAAACAAATTTAATAAGATTTAATAGGGAAATATGTTTTTTTATTAAATACTAGATAATTAAATTTAGAATAATCATTTACCTATTTATTTTAATGGTAATTACATTTGTGAATTACTTATATAAAAAAATAAGAATAAACCAAATTTATTGTAATTAAAGATTGATTTAAATGATGGTCTATATTTACTTAGTTATTAATCATTAAAAGAACATATGAAAAGAAGATTTATGAAATAATATCATTTATGGTCATGTTTTTGTTTATCAGATAATAGAAATAAACCATATTTTGCTTGTGCTATATTTGTGAATTATTTAAAGAAATAACACATTGATTTAAATATAGAAGAAGAATTGAGTAGAATATCAAAAGGTGGAATAATGTATTTTACATTTGATAGAATAAAATGTTTGGATTTAAAATATTAATTAAAATAGGAAGAATTAAATTATATATTATCATCTGAAATAGTTAAAGAAGTAATCTAAGTTAGTCTCTCAAATACTAGAATCTTGATGTCTTTTTTAGAGTAAAAATTCTCAATAAAAATCAAAGATAAAATTAGACTTATTGGTAATATAGATTCTCATTACTTTACATCAAAAGCATTTTATAAATATAATAATTTTATTGAATCATTTTAAACAAAAATAGAATCATTATAATCAATAAGAGAAAAGGCATATGAATGGTTATCAAGAAATAATTAACAAACATCTTATGAATTGTATTTGCCTAGTATATTTTATAACTTAAAGAATATTAAATTTTATATTCCTAATTCTCTTATTTTATATTAATGGATTGAATATTTAAAATAAATTGATTGTTAAAATATTATATAGGATGCAAATTTATTATTATAAATATAAAATACAGATTTAGTTATGGAAACATAAAACTATGATTTAATTTAATATTAATTATTTGATGCTCTATTAAAAGGACATTATTTAGAGAGTCAATTTTAATGTAATTAAGAAAGTTAAAGATTTTATGAAATAGCTATTAAAATATCTCGTTAATGTTTTGGAGATTTTAGAAATAGAGGAAGTATTTTATATCCAATTGAAGCATTTTGTTGGCATCGATTATCAGTATTTACTTCCCAAAATGGAGATGTTGAATATTAGAGTGTTATTCAATATTTCTTTTCTCAATTTATATAAATTCCATTACCTTGTAATAATATCTAATGTCATAATTATAAAAATAAAGATTTAATCTAAGTATTAAGAGCTTCAATAAAAGGATTTATGTTATATGATTGGTTATTTAAAAGATTTAATGAACTTTAAGGAGAAAATATTTAAATATTTGAACCATAATTTTGTTATCAACCAGGATAAATCATATTATGGGGATTCAATTAAAATTATCAATTAGGATAGATGTATTAATTAAAATATAAAATTCCCATATCTTTAAAGAGTGATGTAATGTTTGTAAAAATGGCATGTGGATACAAACATACATTAGCAATAAGTAATACAGGTAGAATATATTGTTGGGGTAATAATGAAGATGGTAAATGTGGGAAACCATCTGAAATCAAATATGTTGAATATCCTCATCTAATTGAAAGTTCATTTGATTGCATTTCAATAGAATGTGGACATGATCATTCTGTTTATGTCAATTCAAAAGGTATAGTATACTCTTGGGGATGTGGAGAAGGAGGTTTATTGGGAAACAATAGTATGATATCTACTCATATTCCATAATAAGTGTTGATTCCAGGTGCTTGCAAATAAATGAAATGTGGTGGACTACATAATGCTGCTATTGTTGAAGATAGATTATATGTATGGGGAAGAGGAGATGGAGGTTAATTGGGATTGCCACTTGAATTAGGAATGGAAATAGCTATTCCAACCAAAGTTGATATAGAAAATATATAATCAGTGGCTTGTGGTGATGCTCATACAATAGTATTGAATAATCAGAAATAAGTATATGGATGGGGATATAATGAATAAGGATAATTGGGTTTATCTTTAGATATTACAAGTGTTATATAACCTACACTCTTAATTGAAGATGTTGATTCAATATATGCAGGATCTTTATAATCATATTTTCTTAAGAATGGTAATTTGTATGGATGTGGTTGTAATGATGATGGTTAATTGGGGATTGATACTAATATAGAATAAAAAGGAATTCAAATGATTCTTAATTATAAGATTGATAATATAGCTATTGGTTAAGATCATACATTATGTCAATCTTAAGGAAAAGTATATGGTTGGGGATTAAATAAATTTGGAGAATTATGTAAATAAATTTAGACTAAACCAATGGAATTATTTGCATATAAAGTTTAATCAATTGGTTGTGGTGCTTATCATAGTGGAGTCGTAATAGCTGGTACTGAAAAATATTCTGCTTATAATAATGAATATGATTATAAAATATAATTAATTGAATGATTTAAATAAATAAAAAGTACATCAATCAATCTAAGAACTTTATTGATTAATTACAAAATAAATCATAATGTCTTATAAGATTTATTTATTTTATTATAATTAGTAATAAGAAATTTAAATTTTGAAGATTCTATTTGAATAAGTAGATTTATTTTGATATTAAAATTTATATTGAGTTATATTTACAAATTGATTAAATAAATATCATATAATTATATAATGAATATTAATAATATATATATATTAAATAAAATGGAAGTATAAGAAAATAATATTCCAAATCTTTAGAATGTACCAATAATTACTGGCTAACCAGTTTAAACGGATAATCAAATCATTTTGACTAAAATAAATGCTGATATAGAAACAAAAAAACATGTGTGCATTCATTGGTGTATATTCTTTGTTCTAGTTATAATATTTGTATTGACTTCTGTATTTATGCCATAATCTACCAAATATGCTGATATGAATAATCCTTGTTATCAAAACAGTGATACCAATTTAGAAAAAGGATCATGGTTTGAAGAAAACAAATAATTATAGTAAATTTAATAATAATTCTAATAGCTGTAATAGAAGTGAAGCTAATTATACAATTATTAGAAAATTAAATCAAAAAAATCAATTCTTAATAGTTTATGGATAATTTGGTTTCCTTAATCCTGATGGTTATGAAATCTCTTACATTAATTATACTGCAACTTTATTTGGATTAACTAGAGAATAATAATAGAATGGTGGTCTTCTATCTGAAAATTTCATAACTAGTAAGAATCATTCCATAACATCTAATTGTAATTAAAATTTTGATGAATTATATGATGAATATGATGAGTATGATGAATATTATGAATATGATGATGAAAGTGAAGAGGATAGTGAAAGAATTAGAGAAAATAGATTATTATAAAGAGAAGGAAATCATCCTCCCCCTCCTTAACATAATTATTAAAATGATTATGAAAATTTTGATCATAAAATTTGTGATTGGATTGTTTTAGTTTACATTCCAATCCTAGATTATCATGATTATCTTCTCATTATAGATTTTTCCGAATTTTTGTAATTAGGTTAAAACAATAAAGCTACATTATATTTAGAAGGAATAACTGTTGATCCAAGATATTCAAATTCTGTTTTAGCATTAAGATATACATTTTTTACATTTTCAGTTATTACTTTTACATTTTTTGCATTCAGAATGAAAAAACTAAACTTTTCTAATTGGGTAATTGAATAAAAATTTGTTGCAGTTTTAAGCTTTCTTTTACCTTGGTTCAATGATCCACTCTATGCAGCTACTTTATTAGCTCCAAATAGAATTACTGCTGTAATTGGTGTCATATTTTTTAGTAATTTCATATCTTGTCTCTTTCTTTATTGGCTAGTACTTTATCATAGAATTGTTGTAGAAAATGGAACTAAAGAAAGTACTGCACTTACTAAACCTAAAGTTATAGTTTGTTTACTATTATGGCTGTTTTTTGTGGCTTCTTATTCAATTTTAGTCATTTAATATTTTAAAGATCCCACTACAAGTTTTGATGATTTACATCATAAAGCTTATATGGCATTTAAAGTACTATCATTCTTATTTTCCTTTGCTTTATTTATATATTTGCTTAAGTATTTGATTTAATTTTGTAAATGTTATGAAACCAGATTGTGGAGATATAAATTGATTGGATTATTTAATATCTTTTTTATGATGTGTTTGGGATTATTTATATTATCTGGATCATTTGAAATCTATAATCTTACAGGAACAGAAGTGCTCATTTCCATAAGTATATTAAATTTGTATATTTATTATCAATAATATTTATGGAGTCCTAGTAAATAAGGATTAATCTAATAAGAAAATCTAAATTAGAATGTAATGATTAGTAATAGGGATTATGATGAATTAGAAATGGATAATATCAATATTAATTAAATGAATGTTGTGGATGAAAAGTTTTAGGTTGAAGATGAGAAGGGTATATTGGCTGAATGATAATATATATATATATTCAAAATCATTTTTAATAATTAAATCTTAATAATGAAAGAAACAAAAAGTGATTCTTTATCACATACAACATTTTAAGATTAAAGTACAACTGACCTTATTATCTAATAACAATTATCCCAATTAACCAAATAGAAACAGCGGCAAAGCCAAAAGATTGTAAAAAAAGGAAAGATCAATAAATTCAAGAATTGGAGTTAAGATGACACTAAAAAATTTTTTAGAAGTCTTTAATTATTTGGAACTGATTTTTACATGATCAATTATTTGTTCAATGACAGAACTAGAACTCAATTAAAAGTACTCTATTTTATTTTATTATTTCTCTAGCGTAAATTTAAGAAAGAAAGAAATAATGCTGAACTCCAAGCATCCTTGAAAAAATGTAGAAGAACATAAATTATGAAATTAAGAGAAAGGTTATCTATTTTAAAAACAGAGCATCAATAAATTAATAAGACTGAAACCTTAACTTAATTTACCAGGAAGAGATTCGAATCACTGGCTAGTGTAGATAGTTTAGATATATAACTAGTGGAAGAACTACGACAATTAGAATGACTTTTGTTATTAGTTTGTTTAATTAAAGCTCATATCAAGCATATCACTATTATTTTAACAACGCAACAATTAAAATATATTTAATGAATATTCTTTATTAACGCATATACAATTAATTCTCAATTATTGGTCCTACAAATTTAACTCAATAAATATATACAGAATATATAAACAATGTGAATGTATTTATAAGAACTCAATGAAGAACTTCATATAACAATCAATGAATAAAATGTTATTGAAAATAGAAAATACAAAAACATTTTACTAAATCTCCAATCACAGATTTATCATTCTATTATCTAAATCTTTATTAATAAAAGTTAAAGTTGAATAAAGTATTAATAGATCCTTTGAGTAATCTCATTTTAATTGAGAAGAACTAATGTACTCCAGATGAATTTTTACAAATTATTCTAATCAATATCAAATAATTATTTAGCTTATTCATTCTCTAATACTTTTATGCAGCAGAATACTAAGTTGAGAAATCTTATTGCATTACTTTAATATTTTGTGAATAGAATTTGTAAGGATTTCACAATATGGCTATTATTGTGTTGTTATTGAAATTTAGTTATTTCAGTGTTTATTTATATTTATCAATTTGATAACTATGATATCAACACAGAATAGTCATTAATATTACTTAAATATTTTTATTAAATCTATATAGCTAAAAATTTCTTGCCTTTAGAAAGTACATTTGCAATATAGTTGAAGAAATTATTCTTCCTCAAGTTTCCAATTAAACTTTTATTATAATGGATCCAAATCAATATTCTTCTTTAATCTAACTACTTTCCTTTATGTTCTAATTAAGTCTTTGAATATCTTTTTGCAATTATAGACATATGATTATTGTGTTGTTATATTTTGAAATACTTTGTGAATCGAAAATTTAGCTCATCACTTCCAAAACTGTAATTAGTTCAGAGGCTTTTTTGACTCTTTTATATCCTTTTTAAAAATACACATTTTGATTTCATGTTTGCCAATATTTTGAAGTTCTCCTACCTTACTTAATTGGAATTAACAAAAAATAAAAAGAAATGTATCCAGATTCTATTTAATATTTAAGTCTTTTTGGATTAAATTTATATCAAATAAAGTCAATCAAATAATATTCCTGAAGATATTTTTGAAAAGTTTGTTTTATAATTAATAGAAATTTATAAATATTACAATCCAAAATTATTTGATACAATTTTTAGTGATTTTTGTATGCCTAAAAAGTTGATATAGAAATGATTTATTAATATCAAAGTATTATTTTTAAGATTTAATATTTTTTGTATTCAAGAAATATGAAGATAAGTAAGTTGTCAAAAGAGAAAATTTTTCTTGAAAGAACATAAAGAATCAAAATGTTTAGGTATAGAAAATGAGAGTATAATATATATCTGTTTTGAATGTATTTAAAAAATAATAATGTATCATCATTTTTATATTAATTATTGTTTGAACAATTATTATATTTTATTAAATTGAAATATTCAAAATAAAGATATTTTTAATTAATTTGTTTGAACCAATAATATGATTTATTAAGATATTTAAGTAACCAATGTCTGAATGTATTTGGTGTGATATTTGAATATTTGAATTTATAAGGAATATAAAGATGGGATGATTATATAAATATGAAAAAAAATGTTTAATAATTATTAATAAAATGGGAGTTTGTATAAGTAACATTTAACCAACTTCAACAGAGATTGCAGTAGATTAAATAATTCCTTAATAATTGAATAAGCCTAGTCAATCTATGTCTAGTTTGGCTGTGGAAGTAGATAAAATATAGGAAACTATTATAGCCACGGAGAGGAGATAGAAAACGTTAAGCCAAGATAGAAGTGGTTGAGGAACAAATTCATGAGAATGTAATGAAGTAACAAAGAGAAAAAAGTCCATTTGACTTTCAAATGATTTTGAATGCATTTGGAAATCATTTTATGTTTGCATAATTAGATAATAATGATAAGTAATGATAATGATAATATAGAGCAAAATTAATAGAGGAAATGTATTATGTTACATCAAAAGATTAAGAGTTTATTTTTAAGCAAGGAGATAAAGCAACATTATTTTTCATAATTGGTAGATTTTGATAACTTATTCATGAAGAACGAGGCTAATGTTAGATAATAATAAATGAAGAGAAAAAGAGAGTATTAAAATCATCTGAATTTTTTGGAGAATTGGCTTTGATGTATCATGCTCCTCGTTCAGCTACTGTAATAGCAATTGGAGATTGTGGATTTTGGGTTTTAGAAAGGAATAAATTTAGAAAGGCTGTTGAAGATATATAATAAAAAGCATATGAAATAAATAGAGAATTTTTGGTCTAAGTAAAATTTTTTGGTAAATTTTTAAGTGATTATAGATTTCATGACTGAAGAATAGAGAGATAGTATTGCAAATGTCTTAATTACATTAAAATTTAAATAAGGAGAATCTATAGTAAATGAAGGTGATATGGCTAACTCATTTTATATAATTTAAAAAGGAACTGTTTAAGTAACTAAATAAGGACAATTCTTAAGATATATGAATTAAGGAGATTCTTTTGGTGAATAAGCTCTATTTGGGAATTGTGTAAGAGGTGCAACTGTCAAAGCTTATAATTCAGATGTCAATCTTCTATCTTTGAGTAGAGAAGATATCACAACTATATTAGGAGAGAAGATTCAGGTACAGAATTTGTATTATTTAGTCACATAGTTAATAATTTACACCAATATGCAGAAGTGGGCATTTGAGAAACATCCTCAATTAAGAGATTTAACTAAAATGTAAATACAAAAGATAGTTTCAAATTTTAAGATCAAAAGTTATGAGAGTAATGATTGCATCTTCAAAATGAATTAGTTTGTGGATAAATTAATTATCATTCTCGATGGATAATTAGAATTTGAAGGTCAATTATTTAATAATGGTTAATTATTTGGAGATAAATATTTATAAATGGATGAACAAAAACGAAAAATTAATCATGATATTAAAACTAATAGGAAAACTACATTGTCAGAACTTCCTTTTAAATAATTCTTTGAATGTATTGGTGGAGAATTGGATACTGTTGTTAAGAAAAATAAAGATCGTGCTGGTTCCTCTAGTTTATAGGAAAAAAGATAAAAAAGCAATTATTCATTACTTACTTTAGAAGATTTTATTGGATTAAAGTTATTAGGAGAAGGAACCTTTGGAAATGCTTATTTAGTTAAGGATATTCCATAATAAAATATGCATGTCATGAAATGTGTACCTAAAGTCAATGTTATTGCTAATAACACAGAAAGACATATCAAAAATGAAAAATAAGTTTTAGAATTACTTAATCATCCAAATTTAGTTTGTTTTCATAGATCATTTAAGGATTAAAATTACATATACTTATTAACAGAGTATATTAAAGGTAAAGAATTATTTCATGTAATCCGAGAAATAGGATTATTGAATTCTTATGAAACCTAATTTTATATTGCTTAAATGATAAATATTTTGGAGAAATTGCATTCCTCACATATAATATATAGGGATGTAAAGCCTGAAAATTTTATTGTTATGGAAAATGGTTATATTAAATTGATTGATATGGGTACTGCAAAAGTATTAAAATCAAGAGCTTCCAAAACTTATACCCTTGTTGGTACACCACATTATATGTCTCCTGAAATTATTAAGGGAAAGGGTTATAGTTTTTCAACAGATCTATGGTCATTAGGAATATGCTTCTATGAACTAATGTGTGGAGAAGTACCTTTTGCTGGAGATGAAGAAGACGACCCGTAATTCTTTTAGTTATTTAGATTTATAATTGAGGAAGCTATTTTGAATGGAAAATTAGAGTATCCACAAATACTGAAGGATTTTAAGGCAATAAAATTAATAGATTAATTAACAAATAGAACACCAGAATTACGATTGGGAGGTTCTTTTGATGCTTTAAAAGTTCATCCTTGGTTTGATGGTTTTTAGTGGGTAATTCTTTTATTCTTAATATTCAAGGAAGAATTAGAAACTTTTCAAATAAAACCACCATATATACCAAAATTATAGTAGATGATTTATGAAGACATGCCTTTTTTAGATATGATTAAAAGAGATACTAGTCCAGATATGATTTGCACTTAATAAGTAGATTGGGATTAAGATTTTTGAAAGGTATTTCCTCATCATAATGATATGTCTTTTCTTATATTTATTAATATCATTTTAACTACTAGATTGCATATTATTATTATTCATATTTATATATATAATCCATTAACAACTGAATAAAAAAAATAATGAGATAGCTTGTTAATTTTATATAATAATAAAAATTATGTATTAAAGAAAGAGAGTTAAAACAATCTTAGATTACAATAAAATTGAAAAAGAACTACCAACAAGTGATTTAACAGAATAAGAAAAATCTATTGTTAGTTTAGCAATACGAGAAAGGAAATTTAATTTAAGAACAAGAGTTAAATCAGTTAATTCGAAAGCAGAACTATGCAAAAATTACAGAGAGTATGAGGATAAGATGAAACTGTCAATTGCTTAAATAGTTGATTTTGAATACAAAAAATCCAAATAAAGTATGTCAACAGTAAAACACAAAGGTTAATTCACTACAATATTTTCTATTCCAAAACCTAAATATGACCCTTCAATTGTTTATGGTTCCTAAAACAATAGAAGAGTTATTCATATGAAGGAAATACTTAAAAAGTTATGATTAATTAAATATTAAATTAAATCATATACTAAAATCTGTAAATTATCCTTTGTTATTGTCTTTAAGATAAGAAAGTCTAAGTTAATATTTCAAATTTTAAAATGGCTAAAAAAAATCTATTGATCAATATTCTATATAAGTTTATTCTATGAATGTATTTCTTCTAGAATCTTTATAAAAATGATTAAGAAGTTATTTATCTTTATTTGTAAGATTTTAAGTAAGTTTAATAAGGAACTAAATAGAATGAATGGTCAAAAAATAAATGATATGTAAATTCTTCTTAAAAGAAATGAATTAGAATAATATTATCAAATATGATTTCATCATTTTTTATAGTTATTTTTATATAAAATAAAAAATTATATTATGATGCTTTAAGTAATTTAAGCATAATTAATAGGAATTCTACCAACCAAATTTTTAGTATTGTCAATATGAATAAAATGAGAAGAAATATCTTAAAAAAAGGTTAGATATAATAAATAGATATATATGCACTTTATTAATAATTAAATATATAAATCTAAAAATAATAATAAAAATATCATGGATCAAGAGGTCTTTCTGAAAAAATAATGGTTTATTATGACACATGAAGGAAAAATTGAATAATTTTATGATATCAATTTAAAAAAGGTGATTGGATCTGGAACTTATGGAAGTGTAGTGAAAGCGACACTGAAGGGTACTAAGAATTAGAGAGCTGTGAAAGTGATCCCAAAAAGCAAAGTGAAAAATCCTGATCGTTTCAAAAAGGAAATTGATATACTGAGATAATTAGATCATCCTAATATCATAAAATTATATGAAACTTTCGAGGATCAAAGAAACGTGTATTTGGTGATGGAGTATGATTTTATATAAATTATAAAGACTATGTGAAGGTGGAGAATTGTTCGATCGTATTATGGACAAAGGATACTTCAGTGAAGCCGAAGCTCATGAAATCTTTCTTTAGATTATGCAAGTAAGATTTAATTATTAAAGTTTAGGCTCTAAATTATTGTCATACAAATGGTATATGTCATAGAGATCTTAAACCAGAAAACTTTTTATTCTTAACTAAAGCTGATGATTCTCCAATTAAAGTAATTGATTTTGGATTGAGTACATTGTTTGAAGATCCAATTAGTTAAAAAGCATCTGGAAATCAAAAAGTTACAATGAAAACTAAGGCAGGAACTCCATATTACATTTCACCTGAAGTATTAAAGGGAAGTTATGATGAATCTTGTGATATTTGGAGTGCAGGAGTTATTCTATACATTTTATTATCTGGAGTACCTCCCTTTTATGGTGACAGTGATCCTGAGATATTGGATGCCGTATAGAAGGGAGAATACACATTTGAAATACCTGAATTGAAATAAGTTAGTGATTCAGCTAAGGATTTAATATCTCATATGATAACAACACCAGAAAAGAGATACAAGGCATCATAAGTGATATAACATAAATGGATGAAAGATGGTAGTAAAAATACAAAATGTAAAATAAATTGATAAATTTATAGAATTAAAACTAAACTTTGGATAATTGAAAAACTTTAATGGCAGTAATAAACTTAAAAAGGTAGCTCTAACATTTATTGCTTCTTAATTAAATGAATAGGAAATTGCTGATTTAGGAAAGTATTATAATGTATTAAAATAGATTATTTAAATAATTGGATAAGAATGGAGATGGAGTACTTACAATAGATGAACTAAGAGAAGGGTTAATTGGAATGAGTGATGTATAAGCAAAAGAATTAGGAAATATTATTAAGAGTATAGATACTGATGGAAATGGAACAATTAATTATACAGGTATTTATGTATAATTATAATTATTAGAATTTTTGGCAGCTACAATGGAGAAATCTTTGTATATGAAGGAAGAGAAATTATATTAGGCATTTAAGATGTTGGATTTAGATGGAAGTGGAAAGATAGACAAACACGAATTACAGACTGTTTTAGGAAGTATAATATTTTTGTTTATTTTTTAGAGAGTGAAAAAATAATAGATGAAAAGTATTGGGATGATATGATTAAGGAAGCTGATAAGAATGGGGATGGAGAGATCGATTATAATGAATTTATTGAGATGATGGATAAGTTTAGTTTAATAAATTGATCAATTATTTAATTATTATAAATTTATTAATATGACAGAACCCAAAGCACAATATGATGAATTATATAAAAGTATAGTTATTTCTATTATTATTAGTTATTTTAGTTGGGGATTCAAGTGTTGGAAAGACTAGTTTTTTGATTAGGTAGAAATTTAAATTCAAATTAGATTAACAAAAAATGTTATAAAAAAATAATCATAACCTACTATTGGAGTAGAATATGCAGCCTAATCTATCTTACTTGCAGATGTGGACAAAATTGTGAAATCTGTTATTTGGGATACTGCTGGAGCTGAAAAATACAAAGCAATTACAACAGCCCATTATCGTAAATCTGAGGGAGCTCTGTTATTTTATGATTTATGTGATAAAACTTCATTTGATAATGTATTAAGTTGGCGTTAAGAAGTATAATTTATTTATTGAGTTCCAGATTATATAGCATACAGATGATAAAATTATGATTATGTTAATAGGGAACAAATTAGATTTATTATAAGACAATCCACAAAATCGATGTGTTTCTGTAGAAGAAGTAGAACAAATTTGTTAATAACATAATATGTTATATAATGAAACTTCTGCAAAAGAAGGAACAAATGTGAAAGAATGTTTTGAATAATTAATTAGGAGTATATAATGTACAAAATTGATAATTAGAAATATATGAATTCAAATAATAAAATGTAGAAGAAGAAATTCCAAGTTAAAGAATTGAAATTGAAGATGAAAAGTCTGAGAAGAAAACATAAGAATAACCTCAGCCAAATATATTAACTGTTCCTATTAAACAGAATAAAATACCTTCTGATAATTGTTGTGGAACTACTTGATTATAATATATCATTAATTAAATAACTATTTCAATAAATCACAACTATTTTCTATTAATGGTTTTATAGCAGGTACTGCAAATATAGGTACTTCAAAATTCAAAAATCCATGATTTATTCCATTATATATAATCATTCTAAATTATTTATTCAACTTTCTTAATCTATTAACAAATTTTATAGTATCTCCAGTTAGACTATCTAATTAACCACACATAATTGTCATTTTTGGTAATCTAACAATTTATAATTTTAATTACTATAATAAAAATGAATCATCAGCTATCAATGGACTTAAGTATGGATCAATATTAGGTTTGCCATTTGTATCTTTTAAATATTCATGTAGAGCTAATTTTAATACAGTTGCTGGTGCTACTTAATCAATCAATCCTTATAATAAATATGGATTAAATTTAGTTAAATCTAAATTTACTGCAGGATAAGCCATTAGTAATCCATCTGGAATTCTAATACCATATTTTATTGCTCTAAAACAAACTCCCAATGCCATATTACCACCTGCAGAATCTCCAGCTAAAACTATTTATTCAACTGTTATATTTAAATAGAATTGACTAAAATTTATGATCCATAAATATAATTGCCAAACATCTTCCAATGCATAAGGGTATCTATATTCAGGAGCTAATCTATAATCTATTGAGAATATAATAGCATCATCTCCTAGATAATTAGCCCACTTTCTTGTATAAGATTGATGACTAAATGATGACATGGCTACCCATCCACCACCATGAATATGTAAAACTACTTTTTTTATTTTTGTAATCTTATTGTTTTATTAAATTATTTAACTTATTTAATGATGTTCTGAACTGATTTCAATTATTTTCTATACTAATTAGGAATAATCAATATTATAATTTAAAATCACTTTATTTGCTGATATAATTCTCACTTTAATTTTTTATTATTTTGATTTTTATAATAATTCCTTAACTTGTAGTTTATGGTAAAGATCATCTACCATTTTGAAACCATAAAATTTCTCTAAAACATAAGTATTTTTATCATGATGATATTTAAATTATTAATCATCAAATAAAAAGGGAACATGAATTTTTAGATGTGATTTTATCTTACAATTAGTAAGTTTCATAAAATTCTTAAAAAATGTTGAATTGTTTTAAATACTCCATAATCCCTTTACAAATGAAAGTGATGGATTTGTGATTTCTTTAGTCTTTATATTTCTTGCTGTCTATTTTTTAATTAACATTGCAGCCCCACCAACATTTTAAACAATCAAACTTATTAATGTGTTTGAATACTTTTAACCTAAAGTACAATAAGCTGCTCCCATAGCGATGTAATCATAAAATTAATCGAATTATTTAGATAAAGATTATGGATCATCTAGCTTATTTTAAATTAAATATTATACATTAACAAATTCTATATATCTATTTAATTAAATCCATTCATCATCAGTTTAAGGTTTACAGAATAAATCATCTAATGGTACCTTCACTACATTTGGTATGAACTCTTTTATCTAAATTATAGATATATGTATATTACTAATGAAAGTCTCTTGATTACATAATTAAAATTCAATTCATATTTTTTTATTTCCTTAACAACATCTTGACAATTAAATAGAGTGTCTAAGTCTTATAAAAATGGTTGTATGATCTTTTCAGTTATGAAGAGTAAACAATACTCATAAAGTGGATGATTAACTTTATGGAGCTCTAATTCCTTTTAACATTCATTTATCTCATTGATCCATTCTTATTGACCTTCTATTTGACTTAGAAGAAGTTAACATTTTTATAGAAAATATAGCGTATTGCATATAATATGGTCATTCATTATTTTTAATAATATACAATAATATTATTAAAACATATAGTTTTAAATAGATATTTGTTATTAATTAATTTATATAAAATAAGACAGTAAATATTTTAAATATAAATAATACTTAAAACATAATAAATAACATTATCAAAATGTTGTATCATATTTTTAAATATAATTATCAAAATAATCTTATCATATTTTATAAGAAATAATAAATAATTCTTTCTTTTAATTATTTATATGTAATGTTCTAAAAAGCAAAATTAAAATTAAATCTTTAATTCATGTCTAATAAATTACATTCTCCATTAGGTCACGGTAGAACAAATAAAATATTGGTCACAGCAGCATTAGCCAAAGTGTAAGTAGATTTAGTTGATACTTAATTGAATGAAAATACAATCAAGGAATTATTGAAATTAAATCCATTTGGAAAAGTCCCAGTATTGGAAACTACAGAAGGATCAATATTTGAAAGCAATGCTATTCTTAGGTACCTTGCTAGACATTCTCAAGGATTATATGGGTATTCAATATCATTAAATATAGAACATCCCAATATTAATAAGGATTGGTTGATCAATGGTTAGATGTTACTACAAATGAATTAGAAACTGAAGCCATAGTAGTTGCTTTATAAGTCTTAGGTTATACACCTGTCAATTAAACTTAACAAAAGAATTCATTGACATCAATAGCCAATACTTTAAGCATTGTCAATACTTAATTAGGCAAAAACAAATTTATAACAGGAGAAACACTCACAGTAGCTGATGTTGCTTTGGCATAAGTTTTAACATTTGTATTTACATACTTGATTGGAGAAGAGGAAAGAAACAAATATCCTTAATTATTGAAATGGTTAAGTGAAGTAAATTCACTACCAGAATGGAGAGAAGTATAGATTGATATTAATATATATTAGTATTTTGGAAGACCAAGATTTTTGAAGAAGGCTTTTCCATAAGTAACAGAGGAGAAGAAGGAGAAGAAATAAGAATAGAAATAAGAGAAATAAAAAGAATAACCAAAATAGAAGGAATAACCAAAATAATAAGAATAAGCTAAACCAAAAGCATAAGAGGGTGATGATGATGATTAACCAAAGAAGAAGGAAGTTAATCCACTTGATTTATTACCACCATCAACATTTAATATTGATGATTACAAAAGAATCTTCTTTGCTGAAAAGGATATTTAAAAAAATATGGAGACATTATTCAGTACAGTTGATTTGAATGGATGGTCATTATGGTTAGTCAAATATAATAAATCAGAGAATGAAGGAAAGAAATTAATTTTGACAAATAATTTAATGAAAGGATTTATTAATTAAAGACTTGATTAAAATTTCAGAAAATATGCCTTTGGTATTCATGGAGTATATGGAGATGAACCAAATTTAGAATTAAGAGGTGCATGGTTATGGAGAGGAACAGAGGTTCCAAAAGAATGGGTATGAATAATTAATTATTTTGATTAGAAAGATCATGTTGCATATGATTATCATCAATTTATCAAGATTGATATTAATAATGCAGAATAAAAATAATTATTTGTTGATTATTGGGTAAAATAAGAGGAGGATGTTTCTGTTGTTGAAGGATTAACAGCAAGAAGTTTAATATATTTCAGATGAGATATAATATATATAAAACAAAATTAATCAATCTGTCAATATGAGTTTGACTATCGATTCACGTATACCAGGTAGAGTATCTAAATTATGATTGGAAAATGATTTCAAAATTCTTTCTATATTTGTATGACATTGTTATATTGTGTAAACTCCTTTATATTATTATTATTTTGTTTATAATGTTTTGCAATCAGACCTTTATAAATCTGTTGAATCTTCATCTTCACTAGCAGAGATATCAAATTATTCAGATCCTTCTTATGAACTATTCAAATCATTTACAGATGATATTACATCAACTGATGAAACATCTTCCTACAATTTAATTTTCTTTTATTACAACAACTATTTATAATAATTATTATGTAATTACATATTAATATCTATCTATACAGCTTTGAGGATTTTTCTCTTAAAATCTAGGAGTTATTTGATTCCATGCTCCTTTGTATATTTTATAAGCTGTCCATAACATTTTATCATCCATTGCATTCCAAACATTCTGATATTAATTTTATACTTATTTCTAATATTATTCTCTTTTCTATTATTATTATTATTATTATTATTATTATTATTATTATTGAATTTGTAATAATTTATTTGGTTATTTAGCTAATGCTTCTTAAAATTGTTATAAATGCATAGATTCACTTGAAGAATCTTCATTATAATCAAATTTAGGATTATATTTTCTAGGTATTTCTTTCCTTTATTTCAATTATTTCTTCATTTTTTATAAGTAGTTATCTTTATCAGATAATTCTTCTCTTGCTAAAGCTTCCAATCTCATTAATGTTTCTTCTTTCTATTTATATTATTAAATTATATATACATGTTTAAGTATTTTCCATCTTGCTTAACATTATCTAGAGTCTTTAGATGGAATCTCATCTTAAATTTTAGTCCATTAAGTTCCATATTTTCTTATTGCTTTTAATAATAATTCATCTTCGACTTCTTTCCATTTTTTTCTTGCTGGCAAGTGTCTATTTCTTTCATGTCCATCATTCTTTTGACAAAAATCTAAGAATTCGTTTATCATAAATAATTGAATGAGTCTTCATTCACAACACTTTATTAGAAAATTTATATAATGATTATTTTATTTAATATAAAATGATTATTATTATTTCTGTTTCAGATAGATTTCACCATCATTCAGTCCACGAATAACAATTTCAATTAGACATTGATCCCAATTAAAATGTAGAAAATCTTAAAGTAAATTACCAATCGCTTCAAGGTACTCATAACACTAAGATTCGTTGATTTGGGTCCTGATCAATTTAACTTGCAATGTGTTGCTACAAATTAAGTCCTTTTGAATGAAACTCCAGTACACACAATTATAAAAAATGAAATGAACTAAATTCATGTACAGATCGTACCTTTGGCATCATCAGTTTGCAATTTAATTTGATCCTATATTATCTATAAGTTTCAGTTCATTAGACACATTCATAAATAATTGTTCCCTTTTCCTTATTTATAGAAAAAAATAGACTAACAATCTAAGTTATAATAATTATTGATCTAAGTTCTTGATAGAAAAGTATATTTAATTGACATTATGAATTATATTTAAATTTAGTTTTTAAGCGAAATACTTCTTGAAATATCTATAATTATTTAAATATATCTATCATCTTCACTATTTACTTTAAGATTAATAATTAAATCAAGATATTATGTTTCTTCAAGAAAATCTAAATTCCATTTTTGATGCTATATTTATTACTTGTTTTATGTTGAAATTTATAAAATATTACATATTTCCTTTCTATTGGTTAGTCATTAAAGAGTCTTTATTAAATTTAAGTTTATTCCTAATTTAGTATTTCATCAGATTATGATATAATATAAAAAATAATAACTGCCGACAAATTTTATAACCAACCATTACAAACTTAAAAAAATCATTATTAATTGATTTATTATGGCTAATATCAAAGAGCAATTAGACTAAAAAATTTAGGCTCAATAATTCGATGAGGCTATCTAATTAGCTGATTCCATTCCAGAAAACAATATTATGAGATTTTTTTATAAAGCAAGATGTTATCTTGCCAAAAAGAATTGGAATGAAGTTGTCAATCAAACACAATAAGGCTTGTCATTGAACATTCCACCAGCATAAAAGTTCCCTCTTTATGGAATGAAAGCTTAAGCTCATATGACATTATAATAATTTAACGAGGCTGCTGAATGCTTTTCAAATGCTTATGAGATTCAAAAAGATAAGACTGATTAGGCTGTTTTGGCAAATTATGGTCATGCCTTAATGAACAGTCAACCTTAATAGACAGAAAAAGCAATTGAGATTTTATAATTAGCTATCAGCAAAGGAGAAGGTACACCTAATGGGTTTACTGCTTAAGGAAATCTTAGTAAAATCTATTTTGCTAGGTAGAATTATGAAAAGGCTTTGGAAATATATGAGAAACTAGTAAAAATGCCATCTTAAGAGAAAGATAAAATGTTGATATTGTGGAAAAATAAGGCTGCTTGTGAAACTAATCTTAATAAGAATGAAGAAGCTAAAAAATCATTTTTAGAGGCTTAGAAATTAGATCCAAATGATTAAGATATTCAAAGAGGCATAGCCACAATTTTATAGAATGAAATGATTTCATGTGAAAAAAAACATGATTATGAACACTGTTTAGCAAATGCAGAAGAACTTTTAAAAATAGTAACTGCTAACACTGATCCATTAAAATAGGAGGCACTTTATTGTAAAGCATTAAGTTTAAAAGGATTAAAACGTGGAAGAGATTAAATTATATAGGCTTATTAGGAATTATTAAACATTAATCCTAACCATACACATGCTATTTCAAATTTAGCAATTGAGTATTATGCATAAGAAAATTTTGAAATGGCAATTGAATTTTATTAAAAAGCATTATAAGTATAATAAGATCCAGGATATTGGAGTAATATGGGATAAGCTTATTTATCATTAAAATTACCAAAATTTGATAAATCACTTGATTGTTTTAATAATGCTTTAAGATTAAATCCTAAAGCTGTTTTAAGTTTAACAAACAGAGCAATGCTTTATATTAGATTATCAAAAAGATAGGAGGCTATGACAGATTTGAAATTAGTTTCAACTCTAATTGAAAATCCTGAGAATGTAGCTGATTTAAGTGAATAATAATTATAATACATTAAGTCAGGAGTTCATAAGATTATGGAGATGGAAAATGCATTTGAACGAGAAAAGAAAGCTGCTTAAGAGGCTTTGGCTAAATAAAATTAATAAGATCCTGAGATTATAAGAATTTAATAGGAATTAGAAAAGATTTAGTCAGAAATTGATGCTTAAAATGCAGCTGAGTTAGCATAAATGGCTTAGAAAGAATAATAAACAACAGTAAAGAAAGTATCTAAGGAAGAAATGAAATAAAGAATATAGCAATTATTGGCTGAGGCTGAATAATCTTAGAAAAAGAATGAAGAAAAGATTGAAGAAATTAAAATAGAATAAAAAAAAGAAGATATAAAAATAGAAAGAATTGAAAAGAAAATAGATGAATTAGAGGAATGTATAAAAGTTATTGGTATTGATAAAGTAGCAAAAGTGAAAGAAAACTATGCAAAATGGAGAACAGAATATGTAGAAGGTTATAATTATGCAAAAGCATTTTATTGGACATTCATTAATTATTGTGATGCTTAAAAGATTGCAAGCACAGAGATTATTAATTAAGAAAATGGTTATTCTGTTGGAACAACTACTAAAGTAGCAGTTAAAGTTACATAAGCAGTATTAGATTTTGGAGCTAATGTTCCAATATTTGGAGCAATTTTCTCTGCAATTAATGGTGCTATTGGAGCTGTTTATAAGGAATATGAAAAATTTTAAGATGAAAAGAAAAGAAATGCTATTTTAAAGGTTATTATGAAAAATTAAGATGCTGATGATAAAGAAGGTTGGAGTATGTTAGTTGCTACTGCTGCTTAATTAATAGCATCTAGAAAAAGAAAGTATTTTGAAGCAGGTAGAGTGGAAAAGTAAAAATCTCGATTAGACTCTATGATTGATTGGGTTTAAGATAAAATTAAAGCTATTAAAGATGCAGCAAGTGGATAGAAAGTAGATTTATATGAATCTTGGGGAGGATAGGAAGCAACTGAAGATATTACTATTTTATTAGCATTTATTATGAAAAATCATGAAGAAATGGTTACAAATACTTCATAAACTTTAGATGTTACTATTGCTGATATTATTTATTTGGAAGATGGATAAGTTTCATCTTCATTTTAAATAATGTTAGATATGGTGAAAAAGAGAGAAGAAATCGAGGATCCAAAAAAATAAACAGAAAGAACAGATAGTTCTTGTGCTTGCTAATTGATATGATTATTTAAATTATTCATCAGAATTTTGGATTTATTATTAATAATTATACAGTAAATATAATATAATATATCAACTAATATTGTTTGATCTTTTGACTACTCTCTGTAAAATATCAGCCAAATTATTAAGCTCTGATATGTATCTAAATATAATTTATAGATTTAATACCCTCTTGGGATTGAATTAACTTCTTAAGTTGATAAAGATTAGAAATGAGAAGTCATCCTAACTATATCTGTCAAAGGGAACTTCTCAACATATCTATTTGACAATTAAGGAGAGTGATTTCTTTAAAAAATAGGTTATTTAGGAGCATTGAATGTGTCTTTAAAAGAAAAGGATTATTTTTGATTATCAAAAAGATTATTCTTATTACTTTTAGGATAAAGAAAATTAGATTGATTGTTATCAAATAATCCTTTTTAAGCTTCATTTACATATTTATAAAATCCTGGTTTGTCTCCAGTTGAAGAAATCTTATTTGTGATTGATTTATTTTAGAGAATCAACTAAACATCTAAACGATTATCCCAATTTTTGAATCTTTCTAATTTTTCTTTTGATTTTTATGGGGAATCTTTATATCCTGATCCAAGAGTATTTTGTCTAGCAGGTTTAGGGAATGATGTAAATGAATTATCAAAGTAATCATTTGTTGGTGATCTCTTAAATAGTTATTCAACTTTGTCTTTATTATTTTTTGTTTATGGTCCTTTACTAGTAAAGATTTCTTCATAATTTAATCCTCCAAATAGTCTTTACTTTTTTGGTGATTTTCTACTTACCTTCTATTATTCTCTAAAATTATGTTAATATAAATAATTACAATACTGCCTTTTCTGCTTTACTCCAAGAAGCAAATAAGGAGGATGATTTTTCTTATGGCTAAGCAAATGGTTCTCTGGACGAGACATTTGTTCTAACATCTCTTCTATAGTCTGCCAATTATTTTGTATTCATTTATGTTGTAGCTTAGAAAGTAGCAAATCCACCTGTACTGTTTGATTTTTCATATCGGGATTGCTTTTATGGTGAAAAAAGTGATGGTGAACGCATGTTAAAGAAATTTAGTTATAACAAACAAAAATTAATAATAAAAATTATTTTTAATAAAATCTCATTTACACCAATCAAACTAATAATCAACAGTAATTTTTTCCTATTAACAAATACTTTCCAGTAATCCTCTCAAATATTTATAATTAGGCTCTTCTTCAAATTCTAGATTTCTTGCATGTTTTAATATCTAACCAAATTCTTTTGGGACTCCTTTACATAATTCATCATATGTTGTTGTCATCTTCTTTTCCATGATTCTTTCATATCTAAAAATATAAAATAATAGAGTTACTTCTCTCTTTTGTTTTTTGCTCTCATATTTTACCATGGCAAAGTTGATTTCAGAAAATAAAATAACACATATGCCATACACTCAATATCATCTCTTCTACTTTATTCTAAGCAATATTTAAACAATTACACTACCTACACCTAAGTGGGTATTTAAACTACAATATCTGGCTGTTCCTGTCAGAGTCTTTGATTCCCTATATTAAATATGACCATTTTCTTTAATAAATCGTTTTGCCAATCCAAAATCTAGGATATATATTTTATTTTGTTTGTTAAGTTTCCCAATTAAAAAGTTATCAGGTTTAATATCTCTATGAATTATACCTTTTGAATGTACGAATTCGATTCTCTCTAAAAATTGCAATCCTATCATAACAACTGTTTTTAAAGAGAACTTTTTTTTCTTAGACACAAAAATCTCCTCCAAAGATGCCCCCAATAAATCCATAACCATAAATGTATACCCACCTTCTTCTGATGTGTAATATACATGTGGTATTCCTCTATCGATACTTTAATTATCAGCTAATAATCTTTTATAGATTTCATGTTCATATCTCAATTAAGGACATTAAGAAGAAACAGGTTCTAATTTAATAGCTACCTCAATGTTATTTTTTTTGTTAACTCCTAGATATATGTCTCCAAAAGCACCAGATCCTAACTTTTTTTTTAATTCAAAGTTTTATCCAATTTTTTGCATTATAAGCTTTATAATTCTTATATTATATATATTCAAAATTACTAAAACTCACCATTATATTATAAATAAACATAAAAAAGTATAAGATTATATCAATAACAGATGTATATTTTAATTTTAAAGATATATTATTGGGTTCTGATATAAAGTTACTAGATATTGATAGGCTTGATCAAGTACCCAGCAATTGTAATAACTAAATAGAAAAAGAAATTAAAATTTTGAAAATTCTGCTATTTTTTGCTTAAATATAAAATCTATTAAAATTGATTTAATATTGTTGATAAATTAGTTAATCTAAAGATTTTTTCATTAAAACAAAGAATGTTTGAATTTGAGATTCATAGAGATATAAATATTTATTGTTCTTTATATCATTACATAATTATTGATTGCAATCAATTCAATTCAAATAAACTATTATTTGTTATAACTCAAATTTTGATAAGATTTTTTAATAGGAAAAATACAATCAATTCTATACTGATGATAATAATTGAGGCACATAAATAAATATATTTAGCCAATTAGGTTTATTTAGTGCTCTTAGTTAATTGTAATTATTGTTGTTTTTTTTACTCATATGAAAAGTATTACCCCAATATCTTGCATTAAACCCCAAATAATAGAGATCCAATCATTAAAATTCCGTGAAATTTAAACTTGTAATATACATAACAGATAATACAATAGCTACTTTGATTAAAGTGAGACCGTAATCATGACTCACTTGAAGATCAAGATAAAATTATAATTATTATTATACAGAACTCTTTTGTTGTTTGTAATATTTTATATTTACAAAAAATTTATTATTGCAAATATAAGGCATAACCGATTGTCCCAATATGAAAGGAACCCCAAACTCTAAAAATAATTATATTAATGTACCTAATTTATTAACTAACTATGGCTTAAAATAGAGTAGAAGAGATTCCACTCATTAAATAAATTAGAATAGTATTCTTAAGACCAATATTATGTTCAATGAATCAGAGAAAATGCATTTTAAATAGAAGTGAAAAAACATATGAGTTTCATTTTTATGTTGTTTTAGATTCAGTAATAATCTTCAAAATTCAGATTTTGTGTATATGGGATATAATTGTCCAAAATTAAATAAGACTTTCTGATATGGTCTTAAACTAAATATTTAGGTTTGCTAGTATGCTAAAGAGAGGAAATAATGTATAAGATCGATGATAATTATCCAATAAGTAAAACTATTTCTCTAATTATTTTGGGTTCTTTACTTTCAATAAGGGATAAATTGAATAATGAAGTATTTGTAAGAAAGACTCTTATCTAGGATTTGACTAAATTTAAGAGTTCATTTTTTTATTATATTTATTTAATATCATCATGAAAATTCATTTACAATAACTAATTTAAATAAAACATGAACCTTTTTGCGGAATTTGTAAATCTTCACTATTCCCCTTCTCCTGAATAATAAGTACTTTTAGAAGAAATTAACATCGAGAACTTAACAAAGCCAATTGATGAATAACCTAATCCATCAAAATTTAAAGAGCTATTAGACTAATATTTAGATGCATATAATAACACTTAACCACTTAAAATTAAAGACCCTCTTAATAGATTTCATCTTCCAATATCAGATTGGGTTGATCAACCTGTTTTTTAGTGGGAAATCCCATAAGATGTTATGGACCAATTAAATAGAGGATACTTTAGATTATAAAATATAAAATAAAATCATGGTTCAGAATCAATTACTATAACTCAATAACTCAAAGCATCTCATGAAAATTCAGAAAAATCAAGTTTTTCAATGAGCTTATCAAAATACCTTGACTATTTAAGAGATCCAAATGATTTTTTTTACAAAAATAAGCAATATAATACTAATAAATTGCTTTCATTATTTGACCTATAAATTGAGGGATGGGAAGAAGAATCAAATAAATTATATGAATATTTACCCTAATGTTTTTTGAAAGATGATGGTTTAAGTTATTTAAGAACAAATATAAAGAATGTCAATTAACTTTAAATCAATATAATGAGTCCAGGAAGTTGGTAGGGAATTAAACAAGAACCTGGAGCAATTAATTTACTTAATTTAAATCATGGACCTGGAGATTGTTTATGGATTGTTATTGATCAAGAACATATTGAAAAGTTACTATAAAAAGAAAGACATTTTATTCTAGAGGAAGGTAACTAATACTTGAATAGAAATATTTTAAAGAAAAATGATATCCCTTATAAAAGATTCATATAAAAACCTGGTGATCTAATCATTTTAGGAGCAGGATCCTTTTATTAAATTGAATGTTTATCTACAGCTATAACAACTGGTTGGAGTTTCTTGGCAATGAATTCCTATTCATATTAACAAATGATGAGGAGATAAATGATCAATATCAAATATTAAATAAAATCAATTCTCCCTTTAAAGAACCTATTTTTGGATATTTTTATTCATCACAACAACAAATAATTGAGAATGTACCTCTAAGAATTTGTAACTTAAGAACTTTAACTAATAAGTGATTTGCAATAATAGAAGAAGATTTATTCTTTAAATATCAATTATTCAATGAGAAAACATTGTTTTTGTACAGAATGTAAAGAAGAAATATTTTTATGTTTTTATCAAAATCAACAAAAAGTTCTTTGTTTAAAATGTGACAAAGTTAAATACTATTAAGTTTAATGTAAATACAATACTAATATTTTATAACTTATTTTATCCTCTTAAGATCTTCTAAAATGTTCTTATCATTATTGTTCTTAATCTGAATAATAAAATATAACATGTACAGCTAAATTTAAATAATAAAAAAAGAAGAAAATTGCAAGTCCTTAATCAATAGAAGAGAGTTCAACTTCTAATATAGAAAATATATTAAGATAAAAAAGTTATATTTAAGAAGAAGAAAAAGAATCTAATTAATAAAAACAAATTAAGAAATAAGTTAAATAGCAAGATGAAGATTGTTAAATATAAGTTAAAATAGAATAAACAGAACCTATAAAAGAGATTAAACCTAAAATAATCAAAATTAAAACAACAAAATAAGTCTAAATATCTAAATAAAAATAGAATAAGAAAACAGAGAAAATTGTTGATGATAAAAATAAAATAATTAAAATTGTTGATGAACCTCCCAATCTTAAGACTTATGCAATAACAACTAGAAAAAGATAATAAGTATTAGAGATAAAAAGATAAGAAGAAATTAAAATAACGAAATAATTAATTACTAAACCAATCATAAAATCAGAAAAACAAAAACAAAAATTTACATCTATCTATAAAAAAGCAAGATTATCAGAAGAAGAAATGAATGAAATTTTAGGACTATAAACTTAATAAACATAAGAAAGAATTTATAAGAAAGGAGAAAAAATGCTAACACTTTGAAAAATAGATTCATATTTTTTAAAAAACAAATTTTTATTTTGAATAAATTAATATTTATTCATTATTATAATATTTTTTAAAAGATATATTATATCTTGAATATATATATAAAAAGAGATTAAATAAATACAACCTATTCTCATTCATTTTATAAATTTAGTAAATTTTATGATTAAGAATGGATTGCGTGTTAACTTAAATGTCTCAAAAACTTTGGCTTTTCCTTTTTTGTAAGAAATGATAATTTTCTCTACTTTTCCTCTTAAATTTAATAGTTTGAATTCATTTATTGCTAATCGTTTGGATTCAATCTCAAATTAGACAACAATATGCTTTAATCTGAAGGTTATTGCTTAGAAAATCCTGTATAATCAGATATAACTCTTTTCCTCTTATTTTCTGCATCATTTATATCTATTGTTTTAATAATACTGGCTGTCATTCTAGCTTATCTAATATATCAAAATTATATTAAATGTACATTGTTGATTAATCATTTTCTATTTATGAAACATTATATGGATTGGAAAATATACTCTATTTTCTAAATCTTAATCTCCAATCACTTTATTTAAACTATTAAACAAAACCGAGATTTGCTTAAAATCTTTCCTATTTTTCTAATTATTCTGCTCCTTCCTTCTTTGAATTTAAATCTTTTTTCGAACCTTAATTCAATTCTTATTTACATTTACTACATCCTAAATTAGATCCTAAACTAATTTATATTCCATATATAAATACTTAAATAATTAGTTAGCAACTTAAGAATTACTTTCATTTTACAATCCATTTGATAATATTTTCCCTCTATAATAAAATGTTAAATTTTCAACTTTATTCTAGATTTAATCTAACAAATCCAATAATTATAGAAATTCTTATAGGTTAATTTTATTATTAACTAATTTATTATATTTGATTTCTAGAATAAATCTAGCACAATCTTAATTACCCTTCATTGCTCCTTATTCCAAAATTAATTCTGCCATCATTTAATTAGGCTTTAAATCATCCTTCATACCTTCAATTAATAGTTTGCCCAAATCATAATAAGCTGGCAAGTAATCACTATTTTTAGCCTCCAATAACAATGGATAGACTAATTGTATCCTATTCTATAAAATATTGATGATAAAAATTATACTTTATAAATCGGTACTTTATACATCTTCTAATAGAGTTTAGCAAGTTTATACTTGGCTTCTACACTATCTTTTTTATTAGCCTCTTTGAAATAGATCTCAGCTGTTGAGTAATCATTTTCAAAAGTAACTTTAAATATTTAATTTATATACAATCTTCCAATTTGTATCCCTATGAATATAGATCCCCTAAATAAATCATAGATTCCACATTTCCTGCCTCGGAAGCTATTTTTAGCATAGAAATTGCAAATTGACATTCATCTATCCTAGAATTGTTTGTATTATTGAATTTACTACTAGATTTTTAGGCCTCTCCAAATACTTTATTCTGGACTTTGCCTTCCTAATATAGTTTACCTAATATCATTACTAAAATTAATTTTGACATAAAATAAATTCCTATTGGACAGTTTTAGTCAGCACTCTCTGAAAAGTATTCATAGGCCTATTTAAATAATCTTTAAGGTATTTTTACTTTTTCATAATTTCCTTCACATATTTAACCTTCTAAGATTAATTAACCTAAAATGGCATTCGCTAAAGGATTACTCTATTTTGCTAAATCTTCAAATAATTAGATTGATTATAATTAGTTTTTTTAAAGTCCTAATCCACAATACTATTACAAAGCTTTAATGATATTTTTTTATTATATAGATTAAGTTTAAATGATTTTTTATTGTTCTAAAATTAATGAGGAAGCTTTAGAAGATGAAATTTTATTTCTTTCTTGAATGAGAATCATTTTCCAAAGTTCAATTTTATTGAGTATATCTGTTTCCTAAACCAAAGATTCTTTTTCAATTTTGATAGTTTTTTGCTAATTTTCTAATAAAATTAGGTTTTCCCAAAAATATGTATATTATTCCAATTTTCTTACATATTAATCAAATTATTTTAATAGCATCATTTTACCACAAGATTTAGACTAGAATAGTAATTAATATAAATCTTATAAATCCTATAATTATCTTCTCGTATCTCTTTCTATATTCAAAATAGTTTGATTAATCAAAACTCGAATTTTTTCATGCTCTGATATTTCTTATACTATTTTATATAATTTATTTAGAGTTGTCATAGTTATTTCTTTGTCATAAGGTTTTAAAAAATCTGACTGGTTTGTCAAATTTTAAAGTGAAGCTTTAATAAATAATCTAAATATGTACTTATCACATTTGTTATCATTTAATCCTTAAAAACAAATTGCTTTGTTTTGGAGACTGAAAAATAATTTGGAATTACTTTCTCCAAATACTTTTAAAATTCCAATACACAATCATCTAAAATAATTTAATCAGTGTGATTCAAAATGCTATTTTACAAACTAGGTATTATTTAATCTATTCCTAAATTCATATTATATTTTAATATTAATTTATAAAAGTTAAAATAGAGTGGTCTCATATTTGGAATGTTTTAATGAAAAAAACTTAATTGATTTAAATTGTGATTAGCAAAAACGAAAATTATATTATATTTAATTCAATTTTGTCAATCTTGTTCGATTGATTATCTTTCTTAGTTTAACTAATTTTATTAACTTAACATAAATTGATTTTTGAATTACTACAATTAAATAAATTGTACATCCAAGTATCCTGGAGGGAATTTTATGTTGATATTCAAATCAGTAATAGTTTCTCCATTTTATTGTGCTTCAATAATCATTTTCTAAATGAAATCAATAAATAACAGATTTTACAGCAAATTTTTCTCTGTCAGTTTTGTTGCCTCCATCATGTTTCAATTTGATGTGTAAATTTAAAGAAACATCACTCCCATACTATTTATTACATTTCTCATATGGACATACAAAAGATTTCTCTATCTCTTAAGAAGTACGTCTATTTTTCTTTTTATGTCGATAACTCAAAGCTTGATGTAATTCTTGTTGTAATTTCTATGCTATATCTATATATAATTACATCAATTTCAGCTATTAATTCATGTAATTTTTAATTTTAAGAGTGCAATTCATTCACTTTTTTTATAGTCATTTCATTTAGTATATAAAATCTCCAGAATTCTTTATAGTAATTGATGTCATTATTATATTCTAATTTTTGAATAAAAAATTCTCATACCTTAATTTTGATCCTTATTTTGAAGTAATAATTCAGCAGATTAATCATCAAGTGATGACTTCAACTCTTATAAATGTTTAAATTTTCTATTAAGTTCATCATCTACAACATTCCAATCCCTTGACTTATTCATTAACTGTAATATATATATTAATAATTAAATCAATTAATAAAAAATAGGAGAGTATATTATTATAAAAATATTGCTTTGAAAGTATAATCTTTAAATAAGAATAAACTCATTTCTTAAATAAAGAACAAGTATTTGTCAACTATTTTGATTATATTATAATGAATATTTTGATAAACATATATGGCAATATTATTTGAAATATTGTTATTGATTGGATTTGCTGGAGCAAGTTTTTATATTTGTTATAGGAATTCAACTGATTTTCAACAAACAGTTGATAAACCATACAAATTAGTTGATGATTTTGAGTCATGAAGAATTACCAAAAATTAGTATTAGACAAGACAAAGGAACTTGATAAAGTTTTTTAATAAATAGAGGAAGCTAAATAAATAGAGAAAAAGAAATTACTTGAAAAAGATTCATTAAAAGCAAAATCAAAAGATAAAGTGCTTTCAGATTAAGAATTTAATAATTTTTTAGATGAATGATATATTTTATTGCATTAACTCAACAATTTAATTTTAAACTCTATCTTTCTATTATCGATATACTATATCATTTATTAAAATATTAATTATTACACTTTTGATGTTATAAATTTTATTCTTTATTGAAGCTTTGATTTTTGCATAGGAAAAGACAGAAGAAGAAATGTATTAGCTTCTATGATATCAAAAATTCTATCAATAAACTTGGTGCTTTTTGGATAAAGACATTAACAATGAAATGGATTGTATTAATCAAACTTAGTTTAAAAAGAAGTTGTGAAAGTCTTTAATTGTAATAAATCTTTTGGGATTGATGTAACTTTAACAAGGGAGAAGAGTAGTTGCTTAATATTATAAAGAAATTAAAAAAAATTTAGGTAACAAGGATAAGAAAATAAAAACTCAAATAATCATCTTAATTGATTTAATAGTTTGAATATGAATAGTCAAAATGCATAACTAGAATAATCATAAGTCTCCTCTTTAATATCTAAGCCATTTTATTTCAATTCTGCTTTCTTTTTGGTTCTCACTTGTGTTATTGTGGGAAGTGGTTATTGGATTTAAAATCATTATAAGGAATGAACTATTAAATGAATTTAAATAAAGAAAAGAAATTGAATTAACTTTTTTATCTTTTATATATTTATTATATCCTATTATTTTTTATATTTATTTATATAAAATAGAATGGACCAATCGGAACATGAAGCTTAAGAAATGCTAAAACCATATTTGACATAATTGGCTTAATTAGAGGAAGCTGATAGATTGAAGCAAGCTCAAATAACTGCGTTACGTTTAGCAATTGAATAATTGAAATAATAGGCATTAGATCATCAAAAGAAATATGAAGAAGAGCAAAAGAAAGATGGTAATCGAATGACTAATTAATATATTTAGCAAAAAAGAAGGGACCTGTCAAGAAATGATTTTATTTATAGACATTTAAATATATTGCATTATTATTTAAAAAGAGATATATATAATTTATTGATAACTGTTTATATAATATTCAGATTTAATTTATTCAAACTCCATCATTGAAAAATTAAAGAACTTATCATTCTATCAATATGTTATTTATTATATATATACTAATCAATTTCCATAAAGATCATCTTCTTCTTAGATTCTACTTTATTAACCTCTAGCAAATTATTAACCACCAGCTTCAGGCCATTTGAAAGAAAATCCACCTTAATTACTTCCTTTACTGAATGATGGATCAAATTTCTTTTTGAATTCTTCAAATTTTTATAAATCCTAATTGTTTAGAATAAAGTTATACAATATTTGTAACTGATTTTCTAGCATGTCTAAGAGCTTCTTCAAAATGTTTACGATTTAAATCTGGGACTGGATCTACTTTAATTAATTAAGATGCTTTATTTGGAGCCATCTAAAGAGCTTACTTTTATCTTGCTTCTGCTTCAATAGACTATTATTTAATATTATATTTATACATCTCTGACAGCGGCTTTGGCAGCTCTTTAACAGATTTCAGTGATATCAGCACCTGAGAATCCATCAGTAATTTTAGCAAGATAAGAAAGATCAACATTACTAGCAACAGGGGTTTTTCTAAGATTAGCTTAGAAAACATTAAGTCTTGATGGTTCATCTGGTAATGGAATATAGATCAATTAATCTAATCTACCAGGTCTAATAATGGCTTCATCCAAAATTTCAGGTCTATTGGTAGCTCCTATAAAGAAGACACTCTTTTTGGCACTAACACCATCCATTTCAGTCAATAATTAATTGATAACTCTATCACCTGCACCACCAGCATCACCAGCACTGCTTCCTCTTTAGACAGCAATAGAATCTAATTCATCAAAGAATAAGACACAGGGTGATGCTTATCTAGCTTTGTCAAAGACTTCTCTGACATTAGATTCTGATTCACCAAACCACATTGTCAATAATTCAGGTCCTTTAATAGAAATGAAATTGGCAGAACATTCACTAGCAACAGCTTTAGCCAATAATGTTTTACCACATCCTGGTGGTCCATAAAACAGAACACCTTTGGATGGTTACATACCAAATTTGTGGAATTTTTCAGGATGTTCAATTGGGAATAAGATCATTTCTTATAATTATTTTTTGACTTCTTCTAAACCACCAATATCTTCCCATTTAACATTTGGTACTTCAACTACAGTTTCTCTTAAAGATGAAGGATTAACTTATCCCATAGCAAATTTGAAATGCTCTTATGTTACAGCCATGGCTTCTAAGACAGCAGCATCTAATTTATCATCTTCTAAATCAATGACATCCATTTTCTCTCTGATACATTATAATGCACTTTCTGTACAAAGAGCAGCCATATCTGCTCCAACAAAACCATGAGTATCTTTTGCAATGGCGGCAAGATCAACATCTTCAGCCAATTTCATATTTTTAGTATGGATTCTTAAGATTTCCATTCTTCCTACTTCATCAGGTACTCCAATATCAATTTCTCTATCAAATCTACCAAATCTTCTCAATGCTGCATCAATAGAATTAGGTCTATTAGTAGCTCCAATAACAATAACTTAACCTCTACCCTTTAAACCATCCATCAATGTCAATAATTAAGATACAACTCTTCTTTCTACTTCACCACTAACTTTTTCTCTTTTTGGTGCAATAGAATCAATTTCATCAATAAATATAATAGCAGGACTGTTTTTTTCTGCTTCTTCAAATGCTTTTCTAAGATTTCCTTCTGCTTCTCCTGCCATCTTACTCATAATTTCAGGACCATTAATCAAGAAGAAGAATGCTCCTGTTTCATTAGCAACAGCTCTAGCAATTAATGTTTTACCAGATCCTGGAGGTCCATATAATAAAACTCCTCTTGGTGGTTTGACTCCTAATGTTTTGAATAATTATGGATGTCTTAATGGCAATTCAATCATTTCTCTGATTTGTGCCATTTACTTACGGCATCCACCTACATCATCATATCCTACTTCATCTAATTTTTCTTCATCTTCTCTTTTTACTGGTTCACCTTCAGTAAATAATGTAGTTGTTGGACCAACGATACCAATTTCTCCTGGTTCAGTTGCAATAATCTTGAATTCAACTGCTTTGAATCCACCTCTGCAAATAAAGTAATCACCTTTCTTAACAGGTCTATAAGCATCTTTGAAATAAGGAATCAAGTATGTTTAAGCTAAATCTCCTTTAATGCCTTCAATTGAATCATCAAATGGTAATACATGAACTTTGGTTAAGGTAGGAACCTATTTAAATTTTGAATTTTATAATACTTAATCTAATGGTCTAATAGTCACAATATCTCCTAATTTAATGCGTAAATTTTTTCTGATGACTTTATTAAGTCTAATTTTTTCATTATCTAACTTATCTGGGATTGGGACTGCTACAGTTTCCTTTCTCTTCTTTCCTTTTAATAATACTGGTGCACCCTTAAATAATTTGAGTTCGTTCATTTTGGCTTAAGACAATTGAATGACTGTATTGTCATCTTAGAGAGCTTCTTCTGCTATTAATCTGTTGGGTGCTTTCTTTCTATCTAAAATAGCTGTCGAAACATCCTTTTTTTCTGATTATCCTTATTAGCTAGCTAAGTTTGATTAGTTGGGTTAACTAGGTTAATTTGGTTAAGGTTTATTCCTATAATTGTTTGAGATATATAACATACTTTGGATCCATTCCTAAACTTTTAAAAATAAATATTAATATTTTCACATTAGGATGATTTGTTTAAATACAATTATTTTAACATTCCAGATAAATTTGGAATTTATTATTATCATGTCATTTTAACGAATTATGAGCAAATCTCCATTAAGGACTCAATCTCATTCTACAGCAACTTTCATTCAAGATGAATAGAAATATTCAACTTCCAAACACAATAGTATTCATCCAACTCTTTAACCTTAAATTTATAACTAATATGAAGAATTGAGAATATTCAAATCAAAATGTTAGGAATAAGACAAAATTATTGAAAGTCAATATTTACAAATTAATGAAATGAAGTATTAATATCATCTTTTATATAGGCAATTCATTTCCGATTGTTAAATCAGTTTGATTCATTTTAAATAATAATTAGAAGATTAATTGTCAATTAAAGAAAACTATGATAAAGAACTTAGACAACTAAATTAATTGGTAGCTTCATTAAAATCAGAAAACTAACAATTAATGTTATTGTATAATGACAAGAAAAAAGAATTAGATGAACTTACTTCCAATAATTAACTTATTATTAATGACTTTAACAAACAATTTGAAAACACACTCAAGGCTCGCATTGAAAATGATATCAAAGAGATCCACAATAAATACCTAAGGGTATGAGTCTTAGTCAAGCCTATAGGAAATCCAACTGTTAAAGGCAAAACTCTATGAATAAGAAAAACTAGCTCAAAATTAAGAAGTCATTCGATTATTGTAAAAGAAATGCGAAGAATTATTACAAGGAATTGACTAAAAAAATAATTATATAGATGATTTACTTCTTAAATATGGTGAATTGGATGAAAGATATGAAACACTTAAAAAGTAAATGTCATTAAAGCTTTATGAAGAAGATATTTTAGATGATATATCGAAATCTAAATTTAAAAAAAGTTGACTATCATTTATTATTAATAATTTTTAATTTCATGCTCTTTTCTCTGGAGAAACAGGTTGTGATTTTCTTTAAGTATAATTCTTTTATGTTTATTAATGTTAAATGTTTTTTATTTCAACATCAAAATTATATCCATCAAACAAAGCTACATCTTACAAATTTTAATACATTATACAGTATCTCTTCTTAAAAGTCCTTGATTCTCTAATATCTATTCGTCATTCAATTAAGTCTCTTCTGAAATTTGATTCTGAAAATCGAAATTATCATCAACAGCCTAAACATTCTATCAACTTCAAATACCCCTGGAACATATAAAGCTTAAACTTTCTTTTTTAACAATTCATCCCAAGGAAACCCTCTCAGCCAAGAATGATGTAATATTTCTTCAATACCATTACTACCAAGTCTTTTTTCTGGCTTCCTCAATATTAACTAACAAAATCATTAAATACTAAATACCTAATTTACAAAATCAAGAGAACTTTCACTCCATCCCAAAGGTAACTCTTCCCTTTTTACTTAAACTTATTTTGCTAATATTTATTCTCTGATATCTTATCTAGTTCTACCATTATAAGGTCTTCTTCCAAGCATTAATTCATATGTTATTACTCCTAGTGCATAATAATCAACAACAATTGAATGATCCATTCTACACATTACTTCAGGTGCCATATATCCAGGTGTTCCAGATGTATCTCCAGCATTATTTCCTTTATTCATTCTTGCTATGCCTAAATCTGTTAATCTCATATATCCATCTTCATCTAATACCAAGTTTTCAGGTTTTAAATCTCTATGGATAATTCCATTCTAATGTAAATAAGTTAAAGCTAATAATATACAAGCAACAAAAAATTCTATTATAATATATAAATCATTACTAGTTTATGCTTCACTAAATCTTCTCATCTTTCCTAAATGAAATCTAAGATCCCCACCAGTCAATAAATCAATAATCAAAAATAAATTTTCTCTATCTTAAAATGCATATGACATATTAACTAAAAAAGGATGATGTAGATTCTCTAATAAGAATTTTTCATTCAAAACTGAATTAACACTTCTTTTTTAGATTACTTTAGCCTTCTACATTTCTTTTAGAGCATATAATTTTTTATTCCTTTTCATTTCTACTCTCCAAACTCTTCCAAATCCACCTTTTCCAATTACATAAAGAAATTTAAAATGCATTCTACTTATTTTTTCATCTATTTTTTAACTTAAAACTTAAGTTTTTTCTGAAATCTCACCTGTAGACTTTCTTCTTATATCACTTAATTTAGAATCATTTTAATTATTATTTTTGCTTTTAGTGATTGAATCATTTGGAGTTATTTTGCTTTTAGATGAATTTTCATGATTATTTGGAGAACTTGGAGCTGATTCAATTAATCCAGAATTGATTATCTAATTTAAATTCAATAAGATACAGCTGAAAATTTAGGTCCTTATTAATTCAATTTTAATTTAAATGAAGTTTAAGTGTTACTTAAAACATGACTCTTTGATTCTATTCTTTTTGGAATTACTTTTGATTTAACACTGAAACTATTTTAATATAACTATGAACTGCTTAAATTACTTTTTTAATAGTAATTATTTAAAAAATTATCCATATTCTAATAAAATTATGGTTTATTGACTTATTCTTTAGGTATTTATCTTGTTTAAGGACGTGCTTCTTATAGTTGTTGTAGATGATTCTAAATTTATTTTTGTAAAAATGTTTATTGCATCTAATATTGTTTTTCACGATTAGGGGATTGATGTGCTGAAACTGAGCTTGTTACTTTAAACTCTCTTTTACTATCAGGTTCACACACTTAGTTTTTTGTGCAAACCTTTACTTTAAGCAAAGGTGAAGCATTAATAAAAACTCTTTTCTTCACACAAATATTACAGTTCTTTTAATTACAACAACATTAGGTTATATCTACTTTTTTATCCCAATTTCCTGATTATTTTCTATTTGGTTAAATTTTATTAACAGGTTCCCCTTTAAATTTAATTTTACTATTAAGTTATTATTTTATAAGTAAATCTCTTAAGTTTTTTGCATTCTATTGACTCATTTCGTTAATTATTTTTATATTGTGTTAATATAAATAATTTAATAAAATAATAGTCAAGCATTTTTATTAAATTCAATTACTTTTTTTTTAAAATAAATATCATACCTTTGATTTTTAAAATATTAGAAAAGCAAAAATGTTTAATTTTAAAATTTATTTTCATCTATAAATTTTCATAAAAATAAACAATAATTTTTGTATATTAAAGGTATATTTATATTTTATGCTTAATAAAAATTCATTTTCAAATAAAATTGGATTATGAAAGTATAAAATTAAGAATAAAATAATGAATAGACTTAATCATTTATGATTATTATAATATAATACAAAATTAATATTGAATACTTAATTTGATTAATATGAAATTCACATATATAATATTGATGTCATATAAAAACATAAACTATATTGCATCGAAATTTTTAAAAATTTTAAGTAAGCAATTCAATCTGCAGGCACAAAATTTGCTATTGAAATATTCATTGACTTGTTCGTTTATTTGTTATCACTTTTACAATTCCTAAGCTAATTTTAATTTTAATTCAAATTATAAAGTTCTCTTATACCTTGAAAACAATATTAGATAATTGGTATATGTAGGCAAATTACTTAAACAAAAATTTAATATGAAAAAAATTTGAAATAGAATAGAAAAATTTTGATATATAATTTAAAAAGAGACAATAATTTAGGATTCTCTACTAAAATTTATCTAATTGAACTAACCTTATAAGCTTTACTATTTAGCGTTTTGTTATTGCTTCAAATTTCATTATTTGACATATTGGTTATCATCTTACCTGAAAATACATCCATCTAATTGATAATCAAACATGTAAGAAAAAGTTCAAATTTTATTAGAAATATTATAAGTTTTATTAAGCTACTGTAAAAACAGGTTGTTTATTATTAAAGATTCCATATTCAGATCACTTACCTTATTATTTAATAGGATATTCAGTCATCTTATCATATTTTTTAAATATTTATTTTAGTTTTCCAAATTTGGATATAGTATATTCTATTTTATCTCCAATATTTTTATTAAGAGAATTTTAAATTGATGCTACTTTGATTATAGAGATAGAAGATAAATCATTAATTTAATAAAGATAATTTAGATATTGATATTTCGATAAAGAATTTCTTAGGAGAGGAAGAGATCTCTAAAACATCATATGAACACCATTTAAAAATGGCAGAGAATGATAAAGTATATAAATCAAAATTAACAAAAATAATTGGTTGGTTTACATTAGCATAAGGATTAAGACCATATGTTATTAATTCATTGAATAAAAGAATTATTATTTATATGAAGATATACAATTCTTTGATAGGAATTACTTAATAATAAAGAATATCTTATAACTTTTTTACGATTTTGTAGATATATCATTATCACTACTTGATTTTTTATTTAACTAAGCATTCTTTCAATACAAACTCGAATTCATTAAATGATACAGATCCATCTTTATTATGATCAAAAAAGGTAAAAATTGCTTTAGCTTCTTCATCTGTTACAGTTTAATCAATTTTCTTTAATAGTTTTCCTAATTCCTAAACATCTAATTCATGATTAGCTGATTTGTCATACTAAAATATTATAAAGAATTAGGATTACTTTATTAAACAAATCCAAAAGATTAATATTATATTTAACAATTGATATCTTGAGTTTTTCAATCACTGACCTTGCTCTATCATCAAGAGATCCTGCTTGAATATCTTATTATGGTTTCATGAGGATACTAACTTTCTTTTTAGTTCTGCTAACTTCAGATGCTGTCATTCTACACTTAAATTAAATACTAAATAAAAATTTACATCATTTTCTTCTAACCATTTTTTGAATTCATTAAACTCTATTAAATTATTTCCATCATCATCAAATTTATTGAATATATATTCAATTTCTTCTCTTGTTAGATTCTTATCGACTCTTTGTAAGAACTTTCCCAACTCATTTACATTTAATGCTTTATCTTTTGTCATGTCCAGTTCTGCAAATAATTCTCCTATATCAATCTATTCTTTAATAATCATTTATCTTATATCATTAATTAAATAAGTTGCTTTATCTTCTAAAATGCTGACATTTTTAATAAAATCAGTAAAATGTCCTTTAAATAAAGGATGTCGATAGATCTCATCCCAAGACAATCTATCTTTTTCTTCAGCCTATAAACACCCAATTAAAAATTCTTAAGCTTCTTTAGAGATTTAAGGTCCTTTAAACTATAATGGTTGACTTCTAATATTTTTTAAGAGTTCTTAAGGTGATCTAGCAGTCCAAGGAGCTAAATAAAAAGAAGAATATTTACTTTTACCAAATAGTGCTTCATAAAAGATAAAAGCAATACTCCAAATATCAGTTTTGGAAGTATATTTCTTATTATCTAATATTTATGGTGACATATATAATGGTGTTCCTACTAATGATGCTAACATATCCTTTTTAAAATTGTCTACACATTTTGCAAATCCAAAATCTGCTAATTTGAAAGTCTATAATATAAATTGTAATATATACTCCTTTATCAATTAAAATATTGGCTGGTTTCAAATCTCTATGAATAATACCATTTTTTATTAGTTAAATGAATCCATTCAAAATATCAATCATAAATTTGACAGCATCTTTTTCAGGCATAGTTTTCTTTTAAGCTACATAACTAATGATATAACATTATAAATACTTCTCAATCAATTTATCTAGATCTCCACTATCACAATATTCCTGAATTATATAATAATTATTATTGGTTTCCATCACATCCATTAATTATACTATGTTTGGACTCTTCAATTTCTACATCACTTTTATCTCAGAGATCAAACCTTCTCTTAAATAATCGTCTCTAAATTTCGATCAATCTAAAATACGCATTTATAACAGATTTGTTTAACACTTTTATAGCTACCTTTACTCCTGTCTTTTCATCTCTTCCTCTGAACACTTAAGCATAAGAACCCTCCCCAATAAGATCCTTAGGATTGAATAGATATTTGTCAATTCTTTTCTCCCCCATAAAATAAAATAAATTCAATCATCTTCATCATAATAATATTCATCATCCAATCTTATAATTAAACCTCTCTAACACACCTTTAATTCATTTTCTTTACATATTATTGTCCTTTCTTTCTCCTCTTCTCCCAAATATCATTTCATATCTTAAAATAACTCTTTTTAAACTAGTTCAATAGATCTAATATTATACATAGACTTAATTTCTCAAAATTTAGAGACGTCATATACAAAAATCGCTTTTGTTCTGATTTCTTTAAATTGTTATTTAATCTACAAGTAACCGTATTCACTTTCCAAATATTATTTAGATTTATAAAAAATATACATGAAAATAAACTAATAATCAATCAAAAAAATTGAATTAATTCAACAAATCCATTTCTTATTGTCTCTCTATTTTGAACTTGATTATTTTAATCATTAAATTTTGAGTAATTAATCAGAATTAAGATTGTTATTGGATAATTATTTCTATAAAATATTGTTTAATTAAAAATTTAAAAGAATTCAATTACTATATTTTCCAATAATCTTTTCCAAAATTTACTTCATAATGTTATCGTAATAATTATTCATTAATTATTTAAGTATTGCTCACTTAACTATTATATTGAAATTAAACATATCATTGTATTTTCTAATTAATTATCCCATACTTGAATTTGAATCTCAATTGATATATTCAGTATTAAAGATTATAATTTGAATTTTTTAGATTTTTGGTTATCAACAATTAAATTAGAATATTAAAATAAAAAAATATTTATGATATTTACAATCTAATTTATAGTTTTCTTATTTTGTAATATATTTCATTAAATGTTTGAGTCTTTCTCATTTTTCTTATTATTATTTTCTTAATATATTAATATTTCTTTAAATTTCAAATTAGCTCGCTCTAATGTATTTAGAAATTTCAATATTGAATAAATGCTTTAAAGTTTTAATTCTCTTCTTAATCAAAACTTTCAATTTTATCTTATTCTTTAGTTTATTTTTCACTAGAAATAGATTAAAAAAATGGAACCATAGTTTATTTATGCACTTATATTGATTTTGGATTATTAGTTTATCAAAGTAATTGAGAGTTGTTATAGTTTCAAATTAATTGTAAGGATTTCACACTATATTCTTGAACTGAATATATCAAAATCTAGGTTTAATAGGTTCAAGTTCATTATATTGATTCTCTTTGAAGAATTGATTAGTATAATAAATGATGTTAATAACTCAAAATAAGAGATCATTTTTGATATTAAGATCTGCTTATTTGATATTTATGATCCTAATAAAGAGTAGTGTAATATTCAATTGATTCAAGATTAATTCTTCTTTAGAATAATAATTGAGTTTTCAATTTAAAGATAGTATATGTTAAGGTGATTCAGAAAATAATATTTGATGCGATCTTAATCAAATGAGGTTATTGAATTAACGAAAGAATCATCTAATTTATCTACAATTTCAATTTAGTTCATTAATATTTATAATGAAAACTTGTAAAGATTGTTGAGTTAGAAGTATTTGGGTAAAGGAGAGTGAGATAAGGATTAATGCATAAAAGTCTGATTATTAATTAAATGAGAAAGATAGATTTAAAGAGAAGAGATTAGAGTAGTAGTAATATTATAAAAAAGAAGAGTTTTCTTGTGTTATTTGTTTGATTTGTAATGTTTTCTTTTTGCTTGGGATAGTATCTTCCTATATTATTCAAGTTTCTTTAATTATTAATCGATTGGCAGCAGCATAGAAAAATGAAATAAAGACCAAGACAGATCGATGCATCAAAACCAGTACTCACCATAAGTACTTTAGAAGCATTCAACAATGCTGAAGGACAAGAGGCAGAAATAAAAAATACAGAATAAATCATTACTCCAGATTAACTAATAAAAGAAAAGTATATTGCTCATATCTATTTAATTACAAAAAGAGGAGTCTAAGAGAGATGAATTCACTTTTCTCAAATGTGAAATCTCTTTCTTATACCTTCATACATGCCTTATTTATTTTTATATTATACTCATTATTATTTAGACCTAAATAATTTGAAGAGCCCACACTCAAATCATAATTACCTACAAGATGTCGTGAGGATTACATTTTATATAAGGCACCTGTTTATCCAGATGCCACTACTTATGAATTAACTGAAGAGGATGTACATTTCCTTTAAACAATCAATGAAAAGCTACAAATTCCTATTACCATTGAAGATTTTGAATTGTATCTAGCATTACTTGATGCTAAAAGTGGGAAAGATGTAGAAATAGATTTTAGTGAATTTCTTAAATTGAAACCTACTTTGCCAAGAACAATAAATCAACAAACAATTAACCTTTAAGAATTATTATATAACTATTTTAAGAAGCAAAGATAGCACTTTTCACGTTCACTTACAAGATTCTTAATGCATCCATATTATGAGGATAGTAATCCTCATTTAGCATTTCGTCCTAGGACATAACCTATGGATAGAACAATGAAATTAAGAAGAGGCAATCCTTAAAATACTAGAGGAGTTAATGAAATGGAAAATTTAGGTTAGAAAATAGTATTGTTGAAAAAAGATCTTTTGGTGGTTTCAAATATTATAGATTAAAGTATATAGAGAGAAAAAGCTATGGAAATAGAAAGGAGATTTAATTTTTGTAAATTTATTAAAGAATTCTTGGATTAATCTAAAAAAGAAAAAGATAATAATTCAGAAATTAGAGTATGGCCTAAAGATTGTTTTGTTAGGGATTCTTAAGATAGATGTTCAATTAATATTGTAGATAGGGCTGATGAAATGTTTGACAATATTTCAAAAGAAATTCTTTAATGGAGAGAATTGAATGAATAATAAAGAAAAGAAAAATTAAGAAAAGAGGATTAGATTCTCAAATTTGAAAAATAAATTGAAGATCTCATTTTAGAAAAACTCAAATTTGAAGAAAAACCACCTGTAATTATACCCCCTGTAATACCGTAACCTATTTAACCTTAATAACCCTAAATACCTGTAATTCCTTAAGAACCACCAGATGAAAAAATGGAAAGTGTAGCCAGATTTTTAGCAACTTTGTATTTAGAAGCTAGAAAATATCAATTAACTTTTGATTAAGTGTTATCAGATTCTTTTCCCATCTATAAGATTTAGAATCCTTAACAATAAGTTAATTCTAAAAGCATATTCCCTTTTTCTTTAATGTAAATTGAGGGAAACGACATTGTTTATAAAGTAAGAAAGGATAGTAGTTTAGAAAGAAAGACTAATGCTTATTGGGAGAGCTATTAAGATTAACAAATTACAAATACATTATATTATTAACATGAATATTTTAAAGAGAAAATAAATGATATTATGGAGATGGCAGATATGGATTAAATGGTTTATGTTCAAGGAGGGGATGATGATAAATTAGATGAAGAAGAAAAATTGTTTAAAAAAAAAGTAAAGAGCAGTTCATCTAGATTGACAGGTATAAATGGTGGTCAATTAAAATGATTATTAAACTTATTCGATATATAAAATATATAAAATAGATTTTTACAATTTTGTTAAAATAAATACAATGATAATTTAGTTATTTATATTGTATGTATATGAATGTACTTTGTATTAAACTCAATAGAAGAAACCAAGGATTTTACCACCAATATGTCTTTATCTAGCTTCCTCGTGAGTAAGAATGCCAACATTAGTAGTTAAGACAACACAACCAAATTGTCTGGCTGGTAATATATTGTTAGCCCATCTCTCGAATTCACCTAAAGTAACATCATAACGAGGTGAAATGACTCCACATTTATTAATGCGACCTTGCATATGTTACAATCGGTACCCAATAATTCTACTACAATTTTGCCACTTCTGTGATCATCGACAATTTCAAACTCTCCAATATATCCATGTCTCTACATGACTTATAAGAATTTCACAACTAATTTGGATGTTGGTCTAATTAAAACTTACTTTCTTCCTTATCTTTTCAAATAAAACAATTAATTGTACCTTTCAGCATTCACAATTGAACGAAGGCAATCATTTAGAACGTTCATCTTGACCATTTTAAATTAAAGATTTAAAAATATATTAATTATTTTTATATAATTGTTCTGAAAAAAAAAGAAAAAAATAAAGTTTTCATCATTATATTACTAATCATTATAAAGAAATGATTATTTTTAGATTACCAATTAATATAATGATTCATTATAATTAAACAGGAAAAAAGTTTAATAAAAACAATATTGTTATTAATAGAGTAAGAATTCAGAGTCCAATTCAGTCATGACAGAATTATTGTTGAATCTCAATTTTTCCCTTAGAAAGTTCATTGTTTATATAGTCTAAGATAATAAATAAGAATTATTGATTTTAAAAATCAGCAAGTTTTTATGCTCTTTATTAATCTAATATACAGATGGTGAATACAGCGCTGAATAAATTTTGATTACTATCTTTTTACCCTGGAGCATTAGCATATTTATTACTAACCGTACTTTATTCTTATGTAATTCCATTGATTACTTATCCTTCTTAATTTAAATAGACCCTTATGATAATTTAAGTGAAACATAAAAGATTGCTCAAGTTTTGGAACAGGATTTTAAACTTAAACAAAGTGAAATGAAATTCATTAAACCTTTTATGTGAAATAAAATATCAAGATTGTTATAAACATTTGGATTTAACTATTTACTTGTGCTAACAAGTTTTTTCTTTTTAAATCAAAATTTTCTAGAGCTCCTTTTGGATTATGTCAACTTTTTGAATAGTATGTCTTCTTTCTTCTACACAGATTTTGATAAAATCAAATAATTCAATCAATAATTTGATGAATTCTAGAGATAAATTATGGAAGGGTTTTCATCTTGTAGGATTGAAAAATTATGTTCAAACAAAATTTATTATCTTTTTATTTCTTTCTATGATAAATGATAATAGAATAATATAAAAAAAAAGAAAATATTATGCTCTTATTTTAACTCAGAAGTTGAAAAGGAATTAAAATAAATTAGAATATTAAAAAATAATCTAATTGAATATATGTAGTTTTATTGGTTGTAGAATTATCTCAATCAAATAATGATATTAATTTTCAATTAAAATAATAAAAAATACAAAATCTAAAAACATCTTTATTTTAGAACTTCAATTGTGATTCTCATAAAAATTAAAACTTTGAGATAAATAAACTTTTAAATATTATTCCTAACTAAGATTAATAAATTTAATAAAAAGAATTATAGCCAAAATTTAACAGAGAAACTACTGACTGAATAATTAATGTATCATTTTATCAGAATGGTAGGTTCTATTTTATCTTACAATCCTATGCTGTTTTTTAATAACATTTGAATTTACATCAATTTTACTTCATATTGATTTCTATAATCTTTTTTTCAAAATAATTCTTTATATTCTTATATTAGATATTATTCACAATATCAAAAAACCTTATATATTTTGAGAAATCATAGTTTGAAACTACTTAGTCTTAGCTTTGATATACATAGATTCAATATGAAGATATATTTATAATTATTTGTATTATAAATGATCATATTTTATTTTATTGATTATGACTAGGGTAAGATAATTTAATTAAAGTATTAATTTTCATAAAATCAAATATAGTTTAATGCACTTATAATAGAAAATAATATGAAGTATCTGAATTGAAGGATATTTTTGGATATTTAAATTCTGGAAGATTGTTGAATTTAATAAATTAAGTAGAGAGTTTTCTTCACATTGAACTTTAATAATGAAAGAAATCATTTCTATTCACATCGGTTAAGCAGGTATTTAAGTTGGTAATGCCTGTTGGGAATTATTCTGCTTAGAACACGGTATCCAGCCAGATGGTTAAATGGCATCAGACAAGAGATTCGAAGATATTGATGATGGCTTGAAAACCTTTTTTTCAGAAACAAGTGCAGAAAAGTATGTCCCAAGAGCTCTCTTTTTGGATTTGGAACCAACAATTATTGATGAAGTCAAAACAGGAACATACAGATAATTATTCCATCCAGGATATTTAATTTCAGGAAAGGAAGATGCTGCCGATATCTTCTCCAGAGGTTATTACAGTATTGGTAGGAAATTTGTTAATTTGTATGAAGACAGAATCAGAAAGTTGGCTGATAACTGCACAAATCTATAAGGTTTCTTGATTAGCCACTCAATCGGAGGAGGAACAGGATCAGGATTGGGTTCTCTTTTATTGGAAAGGTTATCTATCGATTATTGTAAGAAATCTAAATTGGCTTTCACTATTTATCCATCTCCAAAACTGTCAGCAGCCATCGTTGATCCATACAATTCCATTTTTTCAACCCACTCATTATTGGAACACACTGATATCTGTGTCATGTTTGATAATGAAGCTCTTTATGAAATTTGCAAAAGAAACTTGGATATTGAAATACCAAAATACTCTAACTTGAACAGATTGATTGCTCAAACCATTTCCTCATTGACAGTTTCAATGAGATTTAATGGTGCCTTGAATGTCGATATGCCTAGTCTCTAAACTAATTTAGTGCCATATCCAAGAATCCACTTTATGCTTTGCTCATATGCCCCAATCATCTCAGATGAAAAGGCTTATAATGAATATATCTAAGTACCTGAAATCACAAATTCAGCCTTCGAACCAGCCAACATGATGGCTACATGTGACCCAAGACATGGTAAATACATGGCTTGCTCAATGCTTTATAGAGGTGACGTAGTCTTAAAGGATGTCAATGCCTCTATTGCCATTATCAAGAAAAAGAAAACAATCTAATTCGTCGATTGGTGCCCAACTGGATTCAAGGTTGGAATTAATTATTAACCACCAACAATTGTTCCAGGAAGTGATTTTGCTAAGGCCAGGAGGGCTGTTTGTATGATCTCCAACACAACTGCTATTGCTGAAGTTTTCTCCAGACTTGATCATAAATTCGATCTTATGTATGCTAAGAGAGCCTTCGTTCACTGGTATGTCGGTGATCGTATGGATGAAGGGGAATTTTCAGAAGCCAGAGAAGATCTTGCTTGCTTAGAAAAGGATTATGAAGAAGTTGGTATGGATACTTTTGAAGTAGTAGATCAAGAAGGAGAACCTTGAAAAATGAATATATATAAATCAAATATTGAAACTATTAATATACTTTATAACTAACATTACTATTCAAGTATTTAACAATTGTCATTAAGAATAATAGATTGAGATAAAATAAATAAATAATAGAGAGATATTTTATCATAATTTATAATTTATAATCAATATCTTTAAATTATAACCAAATTTGAAATTTCAGATTTACCTCTATTAATTTTCACTACTTAAATGAAACTCTTAAGGTAACTTTAATAATAATTTTGAAAAGTGGGATTTTTTAACTGTTTGAATTGGATGTGACTATTTTTTATTGAGAGGTTAAAATCTTGAATTTTAACAAGGAATTTAATTATTTTGCTGATTAGTTCCATCATTTAAATTCAGTTGATTTCCAAAACTTACATTAAATATATTTTAATGTTCATTTCTAGTGTTTTCATTTATTACATTCTTTTTTGTTATCCTATGTTCTATATATGGTTCTGGGGTTTTAATTTATGGAAATCTAATATCATTTACCTTATTTCTCTATGATTCTACTGATTTTGGAATTTGAGGTAAAAATTACTCTTTTTATGGTGTTTAAATTTGGTTGATTTTTATTGTATGATCGCCAGATTATATTAATCTGTTTATTATTTATTATTTTTGTTTGTTCTCCAGAACTAATTACTCATTTTTTTTTTGTAAATATTCAATTACTTCTTTCTATTATTTTGGAGATAACAACCTAGGACTGACCTTATTTATCACCTCAGTCTAACTTACTAATGTTTTACCCTTTGTAAGACAGTTCTTAGGACTCCTATAAGAATGGATGCTTCCTTGTCCTTTGTGAAACAGTTTCTTACTATAATTAAAAATTCATACATCATCTTATGAGACTTCTAATACGTTTTTTCCTCTACCTTATTTTCTTTGTACAATTTCGTCATGAATGGATATTTTTCTGCATCCTTGAGCAGATAATTAAGATTTCATGCATAATTTGTTATTACAAGAAGTCAGAGTTGGCATAAAATGACTATTGTCTAAAAATTATCCCAAATTACTATATTTTTGAGAACTTTTCATTAAGATTAGAAAACTCTGCTATTTTAATTATTAATTGATTGTAAAGAAGACTTTAAAATTATTCATCAACTTAATAATTCTTACTGATTTCTACCAATACATATATATTTTAATAATATGATAATTTTAAGTAAGCTATAATAAACCAGAATTTTACTAAATCCCTTATATTAATTAAACTAAAACACATTGAATATTTTTAAATGTAGAAATATAAACAATTAATTTACTAAAATTATATAAACATTCAAAAATTTAATTAAAGGAATAGGTAGTTTGATGATAATAATCATTTTTTTCAATTAAATTCCACTCAATACATGTCTAAAAGAAAAAATATGACAATTAAAAATATGTGATATAATTTTTTAAAGAAATAATTATCATTCAAGTTAAATTAATATTAGAAAAATATAAAAGACTAGTGACAATACATAAATGGGTCTTCTAAGTTTTATTCAAACATACGTAATTTATATCATCGAAAAAGAAGCACTTCATTTCTTGGAAAAGGTGTATAGTAGCTTTTGATCTGTCACTTCTAAATAACTAATATTAATTAACTAAATTATAAAATGGTTGGTTAAAAATTTAAAAGTCTGAGGAGATAGAAGAAATATTCAAAACATTAAAATAATTATATAAAGAAATCCTATATTCCTTTATTAATTGTTCTCGATTTTTTGTGATTATTTATCAGAAAAGAAAAGTGTTAATTTTAAATAAATTTAATATCTTTTATTAAGTATGCCTATTTTGAGAAGAAAAGATCAATAGAAAGCCAAAAATTTGAACTTGAAATTCATTATTGACTGCACAGAACCAAAGGAAGATAAAGTAATTCATAGTGGCATAATTCCCTATGATAGGTTTTGAACTTGGATGAATTTGTGAGCTATCTTCAATCCAGAATCAAGGTTTAAGGAAAGACCGGAAATCTTGGTAACGATGTCACAGTTACTGCCGAATAAGAGAAAGTTGTTGTCACATCCACAATCCCATTCTCCAAGAGATACCTCAAATATTTAACAAAGAAATATTTGAAATAAGAAACCTTAAGAGAGTATTTGTATGTGCATTCACTTGACAAATCCACATACTAATTGAAGTATTTCAATGTAGGCTAAGATGAAGAAGAATAAAAATGATCAATATGACATTTTTTTAGTACATTAATCACAGATCAATTATATATTATTTATATTGTGGTATTCTATACATCAATAGAATCACTAGTCATAATTATATATTATTAATTTTCATTATTAACTTAATAAAAACTCAAACACATTTTATTAATTGTTAATTTTCATTAATTATTAGAATAGTTTACCTACACTTTTGTATTTCTAAATTATGAGATCAACATCTTTCTTATAAAATTATAATTATTAATCATTAAAAGTTGAAAATATCATTCTTCTCTATTAATCTTTTGTTTTCCATGATGTACTAAAAGCAATTAATTAAATAATTATTTTTAATTAGCAATTTCCTTTAAATGCTCCACATCCCCATTTTCCAGTTGAAATAGGTAACAAAAAATCCTCTTCTTCAGCTGATTAAGATAATGAAAATCCTATAAAAGCCTTGTTAAGGTCTCTTAAAATTGATTTTTGTTAGAATTGTAAAGGAGGATAATAACCATAATTTTCAGCATCCAAAACTAGAATACTCTGATTTAAATTCTAAGGTTCTCTTTCAAGAAAATGAAAGGAATATCCATATCCCAAATAATCACAATATCTGATAGTATTTTTTATAATAACAACTTCCTTTTTACCTAAGGCATTACAAAATAAAACAGCAATTATATTTTCTGGCATTATTGTAAATAGGATCTCTTCTTAAACACAACCTTAATATAACACTCCTCCACCCACATATTTATTTGCAAAATCAACAATTATAGAGTTATATTATTCTTCTATATTTGAATCAACAAAATCAAATGTTTAAAGACTTTTATCACAATTACACCATAATTCTATATCTAAAATTTAATTGGCTTAACTATTAGGGAAGAATTGATGAATATGATAATTCACATTAAAGCCTATTCTTTCTATAGTAATTATTTCATTTTCTAATTCTTGATTTGCCATAATGAAATAATGAAGATAACATTTAGTTTTTTCAGGTTCCCCTTGTAATATGTAATTTAGAGTACAAGGAGATGTAAAAGATTCATGTTATTCTTCTAACAATCCAAAGAATGCTAATGATAAAAATTGATAAATTTCTTTTCTTGTGAATTGAATAATTCCTTCAGATATTAGTAATTATTTTTAAGGAGATAAATTAAGCAATTCCAAAGAATATTAAGCCATTTTTGGAAGAGCATTCTAAAAAAATAAAACTCTAGAATTTTAATCTAATTGTGAAATTGCAGTTTCTAAGCCAAAAAACTTTTTTTTTGTCTAGCCATTTAAAATTTGAATAAGAGGAAAAGAAGAGAATTGATCTTTTGGAGATAGTAATTCTGTTAATAAATATTTTTATTCTTCTGACAAAGTATGATATTTGTACATCATTTTATAGTTTTCATCTTTTTAATTCATAATTAAATAAATATATGTGTCTAATTATAATCATTACTGTAAATATTTTTCATATCTCTCCACATTTCTTTTGAGTACTTCCTCAAGGGGACCCATCAATCTACTAAATGAATTGAAATCACAATATAATAACACAACATCAGTCTAAATTTTTATATTTTAAATACTTTAGCTACTACAGTAGCTTATCTTGGAGAGTTCTTTAGAAGAGCCAATTCTCCAAAATAATCTCCTGGTTTATAATCATAAACTTTTTCACTCTAACCTTTCCAATAAGCTTCTAATTCTCCTTCAATAATCAAATAAATCCTATCTCCAATTTCACCCTTTTTTTTTAATTTAATAAATACTTCATTAATGATGGTTTCACCTGCCTTATGTTTTTCCTCTTTTAGCACATCGCATAATTATAATCGTTCATAATTATCCATAGATTATAATAGTTCAATTTTATTAAGGATTTCTTCCATTTACTCTCTCTTTTTTATTGCAGAGAACTTGACAATATTGTTAAAAGTTTCTCTATCCAAAGCAAATGTTGTGACTTCCTCTATAGCTTTAATAGTAGCTGCTCTTGGAGCGTTGTATAATAAGGCCAATTCTCCAAAAGACTCTCCAGGAATATAAGTCTTTAACAATTTCTCTTCCTCCAATCCTGTAAACTTTTTGTAACATTCCAATCTTCCTTCATCAATAACATATAACTCATTTCCATCATCTCCTTGCTTTATAACAATGTCTCCAACTCTTAATTAAGTAAATGATAAATCTTACTGAAATTTCTTTTCATCCATAGCTCCTAATACAATATTCAGATCCTTTTCATCCAAAGCTTAAAACATAAATGAATTTAAGATTCTTTTCTTTATCCTTTCGATTTAGGCTTCCGATTTCTATATAAATCTTGGCTTAAAATCTTCCTTTTTATTGTAATCTCCATAAACTTCAGCGGAAACTGCTGCTCTAGTTTGTTGCTTTTATTGTTGTTTTATCTCTAAAACTACTTCCTCCTCCTCCTCTTCTTCTTCACTGAGATCATGATGTACATGCTACTCCACTTAGACACCACTTTCTTAAATCATTAAAGTCAATAATTACATTGTTTTTGCAACCAATTTATAGACCATCCATATACATCATCTGGTTTCTCTATGACTATCCTAGCTATTAGTTAATCGAACACAGGCTTCACCTTGTTTGTGATATATTCCTGAATAGTAACTTTTTTCTAGCTCATAATCAATATTTAAATTTAATCAATATATTCATAGAAAATCAAGCTTAATACCTCTAGAACATATATAAAACTTTCATTTTTACACATATATATAAATCTATCATAATAACTAAACTACTTTGAAATTTAATATTTATATAAATAAATAGCATATATGAGAAAGAAGGTGTCAACTTTGTTGGATTATCAAGAATGTAAATAGCAACATCTCCTTAATTATCTCAACACTTTAGAGGAGAAGGATTAGGAGAAGTTATTGGAAAAATTGGAATCCATAAATATTAGAAATCTACAAAATGTAAACTAACATTACTAATCTAGGTCTATAGTCATTATAAAGAAAAGCCTAAAGAAAATCGTGAACTAAATCCTATACAAAATGTTCTGCGAGTTGCTTCTACTCCTAAAGAAACTCTTCAGCAGTACTAAAAATTGGGAGAAAAATTAATTTCAGAAGGAAAGGGTATAGATAAATTTAATATTAAGTTTGTGTGGCAATGATGGCAGGAGGTTAAGGTACCAGATTGGGTTTTAATAAGGCAAAGGGTATGTATGATATTGGTTTGCCTTCTCATAAAACTTTATTTCAAATTTTTTGTGAACGCATTTTAAGTCTCTAGAATATGATACAAATTAGAATTGGATAGTGCTTACCTATTTAGTTTTTTATCATGACTTCAGATGTTAATCATGAAGAAACTACACAGTTTTTTATTGAAAATAATTACTTCAATCTTCAATCTGATCAAATTACTTTTTTTCAATAGGATTCCTTACCTATTTTGTCAACAAATGGAGACATACTTTTAAATGATTGCACATCAATATTGGAAGGACCTGATGGTAAGAATATTCATTCTATTTTTGAAAAGGAAATGGAGGAATTTTTAGTAGTCTTTACAATCAAGGTTATTTGGATTATATGAAATGTTTGGGCATCAAATATATTCATATATGTCCAGTAGATAATGTTCTTTGTAAATTATGTGATCCAATTTGGATTGGATATGTAGAAGCAAATAATTTAACTATTTGTAGTAAATTTGTTAAGAAGGCACATGCAGAGGAAAAGGTAGGAATTCATGCATTAATTAATGATAAACCTTGTGTAATAGGTAAATATTTAAAATTAGATTAGAGTATAGTGAAATGACATAGGAAGATTTACATAAAAGGAATGATTAAGGTGACTTACTTTATGATGCAGGAGGTATAGCTTAAATGATCTGTACTGTTGAATTTACACATAAGATAATCGAAGATCCATAAACAAGTAGTAAATTAGCTGCTAAGTAATTTTATTATAGAAATAAGTTACCATGTTGCATAAAAGAAATATGATTATTATGATTTAAACTAGAGAAAAGTTATTAAACCAGATATTCAAAATGCTTTGAAATTTGAACTCTTTTTTTTTGATTGTTTTCCTCTTTGTCCTAAAGAATAATTTGGTTTAATTGAAGTAAAAAGGGAAGAGGAGTTTGCTCCTGTTAAAAATGCTCCTGGAGACAAGAGTGATACCCCAGAAACAGCCAAAAAATTATATTTAGATAGAGATTAAAAATGGATTAAAAATTGTGGCTTTTAATTTCCTTAATAAGTTGAAATATCAGCTAAGATTACATATTTTGGGGAAGGCCTTGAAAATATATTACCAAAATACTTAGGTAATAAATAAAATCCTTTAATAATAACAAATGATAGATTATCAGCATAAAAATAACCACAATTAGTTAAATAGCCATAAGTAAAATAATAGCCATTACAATAGCCATAATAATAATAATAATAATAATAATAATAATAATAATAATAATAATAATAATAATAATAATAATAATAATAATAATAATAATAATAATAATCATAATAATAATAATAATAATAATAATAATAATAATAATAATAATAATAATAATAATAATAATAATAATAATAATAATAATAATAATAATAATAATAATAATAATAATAATAATAATAATAATAATAATAATAATAATAATAATAATAATAATAATAATAATAATAATAATAATAATAATAATAATAATAATAATAATAATAATAATAATAATAATAATAATAATAATAATAATAATAATAATAATAATAATAATAATAATAATAATAATAATAATAATAATAATAATAATAATAATAATAATAATAATAATAATAATAATAATAATAATAATAATAATAATAATAATAATAATAATAATAATAATAATAATAATAATAATAATAATAATAATAATAATAATAATAATAATAATAATAATAATAATAATAATAATAATAATAATAATAATAATAATAATAATAATAATAATAATAATAATAATAATAATAATAATAATAATAATAATAATAATAATAATAATAATAATAATAATAATAATAATAATAATAATAATAATAATAATAATAATAATAATAATAATAATAATAATAATAATAATAATCTAAACAACCAATAAAATAATAATAAAAAATTGGAATTTCAAATTAATAATTCTATCCATAAGTTATTTATAATTAATTAATTAATTCAGTTAATCTTTCTGTATTACAACCTAATTATTACCCATATCAATCAACTCCTCAAAACCCTAAGAATATTTTAATTTAAGATAACCATGTTCGTTAAAGTCAAGCCTTTAACCCCAGATTATCTATACAACATCAAACTGCATCATAATAATAACTAAAATAAGTAAAAGCAACTGCATTTCCTACTTAAGGAATTTCTACTGTTACTAATCCAAAATAAATAAATCCTTAAACCAGATATCAACCAATAATGCAATCTTAAAATCTACTTAATACTAAATAAAGCATCATCTAACCAGTATAAATTAATTCATCTTTGTCTCCTCAAAGAGTGACATCATATTTCAATTAAAGAGCTTTAACTGTACAGAGACCTACTATGTTTGCCTAATAACGTCCTTTTACATTATCAGCATAACAATATGTACCAATAACAACAATAAAAAATTGAGTAAAATATTAAAATATTTAATTATTAAAAACATAATAGTAATATCAGAAACTCAAAATGGGCCATCTTATTAATTAGAATGATTATCTTCCTCTTATCTTTTCACTAAATATCCTTCAATTTATCGTCCTATTGCTTTCAATTCAAGAGTAACATTCAATTCAAATTTAAACAAATTTCCATAATCTTCTTCTAAATACTTCTTTGTTTACTAACTAACTTATACATACCCTTTAACTCCATTTGATTCCATCTTATTTGCTATGAGTACATCTGGCCCATAGATATCATATCTCACAATATCTGTACCCATAACTCCTCCAAATACAGGTCCTGTATGAACTCCTATTCTCATATTAAGTCCATCAAAATTGATTTATTTCCTGACTTAAGCAATTATATTGATCATTTCAAAAGCTAAATCAATAATATTTTTAGCTTCTTAATGAGGATTTCTATTATGATAATCAATCATTCCAATGGCCACATAACAATCACCAATAGTATATAATTTATAAACATTCAAATCACAACATTTCCTATCAAATTCAACAAATAAATTTTTGAGCATAACTAATACTTCTTCTGGTTTTACTTTACTAGAATATTCAGTAAAACCAGCTATATCTGCAAATAATATTGTTAGATCATCAATTTTATCACAAATTCCAATATTACCAATTCTGTCATCTAAAAATTTATTGAGAATATGTTTTGGTAATAAATATTAAAGTAATTGTGATTCTTTTTATTATTAAGTTTTGAATATAATTTTTTAATTAAAACAACCTACTTATTATTATTCAATCAATAAAATTAACATGATATTATACAAAGAGCTAACTATGATAAAGTATATTGATATAATTTAAGTTCCATCTATTGCTAAGATTATTGTAAAATAAAATGCAATTGCAATACAAAATAATACTTTAATCCAAAAACTTAGTATTTAAATACTACAAAACAATGATTAAATAAATATTATTTCATAGATATGAATATTTTTTAAGTAATCATCTTCATCTAATATAATCACTAATCCACTAAGTAAAGCTTCAAAACATAATAGTAATTTAATGAATAATTTCCATTTTTCAAAAAGAGTTTTATCATTTACTAAAAATTGTATTAAATTAAGTAAACAACAAAACCATTATAATATAATCATACCTAAATTCAAATTTCCATAAAATTAAATTTGACAAAACAATTTAATCATATAATAAAGTACATAAATTCTCAAATTTTAAACAGTTTGATTTTTTGATTAAATCTTTACAAATTCTTAATATTATTCATAACTAACAAATTGATTCATTTATTTTTTATAATAGGATATTTACAATAATTAAATAAATGAAGTTTCTTTAATTATATTGTGTTCTAGTGTATATTCATTTTTTAATAAAATGACATTCTCTAATTAATTTATGTATTATTACCAATAATTATTCATAATCAATTAATTCATCTATTTCTGGTTCATAATTTTCAAGTTAAAATTTATTCTAAAGCATAGTTACTAATCTTTTAAATGTACTTGGTTTAGCTTGTGATTACTTAATGTGATTCTCATCAGATCCTTATTTTGATAATAATTAAATTGAATGTCTTGATTTATCTTCATATGGTTAATAATAAGTTGGATCTATTGGTTTAATACCAAAAACATTAGGAGCTCCTTATTCTTGCATTGAATCCATTTTCTATTTCATAGTATCAATCTATGTTAATATAGTTTTTCTTTTTTTTAGATCCTTCTTAAAAATTTCAGGATTCTTTCTAACAAAATATTAGCTTCTAGCTTCCTTACTTTAAGCATCTTACTCTATTTACATTTAAAATTAATTTTCCTTATTTTAAATTTTACATTTATAAATATATGTTGGTCTAATACCTAAACCTTTCATTTCAACATTTCTTATTTCAAACTCAATATTTTCATTTTTTAATTAATCAAATGCTTATTCTGATAATGTAATACTATCTTCTAAACCAGTCGAACAAACTCTACTGGTAGTATTAACAGTATCACCAATCAGTGAAAATTGAGGCTTATGAAATCCTATAACTCCGCTTATAGCTCCTCCATAATGAATACCAATTTTACCAACTAATTATTATCCCTTATATCCCCACCTATTGTCATAAAAAAACTTACATCTTTGATCTGATATATATCATCATCTATTCGGCCAAATTTAAAGCTCTTTAAACTGGGTCAACCTGAGATAAATAAGTCAATTCTTATTCACATGCTTTTAGACCAGCAGATGCTAAATAAGTCTTGCCAACTGTTTCTATTTTTTAAACTCCATAAATTTAACAATATTTATCAAATGTTCTAAAGATATCATCCAAAAAAGTAATAATTTTATCTTTTTCTTCAATAACCATTTAATCAAAATTACAAATATCACAAAATACAATTGCTACTAAACCTTAATTTTAATGAATATTATATTGATCAGCTATTATAATTTAATATAATTAATTACTTTCATTTAATCTATCTCGAATGAATTTAGGTAATAAAATACCTAATATATCATTAATCTTATTATTTTATTCAATGAAATTCAATTTATTTTAGGCTTAATCTTCTTCTAATTAAATAAACTTAAAGTATAATTTGAATAATTTACATAACTTTTTACAAAGTATTATAAAACAGAAAAAAGAATTAAGAATTATATAACAGCAATCTAATTTGAAATAATAGAATCATTTTCAACTATATACCAAGCAATATATCCAATCATTGTTGCAACAGCTGTTGTAATGTATACTCTAAAGTCATAAATGGGATGAAATTTTATTGACAATTCATAAACTATAAAAAATTCAATTGTCAAAATAGAATTGATATTATCAACAGATTTCATTACAAATAATATAGATATAGTAGCAGCTGTTGATAAAAAGAATTTTCCATATTCTAAATATTCTTATTAATTTGTTGGTAATTTAATTAAGAGTTATATAGCAAAATAAAATGCTTGTAGACAAAAGATGATTAAATAATCAACTAAAAAAAACTCTTTTCTATCTTAATAAAAGTACATTATAATTATAAATGTGCTATGATAGAATAGTAATTAGAAACTTTAAATGATTTATTTCTTCTTCCACATTAATATTGTTTAAGCTTTTTTGAATATCTATTGACGCCATTATCCAAATTTACTTGAATTATTTTATTAATTTAAAAGCACTAATAAATAAAATTAGATATAATACATTTTTAAATACTCAAATCTACTTATTCAATATTTTCAAAAAGTTCATTCACTCTATTTTATAAAATAGTCAATGTTTTCTTTTTTTATTTTGTTGTAATCATCATTTAAACATAATTTAAATATGAAAGAAAATCATCATTAAAGATAGGTATACTGATACTATGTTAAATTTACAAGTAATCAAAAATAAGATTTGTTATTAATAGAAAGGTTGTACCTAAAATAATTGAAAATACATCTTAAGTATCTATTTATTAATTCCATTCATCATTTTATGTCATATCTAATAATATATAGATGTAAAATATGATAGGAAAAAGAGCAGCTAAAATGATTGCTTCTATCATATTCAAATTAATTATCAAATATAACCAATCATTAATACTAATAGACATAAAAATATATAAATAGTATTCTAAATCATACATTTTATATATAAAAATGCATGAAATAAGAAGACCTTGAATAATATGTTTTAAAATCATAATTAAAATACTATCCATTGATGATTTATGTTATGAATATTTTTACAATAATATTGATTAATCTTTACTATCTTTTAATTTCTTTGATTGATCAACAAAAGAATAATGTTGTAGTGAAAACAAAAAAAATTAGTATATATAGAAATAAAATATGATTTCTATTAAATAATCCATATAATCTAAAGTATACCAAGTATAAATGATTGTAACAAAAGTAAAGGATGTAACAAAAGTTATTGTTTTGTAAAATGTTTATTAATATAAAGCTCTAAAGAATATTTTCAAAAGAGGACTCTAAAAGAATAGAAGTCTATCTAATTCTTTATAACCTTGTATAATGACATCAGTATTAGAATTGATTTGCATTTCATTGAAGTAGCATTTTTCAAATATCAATCTCTATTATAATGATGTAATAAGTGATGTAAAGAAATGTTTTTTATCTACTTTCTCTATTTTTTAATTTTTAAACAAACTGAATTATTATAATTACAATATTTGTAATTAGCATCCACTTAAACAACGTAATAAACTTTAGTTTTCATATAATAAATTAATAGTTTTATCTGAAGTACACCAAATATCTTAAATAGTATTTAATTAATCCTGAGTTGCCTAATATAGAAATAACACTTTAGTGAAACTAAGAATTAATTTTAGATTATTCTTAAAATAGTGATTTTCCATTATATATTATAATGATTAATTGTTCATCATTACTATTATTTTCTTGGTTCTAGGTTTTTCTTCAACCACTTAATCTACAGTTATTTATTTTTAAGAACTAAGAGCTTAGATTTTAATAAATTAGGAAGAATTAATGCTTGCATGACCAAATGTATTAGAAAAATCTTATAGACTCTATTTAAAATAAGCACGTAAATCTTCTTCGTTTTATTAATTGAAATGTAAGACCAAATCATTCTATAATAAAAGTTCTGACTAATACAATATAGAAGTAGAAAAGATCTCCTAATTTTATGTGTATACAAACATTTGATAATCAGATTTTCTAATATTTTTCATAAAATCTTAACATTCAGGTTTTAATGTATATTTAAGTCCCAAAATAATATTTAATTTGAATACTTATTCCATTAAAGTATATAACTAATTATCTGGAGTATTACTCTCTACTGATTATAAAAATACACTTGCACTTTCTTAGGTTAAATAACAATATGAATAATAAATGTAATGAAGTGAATCATATTGATGTTTCCAAACTTTATCATCTATTCCTTCATTTTTCTTTACATTTCCTTCTCTTAAAAAAAGTATAAATTATTTATCATTATCTTAATAAAAATCAACCATTTCAAATAACATAAATAATCTTTGTCTTTAAATATCTAATTTAGTTATGACCAATTTAAATGAATGTAATTCTTCATTAATCTATATAATATAATGTTAGACATTCCTAATTATCATATTGAATATATTTACTAAACATTATTAACGCATAAGAATTCATAACCCATGGCTTTTGCTAAACTTACTTATTTCTAATCTAATTATCCTAAAAACTTATTTTTAACTTTTTATTCTTTCTTTTCTGTTATTAATAATTTAGAAAAAGCAAGATGATTCATTGCTAATTATAATAATAATGGATTTAATTCATCTGGATCATTATTTCTCATCATATTCTTACATAAGTTTTCCTCATCTATAAAATAATCTTCCTATTTAAATTGATCTTTTGAAGATTAATATCCTTTAGAATTTCTAATAGGATTAGATGTTCTTTATATTGTTTCATTATAACCATCATGATTTTCAACTAATGTTTTGTCTTTTGATGTTTATTCATGTTAGATTAAAGCCATTTAATTTGAATTTAAATCTTCTTTTGATTCTGATTATTAATAATAAATAAATCTCCCTTCAACTGATTTTGGAATCTAATTTATAATACATTCTCTTTAACTCATCAATTCGTCTGAACATGAACTTTACATAAGGTAATTTATAACTTATGATCCTTATTGAATTTCCTCTTATTCTATAAAAATTTATAATTAAAAAATATACCTTCTTTTTCAGCATTTTTGACTTCACTTTATGCTTTAATACCTGAACAAATTTAAATTAAAAATTAAAAAAACTTTTGTTCTTCAAATTCACATAATTTATTATCGTATATTATACATTTTAATTAAAAGGATTATTCAATAAATGCATCTACACTTACAGTTAAATATTATTTATCTATATATTTATCAATATGACAAGACATAATTTATTTTTAATCTATAGTTCCTATTCCTTTTAATTAAATAATACTACACATTTTATAGTATATTTTATAGAAATGAGGTACCATCAAAATCAAATAAATACAATTATCAATTATAATTTAAGTAATTGATCTTAAATTCCTTAAAAATTCATTTTAATTGTAAACTATTATTTAAATCTTAAGTTTATTTTAATTATTACAATAATTATGACCAAAACCATAATGTAATATGGCACAAACTATGTATTCTCGAATCTAAGTTCACCTAAAAATCTAGCATAACATTGACAACTATTTCCAACTTTTACTACTATTCCCAATACCCATGGAGTGGCCAATAATCTTTCTTAACAAAAAATAAAATTCTCAAATCCAAATATTCTGGATTAAGGATCCTTTTTTAATTAAAAGAACCCTTTAATTTAAAAATTATGTTCATGACATACAATATTACCTGTCAAAGATTTTTTAAATTAGGCTAAATTCTAAGAATCAGCTTATATTATAATTTAATATGTTACATCTATTTTAAACAACTGGTTTTCTGACTGTTGTTGATGAATAATCACATAATTAATGTTATACACAAAAGTTTTCATCATTACAATGCAAAACAAGTATATCACAAGGTGCTCTTTGATTTCTTTCTAATATAATCACATCACCTATCATTATATTTTCAACATTTTAGATTTTAATTAAATTCATTTTATCTTTTTCCATTTTCTTTAATTTTTCATTTATAGGTATTCTTTATGCAGTTGGTGTAGAATCTTTTAAAAACATACTAGGAACTGTTTTTTTTATTTCAATTATTAAAGGATCATCCTCCATAATTTAAACTTATTTTAATTTTAATGCCATATCTTTATATATCAATGGACTCATTTGATTATATTTATTAGCATTATCAGTTCTAATATTTTTATTGCTTTATTGCTACTTATATGATATATTTTAGAATGGAATAGATACATTAGCTTAAAAATAATTATAAAAATTACAAACAATAGTTCCTTTTTTCTAATATTATACATTCTCCACTTTTTTTACTTAAGAGTTTTTATCAACTTAAGATTTACTCTTTTACCTTTAATTACTTTCACTTTAATCTTGCTTATTTAATCTTTCTTTTATTTTTTCAATTATCTCTTTATTTACAATACATTCATCCCATTATTTTAATACTCTTGCCTCTTAACTATTAACCATTTAATCCATTTTTCTAATTTTTATAAAATTATGTAAATCAACTAACCATTACTGTATTACCAATAAAATTCCCACAAAATATAAGGCCTATGATGAGAAAACTTATAAAATAAGGAGGAGAAAGTAAATAATATTTTCCTTAAGAGTCCTAAGAGGAATAATAAAATTCAGATTGGCTCTTTTTATTTTATTTCCATTCTCATTATACCCATCTTATAAAACTGTCTCTCCATTCCGAAATTAAATCTTAATAATACTATTTTTATTTAGATAGTACTTGATATGTGTTTTTTTTCTTTTCATTATTCTTCCTATAATTCAGAAATAATTATTTCATTTTAATTTATAACAGAATGTTAATCAATTAAGAACTCAAGTTTGACTCTAAATTGTCAACTAATTATAAAAATTTATAGTCTGACACTATATAAAAAGATGAGATAGAAAAATTGAAATTAAAAAATGAAAACTTGTAATAAAATATAATAGAAATGCATTAATAATAAGAAGTTATCAAAAATGCGTTAATTGAGCCTTAATCTAGATTGAAGAATAACCTATCATTCATAGATGATTCAAAGGATTAATTCAATGAAACTAAGAAATTAGATGCTAATATTCCAATCAATTAAACAAAATTAAGTAATTCTCTAAATAAATTTTTGGATTTAAGTATTTCTACATAAGAATCTTAATACTAAATCTAAAGTCTTAAATTCTAACCTATTGCTTCATTCTTAATAGATATCCAATTAAAGGAACATTATCTTTAAAATTTTATTGATTTAAGAATTTATGATAATGTAAGTCTGTATAACTCTTTACCATCCATAAATCAATGTAAATATCTTTTAAATAAGTATGGTATCGATAGGTTAGGATTTTAAAGAAGAATTTTGTTTAGATTGGATGAATGTAAGTATATCTAAATAATTTATAGAAATGGGATTATTTTCTAAAAATAATTTAGTTTAAAATCTTGAACTTTACTATAATTAAATACCTACAATAAAGGAATGGTTAGAATCAATTAATTATTAACATTATTATTATAATTTTAAACTTGCTGGTTATGATAATTTTAAATATTTAATTTATTAAGAGCATACCTAATATTAATTATCTCTTTCAGATTTTAAAGAATAATTTAGTATTAATAATGAATCTGATTCTAAATTAATATTAGCAAATCTAATTATAAGTAATAATGTAAATGTTATTATTAGTTTGTGATAATATTAAGAATTTAAATACATTTAATGTTTAAACATCAAAGAAAGTAATAGAATAAGATATTTGTTTAGTTTAATGCGCATTACCTAATAATAAATGTGTAATTTTTTGAAAAATTGAATTAATTAATTAATTAATTAGTTAATTTTAGATCATTTATTATATTTTTGTCTTTCTAGAATTTCTATAATTTCCTAATTTTGATAAAGTTAACTAAGTTATTATACTGATTTTCCATTCTTAGTTAATAAATCAGTTCTAGCACCATTTTTTAACAGAAGTATTAATAACAATGGATTTTATTTCTTGATTGCTAAATGAATTGCGTAGAATCCTTTCTAAAATAATTTTTTTCACAAAAAGTACTTCATCAGGTGTGTTTATAATGGATGTATCAAAAGATTTCTCTTAAAATAATGAATTTAATGCTTTGCAATCACAATTTTAGATTAATCTAAAGAAATATTATTATTTTTCTGATATTTCAGGTTTTTTAAATCTTTCTACTAATTAATCAATATTAGCTTTTGATTCTAATATTTTGGATGACATATATTAAGTAACATCTTCTACTTCCATAAATTGAATAGATGGTTTACGACAATGTTAAGGATTTAAAATGCTAGATTACCTTTGTAACAATGATGTTTTTTTTTATACTTTTTTCTTAGGTTCTATATTAAGTAAATTATGTAATTATCTTTTTCCTTATAAATTAATTTTCTTAAGATCATTTATAGTGGGATCTATTAGATATGTTCCATTAAAGACTTTAGAAGTGTTTATTTTAGATCTTAGACATTGTTTTCTATTTTATATATATATATTAAATTGTACAATTGTTCTTCAACCGACATAAAATCTATTTCTTCCTAACTCAATTCAATTTAATTCTTTTCATTTGAATTTATACTTTCAGGATTTCTTTAGGTTTTAATCTTGATTTACTTATAAATTTACTTTAGATAATATATTTTTGGCTTATTATTATTCAAATCTACTAGAATAAGGCTATGTATAGACATCTTTTAATATAGAAAGATCTTATGAATTTAGTTTACTCATTTTAAGTAAATTTAATTGAACTATTTTCTAGTCAATTACTCCAGATTTTAAATATTCTGATAGAGCTTGCTTATGAATTCTATAAAGAACATTTTCTCCAAGATGTAATCTTCTTCCATTTAAAGAATCTGATTTATTGCTTATATGGCAGTTTATACTCTAACTTGTCAATCTTGGTAAAGAATGCATTTCAGCGAATTAATTAATAAAATTATAATATATTTGAAATCTAAGTAATAATATTTATGGTATATTAAATAATTCTTTGATTATAAATTTAACGTATACATTATAAAGTTTTATATATGACCAATCAAATATAATAACTAAATGTAACTGTTTTTAATCAAAATTATTCAAAATGTTAATGACACTCTGTTTTTTTATTTCTGAATATAAAATTTACTCCTAGAGGAGAGGGATTACTTTCTAGATCTGATTCATAATCTTTTTCAAATTCATTGAATAAATTAAATTCCTCTTCTAATTTTATCATTGAAGTTTCATCTTATTTTTAAAAATTTGATTAATTTGATATTGAATGTTATCCTATTTCATTAATTTCATTATCTTATTTGATATGGCATAAACCAATCATATCTGATTGATCTTATAAACCAGAATTATCTAAATTTTTATTTTTTTATTTTGCTTTTTTATTTTCTTAGACTTTCTAATTTTTTAATATTGTTTTGAGTCTTTTCGAATTTTTTCTTAAGTAATTTCTTAATACACCCATTTTTTCATTTGCAAATTGATTTACATCTGTCAGCAATTATACTTTTTTAAATAGCTAGTTATAATCTTCTAAACTTTTTTTAGGAATTCCTATTATCTCAGCTGCTTTATTCAGGGTTAATCTCATAGTAGTACCATCAGATTAAGGAATTCCATTAAGGAGAATCATTTTCCATTGATGTACTTTCATTATTGCATCTCCTACTAGTCTTTCTTTAACTCTTTTAAGTGGTGGTATTGAATTATCAAAAGTGAATGGATTCATTTAGTATAAAGTAAATATTATTAAATGATTGAAATAACAAAAACACATTTAAACTGTAATTTATGATGATTAATTTAATTACTTAACATATCTTCATCAGAATTTAATGTTTTAAAGTTACAACCTTAATCTAAGGATTTTAATTGTATTCATTTCTCTTTGATCTAATTGTTTAAATTAGAATAACCAAACAATAAAAAAATGTAATTAATTTTTATTAATCTTTTTATTAATTCTTACTTTTACATGCATATATCATATAATCAAAATCATTCAAAGCATATAATAGAATTTTTGTAATATTTAAAATTTCAAAAATATTTATTAATTTATATAAATTTCTCTTTTATTTCTGAATCTTAAACTTGTTAATTATCGTGAATTGAATAATATATTTTATTTCATTGGAAAATTTAGATAATATTACAACCAATTCTTTTCATCTCATAGATAAATGATTAAGATTTAAACCTGTGTGTATTTTATGAAATATCCTTAAATAGTTAGAAAATAGGGTAATTAAAATTACAATATTTAGATATTATTTATGTATATTTCACTTATATTTAATATATTTAATTAAAAAATATAATATTGTTTTTAAAATCATAGACCAATTGTATTCTTTATGAATAAAATAAAATTCTATAAATTCAATTTTTGAGAATTAGAGTTTAGGAATATTAGTTTATTTATTTGAGACAGATGAAGAAGACATATAACTTAATGATTCATCCAAATATTAGGATTAATATATTATTTTATAAATAATATTTTATTGGAAATATTTGTCAAAAGATGGAAAGTAATCAACATAAAATTTCAAATTAATACTATTACTTAGTTTAGAATAGAAATGATATGCCGACTACCCTTATTAAGTACAATAAGATAAGTAATTTTGTTAATGCAAATCTAATATCATTATCAAACAATTGTTCCCAAATAAAGTTAACCAATTTCAATTTATTATTTGTAATTAAATTATCAAATTTATGAACAGTATTATAATATGAATTTGAGTAATGAAACAAGAATTCTTATAATTAAATAGTTGAAGTCTAAATGAAAAACATTTATAATAATTATAATTATTTAATTATCATATTTGTCTAAAAATTTATTAATTAAACTTTAGAAAATATAATATGTCTATGTTATTAAAAATAATAATAGAAATATTCTTTTTTAAATAATACTAAGATTTTTATAGTACTTTTAGTCAAATTAAACTTATTTTATTTTACAATTCTTTTGTTTAATATTGATGAGTATTAAGCAATCTTACTATTTAATTTAATTATTTGATCATTTTGTTTTATAAATTATATAAATACATGAATATAATAAGTCTTATTAGTCTTATTAATAAATGTTTTGTTTAATAATATGAAAAATTAAAATGTAGAACAGAAATTATTAGATTTGTATTATTATATGTTAAAAATGTAGAAAAATTTGTATATAAAGTTTATAATAAATGTATTAAGAATTTACAACCTTAATTAATGGAATGAGTAATTAGATTCCAAAAAAGAATATTGCTGAAGTTTATAAACATAATAAGCAAAGATAATTGAATTTAGTACAAAGGAAGAGTTGGGCTCCATCAATAAAATATTCAATGTTTTAATCTAATTATGGGACAAATGATTATCAAATAGTACCTCAAGAAAGTTCAGATTCTGAATCTATTGTTTATACACCTTCATAATATCCATCATTACATAAAGTTGCTTCTCAAATTATTATGATATCATAATATTCTTAGATTCCCTGTTCAACAGTATTAAAGGATGGTTTAAAATCTAAATTGATAATAAAAAACATTGATGAGAATATTAACATACAAAAAGTATAAGAATTTGTGGATAAATTACCTATTAAAGGTTTTGTTTAAGAAATTAAATTAATATACTATTAATCAAATCCATGTTTATTATTTCAATTAAAAACAGATTAGCCATTAATAGTTGCTAATCAATTTATGAATAAATAAAATTAGAAACAAGCAAAATCAATATTTGGTTATAAATTTAGTTGTGGTTAATTGGCTTTGATGAATGAAGAATTTGCTGCAATAATATTAAGAGGTTTAGACAAAACAATTAGTACTAATTAAATAGAGAAGATAATTTCTTATACTTTAAAGATAGAATAGAAAGAGTGTATTAGAGAGATTCAAAAATAAATAATTGAAATAGATGATGTGGGTTGTATTACAATTGTTCTTAAAGATTTGGAATATTGTGAGAGAATTGTTATAGCATTTAATGGGACTAATTTGAATGGATTATAAAAAAATAAAATATTAGTTAATGTTCATCCTGAATCTGTGAAGGTCCGAAGAATCGATCTTAGTTAATCTATTTAGAAAGGACTATTATAAGTAAATTAATTAAGCAATATATAGAAAATAATCAAATTTAATGAAGATGATATGAATTGACAATTTTAATTTATTTATATTATTTTTAGATTTCCCAAACACTGTAGGTAAATAGAAAAATCAAAATGAAAACTCTTTCATTGATTATATATATATAATAATTAAATAATATTTTATTGAAAAATGACAGCCAAAGATGTTATTATGAAAATGAACAAAGAAGCTGAATACAATGCTCTTACAGCTGATTTTTAAGGAAATGATACTAAATTTGTTGGAGAATATGAAAATGTCAAAATTCCATCTGATAAGAAAGAGATTATTAAAGATGCTTTCAGAAAAGTAGCAATTGCCTGTAAACCTACATTAAAGAAGTATAATTCATCATCTAATTTAGTCTTACTTTGAGATAAAATTGGTTAGATATGTAAGATAGAGTGTATAATAGAGCATAATACTACACAAGTATCAAATATTATATATAAATAGCTGATGCAAATTCATGCATTAGTGATGCAAGAAATGTAGCTGAAGTTAATCTTTGCTGCGACAATTATATTCAAAGACTCAATAATGATTTCTACAATGATGTCTTGCAAATATTAAAAGATTATTGAGATATTTCATATATTAAATATATACAAAAAACAAAACATTTATATATATATATAAATTTATCATAAAGATATTCGATTAATTAATTTAGCTTTGTATTAATATAAATTTCAATAATTTCATTAGATGGAATAAATTGTTATTTCAAATCTTGAAATAAAAATAACAAGATTGTAAAGATTGTAACATGATATAAATAATAAATAAGTTTTTATTTGTGCAGAACAATAAAATTGAATGAATTAATTTTCAACAGCATCCACCTCCTTATTTTTTATCTTCTGTAACATCATTTATTTTTAATTATTAAGTTTAATTCTACTATTATTACTATTGTGGGACTTTCTATTTTAGTTAAATTTACTATTTACTTATTATTATGGTTGCTATTATGTTTATTATTCATTAGGATTTCCTTATAAATCATATGATAATTTTTTAAAGAATTCTGCTACATTATGTGCACTTTTTGCAGATACTTCTTAAAATTATGCTCCTAATTCCTTTAATATTTTCAATTTAATATTTTTACTTTGGCTTTTGCTTCAGCTACATCAGTTTGAATTTGTCTTTCTTACTCTAGATCAGTCTTATTTCCCAAAATATAAATTAAAACTTCATCTCCTCTTTCATCTTTCACATCGTCAATCCATTTCTATAAATCTTAAAAGGATTTCTCATCTTTTATATGGAAATAGTATTTACTTGTTATATCATAACATATAATGGCGGCTTGTGAATCTCTTATATAACTTGGAATAAGAGATCTGAATCTCTCCTATCCTGCAGTATCCCATAATTAAAGTCTAACTGATTTATTATCAACTTATAGTGTCTTAGAAATAAAATCAATGCCAACAGTAGGCTATAATTATTTGAATTCTAATTACCTATTCATTCCCTGTGAAATTGTCAAAAATAAATCGATTGATTATTGATGTTTTACCAACTGATTAATTACCTAAGAAGACAATTTTAAACTTTTGCATAGGTCCACTAGTCGTATTCTAAGCCATATAAATTTCAAATAAATATAATATTTTCAATATTTATAAATTCCCTAAAATTCCAAACTATTTAAATTAAAAAACTTCATATATTTCCTCATTATCTTTAGACTATCAATAACATTACTTATTTTATTCAATATTTATTTATGTTGTACTTTTAACAATAAATTTAATTAATCTGTTAAACATGCTTAATACTTATCATACACCAAAATAGACCTACAAATAATAACCATCAAAAATATAATAGCCTATACATTAAAAAAGCCTCACCTGTAAGTCTCTCTCTCCTTAATAATTATAAATTCCCCTTCAATATAATTAAATTAAGGATGATTAAGATCCTTCAACACCACAAAAGATTAAATTAGCCAAGGGTGTTAAATTATTAAATATTCCATCTTAACTTAATGATAACAGTTTTAGAGGAAGCAGCTCTAAAAATATATTGACATAAGATAGTCCACTTATAACACATAATAAAGAAAACAATTCAATTGGTAGAAGAATTTGTACTGAATCAAGTACTCAAGACAATTCAACTTCATTAGTTATACAAGAAAATAAAAAGTTAAATGAATTGATTTAAAGATTATTTAGAGAGAAATAAGAATTAGTTACAATCATAGAAAAATAAAAGAATTAATAATAATTTTAACATGGTTAGACTGATTAATTCAATCTTTTAAGTTTAAAAGCAAGAATTGAAAGATTAGAAGGAGTTATTGATTAATAAAGTGAAGAAATAAATGAATGGAAATTAAAATATAAATAAGCATGTGAAGAAGATGAAAGAGTCAATGCTATAGATTAAATGGTATTATTATAAAAATATTCATTTATAGGAATCACAAATACTTAAAGTGGTTGAAGAAAATGAAAGACTGAATAATTTAGGTTTTGATAAAGATAAATAAATTTCTAATTTAAACAATGAAATTACATTATTTTAGAAGAAAATCTATGAATGTGAATAAAAAATCAAAGATTAAGCTAATCTTATTATTGCATATGAAGAAGATACAAAAGAATTAAAAAAAGAATACAAAATTAAATTAAATATAATTGAAAGATTTGAATAATAATAATAATAATTAGAATAGATAGAACATTCTTATTAATCATCATTTCATGAAATTTAATAAGGATAACCAAATAATAATTAATAAATAATTTTAGATTACATAAAATAAATAGAATAAGTATTATTATTATATTAATTTTAGTAATTGTGTGATTTATCAACATAATATACATCATAAGTCTTGGAAAATTAAAGATTATTGAGATAAAATAATAATTTAAAAGAAGAATTACTATCTTAATAAAAGGCTTTGGATGATATAAGGACATCTTAAAGAGGAGCTGTTAATCCTAAATTTTAAGAAATTAATAAAAATGTTACATTATTAAGAGAAAAAATTTTGAAACAAATGATTAAATGATTAGAGTTTCTTATTAAACAATATATAACTTCAGTTTATATTTATATTCTGGATTAATTTATGATTATTTAATATTAAAATTTATTTCAAGAGAAAATTATAAAGTTGATTATCTTTATATTAGAAATCAAATGATAAAATTTAAATCTAAGAAAGAATTTACATTATTGAATAAATTGTTTATGATCATTTTATTATAGACAATAATTACATCCTTTTAAAATTTAGACAGGAAGAAACTTATACAACGTTTAAAAACTATATTAATTTATAAAAATGAGAATAGTTATTCATATGGCAAAATCATGTAATAAATAGATAATAAACAATGAAACTATTATTAAATGATACAATAGTACATAGATAACATTATATTTCAATGGTAAAAAATATAGAATATATAATAAACAATAAAATAAATTCTTATTAATAGGTCAATATTAAATTAGACCTTAAATAATAATTCATTAAATGAATTAAGTTTAAGGTTTTGCTAATTCTTAAAAATAATTAATATAGAAAATAAGAAATTATTAATTAGGAGAGTGAACATAATTGAATATTGGATTTAGTAAAAATAAGAATAAATTTTAATGAAGAAGAGAAGTAAAATCTTCATGTATTTATAAAATATCTCATATATCTAAAAATTCAACCAATAATATTTCTTATTATGTGGTACTTTTATTTCTTAATGTTTAAATGATAGTAATACCATTAGTAGTTCTAGTTATGATTAATTCTTTATTATTTGATTAAGCATTATATTTAGCATAAATATTAATTGAATTGATTGATCCATGACAATAATGATTTAAATTATAAATCTTATTATTTCCAGTACAACTATTACATTTATTCATTTAACTATGAACCTTTTTATTATTTGATGGACATTTATAATAAACATGGATATTTAGTAATGTAATTGATTCATCTACAATTACAGTTTCTGATCCTATTGTATTAAATACTTAATTAATTTCCTAAATATCCAATTAAAAAGCAGGTCTTTAATCTGAATTCCTATAAAATATTTTGTTGATTCTAATTGTGAAACATTCCATTGCCATATATGCTTAATTTATATTAAATTTGAGAAAAAATGATTGGAGAGTGTTCGGTGCATAAGTACCAGGACCCCCTATTTTATTAATTCTAAATCATACATATTTGGGTTTAATAATTGATAGTAGTTGAAGTCTAAGAAATGGAAACACCTAATTTTAAAGTATCAGCATTAGTATGTCCCAAATTATTAAAAGAGATCACAAAATAACTATTAGATTAAAGAGGGTAGATTTGACTTGTGTATACACTAGTGGATGAAACTTTATCAATATAACTGATAACTTCCTCAGTTCCCAATATTACTTAGTAGCCAAGAAATATTAAATTTGAGTTGGCACTGTTGACATTCACAGTCACATGGGTTGAAGTTAATTCAGAAACCTATTTAAATTTTTTTTTTTTACAGATAGACCTACATCAAATGGTCCATTATATCCAAAATTTAAAATAGAAACGATAGCTTTTTTTATATTAGGATTTTAAATTGGATATTATTTAGAAGCTATAGGATTTAAATTGAGCTCATTAATTACTTCTATACGACTATCATCAATTGCAAACCATCTCATTTGAAAAGTACCTACTTTATTATTTGGACATGTTATTTTAATTGAAAAACCTATATAAAATTAATTTATAACCTGTTAAAGTGACACTTACTATATCTATTTATACAATTAGTTGATTTGTAAATACAGGTGTTATATCCATAACATTTGGAACAATTATTATTTTAGGTATATTTGCAAAAGAATCCTAAAAATTGATATTACCAGTTTTTGTGAATCCATTTTGGCAGAGAAATCCTGGGGCGTTCCACACAAACTCATTAAAAGCGCCAGCTGTCTATGTGATTATTCCTTAAGTTAATTAGATAAATAAAAATTGCAATATCATAATATTTATGTTTTGGTTTTTATTTTTTATGATTTATAAAATGTGATAAAACAAAAGAGATAAAAAATTAAGATGAGGACAATTTTGTTAAAATTTCATGATAATTTTGGTATTTTTGTTTGCGAAGTTATTAAATCTTTATATAATATGTATGATTGAAAAAGGACAGCATACACTTTGTCATAATTTTTAAGTTAAAATAAAAATTTCAGTATTTTATAATTATTATCTACTGAACCTTCTTTCAAGACTAAAAGTATTAAAAAATTATCAAATTATTTTCGATGTGATAAACAAAAACAATTAATAAATCTATTATTGTTTAGACATATAGCTTTTCGAGTTCTTGTTTTATTGAAAATTGATGAATAAAGTTTTAATTAATTTTAATGATTTTCATAAATTAACTCTCAGAAAAAACTAATAATTATAAAAGTCTTTTTGTAAATTCTAAAAGTTATGAATCTAAAGAATTGATACTTTATTCAACTAAATATAATTGTAATTATGATTTTATACTACTATTTAAGGATTATCCTTTGTAATAATAGTTATCTATAAATCTCATAAAAATTGTATTTTTTACTTTAAATTTACTTTCACTTATGTCAATTAATAAATTAATGGACTAGAAATTAGCTTTCAAATACTATTAAGTACTTTCATTCTAAATTATTATGATTAAATAATTTTCTCAATAAGCAGCTTATTTTAAACTGTTTACAAATTAAACCACAGCTTAGATAAAAATCTATAATTTCAAATTATAAGTATTGTTTATACCTAGGTTATTAAATACTTACTTCAAATTATTTTATATATTATATACTTTTTTTTATGCAATAAGTAACAATTCCTTATATGACACATTTTACTTTAAAAATCAATCGAATTGCCACATTTGACAATCTTAAAGCATGATTTTTCTAGAGATTCTATACAAATTTTAATAAATGAATATAAATCAATCAATAGTATTTAATAATAAACGTATATGTATATATAAAAATTAAAATTATCTGATTGGGATTATGTAAAATATTAAAGCTCTAATTTAGAACTTTTGAATAATATATAATCTCGAAATTTTTGATAATGAATTATTATTAAGATAAAGTTGAATTATTAAGTTTTCTGTATTCATATGATGTTAATTTATTTTTATGAATACAAGAATATTTAGATGATGCTAATCAGTCATTTTGATTATAATATTCATCATTAAAAAGTATTAAAAAGGAATATGATTATAGAAATTACTTAACATCTTAACTATTTATAATTATTGAAAAAATTAACTGATCATTGTTAATTAAGATTATTAATAATTCTTACAATGAATAATTGAGATATCAGTAATTATTTTTTAGAGAAATAAGCAATATTCAATTTTATTTATTTCTGTATATATAAAATACTTAAAAATATATAATTATATATTTTATATGAAATATAAATTGAATTCATAAAGATTAAAAATAAAAAATATTGTATGAATGAATAAGGTAGTGTTTTCAAAAATAACAATTTTTTACTGAAAACGTCTAACAATTATCTAAATTTCATGTCTTTGGAAAAAATAAAAATATAAAAAAAGCACAATAAATTTCAATATATGTATAAATAATGGTAAAATAAGAAAATTTATTAATTTTCAAGATTGTAATTAGGGTTATGTAAAATATTTATTGCTTATAAACAATATTTAAAAAAAATTAGAAGTCCATTTTAAAGGAATTAGTAAATCAAGAGTAATTAAAGATATCATGATGATTATTGATTATTTAATTCGCAATAAATAAAATGAATTCTATAGGTCCAGAAGAGAATAAGCCAATTTTAAGAATGTTTTTGGCAGGAATAGCTTCGATAGCTGCAGGTGGATCTACTCATCCAGTTGACACAGTCAAAGTTAGATTGTAAAAGGAAGGTGAAGGAAAATCTGATGTCAAAAAATACAAGAATATTTTAAGAGGATCATATGTAATATACAAAGAAGAAGGATTACGTGCATTATACAAAGGATTATCAGCATCATTAGGTAGAGAAGCTACTTATTCAACATTGAGACTTGGATTGTATGAACCATTTAAGCACATGATATCCTAAGATGGAGAGAAGACATCATTGGGAGTCAAGTTTTTTGCAGGTTTAATGTCTGGATCAACAGGAGCAATTGTTGCAAATCCATGTGATGTGTAAAAATTATTAATAATTATTGATTAGTTTAAAAATTAGATTGTAATCTATCTCTGGTCATCATTAATCAGTATTTGCTGAAATTACATAAATATTACATCATGAAGGAATTCTAGGTTTGTATAAGGGCACTATGCCTAATTTACTTAGAGGTGCAATTCTTACAGGAACTAAAATGGCCACTTATGATTAAACTAAATAATGGTTAAAGGAGCATTTTGAATTCAAAGAAGGATTTAGTCTTTAATTTGTATGTTCATTTGCTACAGGTATTCAAATATTATATATAAATATAGGATTAATGCTATCTATTACAACTGCACCTATGGACTTAATTAAAACAAGAATTATGTCATAAGATGCTGGTCATAAAGTATATAATGGATTGATGGATTGTGCAATAAAGACATTTAAATAAGAAGGTTTAGGTGCATTTTATAAAGGATTTTTCCCTTAATGGATAAGATTTGGACCATTTAATATTATATAACTTATTGTTTGGGAATAATTACGTACATTATGTGGAATTAAAAATATCTGATTAATTTTATGTATATGATATTTTCATGGCAAATTTGTTAATTTGTTTGAATTATAATAATCCCAAAAGTTGAGTCTGATTGGTTCAAGAGCATTCACAAATTTTTTAATTGCTGCATAAGCAACTTCATCAGTCTGATTTGGACCTGCAAAAGTTTCAAAGACTTTAGTTCTACTTGGAGCAGCTAACCAAGCAGCTTTGGCAGCATTCCTTACCATAAATCTATAAATATATATAAATTAATTACGTATGATAAGGTGCCAAGGCTTCATTATATGCATCTGAACAGATATCTGAAAACTTTTTATTTCTATTTGTATCAACATCAATAAACATAATCTTCAAATAATTAAAGAATCTAATAATTCTCAACATTGTTCTAGCCATAGATTAATAATTTGGTAAAGTCTATATATATAAATTAATGGATTTATGGTACTTTATTTTTTAAGATCTCTTTATTATTTTCTCCATTTAATTCCATTAATCCTTTTTATTTCTCTATTTATATAATTCCATAGATTCCTTTAGTTTATTCATTATATTCATTTCCTCTATCTTTGATGACTTATGCTTTTTCAATAACATCTGAAAATGCAAAATATAGTAATTTTCCCAATTGTTTGAATAGTTTACAGAATTCAACCAAAAATTCACCTATTTAATAAGGAGGGTAATCTCTATTCTATTCAAAGAATTGATTTGCTTCTGTCAACAACTTTAGAACCTTCTCATTGTCATATCTATCATTTTAATCCATGATTATTTAATAAACAATATATTTAATTTTAAATTAATGGATTATCGAATTGGATCAGCAAGTATGAGTGATTTAGAAAGTGCCAAAATAGTAGCAAAGAAATTATTTGAGACATATGATAGAGATAGAAATGGAGTTATTGATACAACTGAAACTATACCTATGATAGTTGATGCATATAAATCATTTAACAGAAGTTTTTAACCAACAAGAGGAGATATAGATAGTTATTCAAAAGTCATGGATAGAAATGGAGATGGCAAAGTTACATATTAAGACATAGAAGAATTATGCATCAAATATTTATGTCCTTAGTATTCTTAGCAATCAAGATAATAAATTAATAAACCTTAAGATCCTAGAATTGAAGTAGCAAGAAGAGTATTTAGGAAATATGATACTGATAATTCTGGTTTCTTAAATGTACAGGAAATATAAAAGATGATCACTGAAGCATACAGATCTATGGGATTAGCTTAACCAACTTATAAAGATGTTTAAGCTTGGTTAGATGTAGCTGATACTAATAAAGATGGTTTTATATCACTTTAAGAGTTTGAATAATTTGTCTAAAAAAGCTTATGAGAAAATATTAGTTAATTTTAATATTGTACTCTCTATATGTTTTTAATCATTTCTTTTTAAATTAATCAATAATTTTAGAATAATTACATTTATTTAATTTTACTGTTATGAATTTAATCTAATCTATCAAAAAATTTAAAATATATCACAAGTTTGGTACTGATTTATATAAAAATTAATATTAAAGAAATAAGAGATAATCAAAATCTTAAAATAAGCATCTATTTAATATAATTAATCAAAATTATATCAATTAATGAAATGTATTAAAAATATCATTAAAATTAAATATATAGAATGCTAAATAGTTTTGAAATGAAGTCTTTAACTACATGTCTAATGGATATTGATTTCTTAATTAGTATTCGATAAAGTAAATAATTGAGCATAAAGTCATTAATATCTTGAAAATTAGAATATTTTATCATCAGATAGATGATGTATTATATAATTTTAGATCTCCATCATTATACACAATAAATGTCTAATATCTTAATAAATAGTGTTAAAATAATATAAATAATAAGCTAACTAAAACAATTCTTTTAGCAAGAAGAAAATATTCTTAAAATTTTAGGCTGGAAATAATGCATTTGGAATGTTTATTTAAGTGTCTAAGAAGAGTATATAAATTATTTTAGTTATATTAACAATTATAATGATGAAATGATGAAGTGAATAAAGGTTTTATAATTTAAATTGAAATTAGGATTGAAATGAATTTTATTATTACTTATGTGATTTTTGAGATTATATATGAAAAATAGATAAAGAAAGAGATGGAAGGTGTTGGGATCATTTTTTTAAAATATACTTAGATCCTACCAATTTATTTGGAAATTCTTAAAAAAAATAAATAAATAAAATTTACGGACAGAAAATTTTATCATTTCTGAATGAAATTCTTATCATTAAATTAAAGTGAATCAGAATCAAATTAAAGTATGGCAAATAACTTAATATCAATTGAAGAATCATTATCTAACCAAATCGATGAAAAGATAATGAAAGAATAATAAAACTTGAAAAATTTAAAATTCTTCGATACATCAAATATTGGATGGAATGGTATAATTCAATTAATTAAAGATGAAAATTCCATGAATATATTCGTAAAAGTTAAGGTATTTATTTAATATTATTATTATTAGAAAATCAAAAAATTCTAATCTAAAAGAAAATAAAAGATGAATAGAAATTAAATGCTTAAATAGATAGCTATGGAGGAGGTTTTAGGAATACTAGAAAACTTATGATTAATTGTTTATGTTAATAATATATTGTATTTATTGATTTGTTAAATTAACAGATATTTAAAATTAAATGTAATTGTTGATTAAATATAATTTATACAATTATAATAATTTATAATAAAAAAAGAATGTCAAATTGCGGAACTCCTTTATGTCTAACTCCATCAAAAAATAAGGAAGGAAAGAGAAGAAATGTATTATTGAGTGCTCCAGAAGAGATGATAAATTACACTCCTTTGGAATAGATTACACTACCAAAGAATCAAAGAATTAGATAATCATTTTCTAAATTTTTATGTGGAAATATAAATGAACAAGAATTTGTTAAATTCAAATGTTTTCCTTTGAGCATTAATTAGCCATTATAATAAACTAAAAAGGTTAGAAATAGACACGAAGATTTTACAATATAAATAAAGAGATAAGCAGCAAAAGAAAAAGCCAAATTGAGATGGAAAAGATTGGCAGAAGTATAATAATATAACTATTGAGGTGGTACAATAAAATATTTAATTAAGAAGATAAAGTGATTAAAATTATTAATCAAAAATTTTGAGTAGGATAGAATTGGGAATGAAAATTGAAAATTAGTTAGCTGAACAATCAGCAAAAATTGAAGATTTAAAGAGTTATAAATTGTAAACAATGTTAGTTTTAAAGGAAAAGAGGAAAAAATAGAATTAATCATGTTTTATATCACCAAAACATTATTAATTTGAATTACAAGAATTATTCAAAGAATAAAGTGATGAATATTTGTATATTTATCATAAGAATCTACCAAATACTTCAAATTTATCAGACAAAGATTATAATTAATTACTTGATACTTATTTACATAAGAAATAATTGTTTGATTAATATTTAGAGTAAAAGAAACAAAGAAAGATTGTCAAATGGAAACCAATGACAAGTGCAAGTACATTTTATAGTACTTCAATGAGTTGTTAATCTAATGGATTGAATAGAGAGACTCCAATGATGAGATTGCAAAATCCTTTAGAATAATAATAATAATAGAGATTGAAGGAATATTTATTAATCAATTAAATTAATGAAGTAGCCAATCCAAAGATGGCAACTAGTATAATTACAAAAAAACATTAGAGACCACAAAATACAAAAGATAAATTAAAAGGAATAGTTAAACATAATAGAATTAAATCAATGGATATTATAGAGAATGATGATGATGATGGTTTGGATATGTCTAATGCATCTATAACTGAAGCATTATTGGACTAATTGTATTTAGGATCATAAAAGTTATAATCTAAATTGAAATAATAAAATACAGTTCAAAAAAGAGTTAGAGACATTCTCAGACTTTAAGAAATGAAAGCTAATACAATCAATGCTAATTATTAAAAGCTAAATAAATACTAATAAAAACATTAATGATTATAATTTTATTATTCTTGGCCAATTATATCAATGCCGACTCTCTGGCTTCATAAAAAACAAATGAATTAAGGGAAATGCAATTGAGAGATGGAATAATTGAATTGAATTCAACTGGATATTTGTATCTCTATTATATTCATTTTCAAGTTATTACACAATGGAATTTCCACGTCCATATGATATTGTTATCTATTTTGTAGCTCCAAGTTGTAAACTTTGCAATGATCTTAATGAACATTACCAAAAAGTAGCCAAATTCTATGCTGATTCAGGAGCATTATATAAGAGTGAATCCAAAAGAGCTGTCTTTTTTGCCACAATGACATTCAATGATAAAAATAAGCAAGTCTTTGAATAACTTGGATTTATATCAGCACCAAACTTATTTGTCTCTTAACCTCATATAGTATTTGTCCCATAAGATGAAAGAGAAAGATATTTGAGAGACATGAAATGGACTATTTCCTATACAGATGGTACAGTCACAGCTCATAAATTCCTCGAATTCATTAACAAGAGGACTGGAAGATAGGTTGATTACAAGGCATCAACCTCTGAAGCACTTACTGTTATAGGTGCTCTACTAGGAGCATTGACATTAGGAGCTCTTGTATTTATAATAGCAAGACCTATGTTTTTAAATCCAAAACTATGGTTTATTGGATCGGTAATCATATTCATTACTTGTTTGGCTGGAGTTGTATATAATATTATACATAATGTTCCTTTCTTTACTCAAAACAATAGAGGAGGTTTATAATGGAAAACAAATAGTGGGAGATAATAACTTGGATTTGAAGGATTGTTCCTAAGTCTTGGTATGACATTTGTTGGATTGACTATGGTTTTGATCTTGAAACTAAAAGTTTTAGTAAAACATCAAAAATTAGACCCGTAATTTATTAATAAATCAATAGATTTGTTGAAAGATTAGTATATCTTACTTTATTCATTTGTATCTTTTTAATCATTCAATTCGTTGAAGAGAATTATAGACAGAAGTCACATTACAATCCAATATATTGGCCACCAAAACATTATATCAAAGGACCATTAAATAAAGACTAAGGAAATTCATTTTGAGTTTATATTAAATAGTAAAATTAATATTATTTTTATTCTATAAAATCTAATTAATTTTTATATGATATGGGTTCATGGCCATTTTATACAATTTTTCATTTCTTCAGTATTATCATTGTTCAAAGCTTCCATGAATTTCATAATATCCATTAATTATCCAGAACATAATTTTTAATATTCATAGGCTGCATACATCCAAAGTAAACATTTATTAATGAGTTTTCTGATATTTTCATCTTTAACTTTATCTTTATCTTCCTTAAAGAACTTTATCTTTTGATATAATTATTCATTATATAATTAATGTTCAATTAATTTAGTGAAATTTACATTTGTAATTTATTCTGTATAATGCATACTTTCTCTATAATTTGTATTTGTAAAATTATTGATGTAATTTAAGTAATCTATATATTTCTTTCTAATTTAAGTTCGATCACCTTCTATATCATCAATCAATTATTTTACACTATAAATAGAAAATAAATTAAATTACCTTGCATCTGTATAAAAAACATTCCAAATTTCTTAATCTACATCAAATTTAATATGATCTTGTTTTCCAAAAATATATTTATCATCCATTTTCTCTTTTAATTAAGAAATTAAAATTGCTGCTTATTTTAAAATATACAATATTTCAAAACGACAAATCTCAATTACATTTTAACTCAAAAAATCAGATAATTAAACCATTAACAATATACCATTTAATTTGTCTTTAATACCATCAGTTATTTATTTAATTCCTTATTATAATAATTAAGCCTTTTAAGAATCTAATTACATTTATAATTATTTTGCTTTTTCTTCTTCTTCTCTTTTTTATCTCTCCTCCTCTTCTATTTATATTTATTAACTTGATTTTTAAGATGTATCATCATCAAATTATTTCATAAATTATTTCTCATTCTCCATTATTGTTATATATCTTGGATCTGTTCTAAATTTATCAAATATACTAAATTTCAATGCATCTCTAGCTGTTATTCTCTAATTAATATAATTATCTAAATTACTTATTAAGGATCTTTTGTAATCATTTATTTCAATAATTCTTTTACTCCATCAGAAACTGCATATTTTTAATCATCCAAAATATATTACTTAGTTAAAATTTTCTATTAAACTTCAAATTGACTTTTTCCTATAAAATATATTTCTCCAAAAAGCATTTCATGACTAAGTAATCCTAATGCCCAAACATCCACCTTTGAATCATATTAATCACTTGTGAAAAATTCTGGAGCCATATATGGAAAAGTTCCCAAATGAGTCTAATACATTGATTTTTAACCAGCAAATCCAAAATCTCCTAATTTATAGACTCCATCCTTTATGAAAATGTTTTCTGGTTTAATATCTCTATGTGCAATATTATTTTTAGCTAATAATGTAAGTGCCTATAATAATTAAAATAAAATGAATAAAGCTTCATTTTCTTCTAATTTCTTTGTTTTTTTAATTTGATCAAGTAAAGTTCCTTAATTACAAAATTCTAACACAATATAAATATTATTTGTTGTCTCTAAGCATTCATAAATTCTATTGATAAATGGACATGCATCAGTTTTAGAAGCCTCTACTAATTCCTATAATATTTCCACCTCCTAATGTATTTATTACAATATTTCATCACTTAATTATTTTATTTACACCATACCCATATTTAGCTAATACTGCTCTCTTAATAACTTTGATTGCGACAGCTTCTTAAGTTAATTTATTTTTCCCAAAATAAACTTCTGCAAATGCTCCTGAGCCTAATTTATCATTTGTTTGATATTCGTATTTTTTTCCTACTACTTTTCTCTCACTCATTGCGGAATTAATTATGATATGTATAAATATTTATAATAAATCAATATATAATAACTTGTAAACTGATTAAATTCTTGTAGTTATTTCATTAACAATATTCCATATATTTATAATATAATTCTATCAAATATTTAAAAGTCTTCATATTTATTAGATATCTAATAATATTTTACTCAATTTTTTTAAAGTATTTATATTTTAAATACATATCTTTTTATAATAATACATACATATTGATAAAAAATGTATTTATTATGAAAAAATAGTTAAAATAATTGATCTGAATTATTATTAGATTTATCAGAAGTATATTATATAGATAGATTCTAAAAAATCTATATATTAAAAGATTAAAATCCTTCAATAATATATATTTTAGTAAAATAATTAAATTAAAAGATATGTATACAATGAATAAAGATACTAACATAATAATAAGATTTAATAATTTGTTAAAATGTAATATATTTGAAATTTAGAATAAATATTATTTATTTTGATTAATTAAATATCGATTTAGTTTCAATAAGTTAAAGTTCATTTATTTTATATATATCATAATTCTTCTTGTTGTTGTTGTTGTTGTTGTTGCTGAAGAAGTGGTTATAAATTCTCTGGCAATAATTATTATCTACAATTAGGACAAGTTGATTGAATTTATAGCCATGCAGATATACATGTGTTATGAAAATGATGAAGTGTACTACAAGGCATTTATAAAACTTCATCATCAGTTTGATAAGGCTACATACAAATTGAACATTCTTGTTCTCCTTCAAGAATGTTTGGCTTATACAAAATCTTTTTCTTTTGTAAATCATTCAATGCTTTCAAGGCTTCCTATTTCTTTTTTCTATCTGTAAAACATCGAATTAATAAATAAATCAAAATAAAAGGCAGGATAACTAATGCCAAAGCAACCAGTAAATAATATTAAGAATATTATAAGAACAAAAAAGATCCATAAATATAAGTTTGGATAATTGGCCATTTGTTGCAATCAACTTCTTTACTACTTTCATAAGGATTAGCTACAATATAATATATTGTCCATATAAATATTGCCTAATTTGTAACATTACTGAAGATGTTATTGTATTTGCAAAATTTACTCTAATTAACAATCTCTTATCTTATTTATAATTGCATTATATCTGCCTTTTTATCAAGTTCCATTGTTGATAAGTTTGCAGTAGGATCATAAACTGTCATAATAATAATTAGATACCTTCTGGAGCAACTGGATGATCTGTAACTTCATTTATTGGAACAAATACTATTTATACATAATGAAAAGCTAAATGTTATTATATGGATTGAATATTGGAAAAATGAAACAATTATCCATACAAGATTAAGCTAAAAACTGCCTGTATACTGCTAAATAAAACCCAATAATGTAAATCATTCCATCCACAATTTTGTAATGATAATAAAACTAAAATAATCGACATGCTGATTATTATATACAATCTCTCAAGGAATAAGAAAAACACTCTCAATCTAAATTAATCCATTGCTCTTGAGAAGAGTTTTGTAATTTTTGGAATTGTATTTCTATCATTCTCATTATTATCACCTTATTATTCTCCATCATTTTGAACATTCATTTTCTATATAATTTTATATATTAATTATTTTATAATTCAAAATTTGCCCTATATAAACATGAAATAACTTATATTTTTTTATATAAGGATTCTAATTTTTTTAATCAATATAAAAAATACTATTTTATAATCTGAAATTTAGTGAATGCAATTTTGTTTAAATTTATTTATTTTATTCTTAATTTTAGAATAGATAATCCTACTATGACATGATATAAGGAATTAATATTAAAATATCTAGTATGTATTATAATTGTGGTCTATTAATAACAATTTGAATATTTTTGATATTTTAATAAATCAATACTCCTTGTTATAATAAATCAATACTCCTTAATCTAATAAATCATTATCTAATAATATAAGAATAATGTTTAGTTTAGACATTCTATTAATATATATAATACAAGTTGCAGATTGAATTTTAATGAAAAATAAGGAATTATTAGAACCTTTTATTGGTTCTGAATATAATCCTAGCGTTTATGGGGAATAGATAACCATTCCTTAATTATATATTTAATAAACTAATATCTAATTTTAATAAAAACTTAATTTTATTAGGCAGCTAACACTAGATAAATAAGGGCAATTTACAATAATTATTAATTATAACCTATACATTTATAATTAGTATATTTACATTTATATAATCTGATTTAATAACTTATAAAAAATTAATACACTTCATTCTGAGTTCATTATTTGATGTTTTGATTAATTCAATATTAACTACTAAATTATTGAATGCAGTCTCCCATTAAATTATAATCCCAACTAATATTTTAATATATTCATTTATTAAATAAATCCATGTTAAGAAATTATTATTTTAACTTAAAGACTATTATCTTTTAAATTAATAATTTCTAAATTAATAAAAATAGAATTAAGGCTTTTTGTGTTAATTTGTTCAAATAATTTTCAGATAAATCAATTAATTCAATTAATATAACGTTATATAAAATGCTAACCATCCTTTAAACATTATAAAATAGGAATACTAAAAAATAAAGATATTAATAGAAGTGCTTTTAGATTTATGAGATAGTTAACATATAGCTGGACATAAATAAACGATATTGAAATTTCAGCTAAGTTATTTTTTAATTTTGTAATATTATTAAATTATCAATTACATCTCTTATTCATTTGGTAATGAATATAATTTAATATCTTATCTTTAGACTGAAAAGCTCTATCATTTATTTTTAATATTATACTTTTTTTAATATAGACAAAACATTAATGGCTCTTCGAGAATCAATCCATTAATGTTTTATTTTTGCTGAATATTCTTCAAATAATTTAGATATTATATGTCTAGAATTACAAAGAAATATACTATTCAATATTGATTTTAGGTTTTTAATCACTTCCCCTTCCTTGATACAATGCATAAATCTTTTCTTTGAAAGCTTTTATAAATTTATCTTTAAAATTCTTTCTGACTAATCTGAGTTTTCTATAATTTCTTTATATGCATTTTACTAATTAGATTGATTTATAATAGATACTTTTAGAAATCAATTATATATGCTTGTTTATGAATGTTTAATAAAGAATGATATCTACTAAGAATTGACTGAATATTTTTTCAGCTTTTTAAAGACATTTCTCTTAGATGTAAGATGTAAAAGTAGATAAAACAAGGGATGATTTACTTAAAGATCTTATAAATGGATTATCTCCATATCTTCTTACTTCAATTAAAGCTTTTGTGTGTAATTACCATACTAATAATTTAGCCCTTGCTGCAATTTTATATTTGCGTCTCACTTTCTCAAAATAATACAAAATTTACTTCTAATCTTCTATGAATCTATCTACTGACATTGAATATTGTTGTTATCAATATCCAATTTTTTTTTACAAGTATTTATAATTATTATTCTTTCTAATGAACTTTTTCTACTTCTCTAAACTATGCTATTTAATCTTTGACTAATAATTTAATTAATCTTGTTTATCTCACTTCCTTCTAGATCAACTTTGATCTCTAAATAGTTTCTTAAGATTTTGTATGTCTATCTAAATTATACTTATTTATATTACGTTGTGCCTTTATCATTTCATCTAATTTAGACTACATCTTAGTTTTAGCCATTTCAATATTTTATAGAATCTTGTCTTTTGGATGTATGGTTCTTCTTTCATGAAAGATATCAAAATTAATCATTGATTATATTTATTTTTATCCATTCGATGCTGTGTATTACTCTCCAAAAGTTATTTACATACCTATGATGGCATCGAATTCACCATAAAATGTTAAATACACATAGTCTTCAAAAAACAATTTAGAATTCTGTTTAGAATTGATCTTTACAAATCTACTTTAAACTGATTGATCAGCATTAAATTTATTAGGGAATTCTATTGAGGTTGAAACAAATAGCTTGTATTAAGTACTTGTAATTTTTTAAGGGAAACTTAATAAGATCTGTAATGGAGCTAAAATTTTAATTTACATTAACTATTACACTATTTTCCTTTAATTCTTATTCTAAAGTAATAAAATCTAAATCTGACTATTTAAATTCTATTTATAAATTCGATTTCAAGATCCGATTGTTATAATCCATCGAAGGTTTTCAATAACTTTTTCTGTTGTGATTTAATTTTTGGTTATTCAATATTCTTTTATTTTGTTTCAATCTTAGTATTAGTTTTGTCTATTTCTTAAATAACATTATAATTCTTCTCAAATTCATCATATATTTCAAGAATGTCATTATCTAATTGTAGAAATTGAGATTCAGGATGAGAAGATGTATAAATTTTAGATCGACTTATTTGTGATTGACTTATTGAAAGATGTCTCATAGAACCTTACATAGTACTAAAAATTATTTCTTTATTACTGATAAGAAGGATTAGTTACTTTTGATAAACTTCCCTCTATTTGACTAATCTAGGTAATCATAATAATAATTATTGTTATAAATATTATTATTGTATTTGTTTATCTTATATTAAATACATAATAAATAATAAAAGTTTTATATTAGAATTAAGCTATTTCAATTCAATATAGTTATTAAAAATATCATATTGATCAATTAATAAAGTTAAATTATAATCATTTGTCATAAGCCTGAAAATTCATTCTTTTAATAAATCAATTTAGATTTACTCATTTTCTATCTTTAAGAATAATTGATTCATTTAATAAACTTTCTTTAATTTAATATTTATTTATTTAATCACAATTTTTCAATTATTTATGAATATAATTTTATATCATATTATCCTTCTACTCTTACTTTATGTTTATAGAACTTCATAAAACTCTTCATTATTAAATTGAATTTCTTAATAAAATAATATATTTTTTAGATTAGTTTTAAGAAAATGGTAGATTAGAATTAATTTATATTATAAAATAAGTTATCAAAATTAATACTTCTAAATTATGAAAATTTGAAATAATGCTTATAAAGTAATAAATGTTATTTTTTTAATTAGAATAGTATTACTAAGTGAAATCTTCCAATTTATTTTGTATTCTAAAAAATGAAATATAAATCTACTTTATTTTTCTCATAAATTAATTTTCTTCAAATTTTGTTTTTTCAACAGCATATTAGTAATAAAATCATATTTTAATTTATTTGTAAAAATATAAATATGCAATAAATTATGATAATCTTGAAATATAATAAAGTTAATGAATCATATTATTAATTAAACTTTGAAATTTCGAATTATAATTTAATATGAATTCATTAATGATATCAAAATTAATTCATTCTTTATGTTATAGTAATGCTCTTGTTATTTCAGTTAGTAAGGAGGGTTGCAATTCTAGTTTTTCATATTGTGGAGATTCAGATATAATATTTATATTTTTGAGTAAATGATTCATACAAGCATTTTTAAGTGAATGAGCTGAGCATTTTTATGCAAAGATTAATAAATCACAAACTGTTTCATTATTTATATATTTTTTTATACTTTTTTGCATAAGATTCTTAAGGCCATCAATTAGATATTGATCAGCCAAACCTATTATATATATATAAAATAATACTTAAAATCTCCCCCATTAATTCAATATCCAATTCAGCAACATTAATAAATCCAGTGTAAACAAAGAGTAGAAAAATATAAAAGGATTTGTAAGTGTAATTATCTATGACAAATATTTGTTACTCGCTTTCTTTTGTATCAGAGAAAAAGAGAGCTTTGAATTATGGAGATTGAGCAGCCAAATAAACTAAAAATCATTATAACTTTTATTACTTTTATGTGCATAAATCTTCTAATTACAAATTAAAAATGCTATGTCGCTAAGTTCTTAATTATTAAATAGATTTTTATGAATGTTTGAAATAACTCTTTAATAATTTTCTTCTTATATAGTACGATTTTCTAACAATCCCACATCAAGAACATAGAGATCATTTAACCATTTGTTACCATCAAATCCACCAAAGATATAGATCAAATCATTTTCTAATAATTCAATAATAATTAATACCTGTGGCAGTTGCTGAATGTCTCTGTCTTGGTTAGGGAATCTAAGACAATGCTACTTCCTCCATTTATAAATAAGTTCCAGTTCCATGATGATTGGGAATGACCCACTAATATGTTTAAAAATTAAAAATAAAAAGATCATTCGATCTACCTGAACCATCATATCCACCAAATACATAAATATTATTTTAAATTAAATTAGCTGTATGTCCTCTTAATCCTTTAGGTAAATTTCCTTTAGTAATAACTTAAGTCCATTCCATTTTATTAGTTTTGAACACATGTAGATCCTATAAATGTTATGCTCCAGAATGGCCACCAAACAAATACAAATTTTCCTTATATCTACTATAATTATTTAGTTACCTGGTCATTGTGTGTGCATTTCTGGCAGTAGGAATTGTTCCACTAACGATTGGTTATATCCATCTATTTTCTTAAATATCATATATTTCTATCTCATTAAAACATTCTTAACCATCATAACCTCCAAATAAGTAAAGTTTTTTTTAAACTATATTCAAAGAATGACAAGCCCTAGCAGTAGGTATCTAACCTTGTGGATGTACTTTGTACCAACTAGCCTAACCATGTTATCCTTATGTTTCTAAATAATAAAGATCATCTAGCCATGTATTTCCATTATGTCCTCCATGAACATACAACTTTGTTTGATAAACTGCTGTTGTGTGATTATTTCTATAAGAAGGGAGTTCTCCATTTGTTTATAATTCTGACCATTAATTTAAATTCAGATCATAAATGTGAATGTCAGCAAGGGCATTCATTCCATTCCATCCCCCAAATATAAATAGTTTCCCCATAATTAGATCACAAGAATGCGCTGCCCTGTCTCCTGGCTATTTTCCTGATGGATCAATTTTCCTCCAGATCATTCTATTGTTATTTTACATTATAATTATAATAATCATAAATTTCTCTCTAAAAATAAATATCTGAAGAAATCGAATCTCACTATGTCTTCTTTTGGATCTATTTCTTTTACAAATTCACCTTAAAATAGATTTGCTGCAAATCCAAACTCTTTTAGTATTCCTCCTAATGTTGGCTCAACATTAAACTTAAATATCTATCATTTAACAAAAATTATTTGTACTTTTACAAAATTACTAAACTCTTTTATACTCATATATCCTTTACTTTAATCAAATAAGTTCCAATAACCATATGAACAAATCTCTCTAAATAATAGATCTTAACCAAGAGATCTTTCATAAGTTGCTAAAACTTTTGTTTAAACTAAATTAGCTATTTCTTCAAATGTTAATAATCTATTCATATTCATTGGATAACCCATATTATAATGTACCATTTACAACACACACCAATTATCGACTGGTATTGTAAATTAATTAACTCTTGTGTAATCCTTTTATTTAATTATTCAAATACATTGAAAACATTGAGTAATTCAGATGGTCTTAAACCATTTTCTCCTTTAGCAATAAAAACTTCATATGATCTTCTCAATTCATTTAATTATTTTCCAGATACTTAATGCTATACTGGTAATTCTAGTGTACGTTCCTTAATATAATCTGACCATGCTTAATATTCATTTTATGCTAATTATTTTCTTGTTTCTATTTATAGTGATTATCTATATTGTTATCTAGTATTAGCCATTCTTTTAATTAGATTCTCATAATTGTTACAATGGTATAATCCTTAACCAAATGGTTATCTACCCTCAATTTCTTTCATTTATAAATGAACTTGTTTAACAAATTTTGGTAATTTATCTAAATAGGTATATTTTTTATTACATGGATTTACAAATTCAACCAAACCCTTTGTTGCAACACTCATTTAATTTTTAATTAAAACAATACATTATTATTTTTTTACACTTAATTTTCATTAACATTATATATCATTAATTTAACTTTTTATTTTATGATGTTAATTATGCTATTATTTAAAAATATTACTTTTATTAATAAATTGATGGTTCTTTTATATATAAATAATTAAAACAGAACATATAATTTAGATCTACTTTATGTTAATTGATATGAACTGATAAATCAAATATAAAATAGGACTTTTTACTTTACAAGGTCAGGTAAGGGTAAGAATTTCACTTAATCTCTGTCATCATAGTTATCTCCAATAAAGTTGCAAAGACAATGTGCATATCTGACAGGAGCAGGGATTTTGATAGAACCTGTAAAATTATAGAATAACCAACATAATTTAAATGTCAAAACTTTGATATCATCGTCAAGACCTAAGATAAATACAAATATATACCTGCTTAATCTGAATGAATGATTTTATATAAGGAAGGAGTTACAGTTCCTTACCTAGTTATTTGTGAAATTAAATAAAAGTTAGGATTTGATTATTCTACTACTTTAGGGTTATCAACACATGTTCCTGGTTAAGGATTATCAGGTCTAGCATTTCCACCAGTATAGAATTTAGCTGAAACCCTTTTATTGCATACAACAAGTGATATTTTAGTATCTATAATTTATAATTCTTCTAAGGCTTATTTATATTATGGTAATTCATTTGCAAGTACTACAGCCTATTATCCATCTCCAACACCATCTCTATAAATAATAACCAACTTTGGAAATATTCCATTTTATTCTTTAAAAGCTAATAGAGATGCTTTAAAAACTTATTAAAGATGCTAACTGAATTCTCCAGAAGTAACAACTTGGGAATAATATCTACTTAAATTTCTATCAACTGTGCTACAAAAAGCTAATTAATTTTTTCTTCCACTTTTAACAAAGCAATCTGTTCCACAAATCATAGTAGGTTGATTTTAGAAAGTAGTTGGTAAACTATCAATTGCCCAAGGAGTACCTCCAACTTTAGCATTGAGTTAAATTAATATCTTATTTACAATTGATCTAGTATTTTTGGCTAGAGTTTTTTCAACAACAACTTAAGATGCACAACCAAATTTTTGCATAGAGATTTTCTTAGCTGTTTTATATAATCTTGCCTTTTTTTTTTATCCAGGTAGAAGGAATAATAAGAAACCAACTTTTGCTTTATTGGCTTCAGCTTATTTTTAAAAGCCATCAAGAACTCTTTCTAAATCTTCATCTCTATCTTATTCAATAGGGAAGACTTTAGGAGCCATGAATGCTTAAAACTTAAAGTCATTGCATGCAGCTTAAAAATTTTACATCAAGGAATCCATAGTTTATTATCCAGTTTTTTTATTGTATATGATTCCCAAAATGAGTTATTAAGGAGGAGTTGAAAACATTTAGGTTTATGTTTATCTATCTAAATTTGTTTAAGGACTTGATAGATCTAATTTTAAACCATTTCCCATTAACATATTTCCTGGATGGATTCTTCTAGCAGGTACATCCATACTTCCAGGATTAATTTCTACTCCCCATTCTTTAAATATTTATCTCTTTGTTCCAGATTTTTTATTTATAATTTCAGTATTTGCTAATTAATTAGCAAATTCTTAAGCCATCTTCATTCTTTAATCAGCTCCTGGTTTAGTAACAACTGCTAAATTCTTCATTGCATTGAAATCCTATAATTATTATATAATTCTATACATTTCTTATTGCATCTGTTAAACCTGTTAATTAACATAATTGTGGAATCAAATGAATTGTTTTTTCTGTTTTATCTTATTTACTTCTCACTGTAGCTCTAATTAATGGTTAATTTCCATCAACTTTCACTTTATATCTTTATTCATAATATTAGGCAAAGGACATGTTTTCACCTTTCTCATTTGTAAATGTGCTTGTTGGTCTAAGATTAACATCAACAGCTTCGACTTTATAAAACTTCTTATTGTAAGTAGTCATAACAATTTAATCTTGAATACAAGATGGATTTCTAGTTTAATTCAATTCTTCTAAGGCAGATCTATATCTTAGCATTTTGAATGCACAATCAATAACTAAAGTTGGATTCTAAGCTCCTCCTTCTCCTGGTCTAAAAATACATTCTACTCCTGGCCAAATCTAAAGATAAAATTGATTTCTTACTTCTAAATTCTATTCTTTAAATTATTATGCTCTACTTGACCAAAATAACTTTTATCCTTTATTACCAACTGATACCATTTATAATTAACTTCTAATAACTTATTTGAAGAGTCTTGATATAATAATATTTAAGTCAGCTTTATTTTCAATCTTCCCTACTAACTTAAGAGTAGCTGTGTCTTGATTTGTCTCATTGCCACTCAAAGAACCTAAAACTAAACCATTATCAGCTTCTTAGATTAGTTTTGGTGAATAAATATTCTAGTTCAAACTCATAAATAAGATCAATTAGGTCTAGAGTTATGGTCTAAATTTCTTAAGTGCCTCACTAACTTTTTCTGGTGAGGAATCTGTTATTTCTAATTTGTATTAATAAACTGGTCTTGATGGATTCAACCTCATCTCATGAAAGTTTGCTTTAAGTTAAATATTTTGGAACATTTTGAATTATATACATTAATTACTTCGATTGAATTAGTTCATATATTCATTTTATAAAAATGTACCTAAAACCTTAAGTGTGAGTCATATATTTAGTACAATTTATATTCGAAATTAATTTAAATAATTTATATTTAATTCACTTCAAATATTATATTATTTATTCTTTAATGTTATTTGTAAAATACTTTAAGTAGCAATAATTGGAATTGTAGATAATGGAATTTTTTAATTGAATTATTTGAATATGATGGGTATATTATATATTTATGGATGATTGTTGAAAATAATAATTTATTTTTCAAAAAAATAGTATATTGTTTTTAATGAAATCTCTTTAAAATGATAATCTTGATAATTAATATATATTATCTATTCATATCAAATGAAGAGATTTAAATATTTGATATCAGATTTAATAAAGAATCTTAATAATTCTGTAAATTAGATAATATATAGAATGAAATTATAAAATAAATTAATTTCTTTTCATGTCAACTTCTAAATCAATTATAGATGAGACTTACATTAATGTTCATTTGAAAGGAGGTAATCTCCATTCTGAACTCTTGCATATTGAAGCTTCTTTCAATAAAGGTATTATTATGATTCAATTTTTAGGATAATTTAAAGGATAATCTATTCCATTGAGATGCTAATGGTTTAATATAACAAAGGATAAGGATTTTGTAGAAATAGAGGATGTATCAGGATAATTTTATCAACCTTGTATACTAGATATTGATACTAAGTAACATCATCAATATTCCTATAAGAATTATGGTTTAAGCCATACCAATTTTGGACTTTGATTATAATGGAATGCCCTTAATGGCTGAAACTAATTTTTTACAAGCCGATTCAAAAATTTTCGATTTAGTAGATTAATAAATTAAAAATTAGGTTAACTAAGCATTTAATGAAGGAGAGATGTAATTAAATTGTAAATTGGAAAATATTTAGGCATAAGATAATCAATCTTTTATGGATCTTAATTTACCTTTAATATGTACTTTAATTGCCAATGAACATGGATTAATAATGAAAACTGATTAAAATAAGACTATTGTCAATATTGATAAATACGAATTAAAAATTATAAAGAAAAATAATAATTAGATTGAGATCTTCAATTAAAATATTAAATTATTAGCAGCTGTAACAAATAATATAGTTCGTGATGCCATTTTTTAATTTAGCAAAACTTTAAAATCAAAAAAGACTCATTTAAGTGATACAGCTTAATTGTATGTAATACTTTCTGATTAAGAATAAAAGATAGCTTAAAAAGACAATGAGATATCCTCATTATTAGACTTTAAGTAAAAATTAACTAAGAATTTAAATGAACTTTAATAATAATATAATTTAAATATCAAAAAATTAGAATAAATAGATAAATAAATAGCACAATAAAATTAGGTAATTGTAAATAAGGACAAGGAAATAATGAATTTAAAATAATAGATTGATAAATTAGATGGAAAAACATAAATTTATATATAAGAAATAAAGGTTTTAAAGAGTTAAGTAATTTTATTAGAAAATACTAATAAAAAATATTAGCATGAGATAGAAGAATTAAAAAAGAATTAAAATTAAAATTAAGATGAAATAAGGGAAATGTTTTATAGAGAAAAATTAGATAGCTTAAAATTGTAAAATGATGTATATATTATTTATATTTAGAGAAATGCATAAAGGAAAATCAATAATGGCAACTTATAAATGATTAGTTAATGAAAGAAATAAAAAAACTTGAAAACAATAATATATTTTATTAAGAAGAGAAAGAGTTAGTTTAAAATGAATTAAATAGTTTAAAAAAGAAGTATGAAAGTTTATTATAAGAAATTGAACTTAATTAAAAAAAAGAGAAATCAGAAATTTCATCAGAAGTAATCATAAAATAATAAAATTTTAGAGTGATGTTTAATCAAATAAGTAATCAGAAATTATAATCTGTAATCCAATTGTATAGAATAACAATGGTTAATTAGAAGAAATAAAGAGATTGAAAACTACAATAAATAATTTGGAATCTACAATTAAAAAGTAAAGATGTGAAAAATTTTAGTTTGAAATGTGATTATGAATAGGATATGTTGAAATTAACAAATAAACACTTTTTAAAAAGCAATACTTCTCAAGAAATATAAGTGTTGCAAAAATTAGTAATTATAAAAAAAGAATAATTATAGGCTAATTCTTTGGCTGAAAGTTTATCAGATAAAGAGTAAGCTTTACAAACATAGAGAAACATTAATAGAGAATTACTGAATAAAATATCTGAATTCACAAAGTGATTACGGAAATAAATACATTGATTAATATTTTATTATATTCATTAATCTTTAGGTATTAAACCAAAATATTTATTGTGCAAAAAAAAAGGGAGATGCTATTTAAAAGAATTAGAACATATTTTATCCGTTTAAGCAAATTTAGATTATGTAGGACTAGTTTATTATCTAGATGTAGTTGAATGTATCCTTTTAGTTAATGAGCTTTCAGTAGCTTATTTTTTTAATAAACTTTGAGAATTATCTTAAATATAATCGTTGCTTTTTTTTATTTCTTTTAAATTGAATTTTTATTATAATTTAATTGTTTTTTCTTCTTCTTAATTAATTTTAGTTTTTATTATTGGCTAAGATGAAAATAATTTTGATAGCACTTTACAGATATATACATTTTATTTTGGAGAGTCATGAATTGGAATTTCAAATTTTTATCTTTAATCGAAAGATGTTTTTATGTTTCTAGGACCTTTTTTAGAAACCTACATTATTTATTACTCAGTTCTCTATCTTCTATGTTTTTCAGATGTATATAATTACGTAAGTAATGTACTATAATTCATATCAGATTAAGGAGGTTACAAAGTTAAAGTAAGTTCTCTTATTTTTTTATCAATTTATTATTTTTTGCTACTAATTTTAGAAACATGAGTTTTATTTCTTACTAATACAGTAGTTTATAGATCTTCATCAGTTAATAGTTTTGGATTTAATTATTCTTTAATTTAAGTTCTTTCAAGAATTATTTATTTTTCTGTTTAATCAATGAAATTCTTTTCATAAGCCCTTATTTATGCTAAAGCTTATTTTAGTTTATCATCATTTAAAGAATTCAAACTTTAAGATAATGGAGGATCATTATATAATACTCTTAAGAAATCTCTTTTTGATACATAATAGATTGTGTTGGATTCAAAAGTTGAAATATAACTAAATTATCTACATAAGTCAGGTTATTTTAAAATTTCTAATTCGCCAAACATTTCACCTGCACCAACAAATTTTAATGTCATAATTGACTTATTATCTCTTATGACTAGATTTCCATATTTCTTTTTCTGATAGAGCATATCTATTTTGTCTGAATTTGATAGACATGGTTTAGAATAGGCAAAGCGATCTTTCAAATTTTGTAAATCATCTTGTGAATTATTTTCATTATTTTATTATGGAATTCTTAATGTTTTAACTACCTATAATAATTATAAGTATTTTATTACTTTAAATTATCCAGTTTATATAAAGTAAACTTCATTTGAAGGATCACCTTCTCTATAAATTGCATGATTAAGTCCATATTTAATTTATTTAATAACATCAAATAAAGATTTAATACTTGCAAATTTCCAATCTCTAAAAATACTCAATTTAGCAAACTCTTCAAAATACATTTATCTTTGTTGATTAATCTTATTTTAAATAAATTTAGGATTACCACAGTTTTTTTGATAGCCATATAATCTTCAGCTTCTAAAACTGCCAAATGAGTTGGAAGTATGGCTTTGACAGATGCTGAACGAGGTTCATTATTTTCAAGTGCTAATTCTCCAAATCCTTATCCATCTTATAATTATATTAATTCTTTATCTTAAAATTCATCTTAAACTAATAATCTTTTATGGATAGATACTCTTCCTTATAAAATGATATAAAAAGTAGTACCAACATCACCTTAAATTATTAATAATAAATACCTTCTTTAAATAATGTTTAACCATATGAAAGGTATGTATAACTCATTTTTCTTAAACATCTTTCCCATAATAAAGGTCCTTATTCTTTTTCAATTAATTTTTAAAAATAATCTATATGTATCGTAGCTTTTTTAAGGATTTCAATTTCTGATTGAGTTCTATGATAAGATGATTTTGTGAGAATGATGCATAAAATACCAAATATTTATTCTTATGTTAAAGTTTCATAAAGTGATGGGTCTTGTTCCATTTGTAATATATATTATTTGAGTTTTTTATTCTCTAATTCTTTGAGAGCTTATGTATTTAATGAGCTTTTGCGAATAAATTTATTCATTATTTTTTTAATAAGCAGGAAATTGGAAAATCTATAATGAAGGGTCAATAAACACCAAGTCGTTTTCCTAAAATAAATTAATTTGAAACTCAATTCTCTCATTTATCATTAAGCAATTTCTAAGAATAAAAACATAATCCTTCAATTTGTAAAGGAATGTTGAGTATGATTAATCCTAAACCTCCTTGTGAAAATAAGAAAATAAAATAATCTAGTATATATAATAATGAATAGGTTAATTCGAATAGAAAGCACATTGTTTAAAAAGATGTCCATTAGAAGAAGGTACAAGTTTTGATTTAGATTTATCTGTGTTTAAAATACGTCCTTGTTAAAGACAATGTGAACATAATTATAAATAATGTCCATATTTCCATTCAGAAAATGATTTAAGAAGACCTGGAACATATTACAAAGCAGAATTATGTCCTTATAAAGTAGAATAAAAAGAATGTCCTCATGGTTATAGTTGTTGTAAAGCACATAATTAATACGAATTATTATATTAAGAAGATAATTATCGAAAATTATTTTGTCCTTAACCATAAAATTGTTGTTTTGGTATGTATTGTCCTTATGCTCATTTTGAAAAGGATATTAAATGTGAATTGATACATTTATATTAACATGATTAGGATTATTTTATGTTTCATTACAAAACGATTGCTTGTCCATATACATTATTTAATCATAATTTAGTAATCTATAATTTAATTAGGTCAACTTGTGATTATTATCATAATGAGAGTGATAAACGTAGAAAAGTTTAAGATATCCCTTATTAATCTTAATAGTGTCCAAATTGGATGTAAAATAAAAGTTGTTCTAATGAATGTTTATTATGTCATTCTATCTTTGAACTTTATTTTCATCCTTACATATATAAAACTTTTGAATGCACATAGTAAAATTGTTATCGAGATATTTGTCCAGGATATCATGATGAAAATGATTAAAGGTAAGATATTTTTAATATAATTAAAGATAATTAAATCCATTAGTTAGAAATGGAATCATGAAAATAGTTCCAAAAAATAGATTTGAAGAGAGATAACCAAAAACACAAACTATTAAATTTCCAAGTATATATTAATGAACTAATTTTACAAATTTTTATACTCTTTATAATTTAAATAAATTTTATGTCATTCTGTTAAGAGTAATTTTTTATTAATATGTGAAGACCCAAAGTTGACTGTCAATACTTGAAATCTGTTATAAAGAATCTTAATAATAGATTATACACATTAGAAAATGCTAATCAGAATTATGAATAGAAAAATAATCAAGTCATGGAATAAATTACTGAGGATTTAGTTATTCCAAAACTAAAACTAAACAAAATCTAAATTGGATTTATTGAAAACAATATTCCTTAAAAGAAAGTCTTAGTAACCTTTGGAAACAAAGAGAATTTCAGAACGGATAATTGTGACTAAGTTGGAGATAGAATAGATTAAAACATATTTACTATTAATTAACCCTCTCCTTAAAGAAAAAACATAATATAATCATAATTGATGAATTAATAACTACAATTTCTCAAATAAAAAGATGATAAGTTAACCAATATTAATAAATAACCTAAACTTAAATTAGTCAAATAGGATTCCAATCTAATTCATCCCATCTTTTCAAAAAAGAATTCTGATTAATAATCAATAGGATCCAAATTCTATACTCGAAATAATTCTATATAATCAACTCCTGTTAAATAAATTGCTTATAATTCATCTTTAGGAACTACACCATTAAGAAGAAAGAATTCTTAAAAGAATAGCGATTTATTTATCAATTAATTATAAATTGATGATATGATGCATAATTAAAGCAAATTTCTTAAATATTTTCAATAAAATTATGGATCAAATAAATTAAGTACTACTTTTGATAATTCCAATAATAATTTATAGAGAAGAAATTCTTTAAAATCTTAAAATAAGATCACTTTGATTGATGCTCAAATTATTAAAATTTGATGATTTTCATTTTATTCACATTTTACTTATGACTAATGATTTTTTTTGTTTAATAAAGAAAATTAGTAAAAACGATTTATTTATTAAAATAATGAAAAGCATAGTAGCCGTAACATTAGTTCTGTGTCTTCTTTCAAATCAAGTTATCTCTAAGAAGCATAACTAAGATGAAGAGCATTCAGCTTTTGAAAAAAGTATAACATTATGATTAATATATATAGGTCATAAAAAATTAGCACTTTCTGATGATCCAGCTTATGGAAAATTAGAAGAAATTTAAGATCATCCACTTGGATCTAAGATTTTATAAACAATTGCTCTATAATTAAGAGGCAATGAATCATTAAGTGCTGTTAGCAAATTATTGAATGATTTGAAAGGTGATCTTGAAGTAATTATATATATATATTCTATTCAAGGGTAAATAAATTGATGCTGATAATGAAAGAGCTTAAATTGGATCTCAATGCAAAAAAGATCTATAAAATTATAGTCAAAGAATTAGTTTATCAATTAATGAAATTAAAGATGCTGAATTCAAAGCTAAAAGATTAAATGAAGCCATTGCTGTCTATTAAGCTGAAATCAATGAAAAAGCTAGATAAATCAAAGTCTTTTAAGCTAAGGATGATACTTTAAGAGATATTAGAAGATAAGACAATTTAGATTTCTCAACCAGAACAACTTAAATGAAAGAAATGGTTCAAGCCTTTGAAGTCATCTTACCAAAACTCCATTAAGTTTGGGATGTAGCTGCAGCTCATAAGGCTGGTTCTTTCATTGAAGAAGAAGCTATTAATGAAGCTTTAGTACAATTAGCTAAGATTGGAGAAGAAAATCCAATTACTGCTATGGTTGCTTTGACATCCACCTTAGAACCAACTGCAGTTTAGACTTTAATTGAAAAAATGGAAGCTATTAGAGATTCTATTAAGGAAAGTATTTAAGCTGAAGAAGAAGCTGAAGCCAAAAATGCTAGAGTATTTTATTATATTTATTATATTTAAGGATACTGACACTATTTTAGCTTCTATTTTTAATGCTATTGAAAGTTTAACCAGAGAAAAGGCAAGTGATGAGGAAGCTTTGTAAGAGACAATTAGAAATAGAGATATTCAAGACAAGAGAAGCAGAGATGCTCATGCTGTATCATATTATTATATCATTAGGAATTCAATGCTGCTAAGAATGGAAATTAATAAAGAAATCAATAATGCTAGGAATACGAATTATAATATTAATAAAACACAATTGAAAGAGATAAATAAATTGCCATAATTAGAGATGTTTAAAACATCATAGCCACCAAAATAGAAGTTGTTACATGCTTTGTTGAGGAAAACAATTTATTTTGATATTAATTATATTACAATAAAACAATAATAGAAAGAATTCTTCTTCAATTATTATTTCTAATTCTTCTAAATAAATTTCTTATTGCTATCCACAAATCTATTGACAATTGTTTTGTAGCTCTCAATATATTTTTTATAAAATTGTATGACCATGTTGTTATACTGACAATTAAATTCCATATTGGAGTCAAAATATATTCATAAATAAAAGTTGAAGTTATACTAATTATTTTTATTAGACCCTAATTATAATAAAATGATTACATTAAAAAGACATTTAGCTAAAATCCATAAGGGCAATAATAAAAATCTATAAATAATCTTAGAGATGATTCTTATAATTGATACAATTATATTATAAAATGGTTTTAGTATATAAATGTATATATTCTTAAGAATTATCTGATAAATTATTTTTATAATGAACCAAGTCAAACATCTATATATATTTAAACAGATTTAATCACAAATGAATTCAGTAATTATAGAAAGCACTTTGTATATCACATCAACAACAATGAATTTTAATAATTGCCCTAATCTTGTTAAGACAATTTCATAAAGAAAATCGATTACTAACCATTAAATAATTTTACTGAATGGGATAAAAATTAATTTGTATAAAAAGTTATAAAAGAATAATTTTGCAGCTTTGTATGAATAAGTTAATACAATTCTATACAAAAATTTAACTAATACATACTCATATATATTGAGTAAAATGTAATTATAAAAGTTTACTATTGTCCATCTCAATCCTTTGTAGAAATTTATTATAATAAATTTGTAAAGGATAGTAAAAAACAAAAATTTTAAAAAAAGTAAAAAATTCCATATGATATATTTAAAGAAAGGTTTAAGTATATAATCTATTGTGGAGTTATAAAGACATATGATAAAAAGTTCTAAGATGTGTAATAGCATATTAACAATGAAAATAATAGCATTTTTTAAAGGAATAAAGATCTTATAATTAAAATACAAAGCCAAAGGTACAATAATTTTCAAGGATATGGGTATTGTAATGATTGAAGTAAATTCTTACATTATTGATCTCAAATGAGCAAATTTGTAGATCGTATTAATGATAAATATTGCATACCAATCTAGTATTTATTTAGAACATCTTCCTAAACAATAGATAGCATCAAGTAATTTATTGCATATAAAAGCTAAGCAAGAGTAAATTTTATTTAAGATAATTGAGATAATATGACATAGCCATTATAAACATTAAACCATTTTCTCATAACAAATGAGAAGACAATTATAAACTTGATTAGTGCAACAATCTATTAATAAATTAGTTATGCAATAAAGTAGTCTCCATAAGAGGACAATAGGTAAGAGAGGAAATACTAGAATTATTTTTAAAGCTTTGATTAAGATGTGATCATTTCTGTAGAGTAAACCTCCACAATATTTTTCCTTTTCATTCTGAATATTTGATATTTCATTTGATTATTGTTGGGTGTTTGGTTAATAAGGTTCTTATGATTCTATTCCTTATTCTTATTGTTAGTTATTAATATCAGAATATTAACTCATGTAGAATTATTTATATTATAGATTAATAAATAAATCTAATAAAAAAGGATATTAGGAACAACAAAATTAAGTTAATATATAGACAATAGAGTTCAGAATGTTTAAATTTCTTAAAATAATTATTTTAATCCATAAATAAAATTAAGATTTTAATAAATAATGAGTAAAAAGGACCTTGAAATCACAGTTGGATGTAATATTATATAAATATAAAATAGAAATTAGAAAGGCAATTCCTCAACATTTATTTTAAAAGAATGAGTTTAGATTTTTAGTTTCTGTAGGTTAAGCTGTTAGTTGCACACTATTACTAACATATTTAGCTTATAATTATATACCCTTGACTTGGTTGGCTCTACCAATTTGGGTGGCATATGCCTTTTTAACAGGAACTGTGGCTACAGGAATATGTAAGATTATTATTAATATTTAGGGGTTCTTGGTCATGAATGTGGACATTTTGCATTCTCAGATATTAAATGGTTAAATGATGTTTTAGGTTTCATATTACATGAAGCATTATTGGTACCTTATTATTCATGGTAACATTCTCATGCTCTTCATCATGCAAAGACAAATCATTTAACTGAAGGTGAAACACATAATCCAGTTATTATTGATTCAAAGATGGGAAAAATATATTAAAAAATGAAAGATATTTTGGGAGTGGAATCTTTTGCTTGTGTTTAGATCTTCAATATAGCAGTTTTGGGATGGCCTCTTTATCTCTTAATTGGTGTTACAGGTGGATCAGCTAGAGGATTCACTAGTCATTTTATAGTACCCAACAAATTGTTTCCACCAAAAATGTTGGTAAAAGTTACTGCTTCAAATCTTGGATTATGTTTAGTTATTTATGGACTTTATAAATGGTATTTAGCAACCTCATTTGCTGAAGTTATGGCTTTATATATTGGTCCTTATTTGGTAGTCAATATGTGGTTAACTATTATCACTTTCTTATAACATACTGATGCTGATGTTCCTCATTATGATGAGACTGCTTGGACATGGTTAAAAGGTATATTAGTATAATTATTTTAGGTGCTTTATGTACCATTGATAGAAATTATCCTTTATGGATTGATGCTTTACATTTCGAAATTGGTACCACTCATGTAGTTCATCATGTCTTTTCTGAATTACCTCATTACAATGCTAGAGTATATTATTATTTCATTATTTACAGGAAGCTAATGTCTATGTAAAATAAGTGATTGGAGATTTGTACAATCAAGATGCCAAAAAATTGTGGACATCCCTCTATAATTCTGCCAGTCTTGTTGGAGTAGAACATAAAGGAAATGGGGTCTGGAAATTTGCTAAGGCTTGATTATCATTTAGTATATATATTGATCAACACATATTAACATCATATATATATATATTTCTTATATTACAAATAATTTAAATCTTTAAATTATGAGCAAAAAGGATAAAGATTATACAGGGTATTTGTTGTTAAATATTAATTTTAGATTTCCTGGTGATTGTAATCAGACTTAACTAAAAGCATTGGCTGATTTCAGAAATATTGTCAATAGTATGGGATTAAATGAGAAAGTTTATGATGATCCATATCTGTTAAGGTTTTTAAGGGCAAGGAAATTTGATATTAACAAAACTCAAGTTATGTTTAATGATTTTATTAAATGGCGTAAAGAAAATGATGTAGATAACATTATGGTAACATTTAAATAAACTTAGACATATATGTTTGAAGAATTACCATAAGTAAGAACTCATTATCCTCATGGTTATCATAAAACAGATAAAATAGTATTTAATTTCTAATCTATTTTAGGGAAGACCAATCTATATTGAAAGAATTGGAATGTTATAATTAAATAAACTTTTTGAAATCACATCAGAATAAAGATTGATCAAATATTACATTCAATCATATGAATTATTACTTAAAAGAATATTTCCAGCATGTTCTTAAGCAAAAGGTACAAGAATTGATTAGACCTTCACAATTTTGGATCTTAAAGGTGGATCAATGAAAATGGTTTCTAAATAAGTCTATAATTTCATCTAATTAGCATCTAATGTTGGTTAAAATAATTATCCTGAAATATTAGGAAAGTAGATATCAAATTATATTTATTAGAATGTATATTGTTAATGCTCCTATGATGTTTACTGGTATTTGGGCAATGATTAAAATATGGTTAGATGAAAAAACTAAAAATAAAATCACTATTTTAGGTTCAAGTTACAAAGATGAATTATTAAAACACATTGATATTGATAATTTACCTGATTTTTTGGGAGGAAATTCAAAATGTGAAAATACAGAAGCTCTTTCTTTAAATATTGGTCCTTGGAATCCTGATGGTACTAAACCACTCTTTCCAGTTGAATAACCTGCTTAATAAGAGTATTTATTATTATTATTTAAATAGAGAAGAAACTTAAGAATTAACTTAAACATAAGAAGATGAAGATTAAAAATAAAAATTAGATTAATTAAAATCAGCATTGGCAGACATGTAATTTGCATCTCCAATTGAAAAAGCTCCTCATAATCCTAATAAATATGAAGTCACAACTTAAAATAATCATATGGTTAGTGATACACCTCTTAATACAGAAGTGGTAAAAATATAGTTTTTACATTTAGGGTGAAGAGGACAATCAATTTTCACAATAATAATAACAATAATTATAATAGTAATTACAACAGGATTGATTTAGACATTAAACATATATATATTAATTTTATAAAAAAACGAAATATTTTCAAATTATTATTTTAAGAAATCATTATTTACATTATGTTATTATTAAAATATAATCTTCTTTAGATTATCAATAAATTGTTATTTTGAATAAACAATATTAATAATTTCAATATAATTTAATTTAAGATTGATAAGTATAATAATACTATTACTTATTAACAAAAATTACGAATGAACCTACTATAATCATAGTAGCCTGATTAATTATTATTGATTAATTTTATTCTTTTTTTAAAAGTTATTCAATTAAATATTGTGCCATTATATATCACATTTATAAGCTACATTTTTAGGATTATATGATGAAAATTATGGTAGATCTTAATATTGAATTTAACTTAGTATATTTTAAAAGGTGGGTGAATTAAGAATTATGATTCATAGATTTTCTTAAGATAATAAAATCAAAAATTGAAATAAATTTAAGAGTAAGAATACTGAATAATTGATTTCATAAATATTTTTAATAGTTTTTTATTATTATTAAGTCATTAAACTTAGATAAACATTTAGTACTACATTATCTAAGTTGAAAATTTATCTTATGAATTTTTAATGTAAGATGAAAGCTATATTTTATTAACTTTTAAAAAAACAAAAAATGATTAATAGATGCATTCATTTAATCATTATTTTGATCAATTATTTTTATGGATTTTAAAATAATAATAGGAAGAATAATCTTATGAATTTATATTATTATATAAATTAAAAATTAGTAATTATTTGGTGATATGTATTATTATATTTTATATTATTGGATTGATAATTAAAATCAAAATTGAATGATTTACAATTAATATAAGTAGAGAGTTAAATGAGTTGAAATTTATATTGAATATCATAAAATATTAGGGTGATTTTGAAGTTATAAGAAAAATTAAATGTATTAATAATTGATTAATAAAACAATAAAATGAAATTACTTTTGTTTATCGTATTGTTCGTTATTAATTCTAACAGAATAGTTTGTTTTAAGTATTTTTGAATTTAGATTATATTTTATAATAGAAGATATAGTTTAAAATATTGATTTAAAGATTAATTCTAATTTTTATAATTACATTAACGTTAATGGAACAATATCATATTTAATTAGAAATGTTGATTTATATAATTCATGATAATTCAACAATAAATTAATTATCTTGTAGGATCACTTATCCGTATTATAAATTAAATCATTTTTTATAGTATTTTGAGATTAGTAAGTTATTCTTTAGAATAGTTTATCTCATTTTTATATATGTATTATTGATATGCTTAGTGTATATAATGATATTTATTTATTCTAGTGTTTATTTATATTGTTTAAGATTGTATAACTATTAGTATTGTAATGAAGGAATTGTTAGTGATATTTGCATACGTTGATTCATATTGGCATGCAAAGATGAAATTGATTATAATGAAGAATTACATAAATTAAATAATTTATACACGTTTAGATGTTACCCTAAAAGAAACCTTAATATGAATTATTAGGTGTTTAGAATCCTGAAAAAGAACAATTCATCAATTTCATTTAATTTGACCATTTAGACATCAAGGGGATAATATTTCTGATAAGTCCTTTAGGAACATGTATTTTGTTATAAGTAATGAATTTTTATATATGTGGTTAGATTTTTGGTTTTTCATACTTAATACAATTTATTAGTACTGTATTGCATATATCAATAATCACAATTATCTTTGCAACATGTATTTTAGATCAAATACTAAGACATGATGAGGTAAGATTTGATTATAAATATAAAAGGGTACTAAAGAAATGAAAAGAATAGCTTAATCTATAGAGGAAGGATCAGAAGGTTTCTTTAAGGCATAATACGGGACAATTATCAATTTAAGTTTAATATTTGCATTGTTAATATTTCTTGTATATTGGTAAAAAGGAACAGGAGATTTGGAGAAAGATGAGATTCCTGTTGGAGGATTAGTGATTGGACTTTTAGAAGGAGGGTCTTTTTTGTTTGGAGCATTCTGTTCTGGTTTTGCAGGATTTGCAGGAATGTGGGTTAGCATTAAGGCTAATTCTAGAGTAGCAAGTGCTGCTAGGACTTGTTATAATACAGCAATTTAATTGTCATTTAGAGGAGGTTATTTTGCTGCTGTAATAAATGTAGCTTTAGCAATATTTGGAATAAGTGTATTGTTTATAGTTATATATGTGTATTGTTATATAACAATAACAGATTAACAAAAATTAGATGAATAAATAAATAAAATACCATTATTATTAATAGGATATGGATTTGGTGCTTCATTTGTTGCTATGTTTGCATAATTAGGAGGTGGTATCTATACAAAGGCTGCTGATGTAGGTGCTGATTTGATTGGAAAAATAGAGAATGATATTCCTGAAGATGATCCAAGGAATCCAGCTGTAATTGCTGATCTTGTAGGTGATAATGTTGGAGATTGTGCTGGTTAAAGTGCTGATTTATTTGAATCTATTACTGCTGAAATTTTGAGTGCTATGATATTAGGAGGAACATTAACTCATGAAGCTAATCTTCATATTAATTATAAAGTTACTTTTATGCTTTTTCCTTTAGTTGTACATTGTTTAGATATTATATCATCTACAATTGGAATGTATTTTGTACGTACTTAACCAGGAATTCCTACTAAATATATTGAAGATCCATTGTGTATTATGAAAAAGGGATATAAAATAGCAATGATTATTGGATTCTTTGGATTCTTTTTTATTTGTCATCATTGTTTAAATCCATTGTAACACAAAGATGCATGGCTTTATTTTGGTATGTGTGGACTTATTGGAATTATTATATCTTATTTATTTATTGAAGTAACATAATATTACACTGATTATCATTATGAACCTGTTAAAAGTATAGCTTAAGCAAGTAAAACAGGTCATGCAACAAATATTATAGCAGGATTAAGTGTTGGAATGGAATCTACTGGTATTCCAATATTAATCATAAGTGTTGGAGTTTTGGGAGCATATTATTTAGGTGAATAAAGTGGTATAAGGAATCGTTAAGGAGAATTAATTGGAGGATTATTTGGAACTGCTATTGCAACTATGGGTATGTTTTGTACAGGTGTGTACATATTATCAATGGCAGCATTTGGACCTATTGTTGATAATGCTGGTGGTATAGTAGAAATGAGTGGTTGTGATGAATCAGTACGTTAAATTACAGATAGATTAGATGCTGTAGGAAATGTTACTAAAGCTAATGCAAAAGGATATTCAGTTGGTTCAGCTTCTTTAGCTTCTTTCTTATTGTTTAGAGCATTTATAGATGAAGTCAACTTTTTATCACCAACTAAAAAAATATTAGAGATTGATATTACATAACCTGAAATATTTATATCAGGTTTAATAGGAGCTTGTACAGTCTTTGTATTTAGTAGTTGGGCTTTGAGAGCAGTTGGAAATGCAGCATAAGATGTTATTAAAGAAGTTCGTAGATAATTTAGAGAGAATGAAGGTATATTATTAGGTACAGCTTAACCAAATTATAAATAATGTGTGGAAATTGTTACCAAAGCTGGATTAAGGGAAATGATTAAACCTGGATTATTAAGTGTTTTAACTCCATTAATTTTGGGTATTATATTAAGAGCAATCAATGTGGTGAGAATGTAAGAATTATTACCAGCTAAAGCTATTTGTGCCTTTTTAATGTTTTCTACTTGCACTGGAATTTTATAAGCATTATTTTTAAATAATGCTGGAGGTGCATGGGATAATAGTAAAAAATATATAGAGACAGGAGAACTTGGAGGTAAAGGAAGTGATGCTCATAAGGCTGCTGTAACAGGAGTAATTATAAATGATTTCTATATTATAGGATACAGTTGGAGATCCATGTAAGGACACAGCAGGACCATCAATTCATATATTAATTAAATTATATTCTACTATTACAATTGTAATGGTTCCATTGTTTGTGGATTGAATATTGTGTTTTAATTATTTATCGAATTAAATTTATTAATTTTTATTTATTATATATGTTAAGCCCATCATAATATTAACAACTGTAAAGGTTATCTCCTTAAAGAGTGAATATGCCAGGAATGTCTCGAGTGGTAATAAATCTTATAAATGAAGCCTGCCTTTGTTAAGACTAGAGAAGTTCGAATGCCATCTCCTACTAAATAATACTCTCCTACAAAATATGTAATCCATAATCCTCCTTTGTACATGAGATCTCGAATGGCTAGCACTGAAGATATTCCATCAATACCTTCAGAATCCAAAAATATCAATAATGACAGAAAGTATTCTATGCATATTGATCCAAAAACATAATAAATATCTCATCTCAATGAAATAATTCAATAGCAATAATAATAGATCTTGACTTAGGAGAGCAAAGTGGCTCTACTTTAGAATGAAGTGAATGCTTGGAAACAAAAGTTTATTGAACTCAATCAGAAATATCACTAAATGTAAGAAAAGTACTATCTTGCTGATACTGAATTATAACATTATAAATAATAATGAGTGAAAATATTGATGAACACATTCTCAAAAAATATGAAGTCATCTAACGTATTGGTAAAGGAGCCTATGGAATTGTATGGAAAGCCAAAGATCTTAAAACTCTAAAAATAGTTGCACTCAAAAAAGTGTTTGATGCATTCAATAATCCTACTGATGCTTAGCGTACATATAGAGAAGTATAATTATATACTCAATATGTGTTAGGTTACATTCCTTAAATAGCTGAAGCACCCAAACATTGTTTCTATTATTGAAACTTATCCTGCTAATAACAAAATAGATCTCTATATTGTATTTGAATATATGGAAACAGATTTACATATTGCCATCAGAGCTAATATATTATAAGCAGAGCATCGTCGATACATAACATATTAATTAATTAAAGCATTGAAATACATTCATTCAGCAGGAATGATACATCGGTAATTTATTCATATTAAAATTAGTGATCTCAAACCTGCAAATATTTTGATCGATTCTGAATGCTAAATAAAATTGGCTGATTTTGGTCTAGCACGTATGGTTGGATCACATGATTCTGATATCTTAACTGATTATGTGGCTACAAGATGGTTCAGAGCACCAGAAATTTTACTAGGTTCAAAATCATACTCCTATGGTATTGACTTATGGTCTGTTGGTTGTCTAATAGGAGAAATGATTCTAGGAAAAGCTTTGTTCTCTGGCAATAGCACCATAAATCAACTTGAAAAAATAGTTGATATTCTAGGTAATCCAAATCAATAGGAAATTATTGCCATGGGAGGATAATCATAAATATTCTAAAATCAATTCAGACCATCGAAATAAAAACTTAATTCTTTACTTGGCTGTTAAAAAGATGAATTAGATATCATTTCTAAATTACTCCAGTATGATCCTACTAAACGATTAAGCATTGAAGAATGCTTAAAACATTCTTATTTTAAAGAATATCGTAATATTAAAGAGGAAATTACATATCAAGGATCTATTATGCTTTAATTGTAAGATGATAAGTAATATCCAATCTCTACATACAGAGATGTTTTATATAAAAAAATGGATTATTCAAGAATCATATCATTAGTTAATAAACAAAAGAAAATTGTTGAAGAACTTGCACTCAAAAAACAACAATAAACTTTCAAGTAACTTATTGAATAAAAAAGTGCATAATCTATAAAATAATATAGAAGTACTAAATTTTTGAAAAATACTTATTCAAATTCAAATCTATTAGATAAAAGCCCATTAAATAAATCTTAATAATAATAACAACAATAATAATAATTATTATAATAATAAAATTCTACCTCTAATATCAAAAATAAATTAAGGTCTATATGTCAATAATCTGAAGCAAGACAAAGAAGTGCTATATCTAAATAATCTAATTCTTCATCCAAATATAATATACTTCATAATGTCACTAATACTTCTTTAAGTCCACATTCTGCAATTAATTCTAGGTATTTGCCTAACAGGTTTCACCAAAAGCATAATGATTTTTGATATTCATTTTAACTTATACACTAATTTAAATGCAAGACTTTTTGAATAAACAATAGTCTAATTTAAGCTATTGGAATCTATAAAATTTATCATAGAAGAATACGCCTACTATTTAATTCAATAACTTATGTACTATTTCAATGTCCTATACTCTTGAAATTTTTAAATATACATTGATTTTTTCATTCTTTTTATAAATGAAATATTAATTTATTATTCATAATTTAAATTGTAAAAACTACTTATATGGTTATCTTAATATTTTCTTTAAATTAAAATTAGAAGATATTAATAATGATAAATAATTAGATCTAAAATTTCTACATCAAATTTTTATTGTCAAAGTTTAAGTTCTCTTAAACATTAAAATCGAAATGATAATTTTTAATTTGAGAAAAATTAAAATTAAAAATGTTAGTTAAATTTATTATTTAAATTTTGATATTTCAAGCTTATTCTGATGAATATATTTAAATAGGATCTTTTTATTTAAGAAAATTGATTCAACAAATTTCGATATAACCTAATGATTTAATAACATATATATATGTAAAAATGATTTGCTTATTAAAATTAAATAAATTACAGCTTTAATTTCAGAAATAAGATTTTGGAATAATTAATGCATGTTTTAGATAAAATCTAATATATATATTAGAATAATATAACTGATATACCTATTTCTTAAAAAAGGATCAGTATAATTATAAATTTTTCTTATCTTTGGTGTTATGGATGTTTTATTTTATGTATTAATTAAAAAAAGAAATGAAATCCTTTTTTTTAGATGATATTAATGTAATTTAACTTTCAAAATTAATTTTTAAATAATATCTATTAAAGGAATATGATAAAATTACTATCCTGTATTTAGAATCATTTAATAATGAAGTAATATTATATAATAATATTGATTACCAAGTCACATCTGTATTTTGAACTTTTTAATTTGGAACCTCTTTTACATGAGCTTTTTTTGTGTTTACTAATGTTTTATCTTTTGAATTTGTTAATGTAAATATTTTGAAGATTAATCAAAGATCTTATTTGCAGGAATAGGTGCAAGTTTAAGTTGGATCAATTTATAGGGATTCTATAGATGCTCAAAGGATTAATAAAGAAAAATGAAGGGAGTTCAATCTAATTTGACTAAATAGGGTTTATAAATGGCAGTTTAGAGTTAATATATAGTTAAGACAGAGTCGAGTTAGAATTTTAATAAATTCTACGTTATTATTTAGTTATATCATAGATAAAAGTAGAATTAAAAGTAATTTAATAACAACTTCAATAATGTATATTCATTAATCTGAAGAATCAGGATCTAAGGATTTTTCTTCATCATCATTTTTTTGTTTTTTTGCTTATCTTAATTATTAATAGTAATATTTACAATCGACTTGTTACATAAGCTTCTAATTTTCTAGCAGTTTTAGTAGGGAGAGCATCAATATCAAATTCTACTTCATCTTCTCCATTTGCTTGAACACTTTCTTGTACTATTTCCCAAATTCCTCTCAAATATTCAAATTTTAATTATTTAATGTTTTCACCTAAGTTTAATTTCTCTTATTAAGTCATTTGTTTTTACAACTTGGATCTTAATATAATACTATTTATTACACAATTTATGGACTTTAATGCTGTTATTATTATAATTATTGTTGCTATTATTGAGATTATTATTAATTATATTAATGATGCTTTTATTTCTGCAGAATTTTTTATGCTTTATTATCTGGCTCTTTTTTATCCTTTTATTATTATGGTTATATTCTTTATGCTCTTCTTGGTGCTAAGTCCTCTTGACTTGTCTATTCTAATTTATGAGTCTTAAAAGTAGCATCAAACCTGGAAACTTTTTTAGACTTGAAATGATAGAAGCAAAATTTACAATTCTCTATTCTCTCTAATGTATTAGACTAGCCAAGTGTAAAGAGAAACCCTAAGGGAGTTTCATTTAGATAAAATCCACTTGTTATGAATTCAAGTAGAATTCAATCTAATTATTGGAATTCATTTGTTTTTTTCCTTAAATTTTTATTAATATTTTAAACCATAAATGATTAATAGAATTGTGATCAACTATTAAAGTTGTATATAAATCTTAATAAACTAATAATATCTTTGATCTTAATAAATTAAGATGATATAAGACTAAAATAAATATATGATTGATTCTTTAATCATTAAAATATAATGACATTGTAAAATCTAAATACAAAACAAAAATCTGTTTACAAAAACATCAAGATATTATCAATAAACAAAAAAATGAATAGTTACTAATATTAATTAAAGAATCATGATATTAAATGAGAAATGAATTAATAAATAGATTGTTCTTTATAAAAAAACTAAATTAATTGTTAATCTCATTTTAATCTTAGCAAATGGATAGAAATTATATATAGAAAGATTTGAATTATATTAGAAAGATAATATTTATAAATAAAGAAGTATTTGAAATCTAGAGTATGATAATTATAATTATAATTAAATATTAGATATTTAATTAAATAAAACATAATTATTAAAGATATTTTTTTAATCTAAAATAATTTTAATATTGAATTTAATTAATAAATTTATCAGAATCATTTTAAAAATTACTAAATTTCTTATAAAATCAAATAATTGTATAATTTATATGAATATATAAAATATATTTGTTAAAAAAAAATCTTTTATTTCATATAATTGATAAAGTAGAATAAAATTTTTCAATTTTTGTCTTTAATTAAGGATTCCAATATATAAATGTTAAAAGTAATGGATTGTAAAATAATCATATTAATATTTTAAAATTTTGATTATTTTTATAAATATTTTTTTTGACATTTAAAATCAATTATATTTCCATAAGTATTTGATTTATAAAAAATGAACAAAAAAAATAAGTACAAAATAATTATAATGCTTTTAGAAAATTAATTAATTAATGTATAAAAAAAAAATAAACAATTTATTTTATGCTAAACAACCAAGATTTTTAATATATAAGTAGATGATAGTTTGGAGTATGGGATAAATAATTTAAGTACTTTTTATTTAGTCATTGGAATGGAATGGAGTAGGTCTAGAGAGAGAGAGAAGATTAAAAAATAAAGAGAGAAAGAGGAAACAAAAAAGGAAAAACACTACAAGTTATAAAAAGATGAGATATTCAATTAAAGATATTTATTTGTGTAGGCCATTTCAGATGGAACATTTGGAAGAGTAGTAAGAGTGTTTGATGGAGGAGAGAATGATTTCAAGGCCATAAAGATCATTAAATCAGTTAAGAGACATATTCAAAGTGCCAAAATTGAATATGGAATACTGAGAACCATTCATTAACAAAATCAATATCATCCAGGAAATGAGAAGATTGTAAGAGCATACGAAGCATTTAGTCATAAGGATAATTATTGTATAGTTTTTGAGGATGTAAGATTTGCATAGTAATTTTTAGCTTGGATTATCTTTGTATGATTTTATGCGAGGAAAATATTTCGGAGGATTTGAATTGAAAGCCGTTTAAGAAATATTATATGATTGTCTTTAAGGTTTAGATTTTATGCATACAAGTGGATACACTCATACAGATCTTAAACCTGAGAACATNTTATCAGAATCATTTTAAAAATTACTAAATTTCTTATAAAATCAAATAATTGTATAATTTATATGAATATATAAAATATATTTGTTAAAAAAAAATCTTTTATTTCATATAATTGATAAAGTAGAATAAAATTTTTCAATTTTTGTCTTTAATTAAGGATTCCAATATATAAATGTTAAAAGTAATGGATTGTAAAATAATCATATTAATATTTTAAAATTTTGATTATTTTTATAAATATTTTTTTTGACATTTAAAATCAATTATATTTCCATAAGTATTTGATTTATAAAAAATGAACAAAAAAAATAAGTACAAAATAATTATAATGCTTTTAGAAAATTAATTAATTAATGTATAAAAAAAAAATAAACAATTTATTTTATGCTAAACAACCAAGATTTTTAATATATAAGTAGATGATAGTTTGGAGTATGGGATAAATAATTTAAGTACTTTTTATTTAGTCATTGGAATGGAATGGAGTAGGTCTAGAGAGAGAGAGAAGATTAAAAAATAAAGAGAGAAAGAGGAAACAAAAAAGGAAAAACACTACAAGTTATAAAAAGATGAGATATTCAATTAAAGATATTTATTTGTGTAGGCCATTTCAGATGGAACATTTGGAAGAGTAGTAAGAGTGTTTGATGGAGGAGAGAATGATTTCAAGGCCATAAAGATCATTAAATCAGTTAAGAGACATATTCAAAGTGCCAAAATTGAATATGGAATACTGAGAACCATTCATTAACAAAATCAATATCATCCAGGAAATGAGAAGATTGTAAGAGCATACGAAGCATTTAGTCATAAGGATAATTATTGTATAGTTTTTGAGGATGTAAGATTTGCATAGTAATTTTTAGCTTGGATTATCTTTGTATGATTTTATGCGAGGAAAATATTTCGGAGGATTTGAATTGAAAGCCGTTTAAGAAATATTATATGATTGTCTTTAAGGTTTAGATTTTATGCATACAAGTGGATACACTCATACAGATCTTAAACCTGAGAACATTCTATTAATAGATAAATAATAGAAAGGGTAATCAAAATAAATTAATCTATTTTAAGGAAAAAAGAAGGTCATTATCATGTAAAAATAATAGATCTTGGAGGAGCAGTATTTTAGACAGATTGTCATTCTTAATTGATTAATACTAGATAATACAGAGCACCAGAAGTAATTCTTAGGAATAAATGGACTAATTTAAGTGATATGTGGTGTATGGGATGTATAGCAGTCGAATTATTTACAGGTTATTTATTATTATATAATTATTTATAGGCCAACAATTGTTTAAACCAAAAGGAAATGATTTTTATCATTTGGCAATGATTGAAAAACATTGTGGACCTATTCCTATAGAAATGATTCAATAATGTAGAAATGAAGCTAGAGAATATTTCAATGAATATTAATTGAATGATTCTTTTTTAAAATGGCCAGATGATTAATTCATGGTTTAAGAATTAAATCTGATGAAAGTTTTCAAAGCATTGATCCCATAAAATTAATAGGAATTACTTAATTTAATAGAGAATTTAATTGTAATAGAACCATTAAAAAGATTGACACCAAAATAAGCATTAGAACATGAATTTTTTAAATTAACATTTAATTGACTCTATTATATAAATATTTTGAACTGCTATTAAATGCATTCTTTTTTAATTAATTAATTTAAAAGCGCCAAAAATCAGTCATGGATTAAATCGACATCGAAACAATTAATCAATAAGCTAGAAAGGCTAAGGAACTTTTCAATGAAGGTAAACATAATGAAGCTGAATTAATGATGCAAGGAGTAATGTAATAAGCATTAGCTTATTATAAAGATGAATTGGCAGTCGAAATGGCAGAAGTAATCATCATTATTTAATTAGTATTATTATATGTATGGAACAATTATAGTTTTGAAATTAAGTGAACAATAAGATGTTTTTGGACAAAGAACAAGGGAAGCAGAAAATAATGCTCTTGGTGTTTAAGATCCTGAAGATACTCAGAGTGAAAATGATGGAGAATAAATTGAAGATGGAGATATAGAGGAAGAACATAAAGTATAAGAAAATAAGACTCATGAGAATATTGAAGATTTGGATGATTTTCATATAGCATGGGAAAATTTGGAAGTTGCTAGAGTGATATTAGAAAAAGAAGTCTAATCTTAAAAGGATAAGGATATCTAAGAATTTAAATATATGCGAAATCTTTCAAAAGTCTATATAAAACTTGCAGAACTTGATTAATGGAGAGATAAATTTGATGATGCATAAGAAAATTTATAAAAATCATTATAATTAAGATTATAATGTGAAAATCCAGAAATATCTAGAGATATTGCTGAGACTTACTTTTTCTTAGGAAATGTCACTTTATATAATTATAAAGAAGGTAAAGAAGAAGAAGCACTTGGATTTTATATGAAAGCATTATAAATATTAGAAAATCATCTTTGTAAATTATAAAATAAAGAATATAAATAAGTAAGATCTTTAAATTATAAATAGATTGTACTTTAAGATAATTATGACAGAGAACATCTTAAAATATCTTTTTTAGATAATGATGATACTAAAGAGTTAAAATAAGTGTTGTCAATGCTTTATGATAAAGTAGAAGATACAAATATAGCATGGAAGGAGATTCAAACAGATGAATGGAAGAAAGCTCGTGAAGAAATGTTGAATAAAGCATAAGTTATTCAATAATAATAAGTATAATAATAATAATTCACATAATAACCTATTCAAGAAGAAAGACAAATAATTTAATTAGGTAACTTTGGAAATGCAAGAAGGAGAGTAGAAGTAATAGAATAATAACAATAAAATATTGTTGTACAAGAAAATAATCAAGAAAAATCTAAAGAAAAATAATAAAATGAAGAAGAACCCAAAGAAGATGCGAGTAAAAAAGTTAAAATTGATTGAAATAATAGGTTTTTCTAAATTCATGTTAATTATTTTAATTATATATTGTTTCAATTTTATTTTTATTAAAATCCATTATCATCTTAAGCATTTAAATATATTGTACCATTTCATTATATTTAAGAATATTATACTACTTTTTAATATTTGAATAAGTAGCTAAATAAAAATTTACAAATTTTATGTTTATCTTTTTCAAAACTAAATTATCTGATTTAATCCATATTCTAATTTTTCTTATTAATTTAAATTAGAGCTTTTAAATGAATTACTTTTATATTTATATGATTGTTGATTATAATAAATTCTATGAAGTAATCCTTGAAGTAATTAAGAAATAAATTTATTATATGAAAAAGAATGTGATTATTTTGAGAAAATAAAGTTGTATAATATTTATTTATCTATGTTATTATTTATTAAAATTTAGAAATTCTTTGAATTCAAATTTTAATTTGTAAGTGCAATATTTTCTTATATTGAATAGTTAATAAAATGAAATATTAATAAAGAATTTATTATTATCTTTTTTTAAAAGTTTAGGATGAACTATTATGAATATAAATTAGATGTTGATGATGTTTATTAATGTTAACAATTAATAGATATGATTTAAAAGCTTAGAATTCAAGTTAATAAAGAGGCTGATGAAATTGAGAAATTAATCAATCTAAAAATTTAAGAATGCTTTAAATTAAGAGATTAGTATAAATTAGAATAATATGAATAAATTTTCAATAATCATGATCTTATTACATTTGAGAATCAATTTAATAACTTAACAAAACAATCATTAAATATACTTTTTACAACCAATAATAAATTGGAATACATTAAGACAGATCATTTCAAATTTTTAAATATCTAACCAGCGATAATGAAATTAAAGGAAATTATATAATAATTAAGTTTTAATTTTGATATTGCTAAGAGAATGATTTTAGGAAAAAATCCTATAAACAATGTTAATATAGCAATTAAAGAAATTTGGAAACATTAAACTATAGCCAAAAATGGAGATAAATTTAAGACATTTACTTTCAAAAAGAATTAAGGATTTGCAGAAGTATTTTTATGTAAATCTAGTTTTGAATTAAATGGAATATATCATGCATAATTATTTACCGGAATCAATAATGAGGGTAAACAATTTGATTGTTAAAAGGATATACATTATCTACAATTTTCTATTCATGAAGGTCTTGATTTATCATCATATTACTACAGATAAGAATTAGAATTAAATCATTAGAAATTAACTCAAAAAGATTAACTCTATTAAATTATGCTTAATTAATCAATATTACTTAAAAAAGGTGTTATTTATACTATAAGTCTGATACCAATAAATAATTAAAATTTTAGTACATATATGTTTACAGGTAAATAAGGAGAATCTTAATAATGTTTAAAATTTTTAGATAAATAAATTGATCTTATTGATTAAACTATTATTGCTTAATAATAATCTAATTAATCTCCAATTCCTGGATTTATGATTAATATTTGAGAAAAATACAATATATTATTAAATAAACATGTTTTTTATTAAAGGTATATTTCTAAGATATATTATAATTAATTCATAGAATTTACACACCTTTTTATCTGAGTTTATCATTCTTAGTGTCTCTGATGGTCAAAAATGTCATCACGAGTGTTAATTATTTTTCTTCAGAAAATAAAGATCCTATTTGAACAGCAATATCTTAAGATATTTCTTAATTATTTATTTTGATTCTTAATTATAAATCAAATTTTTATGTCTTTTATTCTTCAGTACTATAAATACCATCTTAATTAATTTATATTTATTGTGTTTTATAAGTTATTGGATTTTAATTTAGATTCTCTATAATATAATTTGTAAGTTCAGTTGCTGTACAACTTTTTTATATCTAAACTATTAATGGATTACATAATAAAATTATTTCCACACTTTACATAAAACATATTACATAAACTTCATTACCTAAAATTAGTGGTTTAACAAACTTTAGGTTATATTTAGATATTGTCTTTGAAATCTTAGCATTTTGATCCAATAAGACCCAAGCTGCTTTTTAATCTTTTTTAGAAGTTAATAAAGGAACTGTTTCTTTAAGATTCTCTTATTCCATAAATTCCCCAAAACTCATACTCTTTTGTATGATATAAGTTTAATTATCAACTTAAAAACTAATTTATTCTTTCATTGCTCCAACTGGAACAACTGTCTATTTATAAGCTATACTATTATCATATTGTATTATATCATCAATTATTATTTGTTATTGTAAGACTTGATAATTTCCTTTTCTATCTTTATATTTAATCTAAATATTATCAGGATGACAATCTTCTAATTAAGCCAAATATTCTAAAAGTTATTAAGCAGTGTCATTTTTATTAAATAATTAAGAAATACATTGATTTTCATTAACAACTCTAATTAATACTTCTTTCATATTTTCTATTTCAAAGATTTTAGCCTAAAACTTAAATTCATAATCTAAATAAACTTAATAATATTCTGTATTTTTAAACTTACTAGATTATTTAATTTGCATACCATCATTTTAGTATAAAATATTTACTTTCAATTCTTGATTGAATTAATTCATAATAAAATTTTCCATATTCTCTTCCTTATCTAAAAGTAAGACTTATTTAAATGAAACAACCAAATTATTCACAGTCTTAACAAAAATTATTAATTTATTTTCATTTACTTTTTATTCTTTAACATTTTTACAATTTTATTAAGTTTATTCAAGTTTAATCTTATCTAAGCCTAAATAATTATTTATTAGTTGTTAATCTTCAGGATTAATTGAAATCAACATCAAACCCATTTGATAACATTTATTTGCCAAATAAAATGTTAACTATTTTTATGGTTACATTAAAACAACTGATTCTAAATTTGGTTTAAGTTGTGTAATTCTATAGATGAGTAGATGAGCATTACTTTTATTTATATTAATTTTTTCACATAATTAATCAATAATTTGCTAAATAGTAATTGTTTTAGGTACAAGTAAAGGAGTAGTATATTAATCAAAAAACTCTTCAACTGCATTAAAATCTATTGATTAATTAGATGCTTGTCTATGAAATATAATTCCTGATTTAATTTATTATTTCTAATTCAAATTCAAATGATTAATAGAGAATAAATAAGTTGAGACATAATTCTTTTATTCAAATTACAAATCATTAATCTTCTATTCCTATTGTAAAATCCAATCAGGAAATTTATCTGGTTAACTTTAGAGATCTGGATTATTTCTTTCTAAATACACTAACATATATGCTGTTTCTGGATTATTTTTGTTTTCTACAATAACTTCACCCAAATCCTCATTATATTCTGGCAATTAATATTATCCTCCAAAGTTATTTTAAAATACTTCTTTTTAAGTAGCTCTAGTAACAAATTTATCATCAAATTTAAACCATTATTATGATTAAAAGAAAGGTTTTATGTAACAATAATAATGACCATGATTTATTGCTTCTCCTCTATGAACTAATACTGCATATAATTCATAATATTTATCTTCTTCGTCAATTAAATAATCTTTAAAATTGATTACATTATCATATTAGAAACTATCATGTATTTTTGTAAATCCTTATCCATCAAATTAATATCTTTTTAGATTAATCAATATAATAGGTGGTAATTTTTTGAATTTATGGAATTTAATTGCTTCTTACTTACCAAATTCTTCATGAATATAAGCATCTAATGGTTCATATTCAACAAACATATCAAGAGATTCTCTTAAAGAATTAGTAATATTAAGTGAAATATCCATAAATTATTCTTAATTTTTGTTATCAAAATATTGATTTTTTATATGATTCTCTAGAATACCTTAGAATAAGTGATTGATTTCATTTTCTATCTATGGGGCTTTAGTTCCTAATGCTTTTAATAATTCCATAATGAATTCTTAAACATCTTATTGGATTGCTTATTAATCAACATCCCATTTAAATGATTTGATTATATCCTGAGTTGATATTGCTATTTTACTATGTTTTAGATTATAAAACAAGGATTATAACTAAATGTTAATAATTTAAATACAGTGCATGGAAATTAATTATGTTATTCAGATTCTATTGAATATACAAGTCTTTAGAATATACCCAAATTGAATAATATTTAAAATACACTATTCATATAGCATGTAGCAGCATTATTGATAATTCCTGTAAAGCCTACTTCATCACGACTGATATATTTTGGTGCTACTTCTATTGAAATTTCATTCATTAAACAAAACTAAACATCTTTTTATTTTTAAGTCAATGGTATTTTTATGATAATCTCCTTTGCTTCTAATTTAACATCTTTTTATTTTTTGTTTTTCTTACAAAATATCGTACTAGATAATTTATAAATTTTCCTATATTAAACTATTTAGAAATTACGATTAGTCAAGAATTTCATTCAAAGCATTGCAAATCACTAGAATTGAAGCATTTCCATCCTTTATTTCAAATCCTATTTATATTTTAAACTCGATTCCATCCTTAGCATGAGCAATATAATTTAATGCATTTCTTTTATCTTCAAGTCCAAAATAAAAATGGGGAGGAAATATTGCAAATCTACTTGATTTGTTGCCAGGCATTTCATATTCCTAAGATAAAAATGCCTCTTAATCAATAGGTTAAGCAATTTCTTCAATTAATATTGGAGCATCGTCAACAATCATTATATTTGAATATTTATATATATGAACACAGGATTCAGTGGGATTTTTATAATGAAAAATTTCTAATAAGCAGTTAAATATATCTATGCTATTATTTTTGAATCAAATTTAAACAATCTTAGTATCATATCCTAAAATCATTATAAGTTCTAAATCCACAAATTTTGAATCAAAAATGAGTTCACAAAACTCTAAATAAAATATTTAAACATGAATTTAATAATTTCTTACTAATTAATTTTCATTATTATATAAATATTTCTGTTTGAAAATATAATTTATATAAACAAATAGAATTTAAAGTAAACACAACTTTTAGAAGTATGAATAGACAACAATCATATTATTTCTTTATTAATAAACTCAAGCAATATAATAGAATCATTAAATGATATTTATTTTAGATTTTTAATTTTGTAGAATTTTTATTAGTAAGAAAGTTAGCTATACCTTTGTTTATAAGTATTAAATCTATTTTGAATAAATATCGTTAGAATCAATAGAGTATTATTTTAATTTATATTTATTTTTTTAAATAAATAATTATGATACCTATTTTATTCAATTATGATAGTAGATTTAGTTAAATATTAAGTATCAACAATTAATTCTTCTCAAATTAATACACTACATAAAATAATTAGAAGAATTTTTTATAAGACAAAAAAAAAGAAGGTATTAGTATTGTTTTTAAATTTGATTAATTTTTTCATAAATTTATTTATTTTTCTTAATATTAGGTTATTTTGATTCTTTCTACTTTTTATTATCAAACTTAAATGGATGTAAAAATTGGAAGGATAAAATTCACAAAGTTTTATATATTAATATAAATTTTGAGAACTTATTTTATAACGAGTATTATGATATTAGAATGTGTATGAATTAATCCAGAATACATAAATGAATAATTGTAATGATGATTGTTAATTGTATAATATATTTATAAGATTATAATTATGAATTTAATAAAAATCACAACTATTACCTTAATGGTAATAATTTTAGGATTATGCTGCACTTTAATAACAATAATTGTAGATTTAGATGATGATAGTAGTAGATTTACAAATTACTTTATAATTTGTTGTGTAATAATTTAATATAATACATATAGTCAGGAGTGTTTATTTGTTTAATTATCATTGAAGGCTACCTTTATTAATTTAAACCAAAAAGTAGACATGTTTAATTCCCTCGAATGATGTTAATATATTTACTATTTAACAAGTCTTTTAATTCTAGCTATTTTAGTTTTGTTATATTCAGCCATAACTCAAATTTCTCATGCCTTATTAGACAATAATGGTATAATTATCAAATAACAAAAATTAGGCAATGGAAAGGTACCTATTATTGATCCACATGATTCTGATTGGTATAGATTAAAACAGATTTCTCGAATAATTGAATATACTACCTGCACAATTGTTGTTATTATACAAATATTGATTGGATATAAAAAGAAAAAAAGTTTCAATAAATGTTAAGCCATTGAAAGTTTGATTGAGAATGATGTAATAATTATTAATTAATAAAAAGAATATATTGATTACGTCATTAGAACCTACAACATAAAAATTCAATTAAAATTAGGTTACATTTAGTTAAGGAAATTCTCATATGATAAATACTTTTGAATCAAAAAATACTTAGTAAATATAAGCAATACAAAAATTAAATAATAATAATAATAATAATAATTCATGAAATGATTTTTATCAAAATTGCTTTATATAAATTAGAAGCTAATTATAATCAAAATTATTCATCCCATGGTGATGTTTGAAGATTATTCTCATGGTTATTAACTGTTTTTATTCTCTAAGTAATAAATTAATAGGAAGCACTCATTGTTCTAAAATGACTACTTGGAGGTGTAATACTGTTACATATTAGTATTTTAAATATCTATAAAATATATATATACTTGAAATACTTTTATACAATCTAAATTTTATTCCCCCAATATTTACATCATTTCTTCTCTATTTTCTAATAATTATATTGGATCTTTGCTGTTTTCTAATATATCTTTCATTCTTTAAAATACTTCCTATCCTAATTTATTTTTCAAAAAATCTGCCAATAATATATTTCTATTTGGTGATGTAGGAGTTTTGGGATTGAAAAGCAATTTAGCAAAAGATGGTTTCTTTTGGGTGATTTCCTATTCTACTTTTTCATCCAATTAAGTATTAATGGTCATAATCTTTTTATATGGTTTTTTTTGAATTTAACAATAATTATTATTAGGTGAAACACATTCAGAAAATATGTTTTACAATCCTAATTAAGTTTATCTATATTGAGGAGTAATGGATTATTTTAGGATCTTTGACATATCTTTGTTGATTGATAATTTGTCTTATTTGAATTCTTATTTTTCATCAAAGCCTGGACATTCAATAGGACATATCCTTTTATTTAATAGTCCTTTACTTTTATAAAGCATTTACAATTTGATTTCCTCTTCCTTTATTTATGGTATATTGAGTATTTGATCTATATCAGGTCTTAGTTCTGGATCTTTCTATAGAGTACTATTTAGTATATCTTAATAGAACTTAGGAAATGTATCTGTTAGTTGAGGAGTTTAACCATTTATAATTGAATTGAGAATAGCAGGGAGAGATTCTCCTTAAAATGGTTTTTGTTATGTGCATAATTCATATAATAAACATCCTAAATTCCAGATATCAGTTTTGGAATTGTAATTTTTAGATTAGCATATTTCAGGAGACAAATAATATGGAGTTCCTTATTTACATAATTTAAATTACCTAAAGTTGTATTAGTAGATAAATCAATCAATTTTTTCGAGATACTGAAATCACCTAATTTAATCTATATAAGAATAATATATAAATACATACAATTCCATCATCAGTAATAAATACATTCCTTAATTTAATATCCCTATGTACTATTTTTTATTAATGTAAATATTAAACTCCTAAACATAATTAAGTAAAATAGTTTAGGATATTTGGTTATTTAGTTTTAATGTATATTGAAAGATCAGCTTAGTTATAGTGAGAATTACTTACAATTTTTGGCATATTCCATGATAATGCATAATTTATCATTATGTTCGAAGGAATCATAAAATTTTATAATGTTAGGATGTTTAAGAACTTTCATTATACTAACTTCATTTTGAGGATCAACTGTATCAAATACTAAATCTATTCTTTTCATAGCATATTACTATTTAATAATTATTTTGAAATACTCTTCCTTTATTATCTTCTACTAACCAAACATCTCCAAAATTTCCTTTTCCAATCTTTCTTATTCTTTTATATTTGTCCATTTCTCTAAGTATTATTAATTATTATATTTATATAAGTAGAAAATAGACATAATAAATTATTGTAAATTATTGAGAAATATAAATAAATAATAACATATTTATGGCAAGCTAATTGGAATTCAATCTTAATCAAATTCAAGTTGATTTTATTTTAAGTAAAATGCCAAAAGGGTATTCTCTTTTGCAATCTAATCTCTTAAAATCACGTGAATAAAGAGTGGTAAAATTTCCCTCCTTATTAATTGTATAGCCTAAAAAGGTTAATAAATATGATGCATCATTCCAAAGCAATAAATAAGAAGTAGTTGAAGATAAAAGCAAGAGATCTCAAAGAATAGTTCCAATTTAAAAAGAATAAGTCAAAATTCCATTAGATGATAATTGCAAGAAGGGATTATAACTTCTTTAAAAATTCAAATCCCATCCAGCATTTAATGAGATTAATGCTTCTGGGTATTTAAATATCGATAAAATTGAAGCTTCCTTCAAATAGGAGGGTATTACTTACTTGTAAATTAAAAGGTAATTTGATGAATCTTTGGAATCAAATTAGAATTGCATTACAAAAACTAACTTAATCTGTTTCATCCACCCAAATGCAAGATTAAGTTACATTATTAGAAAATCATTTTTATCATGTATTTAAACCAATCTAAAATGAATAAAAATAAATATCAACATCTACAAAGTATATCTTTTATAATAATATATTTAGAAATATCCCAATCACTAACAAAGTCATTTCCAATAAAGTGAAAGAACCTTAATCTTAAAAAAAATAAGATACTCATATTTCATTTGAAGAAAAAAGATAATTAGGACAACATATAAGAGAATTACCTAAAGAGCATTTGAAGGGAGTTTGGGAAATAGTGTAGTAAAGTGTTTAAAATCAAGAAGCTGAAGAATTAGAATTTGATATTGATCAATTGCCAGCCAAAGTTATCCGTAAATTATAAGAATTTGTTCAATCCAAATTGTATCATATCATAATTTAATAAAAAAATAGAAAAACAAAAAAAGTTAAGGTTGATCCTTCAATCAACTACAGTTCATAAAAATCCAACAACTAAGAAGATAGTTCTTTTCCCTCTGAGTCCTCTGATTGAGATATTATTAATATTCAACATCTATATTTAAGTATTCTGAATCAGAATATCCTTCAGATCTAAAAATAAGACATCCAATATTATCAAAATGATGATCATTCATGTCAATAAGCCTTATATCATTACAACTATTAAATAATAAGATTAATTAAATCTTTAATATCTATTATTATAATTCAATTATATGATTTTTTGAATTCTTTCTGATATATCAAATATATTATATTTATTATCAAATTTATTCATAAATTATTTTATAATAATAATTTTGATATATTATTATTATAAGTAATTAATAAATTTCAAAATTAACAAGGATAATATATCATTTCTTGCCTTAATATTATTATTTCCATTCATAAAATTCAAGCATTCTTGAATGGATTTTATTTCTATAATTATTATTTGATTTTTCTTTAATTAATGGTTGTTATAGTAATGATAGAGTATATTTAGTTTTTAATTATTCCTTAAAAGTAGCAATTTGATCTTCTGTTTCCAAAATTTTATAAATTATTTTATTTTAAAATCATTTTATATCTTTCTCAATAATGGCATTTTCTAAATAAAATGCTAAGATGGTAATAGTGATTTATCCCAAATGAAATTCTAATTAAATGGAAGATATATATTGATAATTTATCATTTTATTGTATTTTATATTCAAAATGAATCTCATCTTTAGAAATATAAAATTTTAAAGTTTCAAAAATGAAAACTTAAATATTTATTTTAAAGAAATCATAACAAGTTTATTATTTATATATTTAATCATATTATTATTTATTATATTAATTATATAAAATAATCAATCAATAAAATTATATTTCACTTTTTTTCTTTTTCTTCTTTCTTAAATATCTAATTCACTCATAATGTCTTCACTGTCAACTAAATCACTAAAATCACTTTCATCATCCTTCTATAGATGAAGATATTTATTATTTTTTTTGTCTTGTTCAAATTCAAATTCAGATACTGAAGTAGGTCCATTTGATGAATCAGGCTCAAATAGAGGTTCATCATTGAACTATTAAATAGGAGCATGTTCCATATGATCTTTCATCATAGTTGCCCAACCTCCATCATAAACAAACAATGGGAAATCTTTCTATATACTGAATTACATATTTCTCCACATAAGACCTGAAGTAGTTTAAAAAAATAGAATTTTCTTTTTATTAAGCCATTGTTGTATCTTTTTAATATCTTCTCTATCTATGGCTTCAATTCTAATAACTTGAGCCTCTAGATCTTTTAAGACAGCAACCAAATCAAAAGAAATAGTTTCTTCTTAAACTCTTTCACAACACATAATATCAACATTATCTAAAGTTAAAGTAAAAAAGGGTTGATCAACAATATTGACTAAACAACTCTAAGTAGGTTGAAAAACAACTCTTTCTTTAGCATAATTACCTTCAAAACTATATTATTTTTCTAATCTTTCAAATTTAATATTAAATCTTTTATAATATTGTTCTGATTATTAAATAAATGATTCAAAATTTTTTAGTTCTTCTAATCTTCTATCTTACACTTTCTTATCAAAAACATGATCAATATCAAATAAACGAACCTTCTTTCTTGCTGCTTCCTATTCAGATGCACCTTCAATATCTCTATAGAATTAAATCTAAGAAAATTAGATTTTACCACATTTGATTGGCATTTTAAAAATGAAATGAATACATGCAATAACTTCATCTTCAGGTGAGACAAAAAAACAATGTTTAATACTTGTAAATGTAAAATCTATAACCTCTCCTCTTGCACTCTTATATCTAAATCCATTTTCATGACATTCCACAAATCCTTCTGGTGATCTAGTCTTTGAACTTTATGTTGGTCTCATATATACTTTACTTAAACAAGGTGAATTTTTAGGTAAGACTGTTAATTTTTCAATAACAAAATCAAATTTGTCTACTTCCATTTATTTTTCTATTTATTTTCTTCTTGCATCATCTCTACAAACATTAATTTCATTTTCAATATCTTTTAATTTTATGAATTCTTAATTTCTTAAAGTAATTTCTTTCAAAAACATTTAATCAAAATCCATAGATGGAAATTCTCTAGTATCTATATTAAATTCATTAGTCCAAAATCTAATAGTGATTTCACCAGAACCATTTGGTAATTCTTTAACACTAACATTTTAAATAGTAAGTGAATGAAAAGGATAATGTGTTCCTCTAATTGGAATTAAAATGGCTGATTTATCTTAATCAACAGCAATTTCTCCCATTGGATATTAATCAAATTGATCATCTTTTTAAAATGTTTATAATTAATCCATTTTAACTAATAATTTTGGTTCTTATCTAGTTTATTAATCATTTAATCTGACTTCTAATTCATATTATTTGATTTCTTTTAATTTTTCTTAATCATTTTTTATTTTATTTAATTCTGCCTATTCAAATTATTCTCTTGTAATTCTTTCTGATTAATGTAAAACATCTGAATTTTCAGTCTTCTAAAATGTAGATTTAAAGAATCTCTCTCCCTCTTCTGTTGGTTAATATGAAACAAATGTAAATTCTTTTTCAGCCTTTGTAATAACACAATCCTCAATTCCAGATACTACAAATATTGTATCAGCTAAACAAATTGCTATGTTTGTTCTTTCAGGATAAAATGGTAATTACACCAATATATTATCTACAAACATTCTAATCACTACTGCCATTCTATCTTATATAATTTCAGAATTATGATTATCAATTAACATCTAAGATCCTATCAAATAACCAATATCTGTTGGAAATTTAGTTTTCATATCTAAATCATCTTTGAATATGGTTTCCCATATATTTTGAGTTTCTCTATATATTTATTTAAATTATATTTCTTCTTTAACTAATCCTAATGCAAATGCATGAACATTCAATATCACTCTATAAATCTATTCCAATTCTTAATTTGGTTAAAATAATAATGTCCTTGTACAATATGATTATGATTGCATATATTAACAACAAAAGCTATATATCACTACATCTCCTACCAATCTAGATTAAGTACTTTCAGATGCTGAAACATTATATTAACCACCACTTTGAACTGTAGAACTCAATATATCATAATTCCCTTACAATCCAAATTTTCTTCTTATTGCCATTTAATTCAAATCAGAACTCTTTTCTCTTTTGACTGCCTATGTTATTGAATAATTAGTTGTATTCTCATTAAATTTGATAGCTAATTCTATTCTTTAACTCATAAATTTCATATAATATGAATTTATCTTACCACAAGTATTATAATATTCAAATATATCTTTATTATCATTATTTATTAATTCCTTTAAAAATGATGTACAATCTACTTTTATCAAATGATTTTGATCTATAAATTAATTAAATTCACTTATTAAAGGACTTCTCTAACCATCAGATAGATTTAATGCTAATCTATAATTATTACTTGGATATTCCTTTCTTAATCTCTCTAAAGCAAATTAAAATTATTAATGATTATTCTTTTTTATGTTTTTAATCAAAAAATATATAGAAAATGTTTTCATTTTTATGTCACTTAAATGTTTCAATTTCTAAACTAAATAAAATTAGAATAATTATTATACACATTACTTCATCTGCTATTATACATAACATCTTTGTACTCATTATTAATATACAATCAATTAATTCACAACCTAAATACCATTATTAAAATCCTTTTTATATTCCAATACTAGAAGTATGTGATGTTCCAATCAAAACTACTAAACAATCAAATTAGTTTGCTTTCTTTAATGTAGTTATTGCTAATTTATTATTCTTTTTGAATTTATTTTATAATGCTATCTACACTTTATCCATTATTTAATATTCTTTTACAATTGACAAACATTTTATTTTAATCAAATTATTTCAATGCATTTTATTATTATAAATTTTATAATTTAATTTAAATTTCACACATCATTTGAGTAAATTAATTGCAATTAATCAATCTAAAAAACATTAGGTGTTTGATCATTTAACTTAAAAAACATAGCTTCCATGTATTCTTTTATTTATTTTGATAATTTAATATCCTTCAATTACAATATTTCAAATAAATCCTAATCTAATATTGAATTTATATACATATATTTGCAATTTCTTTATTTAATGTCCATATTTTACAATTAATTAACTCTTAATCATTTGGAATTCTTATTCATTAAATATTTATGATAACTCTTTTTTAATATTTGCAATCTCTTAAGCTGATGGCAATTAGTAATTATCAACTAATGTTTTGAATATGCTACGTATCCTCTATTTAGATGATGTCTCATTTCCATCTTCAGAATCCATCAAGTAAAGACCTAATTAATGGGCTTATTGATAATTTAATTTAAAGGTAGACTTTTGTATGGATTCAACTAAATCTTTTAATTGAATATCATCATCTTATAAAATTGAACAGAATAAATGCTAAATTATTATATGAAATATTACTTAATCGATATCATTAAGATTTATTTAATTAATTAGTAATTAATATTTCAATATTTTAATGACTTATTAAAGATCTTATTTTGTTATTAAAACTAATTTCTTTCTATGAGTTGCACTTTATGATCTTTAAGATGAAAGAACAAAATCTTAATTTAATTTAAAATTTCCACTTATATTTGCAAATGAAGATGGTTTGAATAAAGGTGTATTTTTACTATTTTTTCTATTTCTCTATTCAGATAATCCTTAATGATCTTCAATCATAATTTTATTGATATTTTCTATTTTTATTCTTAAAGTTAAAATTTCTTCTTCTTTTTCCATAATAATCTTCTCATATTTATCTTATTAATTTTATAAATTTGACATAAGATTGTCTATTTAAGATTATTAATTTTGGCTTGATTGACTCAATTTATTAATCTCAGTTGTTAATTTTTAAATTACATTATCTTACTTATTTTATTAAGTAACTTTATTAGCAAAAATAGTGTCTCTATCTTTATACTATCTGATTTCTAACTGTAATTAGAGAATTAACTTTTATTGGTTTTAAATTTTGCTTTAAAATATAGTATTTTATTTTTTAATCGAATCAAAGCCCTTCAATTTTTCTTCAAGAGCAGTTACAATTTAAACAAGTCGAATATTGTCTTCTTCCAAATTTCTCAAGATATTAGTTTTAGTTGGTATGATAATTTCAGTTTCACTATTGAGCAGTTTCTACTTTTGTATTTCACATAATGCTCTTAATTTTTACAATTATTCTTATTGTTCATTCAGTTAATCTACCTTCAATAGTTTCTTAAGTTAATCAATTTCTGTTTCCTTTTGTTATAGTGTCTTCAAAAGCTATTTAATTTTGACCTACTATTAAAGTGGAACAGAAATGTTATCAGATTCTTAACATTATGATTATAAACTATCGAGTTCTTTCTTAATTAAATACTTTATACCTGATAATACATTAGTTAAGATTTAACTTGCTTAAGCTCAATTCTAAGTAGATTATTCTCCTTTTTTAACTTTTAAATCTGATCAATGTAATCTTCTTTATCAACGTATGACATTCTACTCATAGAATCTCCTCGACTTATTTAAATGTTATTGCTTAGTATTTTATTATTTCTTAGTTTGTTTGGATCAGCTTATAAAGAAGTTATGGAAAAAGATTTCTTGCCATGTTTACAAGATTAAATTTCATGAGAAGTTTAATTATTATTCATTATAAAAATAAATGAAAGCAATACTAGTATTATCTATTTCATTAATCACATTGAACTCTTAATTTATAAAGACATCCACTTTCAATTTGGTAAGGCCATGATTTAATTAATCAAAGTGTGATGCAAGTGTTTACTTAAGACCTGATATCTATTATGTATAAGGAAGTGCATCAACAAACGTAGAGCCCACTTAAGCAGTAGTAACTTTGGAAGTTGAAGTAAAAGATGAGAAGGCTCAGAATGCCCTTCAATAGGCAGCCTAAATAGCTGACGATGCTGTCAAGTAAATAATAGACTTAATAGGTTAGAGCTATCAAAGAGAACTGTAAAGGAGAATTGAAGATTCAAACAGCCGATTTTGCTATCTCACCACATAAAGAGTACAGCCATAGCAAACCTTACTATGAGACATTTTCAGGCTTTAAAGTATTAAATAAGATAACAGTAGAAACTCTGAATACTAGTGATGTTGGAAAGTAAAGATATTGTATATAATTTTAGGATCATTGACACAGCAGTGAAAAATAAGGTAAATCAAGTTAATGGGATACAATTTGATGTGAGCAAAGAAGAGAAGAAAAGATTGAAGGATGTATTAGTTGAATAAGCTATTGAAGATGCTAAACATACAGTAATAAGTTTAAATTATGTTAGGCAAATATTGTGTTGAAAGAATTAAATATGAAAATTGAATCTATCAAGTCTGTTCAAATAATAGAGAATTATAGATATGGAGCTAAAACTCAAATGGAATAATAAGTGAGTGTAGGATTTGTAATTAGACCAATAGATTAATGACACATCATACATAAAATATTATTAATTAATTTCACTATTTTTAGTTATTAATCAATTCAAAAATAAAATTTGTAGAATCAATTTCTGATTGTCTCCTAATAATAGGAATTTTAAATAATATCACTAAAATTAGTAAATAAGAGTTCCTTCAATTTTTGATATTTGAGTTATTATTTAATATAAAAAATGATTAGAATTTTAACTATTGCAATATGTATTACTATTATTTTTGGATCATTCGTCAAAGAATAATAAGCAATCAATAACATAGAAGTAATTTAAATTGAAATTCATTTTTCAGTGTACTTACGTGGAATACAAAAGACCAGAAATATTTTATGTTACAGGAACAGGATCTCTAAGCGTTGAACCTACAATAGCCTCTGTCAATTTTGCAATAGAGATTTAAAATGAACTTGCAGAAGTTGCTTTGAATACTGCCAATAAAATATAAACGTAAGCATTTAAGTAAATACATCTTAAAAATTTAATAGATCATTGTAATCAGTTGACACAACAAATACTGGAGTGAAGATTTCAACTACTTAATTTTAGATGTTCCCTCATTCAGAATATGATTATCCTTATAATGGAAATGCTTAACTAAAATTCTAGGGATATAAAGTAATCATTAACCAAAAATTGGAAACCCCTAATTTGAAAATAGTTGGAAAATTGATTGATGCTGCCATCAATGCAGGAGTAACTACAATTAACAATGTTTCCTTTGATATCAAACCAGAATAAAAGTCTGAATTGAAAGATTAAATTCTCTAATTAGCCATCAAAGATGCAACAAATAAAGTATGTCTATTAATTAAATTCGATAGGCTGAAATTACATTAAAAGCTTTGGATATGAAAATTCATTCCATTAAAAGTATTTCCATCAATTAATCATATGCACCAAGACCTGTATATGAAGATCAAGCATTAATGAAGGAGACACTTATTGGTGCTGCTCCAACTGAAATCTTTGCTTAAGAATAAAACTTATAACATTCAGTCACTGTAGGATTTATCATTGTTCCTATTGATCAATGAATATTCTATAATATCAATCACATAATTTATTAATATTAACTCTCTATTCTTCAATAGGTTATGAATTTAACAATAAAAACTTGTTTATTATTCTTTAATCTAAAATCTTTATCTTTACAAAATATATTGTTATGTTGATTTAATTACCTCAAAGATTTTATTTAAATAATTAAAAATTGTATTTCTCATATTATGATCGAATCTATCTTACTCCTTATTTTTAAATAAAATTCTTAAGGTTTTCAAAAAATGAAGCAATACACAAAGATGTATTTCAAAAATAATATATATATTTACTAATAATATTTATTTCACCATATGAATCCATTCTAATTTTATAAATGTTAATCAACTAATAAATTAGTTCCGATTATTAGCTTAAATATTAAATCCAATTACATATGTATTAAATTCAATTTAAAAAAGAAAAGTTCTATAACTTCTTTTAGAACATATTAAATCAATGATTTTAAAAGAAATAATTAATCCACTAGATTAAATTGAACTCAAAAAAATATTATACAAGACTTGATTATGTCTAATTGATTTTCATACTTATAATTGACTATTATTTAAAAATATTACAAAACTTCTTTATACAGTATACTACTAAATATACTATTATGATATTAATTTAAGATCAAATTTAATAATGATATTTCATCACTTTTCTTATGATGTAGATTAACTTTAACCAAAAAAATGACTTTTTTTTATTTTTATTAAATTATTTAAAATTAAATAAAAATATTAATTAAGTTATCATGAATTCACCTCTAAAAGAACTAGAATAAATTTAATTAAGATAAATAGAATAAGGATATTATTAGAATGATACTGAATAAATTAAATAGATTTTAAATTCAATAAAGATGATTGCCTTTGAAAACATATATAAAAAAAATATTGAACAACCTACAATAATAAATAAAAATTCTAAATGTTAGAATGATGATGAAATTGCTTAATTTTATAGAAATTAATATAAATCAATCGACGTTGTAGAAAGATCTAATTTAAGATCAAGAATGATTAATCAAAAACTTAATGAATATTAAAGTAGAAATACTCCAAAAAATATGAAAATGGGTTTACCTTTACTTAAAAATAGTGAAAATTAAACATGTAAGGCTACAAAAGCTGTTGTTACTCCTTATACAGAGAGAGTCAAATTTGTTAAGACTAAAACTTTATTAAATAAAACAATGCAATAGACTTTCAATGATTTTAGTTAATAATGGATAAAAAATGAGAATTAGAATTCTCCTTTGATAATTAAGAATGATTAAAAAATTAAGAAAGGATAATCTATATTTTTAGATGAAGTCACCAGTAGAGCACAATCAATTATTGAATCTGCAACCATCAATAAAAAACTTAAGTAAACAATTTAAGATTCTTGTGATATATATACATAAAATAACTTAAGGGATTAGTAATTGGCAACAACTTAAATTTAATTAGGTAATCTATCATTTTAAGTACCAAAATGCAATAAATTTATAGTCGATTAAGAAATGAGAATATTAAGAAGTAGAATAGGAAATAGAATGAAGCCTAATATACTTGTAATTGATTAAAGAAGAATGTAGGTATGAATTGATTTTGTTAACTAATTTAATTTTTTTTATGTCTTTGACTTTTATAAACTTGGAAGACAGTCCAGATAAACCAAAACCATTTGGTTTAGCTAGTGGAATGATAGAAGACTTTTTACATAATCCATTAGAAATGTTAAGAACTCTTAAATGTGATAAAATAAGCGGCAGTTGGGATTTGGAAAAAATAAGAGAGATTCTAAATAAAATAAATGATCTTGCCTTTTAAAATAATGTTAGTCATGATATTATAAAACCACGGAAAATATCTTTAGAAGATTAGAAATTAATTGATTAAGTTGATGACTTTGATAAACTATATAGTTCATTTAGGCATTCTTAAAAATATGATAATAAATCTGAAAGGATATAAAAAGTTATTAAAGACTTCAAAAATCGAGTGATATATAGATCAGTTAGACCTTCATCAGTTTAACCTAAGACAATTGAATAACCTAAGAAATGTAAATTAATGAGCAAAGAGTTTGAATAAAAATTAAATAATATAAATGGAAAATATGGTATGAAAGGAAGTTAAATGACAGTGAAAAGTAAATATATGAATCATTATTCATTAAATACAAACAATTAATAAACAACAAATACAGAATGTATAAGACCTTAAACTACAACATGTTCAGCAAGAAAAACGTATTCATTTCGTAGAGAAAAAACATTTGATTTGGATTAGAAATTTTAACATAATATTAGAACAAGTAGATTAAGAGCATAATCAGGTCATTAAGTATAGAATTTTGAATTAGAAAAATAGAATTAATCAATTATTGCAAGGATAATGAAAAAATCAGAGGTAAGATTACATTAAAAAGTAAATTTAAAGAAATATGATCTAGAAAATCATGATATATAACCTACATTCATGTTGGATGATAGTGATTCTTAAACTAAAAGATTAATGAGATGTATAGATTTCAATCCACTTAATTCAATTTAATAAGAATATCGAAATTTTATGCCTAATGATGAAGATTTCATTGTAAAATTAAGTTTTTAATAAATTCAATCAAAAGAAAAGAGATAAAATAAATAAAAATAAAAAGTATTTTATGCTAAAGCATAAAGCAATTATATTCAAGATCCTATTTGATAATGAATTTGCTTTATTTTCTAACACTTTTTTGTTTCAATAAAATAATAATAATTAATTACATATATTTGTTCTGTATTAAACAATTATGAATTTAAAGAAATATAATTCATATGACCAATATTTATTATCTGATATTTAATATATAATTCATCCTGTTTTGAAGAGCATGATGGCCAGTTATCCAATATAAAAATATATATAATGTTTTGTTTCATGAGTTACATATGATCCAAAGTTTCTTCCTACAATACAATGCCATGTTCCATGATATTTTGCTCTTAATTCATCCTTAATATATGATGCAATTTATTGATCCTACAATTATATATTCTTATACAGTTGAACTCTTATCTATTGCTTATCTGGAAACTTCTATGACTTCTCTTTACATTTCATCACTCATATCAATTTACTTAATGACAGGCTATAATTTATCGAAAGACATTGGAAATATAAATTATATTAATATTACTTTTATGACATAAAGAAGGTCATTTATAACATTTCTTTATAATATAAAAAATACTCAAATTAATAATGTAACACCTTCTAATTCTTTACATACATTAATTTAACAAGATAGACGAACTCTTAAATTATTTCTATTAATAAATACCTTCCACCCTTTCCTTCAGTTGTCAATACATTGATTTCTTCTTAACTTTGAGGTTAAGCAATCTAAATATTATTAAAATCATTAGAATTAGCTAATAAAACTGAACAAGTAGAACATGAACATGAAAATCCACACTCAAAAGGTAATGGTACTTTATGTCTTTTTAATTCCTTTGCTAAAATTTCACCTTCTATTGCATTTATAGTAAGTTTAATTTGTGGATTGATTTCACTTTGAACATAAAAACAGATATTTTTTGAGAATTTAAAGAAATTATGAATTCTTTACATTAAATTATTAAATATATTCTAAAAAGAAAATAATAAATAATTCAATCTCTTAAAGATTGAACATAAAAAAATAAATTAATCAAGTTTCAATTGATGGACTTTAATCTATTTATTCTGTACTATCACTTTGAATGACATATGTTTCAGTTGTAATTTCTTAAGATTCTGATTATACTACTTATTTTGGCTTTCTCTACCAGAATATAACTAAAGCAAATATGTAGGGAAGAAAGAAAGAAAGGAATTTATCTAATAAATCCAGACTTGAATTTAAGAGATTTGTCAAATCTTCATCATTTGGAAACTAAATTTATTATATATGAATTTTTACATTGACATACAAACATGTATATTTCATACCATTTGTGTGATATATTTAATTCATTATCACAAAATAAATATTCTAAGTAAAACTAACAAATGAACCTATTATATTAACAATCAAGAGCAACCTCAATATTTAGAATTTATACCAAATTTATTTTAATCTCTTCTTTACAACTTCAGTAAATTATTATATTTCTCCACCTTAATCTTATTTAATATTCTTATGAACTTATCTAGTTAATTATCTAATTTATAAAAAGAATAATCCTTAAAGTAAGAATCCTACTGTTGTTATTATATTAAAAAACTAGGCTAATTAATAATTAAAAATTAAACCTTAGCATAAATGATAATCATTCATATTCATAAAGTAGTCCACATAATTTAAGATAAAAATTGCTGAAATAAAGAAAACCAATCCATTGAACATCAATTGGGCTAATTTTATTTACATTGTAGCTGATATTGATAATGCTTCATCTGATCCATTAAAAGAGGCAATCAATATAGATTTTCTGCCAAAATAGTAGATACTGTAACTGATAAACATAAATTGAAAATATGGAATAGGAAAATATAAAGCATCAACTCTATTACTTAATTGAAATGCCAAATAAACTAATATATATTAACACTTTACAAGTAATATCAACTATTAATATGGCAAAAATTATTTATTTCCTTGTCAATTGTTTATTGTACTAAGGTTTTCTTTAAATGATTATTAAATAAATGGAACATATTAAAATCATAAATGCCATAATTAATTTAAGTAGAAATCCTAATTATTTAATGAGTGTACGTAACGCACCAATCTAAAATTTCATTACTTTATCTTGTTAAACAACCAAATAGTTCTTCAATTCCTGATTAAGATGTCATTAATATTAATAAAATATTTATATACAATATTATATTATAATATATTTTTACATGATGTAATTATAAAATTTATTCATATCTATAGAATAATCTAGTAATTAAAATAATTATTTAACATTAATTATATTTTAACTTCATTTGAGTTGTTATTATATAGATAAATATTATTCTATAAATATTTAAATATGAATAAGAATTAAGATCAAAAAACTTATATTAATATTTATATAATAAATTCATATAATCAAAGTTAAATCAATAATTGAAACTGGATATTCTTTTACTTGAATATATGTATTTTTAATAGTTAATATAACATTTATGAAATACCTATCATATAGTAATATATTTATACAGCATCATAGAAATGTTCTGCAAATTGTGTTTTTGGATGAAATAACAATACAAAGAATATAAACTTAATGAAATGATAATAGGGTAAGTAATATAATATCCAATAAAAGTAATCATCCAATAAATGAACAATCATAACAATAACCCAATATGATAACCATTATTTAGCATTTCTATAATCTAAACATATATAAATATATGAGATATATTACTCTAAGTCTCAATGACTTCTAAAGTCATTATGAATGGATAAACCAATGTCATAATTTTAATAAAGAATCCTCTTCCAATTCCTAATATTATACAAGCTAATCCTAATAACACAACAATGAAAGCAATATATGAAGGACGAGATATTTTAAATTTCCTTGCATATAATTTAAGAAAAGGGATTTCATCACAAGAATCCAAACCAAAAGTTGTTATCAATTAATCTAACTACATTTTTAATATTAAAATATATATATATTATCAATAATTTGTAATGATATTAAAGCCTCTATTTTTTTCAGGTGTTTTCCTTCTCTTACGTACATAATCAACAGATAACATAGTATATGGAACTTCTTTCTTAGGAAATCTTTTATCTTCTAATTTTTCGAGATGTTTCAATTATAGCATAGATTTATTGTTCAATTTTCTTTTTGTATCTTTGAATGAACTATTCATACTTGTATTTTATGTCTATTTATAATTATCTAATTCTTTTTATTTTGGAGTAGTTATTACACTAATATCATAATTGACTTTTTAATCTTTTATTTAGGATTGATTTAATTTTTAATTTTGAAGATTTTCTTATTATTCAAATTATTATTTCATATTTTGATTATCTTTTTTTAATGAAGATCTTTCAAATGAGATCTCATCAATGACATTTATTATATTTTCATTAAATTTAGGTGAATTTAAATTATCTTATTATATAGATGATAATATAGATGATTATTATCTAATGCCTAAATTAAAATTATTCTTTGATTATGTATCTTAATTTGAAGATTAAGTTTAACATGATTTATGAATACATTTTAATTGATGATCAAAGAATTAGGCTTATGAAATTATTTTAGTCCTTATTGGTGATACAATATCCTTAATTATTTTAGTGACTCTATCAACATCTTTAATATTAGTAGGTGATGTAGATTCATTAATTTAACTTTATTCATCTTCTTAATTCTATAAATATTTAACGATAAACTTCAATGAAATTTAAAGTAGTTTTTCATAATCCATTCTATTCAATAATTCATGTATGTATTATTCTGATACAAAATACTTTCTAAATAATTTTGGTCTTAAAGCAACCAATTAATAACAATATTTTCTTATCTTTTCATTTCTATTTTAAATAGGTACACATTCAAAGATTTTTGAAGAATTAGTTGTTTATATTCTATTCTTTTTTAACAATTAATATTTACATTGATATTTCTCATTTCTTCTCTTATTATAATCATCTCATCAACTAGATGTTTTTTATTCATTTTAATTAATTAATTTATTTATATCATTATAAATGAACATAATCATATTCAATATTCTACTCTCGAATAGTATGGTCGTATATATATTCTATCATTCTGATTGTATGAAACAGCTCTCCTTGTCCTTGATAAATTTTGATGTTCCACAATTGTCTATGGAATGCATTATACCTCCTTTTATATTGGTATTTCTCTATATACATTAATTGGTTCAGAATAAACTGGTATTTCTTAATATATAGGCACTTTCTAATATATTGGTGCATCTCTATAGATAGGAACATCGTAATATATAGGTACATCTTTATATATTGGAATATCTTTGTAAACTTTAACTTCTTTTTGCACTGCAACTTCTTTATAAACTGGTACTTCTTTATTAACAGTGACTTCTTTATATTAAGGTATATATATAGGAATTTCTTTAGTATTAATTTAAGATGGTTTCTCTACTTCTTTTATTACTTCTTTAATGACTTCAAAAGGTTTTATTACTTCTTTAATCACATCTCTAGACACTTCAACAATTTTTGGAATTTCCTTATATTCAACTTCCTTTACTATTTTTTCTTTTCTCTTTCTTTTTTATAATTCCTCATATCTAACTGCAAGTTCGTGATATTTTATTTTACTATTTTTTATTTCTTCCTATAATCTAGCATTTTCTATTTTTAAATAGTCATCATTAGGTAATTAAATAGGTTTTTATTTTAATGCAGCTAGCATAGTAATAAATTCATTGTTATCTTTTGGCTTCTCCTATTCAGGAACACTTATATGATATTCTAATACTGAAGAAGGTTAATCTTCAATCTTTACTTACCTTATGAGCTATTCTAATAGATCAACTTCCCTTTAAATATTTGAATGTGGCTATTCTATTTTTTATCTAAATTTTTTAATTGGCATTTAAACTTAAATTTCTTCTGAAACTTCCTTAAAATATTTCTTCTTTTTCGAACTTGATTTTTTTACATTAACTGGTTATTCTTAGACTATAACATAAGGCTGATAACTAATTGTATTATATGATTAGGAGGGAGGACATATTGGATGATAATGTTATGAATGTGCTTTGGTTTATATCACTCTTGAGACTTCCTTTTATTGATATTATTTTAAAGGAACTTGAACTTAGATAAATGCTTGTCTTAATTCATCAATACTCTTTAATAAATGATTGCTATGAATTTAAGACATTATATATATTTTTATTTAAATGTGAATAATAAAATTTAGTTAATATTTGTTACACTCTTAAAAACTTAATTGTAATACTTAGATAATTATTATCGTTATAATATAAACTATATAATAAAATAATTATAAAGAGAAATATCTAACTAAATTAATTTAATAATTGTATATCTTAGAGAAAACTTATTAGATAACCTTAAAACGTATTCTTTTTTTTCTATTTTGTCCAAATACAAACACAAAGAGTATAAATAAATAACTAAAAGAGACTTTCTTTTATTAAGAGTTTCTTCTAATCTCACTAAAAATAATTTAGTAATTTTAAAGTGAGATTAAATTTATCTATCATTGAATAGAGAATAAATACAAGAGTTTGATTAAAATTAATATTTAAAAATTAATAATTTTATTATTAATTTTATAATAAGATTATCATACAATTTAAAATATATGGATGTCATTTTGATTTGAGTCATTTCTTTATTTTAATAAATTTATTCTTGTTTTTCATAAGATCTATTAATTTAAGACAATCCTTTTTATTATTATAATAAGAACTATTAGTTGTAGTTCTTATTTATTCATAATATGGTACAAATTAAGACTAATAATTAGTCAAAGACAATTAAGAATTTGATCGGAAATGAAATTTAATTTTTGATTTATTTATTTCTTCATTTAAAATATTTAATGGTTTAAAATTATTATCTTTTTTGATAATCACTTGTTTTTCTAAATCTATGTATATAAATTATTACATTCTACATTCTTCAACATTTTCTCTAAGTATTATTAAATCTAACTTTTTCTTGGTCCTTTTTAATATGATTAATAGAATGGATTTTGTTAAGATTCATTCAATAATATTTCCTCATCTTAACTATTCTATAAGATATTTTATGATTTGCATGAACATACTTCAACTGTTTTCTACAATGCTTTCGATCTTGCTAATCTCTTTAATTCTATTTAAGTTTCTTTACTCTTTTATATTTATTACTACTCAGATAATTATTAAATTTCATGATTTGACAATCCTATATTTAAGAATGATTCTTACCTTGATTATCAATTTATATACGTGATCTAGGTCTTGCTGGAGATGGATCAAAAGGTCTTAGTTCTTTTGGATTACTTGAAGTTTGTTGAGTGTGAATTGCATGAGAAATCTCATTTATTTAACTTTTTGAGGATTCATGGGAATGCTTGAATGGATATTGATGTAATAGATAATTATTTCGTTCTTTCAAAAAGTAAAAAGTACTTGATTGGTTATTTCATTGGTTAAAGATTTGGTAATAAATGAACTGATTGTAGTACTGCAGGTCTTCTTATAATAGTTAAGTTTCTGGCTGCTTTAAGAAGATACATTTTCTTTTTCCACTTTTTTATAGCCTCTAATTTATAGAGAAGAATGAAAATAATAGCATTTCCAATAGCTTTGAATCTTTTCAAGACTCTTTTCTTTTTCTAATAACTAATATAATAGAAAGAATTATTACCGAGTTTCTTTGAGAGGTAATTCTCCATGAATCTTTAATTAAAACCCTATAGGTTTACCACAATTTGAACATTCACAAGATAGATTACATCTGTTTAATTCCAATTACAATTTTTGATTGGTTTTAAAACAAATTGATCTTCTCTTTTTAAATGAAGTTTTAATGACCATGATTGATTTTGCATGTTTTAATTCATGATAATCTGGTGGAGATAAAGACCTTTCTGACATAAAATAATATGATATAATAAATTCATGGAAATTTAATTAAGGATTAATAATCTGATTTCTTGGGAATTGGTTTGACTTGAAATTCTTAAAAGTATTACTTATAATATTTTTAATTATTTACATGATTAAGTGCCTATTTAGCACTAATTCTTTGAGTAGGATCCAATTTAAGCATTCTAGTCAATAAATCAATAGCTAATTAATCTACATCTCTATTTAATAATTATTTAAATCCTTAAGGACTCCAATTAGGAAATGTAGTTTTGTAATCCTTCAAATTAGTTACACCCTAGATAAATAGAATTTTTAATAATACTGGCCATGTATTTTCATTTGGAGTACCTAGTATTCTAAAAATTCTAAATAATTAATCAATTTCAGAATCTCCTGTGAAAAGTGCTTTTTTTGTAATTAATTCATAGAAGATGCATCCAACTGACCATATATCTACTGGAGTACTATATTCAACAGCTCCCAATAATACTTCAGGTGCTCTATACCATAAAGTTACAACTTCATGTGTATAAGGTCTTATTGGAACTTAGAAAGGTCTAGCTAAACCAAAATCAGCTATTTTTGTATTGCCTATAATGATTTGAATTTGGAATACCTTATTTATCAATTAAAATATTTTAGGGTTTAAGATCTCTATGTAAAATGCGTCTTTGATGACATGCTTAAATTCCCTTCAATATTTAATGGATTATTTTTTTAATGGTAATTTTATCGAGAGATTGATCTTTTGGAGAACTATCCAAAAGTGCTTTAAGGTCTCTTTCCATATATTCAAAGACTAGTTAAAGTTTCTTATTTCTAATAACTACGTCCTTTAATTAAACGATATGTGGATTGTTGAGCTCTCTGAGTAAACTAATCTCTCTAATGGCAGTTGAAGGCACACCTTCTTGCTCTAACTAATGATTTGGCGGATTTTCAATACTTCTTAGGTCATTTTTTTAACAGCTACAATTTATCCATTTAATTTATCCAATGCTTTATAAACAACTCCATAGGTTCCACTCCCTATTTTTTCTAGTTTTTCATATCTCTCTGCATCACTTTCACCGAATTCAGGTAACATTGAAATTCAAATTAATTTGAATTAATAAATAATAATAATATATTTGTATAAAAATTGTTGTATTATCACTTTTTAATTCCATTAAATATAAATTTTCCAATATCTTATTAATCAAGATCCTTAATTCTTAATTATTTAAATCATTACCTTTTTTACATCATATCTTAAAATTATCTTTTATTAATCTTAATCTTCTTCCATAATATTTGAAACCAAACAGGTTCAAATAAATCTATTATTTATTATCTTAATTATTGTAAATTGACTTCATGATCTATGTAACCATCTTTATCATTATCAAGCATAGCAAATATCTCATTAATTTTTTATTCCTAATAACTTTAAACTAAAAATGTTGTTTACTATTTTTGCATATGTATTATTTTATTGTTTGATATAAATTTCATAATTTCTCTAACTCTTTTGAGGTGTTGAAATACATTACAATTTATTCATCAAATCCTTAAAACTCTTCATTCTATCTTACTTAGATTGATGTTCTATCCTACTATTACATAAAGTTCCATTACTAATCATAGACTAAATAATTATAATTCAATTATATACTGATTAAATACTCTAATCTATTTATTATTATGAAAAACTAATCTCTTACGGAGAGATATTTCTAGAATTAGATTGTTTTGATTTCTCCATACTTATTCTACCCTTTGGTAAAGTTTATAGAGTATTTTATTCTGCCTTTTCTGGGGAATAGATAGGACTTTATTAAGCACTAATAAATTGACTTGGTCTATTTCTGAGACCATAATTTGAATGAAAACTATCCTTAGAATTATCATTTGCTCTTTTCATATATTCTTAATAAGGAATTCCAACTCTTCTATTAGGGGATTTACTTGGTGATTTATTTTTTAATCTATTCATTATTTTCTAATTCAATTTATCCTATTTTTGAAGATTTTCAATTTAATTAATTGAATTATTCTTAACATAATGATCTATACGACTACTTCCTATAGAAGAGGATTGATTTTTTTCAGGATTCAACATTTCTTATAATTTGTTTTTAAAAGAAAATTAGAATTAATCATAAAGGTTTGATGTGTTATCTTCATTATTGTCTTTGTCAAATGAGAAATTAAAGTTCTCATCCTTATTTCTTGTTGATTCTTATTATTTTGTAATTTGAATGCAATCATTTCGAATTTATATAGAAGTGTCCACAATTTTAATACTCTCTCTAATACTTGCATTATTTATGAATTTATCAAAGTGCAATCTTATTTATGTCTTTGTAGTATTGTCTATACTAGAAGAATCCAAAATCATAGACACAAAGGAAATTATTTATTTTGAAAGTGGTGATATAAAATTGAATTCCAAATTCTGTTGAGTGCAGAATCTATATGCTATTTACAAAGGTGTATCAAATGCAAAAATCTATTTAATATATATAATTCTTACTTCTACTTAATATATCTAATTTTAATACTTGATAGGCACTGATAAAATGCTGTTTTTTTTCATATGACAGTTAAATTAATTAATGTAATAAGTTAATGTACCTTCACAATATCCAAATATACCTATTGCAAATCTAACTCCAACCAATAAAACTAATCCTTCTCAATCTCCTCATCAACGAATACTCTTTTAATCATCATCCCCTATCTAAGATAACAAAAGCTATACACCTGTTAAACAATTAGGCGAATTGGAATTACTCTATTAGAAAATCAATTTGCTTCAAAATGAAAATAAAATGCTTAAAGTTCAATTGGAAAATGCCAATCTTAAAATCCAATAATAATCTACCAAAATTAATTCCTATAATAGTTAAGCAATATTCAAGACCACTACTTTCGAATTAGTAGTACTATAAAAAGCATTAGAACAATTAGAATAGTTGAAAACAGCCTTACAGAAAAGAAAAACAAGTCCTCATCATAATAATTAAACTCTACCTACTGAGGAATCAGCTGAAGTCATTAGCGAATTAAAGAGTAAAGTTACATTCTTAGAATAAAAGAATATTAAATTAACAAAGGAGAATTCAGAATTATAAGTAAACAATTTATTCTTTATTTGTAGCATAACATTTTATTCCCTGTCTAATCTGAAACCAAAGAATTTGCAAGATAAGGTAGAAAACAATTATTTTCTGATCCAAGTGAAATCAGGAAAGTTAATAGGAACAGTCCTATTAGATTTGTCAATTCAAAAGGAAGTCCAAGTAATCCATATAGATCACCCAAGCATATAGAGTGAAATTTATGTATACTTTATTAATATTTGCATTAAATACATAAATTAATTAAATCATTTAATTAAAATTCGATAAACCAATTATGGATTCAACTAAAGAAAGAGTAGAAGGAACAAGAGCCACAGTTATCGAAATCATTGGAAGAACAGGTATTAATTAATTATTTATTGTGCAGGTTCAAGAGGTGGTATTACATAAGTTAAAGTTTAATTGGTTGGCCAATAAAGAACCCTTATTAGAAATGTTATGGGACCAGTCAGAAAAGGTGATACTCTAGAACTCATGGAATGTGAAAGAGAAGCCAGAAGATTAAGATGAAATAAGTACATTACATATACAATTTGCCATATATTTAATTATTTTTCATGCAAATTACAAATATTATTTAATAAAATTTATATTTAAATATACTATTTTCATTATTTATAGATGAATAACTCTCAAAAGTCTTCAAGTTTTAATTTATTTATAATCAATAGACAAATGATTTAAATTAAAAGTAATCCAGAAGTCTCTAATTATTTATAATTGAATTTTTTAATAAAATAGTTTAAGTAAAACTTTTTAATACTATACTTTCACAAGAAGTACTCAAAATAAACTTGAATTTTTATCATGTATAAATTATTAATATGAAATCAAAAAAGACGAATAAAAATTATTATTTATTATACTTTTATATTATTAATTTATTCTTCTTTATGGATTTAAGAAGCTAGTGTTCTTGGCTTTTGAGATTAATCAAGAATATCAAAATATGATATATCTAAAATAAAATATCCAATAAAGTTAATTATTATCTTTTTGTTTAAATTAAGCATGTGCAATTATAATAGTCAGTTTACATAGATAGATGAGACAATAATTTATGAGAATGAAACTTCTTTTACAAAGAAATATCTCATTTTCTGGTTCTTTGGATTATAATCAGTAAATCATTTTTATAATGATAAAAATCAACATCAAAATAATTACTTAATAAGTTGAGGTAGCCCTTGATGATTAATATTGATACAATTAAGCTTTAATTTTTAATTTCATTCTCTTGTCTCATTTCTATGGTATCCTATCTTAAAAATTAGAATTAATGATTAAGTGATCAAAGATTGGAAGTTATTAACAAGATTAACAAATAATTAGATCTTTTTTAAAAGAGATTCAAATATGTTACAAGAATTCATTGAAATATAAAGATTAAGCTTAACTGATCCTCTTGATTTTTCACTTTAAGTATTCAATATTCAATTATTACAGATTACATCAATAACTGCTTATGATATAACAATATTCTTTACTTAAAATTATACAACTGTTACTAATCTACTTTTAATTGGATATTAAGTAATTCTTGGAACTTCATAAAGCTTCTTTTTTACTGAAAGATACATTTAGCTATGAGTATTTGAATCGCTAGTCAAGATTAATTTAAGTGGGTTTTATTATGTGGTGTTTCTGTAAGGGATAATGATTGATTAATTTAGGGCTACATCTTTAAAAAATGCAAATGTAATTGATCAATAATTAAGGAGTATAGACATATAGGAGATATAGGTAAAATCAATTGATTAGAGATTGAATTCACACCAAATAATTTTTGTATCTTATATTATTCAAATTTGTTTAATTTTTGTTAATGAATTCAGAATTCATTAACTTTTATTCCTATTTAAAATACAATTCTTTACTAAAAATTAGAATAAGTAGAAAAATAATTATGTATATTCACATAAAACAATAAATATCTATTCTATGAATTGTTTATCTAGGAAATAAATAAATACTGATGCAAATGTATTACAGAAACAAAGATTAAAGTAGAATTTATAAATTTTAATCTAGTAACTCTAAAAAAAGTTATATACAATATTAAAATTGATATAATAATTGTCTAATTCTATTGAAAATATACTTCAAATTGAATTTAAAATGGCAATTAAAAATAGAACTAGAAAGTAATAAAGTTACAATTACTGAATTAAAGTTTATCTATAACAATTGTATTATTTAATCATGTAGAAATTTAAGTTTTAGTAGTTAGTGTTCAATTATGAAATTATAAAGTAATTAGAATGTATTATGTATTTAAATAAGAATAATATATAAATATTTCTTTATAATTTAAATTGTTTTAATTTTTTTTTAAGAATTTAGTTGAAATATTATGTTTAAATACTTATGTTATCATATAATTTTGATAAATTACATATTTGTTCTTTTTTTCAACACTTTATGTTTGTAAAATCTATTAATAAATGAATAACAGGATTTCTAATATTTATGTATCTAAATTAGTAAATCTATTAAAAATCTATATGTTCTTTTGTATAACTAAAAAAATGTATTGTAGATTTTGTAAATGCGTATTTAATTTATACATATTTGAAGGGGGTGAGTGTTTAATAAAAAATAAATTTAATATGTATTATTTTTTTATGTTTTAAGTCAGGATATTGATAATTGTGTTTCAAATACTTTTTTTTTTTAATTAAAATGAACCTTTCAGCTGTCAGATCAATCGTTTCATTCTTATCATTAAATGCTTTGCTCTAAATTTATGAGAATCAACCAGTGGAATTCTGGGACTCAAATTAAATGATGTCACATCCTAAACTTACTCCTATATTTTAATCAAATTAGGTAATTATAAACACTATTTTAGTATATTAATTTATTAGTTGGTCTTGCTTCACTTGCTTTACTAGATAAGAACAATAAATTACATATGAGTAATAGTGTTTTAGTAGGAACATCAATCATCATATAAAATTTGAAGTAATATATTATAATAATCTCTAGTTTATTTATGCCTAAAACAATGAATATGATAACAATTTACTTTTAACTTATTATATTAATAGTTCAGCTATTTTAATTGCTGTCCTTTTATTATGATAAAATTCCACCCACCATGCCCAAAATTAAATAAGATATTATGAAAGAATAAAAGTAAACCAGGAAGCCAAATCAGAGAAAGATTGTTTCAAATAAAAAAAAAGAGAAATTATAGCAAAAACAATAAGAATCTGAACAAATTTAATAGATTGAAGGAATAGAGCAAGAATAATAAGATAAATCAGAAGTTGAATCTATTGAAAATGACTTCAATGAATTCATGAAACCATAATCTACTGATTAAACTGTAACAGAAATAGAAACTGAAAATCTTTACGAAATCAATCATGCTGATCTCTCATAAATATCTTAAACAAAAGAAGATTCAAGTATTACTTAATATAATTTCTAGAATTAACTTTCTAATTGAAGTTCAATGGAGAAGTTTCTACTTTAAATTGTACTTTTGATACATTCGATTCTGCAATGAGCATTCTCAACTCAACACATACATCAGAATAAATTAAACAAATCAAAATACATTTGTTACTCAATCTCTATGATGAAAATGAAGACTGTACTTGTAGACTCTGGTGTTTAAAGAAGCTTTTAGCACTTAATTGATTATAGAATTCTATGAAATTTGCTCTTTGTGTGATTTATTATTATTAAGTTAAATCATTAATTCACTATATATAGTTATTACTTTGATAAACAATATTAAAAAATATAACTTATCTTTTTTTGAACAGAAACTAGTTGACTCCATGTATTAATTCAAAAGACCTATAAATTTATATCTCTTTAATGGATGTATATATATTTATATATAAATAATATAGCTATAATATAGATATTATATACATCTAAAATACATAATCTCATTTCATCTAAATGTCTTATATCATTAAATTACTAATGATTTTTTAAACTGATAATCATATTCATTTATAAATCAAATAAATTTGAAATATGAAATGCATAGTCTACTATCTCTAACAATAATGATTAATATAAAATTTAATATAATTAATATTTGTAATAAAAGTGAATGCAAATGAAAATTTGTAAATTATCAAATTCTTCTCTCTTTTCTATCATAATTTCCAAATTGTTTATTTATTAAACCACCAGACCTGCAATCTAAAAAATAAGTTAATAATTACATTTTTATAAATTTTAATCTGACGGTTATCTTCTTTAAACTTCATTTATTTCATATCTATCATTTCCTAGTTATCTTTTTAAATGATTAAATCTATCATAACATTAATACTATTCTTTATCATTTATTGGTGACTTTTAATAATTTATTTTGCTATTTATAACTCTATCTATCATTTTATTTTGTTTTTTCTCTCTTTCAATATATTTACTTAATGCTGTTCCTTAAAGTATATCATCAATAGCTTTATTATTGATATTATTTCTTTTATTTCCTTTTTCTATTCCATAACCATCATTACTAGATGATTCTTCATGATAACTATGTCTCTATCCATAACGATATTATTCTCTTTAATAATATTTTTATCCTAAATATTCTCTAGATCCAGCAATTTTTGCTTAAATGGGTTCTGGTTTAAATCTGTTATTAAAAATTCTTCTTTTATCAAATTCTGACATTTAAGGTTCTACTTCTGGTTTCAAATATCCATACTTTTTTTCCAACTCTGCTTTAATTTGATTTATTTCAGGTTAATATTATGATCTCTTAAACTCTATTTTCTCTTAATGTTATTCATTCTTTTTTAGATCATACTATTAAATAATAGAGGAATTTTTGGGTTCAATTGATTATTTTAAATCATAAATCTTAGTTTCCTATTTATAAGCCTAATATATTTAACCATCTTAGTATTTCTTTTTATTTCCATGATCAAATTACTGTAATTTATCATATAAATTAAGCCTTCTTTAAATTTCTTAAGATTAATCATACTCTCTTCTAGCTTAGTATTGTTATTTTGAATTATAATTTAATTTATCTTGATGAAGTAATTTATCATAGGATTCGTTAGACATACTACCTTAATATTTTTGATCAAATGTATCTTCATTTAATGATTTATTTTGATAATATGATCTATCGTTATATTTATTTTTATCATGTAAATCTAATTCTTATTTTTAACTAAAATGATATTTTCCATAATCTGATATTTATTAATATTTAGAATCAGTATTAATTCGTTTTTAAAAAGAAGATTTTTCATCATTATAATTATTTTTCCTTTCATTTATTTTAAATTTCTCATCTAATTAAGTATATTTAAATTAATCTAATTCAAGTATTTCTTTATTTTTTTATTTATTATCAACTTCTCTTTCATATTGTCTTTTCTCTTCATTTAAATTACATTATCTATATTCTTATTTACATTAATCTTTTAATCTATTTTATACTTCGTTTCTAAGTTATTCTTAAAATTATTTCATTTTTATTTAACTATTCTCTAATCCTTATTATCTTTATGAATATTCTTATGATTTTGAATACTAATTAAGTCTAATTTCTTATTATCCTGCTATTTTCTCTACTTATTCTTTTCTTTATTATAATCTTTTTTCAATATCCAAAAAACTTGACTATTCTTATCCTTACTTTTAATCTGTTTTATCAATTTAATCACGTAAATTATTTTTATTGTTTGTTGTTTCAGGATACATTCTTTAATATTCTGGTAATTTAAAATCTCTTTTCAAACTTGAATATTAGTATTCACTTTTAAATGTATTTTAATTTTATCTGTCTTATGGTGTATTTGCATTAAAATTAGTTTTTGGATCCATAGGAGTTCTATTACCAAAAGGTAATCCACTTTATTTTAATAAATATTTATCAGATGAATAAGCTATCTATTATTATTCTATTCTCTATCTATCTTCTGTTTTAAAATGTATTTTATCATCTTTAGATTAATAAATAGCTGTTTATGGTCTTGCTTATTCATAATAATATGATTCTTTAAGTTTTGAATTATAATTATTTAATTCTTTATCTATTTAACTATTAACAACTTATTAGTATGATTGCTAATTAATCTTTGATTCTACATTTTATTTTTATCTTTCATAACTACCAAATTCTTTTTTGTTTATATCATCAATTTGTCTCCAATTTTCTTTTTTCAAATATTGATTATCTCCTAAAGATCCTAATTTTGATGTTTAATAATCCTACTATCTATTAATTATTTAATTGGTTCTCAAAACTCTATCTTCCATCTAATTTTTATTTGAATTCTTTTATGAATCTGTTAAATTAAATTTGCTGTTAGTAATAAACCTAACAAATATTTCAATTAATATATATTAATCATAGATATATATATAGTTTCTATTAAATCAAAAATATCTTTTCTTTTATTATTTATATATCTATATTTAATGATTGGATCTATTAAAATAATTCAAAATAGAATATCTTGCATGTAGATATAATTATTTTATTTATTTTTTATTAGATAATCTGATAATCATTCATGATAACTTATTCTAATATTCCACCCAGATCTATTACTCCAAGAACTTCTTATATACCAGTTGTAAATCATTCACAATATATTAAGCCTACTCCACAAATGTATTCATAAAAGATTATTCCCATATAACCAAAATAAATTGTACCAACTACAGAAATCATTCGCATTCTTCCAACTGAACCCTAATAATCATAATAACCATAATAAGATCAAAATTAATTTAATGGATTATCATTATCTGAACTTAAGGCATTTCTAGAAGATTTAATGAATCGTTATGATAAATTAGCTTAAGAATTACAAAAAGCAGCTCAAAAGGAAATTTAATTATAAAATTAACTAACTATTGCTTAAACAGAATTAAATAATAAATTACTATAGTTTTAGTAAGAAAGAGAATCATATATGTAAACCATTAATAATAAGAACTAAGAAATTGATTTTTTGAATTCATAAATAGATTAATTAAAAGATTAACATTTTAATGAAATATAGGAATTGAAAACAAATAATGAACATATTGCTTTAGTTTTAACTGACAAGTTAGATTAAATGAATTAATTTTCCAAAGAAAAAATTATAGAATTAGATTAAATTAAGAGTCTACTTGTTCTCAGAGAATAAGAGGTACAGGAATGGAGAACAAGAAAAAATAATGGTGATGTTTATTCACAAGAAATTAATTAATTGAAATAGAAAATCTATTTATTATAATAAGAAAAGGATTAATTAATGGATAGACTTAGATATTCTTAACAAGATTCTTAATTAGTCAATGAAAATTAAATGTTGAAAGCCTAATTACAAGAGAAGGAATCTGAAATTAATACTATAAGATTGAAAGTATATTATTTATGATATCCAGCTGAAATATGGTTAAACAAATAATAATGATCAATAATTATACTAAGAATTAGAATAAGCCAAATAAGAGATAATGTATTATAAGCAATAATTAATTAATCCTGGTTAGCCTCATAATATAGAGGAAATTGAAGATTATAAAGATAAGATTCAAATATTAGAAAATGAGATTAGAAGATTAAATAAATAAGTAAAATATTGATAATCTTATATTTTAGTTAACAGAGATGAGACATGAATTAGAGGATTATAAAAATCATAAATCTGATAATGAATTTCTGAAATCTAAATTATCAGATTAATAAAATTAAATAAGAGAGATATCAAAATCTTAATTAGGGTATAAAGATAGGATTCCCCAATATTATTGATATTTTATTTTTAAACTTCTACACTAAATTATAATATTTATTATCAAGATCATTAATATATTATAAATAATGAATTACATTATAGAATTTAAAATGACTATTAAAAATAATCAATTATTATCTAAAAAACTAAATTATTTATTTTAAAAGATACATTATATTTAAATAGATCTTTATATATTTCATAAATATTTTAAATGATTCTCAAAATAAAAGTGTATTAATTTAATACAAATATTCTTTAATATTCTGAATTATCATTTATTCCTTCTGATTCTAGTTTTCCTTTTAAATAATGATTATATAACAATCAATAATAAATTTTGATATACCTTATATTAATTTAGAGAAAATCTTTAAATTGTATATATATAAAATTTTATTTTGAAATTAATGTTTGGAATACCTTTTCCTGGAGCTTTTGGTCATTTTGCTTATCATGATGACGAATTCGAAGATGAATTTGATGAATAACTTTAACCCCAAGATGTAGATAATAAAGAACTATATGATATATTAGAAATTCCTCCTTAATCAGATATTAATTCTGTTAAATAAGCTTATAAAACATTAGCTAAAAAATATCATCCTGATAGACCTGGAGGAGATTAATAAAAATTCTAAATGCTCTAAAAGGCAAATGAAGTGTTATCAGATCCTGAAAAAAAGAAAATTTATGACAAATTTGGAAAATAAGGATTAGTTAAATAGATGAATGTTAAGAATCAACAATTTAAAAAATGTGAACCTTATAAACTAAATCATAAAATCACTCTTAAGGATGTAGCCTTAGGGGCATATCATAAAAAGACTTTAAATGATATTACAAGATCTTGTGAAGAATGCTAAGGGTAAGGAGGCAAATAATCTATTACATGTCCATCATGTAAAGGACATAAAATAGTGTAAATGGTAGTGGAAGTATAACCTGGAATAAATATGCTATAATAAGCACCTTGTCCTGATTGCAAAGGGTATAAATCTATTATAGAATCATTGTTAGAAAGGGAAAGGCTATTTCAAAGGAGGATGAATGCAAATCATGTAAAGGATTAGGAAATGTTGAGGGAGTAGTCGAAATTGAAATACCAATTGAAAAGGGAGTTCCTGATGGTTATTGTGTGAAATTATATGGAAAAGGCAATTCTAGAGTATTTTAATAGAATATATTAGCCTGGATATGAAACAGGAGATGTTTATGCTTATCTTGAAATAGAATAGCACCCAAAATTTATTAGAAAAGGAACTGATTTATTTTATTAACATACAATATCTTTGAAGGAAGCATTAATTGGTGTTAATATTGAATTAGAAACCTTAGATGAAAAAGTGATTAATATAACAACAGACAAAGTAATAAAGCCAAATCAAATATTAACAATAAAAGAGAAAGGTTTACCTACTTTTAAGGATGAACTTCATTTTGGGGATTTACATATTTAATTTTATATAGAGTTTCCTAAAGAATTGGATCAAGATGTTACTAAGAAATTAGCAGAAGTATTTATAAATATTAGTTTTTTATAGATTTTACCAGGTCCATAATTTACATCTAAATAAAATAGTATAAAGTTAGAATAGTTTAAATTTGAAGATTTTGAGAAGCATTAAGCAAGAATAGAAGATAATGAAGATGATGAATTTAATCAAAATGGGATTGATTGTTCAATATTTTGAATTTTTGTTTTATTATATAAAAATTATGAATCAAAATTAAAGGAAATTCGTTAGATGTTTCAATTGTAATATCAAACCTGCAACTATTAAATGTTTTGATTGTAATGAAAATGAGCCAATAAAATTATGTTATCATTGTGATTCTGCCTTGCATATTGAATAAGATCATTAAAAATAGATTATTCCCTATGATCAGATGGTTATAAATGAAGAAAGAACAAAATCAGTAACTCCAGAGAAATAACTAGAAACTACTCCTCATTTGAGTTCTATATTAAAATCTAGAATTAAAAAAAATGAAGAAAATGCTAATTATTTAAATAATAATGAAGAATAATTAAATAATAATTAAATTAAGTCTATAGAACTAAAATTCAAAATAAAATTACAAGAATAAGAGAATACAATTAATTTATTGAAATAACATATAGAGAATATTGAAAATAAACATAAAGAAAACTTATCAAAGATGAGAGATTAATTAATTAAAGCCTAAGATGAAATATTTAAAAAATAAGAAGAATAAATTCATGAAATTAATAAATTAAGAAAATCTTATGATGATAAAATAGCTCAATATATATCTTAAGTTGATAGTGAAACTTAATTTAATAATTCCCTATAATCAAAATTAGATGAATTAAGGTATTTTTATTATATATTTTATAAGAAATGTTCATTAAATTAAACAATAAGAATCATAATAAACAATTTCATAATTAAGAGCTGAAATTGAAAGAAGAAAATTTTAAGAAGAATAAATTTTGATAGATGCTGAAAATTAATAAATTAAATTAAAAAAAGAAATTCAATAAGAATTTGAAAAAAACATTACAATTATTAGAAATGATTGTATTTTATAAATAGATGAATTTAAATAAAAATTAACAGGAAAAGTAGAATAAATTTAATCTTTACAATAATAAATTTAATAATTATAAAATACACTTAAAGAAATTGAAATTGTATGGTAAAAGAAATTATAATATGAATAATAATAATATGAGGAATTAAAGTAATAAATTTATTAATTTTAGAAATAAATACACACAAAATAAAGATGAATGTGAAAATCTTAAAAAAGAATTAAAGAATCTTTAATCAGAGATTTCTATATATTAAAAAGAAAATGAATTGTTTTAAAAAGAGAAATTATCATTAACAAAATAATTAAATCAATAAATGGAAAAAAATGAGAAAATGGATAGATTCATATATGGATCAAAAAAATCATAAACAAAAATCAAAATCTGAATTAACATCTTTGTTTTTATAATAAAAAAGAATTTAAATATTATAAATAAGAAATTCTCTTTAATTCAACCACCATGTAATGTAGAGATAAAACTAACTCTATCATTATGTTATAATTATGCTTCTTCTTTATCCTCTAATTCCCAATCTGCATCATTTATTAATACTAATATTCCTGGTCGTAATTATTAAGTATAGAAAAAGTCTAATTTCTTTGGATTACAAAGTGTTTTCAATCTTATTATCACATCTAACATTTTAATCTATTATTCTTCAAATTCCAAAGTAAGTTCCTTTTTATTTTCAAAACAAACATCCAATCCACCACCAAAATCAATAATTATTTTCATTTTATTAATTAAATATTAATAATGTTTTAACTGAATAATAACGAAAAATAGATTGATTTTAGAAAATATTAAATGGAACAAATTGATCATATCTATCTATCATTCAGTCCAAAATAAGAAGAATAAAATACACTCAATCTAAAAACAGAAGAAATGTCAATCCCAAATATACAATCCTTTTTTACTGATCGCACTAGTATTTTTGATTAGAAAGTTGGATATTTTTAAGGATAAGTCCATAATTCAGATCAATTTGATTTCTACTTAATATCCAAAACAGAATTAAAGAAATTACTTAAATAATTAGATAGCTTGTAAAAAATTAAATAAAATTATGATGCTCTTAATCAATAAATATAATCTACATAAAAGAATCCTTCCAAATAGTTATAATAACATTCCTATAATAATTTATAAAAGTCTGGAACCACCTTATAAGGATCAGATTAAAAAGCGCGAAATTTATAGTAAAGCTAAATAATGAATGAGGGTTAACCTCATAAAGATGTAATAAGTGTAAGAGCTTTGGTTGGTCATAGAGACAACTCTATTCATTATAATAATAATAATAAGGAAAATAATTAAGGATTAATAAATAATTAGAGGACTACAAGTTAATAAAAATAATAGAATCATTAATAAAATTATTCTTCTGTTAGAAAATTAAATTAACCTTTGCCTTCAAGACAAAGATCATAAACTCATATACATATGAAATATATAAATTGATAGTTTAGATTACTTAAAAATCACATAATAAATGTAAAAAAATCAAGGCATTTTTCTAAACTAATTTAATTATTATTATTATTGTTATTATTATTATTATTAATATTATTGTATTTTACTTTATTCTTTTAACTACTCTTGGACTAATTCTATTCTTTTCTTTAGCTTAAGTTAACCCCTTTGCATTGAGGCTTTGGTTTAATATCTCATAATAAATTCTTATTTAAGAAGGGAGAATTATTAAATGAGATCTGAGGTGGATTTATCTTATTAATGTTCTTCGTTGGAATTTTATTATTTGACATATTTTACTCTTTCTTTTTGTAGTTTTTTTACAATTCCTTCATATGATTTTTTCATTGATTCTGCTTTGATTATATAAATTTCATTATGATCATTAATTTCCCAATTTGGTAAATCTCCCATCAATTTTAAATAATATATTTTTAATAAATTAATTAATTCAATAAAAAATATATTTAAATCATTGATTGTCAATTGAATTATGAGCAATGATTCTTAATTCAGTCTAAGCATTGGAGAACAATTAACTTTGTAATATAGCATTCTAATTAGTTTATTTGTTGGTTGTTTAATAAAACTTAAAAGTTTAATTAGCATTTTTATCAATCAATTCTTTTAATGATTTTTGATCTAAGGGTGTTCTACAGAGAGGACAATTTTCATGTTTTAATATCCATTATTATAAACAATCAGGATGGAATATATGATGACAAGGAGTCAATCTACAAATACAATATTTTTAATATTCTATTAAACAAACTGAACATGCTTCCTAAACATCTTATTCTTGAATTTCTGGGATTTCTAAGATTTAAGAATATTATAATTTAGGCATATATTAATCTAGAAGATTAGTATTTAAAATTGATTTATTTCTTCTATTATTAATATTATTATTATTATTGATTTGAGAATTAGAAATTGTATTAGTTTCATCTTGTACTCTTGAACTTCTTCTATATCTTATCAATATAATAATAATCCAAGCCACCAATAACATAATTGCTATAGAAACTAAAACATATACAATGACTAAGCTTTAATCCATTTCAAGATTACCATCAGTAGATGATAAACTTAGAGAAATATATATAAGAGCTGGTGTTTATGTTGTTACAGTGATCAATAATCTTTAATATCTTTCAATATATTGATCATATATCAATGGTGACAAATCTATTTATACAGATTAAGAGGATTGATCATGAAAAGAAATGTAATAATTAAAATATCCTTCATTTGCTAGTCCACATTCAAAGTTTTCATACATTATATATGCTTAAACATCAGAAACATGATATTAAGAATTCATTAAACCCAAATTCAAAGTTATGTTAGGGATTAATGAATCTCTTTCAAAATAGAAATAATCCTTTTTTTATATAGCTATATTTTTAAGAGGTTGTTTTAATGATAAGGGAGTTGCTAATCTAGAACAATCTAAGTCTACATATTATGAAGAACAAGCACAAATTCCATTTTCTGTATAACATAATCCTGATTATTAATTTCCACAGTCATTTGGACATTTCTTATTATTAGTTTTTGTTATTTTAATTATATATTAATAATCTGTAAAATGAGTATCTCTTATTAGAATATCAATGTAGTATTTATCATTGTTATTAAAAGTAAATGGGTTTATTTAAATCATTTGATATGCCTTCTTCAAAAATTGTCCGTTAATATCATAGAATACATCATTCTTAGAACTAGTATTATCTTTCTTATTTTTTGTGATTGAGAACTCTATATTTACATCTCCATCTTGAGGATATCCAAAAATCAACCTATCTATTCAAACAATAGTTCATACTCAACTGTTATATATTTATCTTAATCTATTTAGAAAGGTTAAAAGTAGAAAGTAGTATTTTGAACACTCTAAATTACTTGATATTGAGAGTCAATCAATTTGAAAATAGTACCAGTCTCTTAATATTCCTAGTTGATTGTTAAATTATCTATAGCCTAGGCTTTAATTAATAATGTGAAAATAAATAAAAAAAGCATCAAAAGAATCATGCTTTTGATTTTAATTTTAAATTAACAATGCTATTCCAATTAAAATTAAGATCTAATATATTAAATAATCATTTCAAATTAGCTCATTTAATAATATAAAAATATTCATAAATCAAATACTATATGTAATTATCAATTAATTGTTTCTATTTATAAATATTAAGAATTATTACTCAGCTTCTCTATATTCTAATTCAATTACTGATCATTAATTTAATCTCATGTTTGTTATATATTACTATGTAAAATAAAAATGATATTGATATATTTTTATTATATCTTGTATTATTTTATATTTTATTCTCAGAATTATTTCTAAATGTCTTTCTTAAATTTATTTTTAAGATTAATATATATGAACTTAGATTAAAATTTTAATCTTTAATCTAAAAAGCTTATTATGGAACTATAAATTAATTTCTTATGGAAACTTATTTTCCTTAATAATCCTTATAAATAATATAATTTATTATTCTTCAAAGATATATCTTATGTAAATTTTTTAATATTGAATTATATGAATCATTCTTAGTCTAAAAATGAAAATACTTCAATTTATTATCTACATTCTTTACTATTTTCTTTATTGATTATAGATTCAATTGGTTTTTTAAATGTCTTTCAAAATTATCAATATAATTTAATTTACTATATTATTTGATTATTTCTTTGATCAATATATTCTAATTCAAATTAAATTATAAAAATGGATAGTGCAAGAAAAAATGCATCTAAAAGGGCTGCTTTAGTTTAAAAATTAGATATGCTTGATAAGTCAATTTTACATAATAGTTATCATCAAGATCTTTAAAAGACATATTTAAAAAAGAGCACTGAAAAGGAATAAAAAGGAATATAAATAGAATTAGTTTAAGAACAGGATGAATTGAGTATAGTTTAGAGAAGAGTGAATTAATTAATAAATTTGAGTAGATAACTTGATGATCAGATTCAGAAGAATGATTTATTACAATAATAAAAAATAATGGAGGATATGAATTAAGTTTTGAATAATTAACTTGATCATTTTATTAATCAATAAGCAGATAGAAATTAAATATTAAATAGATTATAAAGTGATTTTAATGCAAATCACTAGAGTATGTAAATATTGGAGGGAGAATATTTGATTACAGAATTCAAAAAAATAAATTAGATGGATTAATAAATTTATCAATAATAATCTTAAGAATATGGAGATCTGTATGAAATATAATATTAAATGTAAGAAGAAATGAAAATAATAAATGGAGAACTTGAGAAATATTAAAAGTTGAATTAAACAAATAATTTATAAAATTATGTACTTTAAGGTTAAGCTAAAAATAAATAGTTTAGTTTGTAATTGATTTAGGAATAATATTATTGTCAAAAAAAAAAAATTAGATCATTTTGTATATTTTATAATAAAACAAATGAATATGATTAAACATATCAACCATATTTTAAAATAAAGAATCAAAAATAACTTACTTTTGAAGGTAATGATCAATTAAATAATGAAAATACTTCTATTAATTTATGGTCAAGTTCAAAATAAAAAGTTAAAAAGATTAATCCATATCGTTGTCAATTTTATAAATTTGATTAAATATTTTCAAGAAAAGAGAATACAAGATTGAATTAATATGAATAACTATTTAATTAATTAGAATTATTCATTAAAGGAACACTCTATAAATAAATAGATTTAATTTTAAAGAGTTATGCTTTTAATAGTCAAGAATATCATTTAATATATAATTAAGATTTAAATGAAAATGTAGAAAAACTAAGAAAATTATGTGAAAAAGAAAAGGCAGATACTAGTAATGTAAGAATTTATTCTATTATAAGAAATTAATTGTATTACTTTGTGATAAAAATAGAGGGTTAGTAGTAAATTTAGTAAGTGATATAGTTAAAATACTTTCTCATTTTAATAATTAATTGATTGAAGTGAATAATTTAATATTAACACTTACAAAATTTTAGATAAAAGATTAATTTAGTGAAGATATTTTAGAATGTAATGCTTAAAATATAGAAATGATGCTTGATTGTTTAAGAAGTAAAGAAATATTTAAAACTGGTCAATTTCACTTAAAAATTGAAATCAATTTAAATAATAATATCAAAAGAGTATTGCACATTTTGATGTTAGCTCCACTTTTGATAGAGAATAATGAATTATTTTGTAAATAATTTAAGAACATATTTAAAAGAGAAAAAGCATTTAAAGAATAAATAGGTTCTAGAATTGAAGGCATTGTTAAAGTAAAATATATAGTAATTATTAGAACATTGACAAAATTATTATAATAACATAAATACCAGAAATGATTCGTTCTAAAGATAATTCAGTAAAAAAGATTTCTATAGTATAAAATATAATCAATTTTTAATCATTGCTAGTACTTAAACAAGAAAATTGAATTTATATTCATTTTACTTATATTTTTTGTATATTCTAACTATTAATTGATAATATTTTAGAATAGATTTATTCATAAATTATACTAATACTTAAATTTAATATAAATTAAATAAAATGACAGTTTCTTTTATTTTATTATTTATATCATAAAAAAATCTTAGTTTTTGAATATAATAGTCATTTAGTCTATAAAATATAATAAAATATAGAGAGAATATTTGTGATATTGATTTTTTTTTATTTTATATTGAATTTAATATATTTTCTAATAATAATTATCTTCTTAAATCTCTATAAAACAACAATCAAACAGCAATAGTTAATAAAAAATAAATAACAAATTTTTGTTGTATAATTCAAATATGCCGAAATCAATGATTTTAATGATCATGCTCCTATTACACCTTTTATCCATATTAATAAAAGGCTTCAGATTTACTGCCATCAGGATTTGTTTCTTCACCTTAACCATGAGGCATTCCAAAATCGGTTTCTCCCTTATAAATTACTCCATTAGCAAAGTATCGTTGTCCATATTTTGATGTCCCAATCTAAAATGATAAATGAATTTTACATAAAAATCTCCATTTGGATAAAGAATACCTCCTTCTTAAAGGATATTTGATTTCCATAAACCCTTAAGATATGTTCCATCAGGTTTTAACATTTATCCATATCCATTTACTTCTCCTTTGTTCCATTATCCATTATAAACACTACCATCTGGTCCTAAGTAAGGAGGTAGGATGCGATCTTCATTTGTTGGTTTATAGTTGACTTTTTCTTTAAAAATTTTAGGTAATTATGGCTCCTCGAATTTTTCTTTATATTCATTCCATTCTTTAGGTTTGTCTTATTCCAGTTCTTCCTTTTTTTTCTATAACTCTAATTTAGCTTTTTTCCCTCTTAATCCAGTTTAAATTTTAACAGCAGCCTCATTTTCATCTTTTTGGTATTCATTTAAGGGTTAATCTATAAGAGGTTTAATGTCTTCAGGCTTTGCTTCCTATTGTTCAGCTCCTCCTGGCAAAGGGTCAGATGTGCAGATACCCATATATAATAATTATAGATATAATTTATAAAATAAAATCCAATAAATTATTAATTTATTTATCAAAGAATAAATGTCAGAAAGAACACTTGATTTTATTGATTAAAGAAATTAAGTCAGAAAGTTAGTAACTTGGCCATGGAATTTTGTATTTGGTTTATAGAGTTTCTAAACAGTCCAACATATTTATAATTTTACTGCCAGAACAATATTTGCAGCATCAAGTTTAATTCCATTTTTAAGTATTTTTTAACATTATCTATTATAGCTACCTATAATACCCATTAATTTGCATATGCTGAAAATTCTGTGCGTTTAACAAGATATAGAAATTATCACGATGACATTATCTGATATTATTCAAAAACATTAAACCAAAACCATTATCATAATTGTAATTATTATAGTATTCTATATTTATTCAATAAATGTTTTTTATAATTACTATTTCATTTAAAGCATAATAAAATGAAATAATATTAATATTATATTTTTATTGTTTTATGATCATTTTACATTACATGAATATATAATATATTCATTAATAATAAAAATAACTATCTATATTTATTTAAATTTAGTTCATGGACAATATGCTATACTTATAGATAAAAAAGTTAATATAATATTAATCTTGATTAAAATTATAATTAAAAATTTATTTCAAAAATTCAATTTTTACAATGGAAGCTTTATAACAGATATTAAAAACTCAAGGAACTAATGTAACAACTATAGATCTAGAATTCAAGTATCATTTTATATCTATCTTAATAGATCAATAGAAAATTTAGAAGAATTATTACCATAATTAGCAAATTTTAGTAATTTAAAAAAAGTAATTTCTGATTGAAATAAATAGCTTAATTTACATGGAAATCGTTTAGTTTATTTACCTGATGATTTAAGTTTGTTAGACACTGTTGAAGTATTTGATATCTCTAATAATATTTTTTCTGATGTAAATACCTAATATTGAATTATATTAGTTAGGTCAAGTTGTGGATGCTTTATCAACAATGCCTAATTTAATTCATCTTGAAATTACCATATAATCAAAAGAAGAAGAGTAATTTATTTTAGAATGTTTATCTAATCTTTAAATTTTGAATTCTCAAAAAGTGAATGGAAAATTGGAAGGTGCTGATGAAACATAAGAATAATAAAGTGAGTAATAATCTGAGAGATCCATAAGTGCAGTTTAAGATATTACACTTTAATAATATGATCTTGAATAGATGGCTGTATTTTGATAATGAATATTTTTAGATATTATATGATAGTATAAGAGAATATAAGAAAGAAGATTAAGAAGATAAACAATTTGATTAATAAATAAGAACAATTATGCTTGATCTATAATCAAAACTAAAATAAAATAATCCTGATCATTTAACTAATCTTTATATATTAACAGTAATACTTAATTTAAATATTAGGCAAAATTCAATTTATATGAAATTTGTTTTAAATCAATAATTAAACATTTCAAAGTTAATGATAAACATTTAGATGTAATAATTACTAAAATTCATGCTATGCATTTATAAATTTTTAATGACATGTCTAATGTGATATTAAATATCAAACCATAATCTAAAAACACATCTTAAATTATTGAAAATAATAAATAAGTAAATCAATCATAATAAGGTGATAAAACAGTTGAAAATAGATTAAGATAAGAGTTATCTGAACTTTAATAATAAAATACAGAATTAGAAAAAGAAAATAAAAGATATTTAGATTTACTAATTAAACATTCAAAAGGTGATAGATCATCATTACCTAATTCAGAACATGCAATCAAATAATAAAATGACTCATATCAATCTTAAAATTATACAAAAAATCATCAATAATAAAATAATGCTATTTTTTAATCAAAATAATCTTAAAATCTAAATTCATTACCTTAATAAATTAATGTTAGACATTTAACATTAAAATAACTAAAAGATGTTATTAATGAAATATATGAAAGTAAACAAAAATTTGATTAGAAATGTACTGAATCTAAATTACCCAGAGAAACTATGGAATAACATATGTATACTTTTTTAAATTAGAAATATGGACTTAAAAGTCTTATAATTGAATGGGCTACATCAATAATTAATGCACTTAAAAAGTATTCAGCAGAAGATAATGATGTGGCTGTATTTGGTAAAATATTAAGAAATGAATGTGATGAAGAGTTTCGTTTTGTTTAGACTTAAGTCAAAAATACTATGTAAGAATTATTAAAAGTATTTCAATTTTATTATCTAAAAAGATGTATTTAAGAGGCAAATTTCCATTAAAACATTAAGCAGAAATCAAAGAAATGCTTAATCAAAGGATAAATGGATAACTTTATGAAGAAGAAGCTGTAGATATTATTAAATATATGTACAACTAAGAAGATTCTGAATTACTATTAAACAAATTAAAATCATACTATATTGTACCCCATAAAAATCCAGATAGAAGGTTGACTAGGGAAGAACAATTATCTTTACTTTAAGAAAAAGATAAATATAAATTAGAATATTCAGTCTTTCAGAAAATAATATTAGATTTCTAATTAAAATCCCATGAAAAATATTTAAAGAAATTTATTATAACTTTTAAATAAATGGATACAGATGCTAATGGAATCATTGATGAAGTAATTAATATATTATTAAATAATTAGAATGAATTTCGAAACTTAATTGATGTTTTAAATTTTGGAGCTGGAGATCTTGAAATCGAAAAATATTTGAACATCATCGATCCTTATAGTCATTAATAAATAACATTTTCATAATGTGTGACTCTTTTTTCTTCAGAATCTGTACCTGGTTCTAATGGATAAATCTAAATACTATAAAAGATATCAGAATAATGATTTTATCAAACTATTAAATTAATAAGATTTATTAATCTAAATTGTATTTTTTCTTTAATCCTTTAAATTTAATATACTTATCAAAATATGATTATTCTAATTATAATCATTAATCTCTAATAATATAAAAATTATGTTGAAATTTAAAAATACTGTATAAAGTATTAATTAATTAGAGAATTTACTTTGATTTAGATACTCATAAATATGATATTTTGATTTTAAGGCTAACACTTTATATAGTTGTCTATATGTTTTGCTTTTTAAACATCAAAGCTGAATATTACATTAATTTTTTTAGTTGCAATTTAATTATTGTCGCAATTAATATATTTCAATAATTGACATATAATAATATGTTGTTAATCTAAGATGGATCAATTCAATTGATCAGTCTATTATTAAATGTATAGCATAACTTATCTTAAAGGGCACTTTGTAAAAAAAAGAAATATTTCTATTTATTATTCAAATATTTAATTTGATTTCCAGAAAATTGTATTATTCATTGGAATGATTAATAAATGCATAAGAATGTTAATATTCTCTTTGATTTTAAAATTGTTTGTCTTAAGCATTTATATTAAAATTAATTTTCTGGAAACATTTTAACAAATTATTACTTATTTTTTTTAGTTTTTGTGTTTATGTTTTAGTATAATGTTTATATGTATGTATATTGAATTATCATATATTTATAGTAGAAGCATTACCAGAAATTAAAATGTCTATATTACATTAATTTAAATTTTATTTAAATGAAAATATAGATTGTAATTTAGTTAGATAAATTTAAAAATTGATATTTTTTATAAAATTTATTATGTTAACCAGTGAATAGTTTTGCTTGATATTCTATAAAAATTTTCAATAATTCTTAATAATTTAGATTTTTTAATGTAAATCTGATCCAATAAAAATTATTATAAAACTCAATATAGTAAAATATCATCAAAGATAATTAAATTATAATTCATTGATGGGTAATTCATAATAATCACCTAAATATAGAAATTAAAACAAGTATCTAGTTGGTATTCATTTATAATTATCATCAGATATCTTGCCTTAAAAATAACTAATAGAGGACACTCTTAATGAAAGCTCTATTTTCATAGATGAAGAAAAACGATCTCCTGATATTGAAGAACTTAATCTTACTACAAGAGGCCAAACAAGGAAGACATCTGAAATACTGGAATTGGATTAAGGAAAAACTAGAAGTAAGATAATTCAAACTAATATCCTAAAGGAATTAATATAAATTTATATGAGAAAGAATTGCCATAAACTTGTGAACTATTGAATTAAATACCTTTGATTAAAGGAGAAAAGGCAAGATAGTTATTAAGTTCATATGAATCTCCGTCTGGTCACAAAGCATAAGCATTAGGCAGTTAACCAATAATTTAATTTCTTAAGGGCAATGAAAGACTTACTTATTAAGGCTAATGGTTAAGATAATAAAGAGATGGATTTGGATTGTGTTTTTATTAAAATGGATCAATATTTGTGGGAAGTTGGATTAATGATCTAAAGGATGGTCATGGAAGAATGATTTATTAGAATAATGATAATTACACTGGATATTGGATGTAAGGAAAGTATCATGGATTTGGAACTTTTATTAGTTCTGAATTATTTTATGAAGGAAATTGGGAAAACGGAGAAAAAGTATTTTTAGTATTTTAACATAGGATGGTTAAGGTTTAGAGATTAGAGTGAATAAATCTAAATATTAAGGGATGTTTAAAAAGGGGAAGAAAAATGGATTTGGAATAATCAAATATATTGATAATTAATTATATAAAGGGGAATTTGTAGATGGATAATATGAAGGATAAGGAGAATATCATTGGAATGATGGGAGTTATTATATTGGAGAATGGAAATGTAATAAGATGGATGGAATAGGAACATTTACTAATAAAACCAATGATGTTTATAAAGGTATAATCTTGTATCTATATAATAGGATCTTTTGTGGATGATAAAAAAAATGGAATAGGGATGTATAAATGGAGTAATGGAACAATCTTAAAAGGAATATGGATTAATGGATAATTAGAAGGCTAAGCAACAATAACTAAGCCAACTGGTGAATCTATTATTATAAATTATAAAAATGGATAAAAGGTTGCATGATTTTAATGATTATATGTAATTTTCCTTATTATAATATAAACTTAAAAACAAATATATAAGACATAATTGATATTATTTTAATTTCCTTGTATATTTTGTTTATTCTAAGTTTTTTTATTTTTATTTTGATACTATCTTCACAGAAATAGACCAATAAAGAAATAAAAAAATCATAAAGTGTAGTTAATGCTATGTATCATTATATAAACAAAGCAATAAAATGATTAGGAGATAAATACTGCAAATTACTATTTAAAGGAAGTATAAATTATTAATGAAAATAGTTTATTTTTCAATATTTCAAAGATTAAATGAATAGAAGACATAGATTCGATCCTATATGTATTAAATATTGTTATTATTAGATTAACATTCTGTAATCTTAAAAAATGGGTAGGGCAATATCAATATCAAAATAAATCTAAAAATTTTGACCTTAAATGATGATGTTTTTTGACAATAAAAGAATCTAAATTTGTAATGGCAATATCATTCAATTATTCAAACACTCTTTATCTATATTATTATTAATGATTCAAATAGTAACTTAAAATTCTATCATTTAATATATTTTATTAATAGTTTTATTTTAATATATTTTATATTAAATAATGATAAAAATTGTTTAGAGAAATATTAAATAATAATAATAAATGTATTTCTGAATGTAATTTCGATTGTCTTATGATTCAATAAAGTTTAGTCACATATTACAATTTTTTGAGTATATGATAATATTAATAATAATATGAGGGTGAGTATAGTTTTTGATTAATTTTATGATAACTCAAAAATTATATAAAGAACATATTAAAATAGATATATTATTGAATATTTATGCTTATAATTAAAGATTTCAAATATGATATGAGTAAAATCATAAACACATAAATCCAAATAAAAATTGAAACATTAAATCAATTCAATCCATTGTTATTTGGTACATAGGTAACACCTCCAAAGTCTTATTTGAACTTTTCTATCAGTTTTGGATCCATTTTTACTACAGAATTCATTGCCTCTAAATAATATATAATAATATTAAAAATACCTTCTCTAGTGAATTCCTAATCAAAATTTTGTACATCTAATTTATCATATAATTTAGGAACAATAGGAGCTTAAAGTTTCTTATCAATCAAATCTTGGAAAGGATAATCTCTAAACCAAGGATGTTCTTTGATTTATTAAGCATCTCGATTATGTCCTAATCTTTCAAAAGGATTTTTAGTTAATAACTATATAAAATAATTATTCTACTTAAATTATAAGATCCTTGAGTTAATTGCTAAGAGCCAATTGAGATGGAAATACAACATCTGATTCAACAATAGATTTAAATAATTATGATTAGTTTTATGAGAAAAAAGGTGGTCTACCTATTACCATTTCATAAATTAATATTCCAAATGACCACCAATCGACATCAAGACCATGTCCATTTTATCTAATGATTTCAGGAGCCAAATATTCAGGAGTTCCAACAAATGAATATGTAAAATCTCCTGGTTTTAAAAATTTAGCCAATCCATAATCAGTCATTTTAATATAACCAAATTCATCCATTAAAATATTTTCAGGCTTTAAATCTCTGTAGACAACTTACATTTTATGTAAATAATCTAATGCTAATAAAATAGATGCAGCATAAAATTAAGCTGTTGTTTCTGGGAATCTTCTTTTATCTCTTAAATGTTTAAATAATTCTCCTCCTCTCATGAATCTCATTACAAAAAACAATTTTTCTTGTGTTTAAAATGCATATTCAAGAGAAATTAAGAATGGATTATCAATTTCTTCTAATAATTTTCTTTCTGCTCTAGTATGTTCTAATTAATTCTTGTCCATAATGTGTTCTTTACGTAAAGATTTAATGGCAAACAATTCTTTGGTATCTTTCTTCTCACACATCATAACCTAGATGAGAATAGGGTACAAATAGATATACTTTTCCAAATGCCCCTCTTCCCAATACTTTAATTAGATCAAAATCCTCAATTGAAATTGTAGTGCTACTACTATTAATTTATTTCTAAAGACCAGGCCTTTTATAAACTAATTATTCTTATGGTTTTCTATTGCTATATTCTTTCAACTCTTATGCATCTAATTCCTAAATTATTAGATATAAGAATATACAATAGGTTTTTCAGTTGGAAATCTTTTAATTCCTTTTTTAACATCATTCTCAGTTGTACATACAGATAAAAGTGTAAAATCTTCTTTAAAAAAGAATGGAAGTTTTCTTAAATTTACTGTCTAATAACATAAACATAAAGTTTCCAAGATTTGTTGACAACTAAAAATTAAAAGAGTTATTACTAATCAGCAGATTAGAATCTATAATCATATTCACTTGGAACATGAATTACAAATTCTGCTCCAAGACTTGTAACACTTACTGCTTGAATAGTTGAAAACTTGATTTTTCTTTTGATCTGATTTGACATAATTTTACCTATTAGAATAATATATATAAATTAAAATTACCAAAAATTTGCATAATTCTACTATCAGACTTTGGAATAATGTTATATACATATTTATTGGTTATTAAGAATATCCTTTCTTATTTCTTTTAATTCTAATTAACTTTTATGATCAAAGTAGACAACATAATTTTTTCTATTATTTTTGATTATAGTTATAATACCTCCATTCTCAAATTACTCCAAAATTTCTTTATTATTGATGATTTAAGCTTTATCAGAAAATCCACTTACACTCATAGATGATTAATTCATAATATTTTAATTATATATTGTTTATTTATTTATATATTCCATAACGTCATTTATTAACACGCATACTTTAAATGAATTTCTCTTTTGCTTGATCTTATGTAGCTGGATTGTTCCTACTATAATCACTATCCAACTATTTCTCTATCTTTTTATAAGGTCTTGTCATCTACTCATAATCCTCTATAATGAATAAAGCTTAATTTAATTCATAGCATGGTAGTACAGCATTAACTATTCCAACAACAACTCCAATTATTGCAAATGAAGAAACATCTTTCCCTTTAGTAAAAGTATATTAAAACCAGAAATTAGAAAACTAAATTAAAAAAGATATCTTACACAATAAATAGGTATCATATATTCTAATACTTCTGTCATTTCTATTGATAGATTGAAACTCAAAGATTATTTAAATGTTCTTCTTCTCAGAAACTAATATTTATATACCCAATATAATATTGTTAATGCTATAATTGAAAATAATATACCTAAAGGTATAATACTTGCATAAAATGAAGTCATTAACATTGTTTTTATTATACCAGCATAACGATCAGATAATGTTTCTTCATTGTTTTCAAATAATCTATTAAATACAAATTTGAATCTACTTATGCAATTATTCTTAAGTACAAACAGAGTATTTTCCCTTTTATTCTTCTTAATATCTCTAATATACTTTAAGCCAATATGATGGATCAAGAATAGCAGTTATTGCAGGTATTATCATATTGGAAATGAAAACATATGTCTAATTATAAATTAAACCACCATCTTTATAATAATTTTCATCAAAAAGAAGTGTAAATACTAACCATGTTACTAAAGCACTATTTACAAATTAAGCAATTCCAGCTGAAGTAGCAATTGAAATATGATGACCAGTATTAGTTGAAAATCCTTGGAATGCTGCTATCTTCTTAATACTATAAGACAATAAGTAATTAATAAATATGATGATCACTGAAGCAAGAGATGCTAACTTCTTTAAAAGTAGATTCTCTTTCTCTAACAATTCTTATTGTAATTTAGAAATGTTGAAAATAGCCCAACTTGTAAAACATAATTATATACCAATTAAGATTACGCTCAAAACTCTATTAAATATCTTTTTATTATTTCCAATATGTAAATTTTGCCAACTTATATCATTTGGTTCAGGAGCTTCATCCACAACTATATTTTAATCATCCAAATATATTTTTGTCTATTCTCCAAAATATCTACCCCAAACAGTTGTTCTATTCAAATTAATAAAAGCTTCTTAATCTGCTTCCCATTAAAAGGTCATAAATGCAATTCCTACAAATTCCTTTTATTCACTATTTGGATCAAGGAATTAATCAAAATACAACTTCACTTATTATTTAGCTGACTCTAAATTCTTCTCAATTTCATTAAGTTCATTATCTACATATACTCCATCCACTTTCTGCAATAGTCCATCTTCTGGACTATAGTTTTCATACATTTTTTGTAAATACTTTTACTTCTCTTTAACAAATGATTCTTTTTTACCATTCAACTCTTCATATTTAGAAATATCATAACAAAGTGTTATTGAATGGATTCTAGGAGGAATCTTATATTCCTTTTTAACATTCTTTCTCTTCATCTTCTACTCCATATATTTTAATACTTTTGGATCATAAGGTACATCTAATTGAATATGTCAAAATAATTACATTTTTCCAAAAATTCATTAAGTACTTTAGTAAGTCTATCTTTGATCTAACCAGCATTCTCTACAGGAATGTGACTTAACTTAACTCCAAAATCTGAAGGTGTGGTTGTATGAAAATCACAATCTCTAAGGATTGTTCTCTATTAAATTCTTATGTATTGAAGTAAAATTATTATTATAAAGATCGAGACTAAATTTAACATCTATTGTAGATTCATTAATGAAGAATCTAAACGTTTATTTGCCAATGATGATTATGTGATATAATTTAAGTCACAATTATCACTTGTATTTGTATCATCTAAATCCTTTTGACAACTTGTTCCAAAAGCAATGTTAGTTATTAAATTATAATCTCCAGAAGTACAAAACATTATGATCAAAATTGTAATGCATTATTTTATGAAATCAAAAAATAATGGTACTCCTGTTCCAAGAAAGGATAATTTCAATGGGTTTACTTTCATTGACATTGTAGTTTTCTCTGTCCATTTTAAACAACATGGACAACGTGCTTCTTATAAATTAGCTATTTCTTCTTATGAAATGTTTTTGCCAACTGCACTAGCTTTCTCATATTCAATTGATTGTATACTTAATGCAGACGCGCTATATCAAAGTCTGGAGGTATGCAATCAGGATCAAAGGCTATTTGATCATCTCTAATTTACTTTCCTGCCATAATAGTTCTCAATAAGAAATCATAACTCATTATTGCTAATGTAAATTGATTAATATAATATATAATTGAGCAGAAAATCAAAATAAATCATATACTTTATGTATATTTTACAATTAATAATCATATTCAAATTTCGAGATCTGTCAAATTAATTATAACTTCTTATTGTTATGATTGAAGTTGTTTTATTTCAAACATGTCTTATTTTACACTTTTATGTTGATTCTTTTTATGTCTAGATAAACTTGAAGGATGATTAAACTTCTTATTACATTTTGAACAACAAAAATACTTATAACCATTACTTCTCTCTTTATTTCTTTATTTTTTATTTGTTTTCTATTAAATATAATTGTCTAATTCAGGAAATTCAATTAATGAATTGTAATTCTACTCTTCTTTTATAAGATCATCACTTTCTTGATTCAATAATATTTAAGCTTTTAATTATTCTATATGTTCATCTATTCTTTCAAGATTCAAATTCTACAAATCAACTATTTTCAAAAATTCCTTCAAAAATATTGCCGAAGCTAATTAAAATTATTCCATTTAATATTGTTTTGTATATTTCAAAATGAACCCATAAGTTACAAATTAAAACAATCCCAAATATTTATTAATATTTAAACATTTTATTTTCTGTCCATTCAGCTTTTAAATTTATTATTGCTGAGATCCAATCCCTTTTATTATCCATTTATCATTCAATACATATTTTATACTCCTAAATACATCAAATTTAATTAATTAATTCCTAAAGACTAATATTAATCATAATATTTTATTTTCTAATTTAATTAGTCATTCATATTTATATACATTAAAGACTTTTATATCTATTAAATTAAGAATTAATTAAATTATAAATTGTTTAATTTATTTGGTTAATTTGTTTTTCTTGTCAATTTTTAGATAATGTAGATAATTTAATTAAATCAATAGTGTTTCTCTTAATTGTGTTGTATTCATATATTTTTCAATATCATTTTATAAAATTAAAATTGGATTTTTGTGTGATTATATTTATATCAAATATAAGTAGTCTTCTAATGTACTATGATATCAAATAAAATAAAAATAATTCATTAAGTATATAAAAAGGAAATTAAAATTTAAATACCAATAAAAAATATTTTATTNCTAATGTAAATTGATTAATATAATATATAATTGAGCAGAAAATCAAAATAAATCATATACTTTATGTATATTTTACAATTAATAATCATATTCAAATTTCGAGATCTGTCAAATTAATTATAACTTCTTATTGTTATGATTGAAGTTGTTTTATTTCAAACATGTCTTATTTTACACTTTTATGTTGATTCTTTTTATGTCTAGATAAACTTGAAGGATGATTAAACTTCTTATTACATTTTGAACAACAAAAATACTTATAACCATTACTTCTCTCTTTATTTCTTTATTTTTTATTTGTTTTCTATTAAATATAATTGTCTAATTCAGGAAATTCAATTAATGAATTGTAATTCTACTCTTCTTTTATAAGATCATCACTTTCTTGATTCAATAATATTTAAGCTTTTAATTATTCTATATGTTCATCTATTCTTTCAAGATTCAAATTCTACAAATCAACTATTTTCAAAAATTCCTTCAAAAATATTGCCGAAGCTAATTAAAATTATTCCATTTAATATTGTTTTGTATATTTCAAAATGAACCCATAAGTTACAAATTAAAACAATCCCAAATATTTATTAATATTTAAACATTTTATTTTCTGTCCATTCAGCTTTTAAATTTATTATTGCTGAGATCCAATCCCTTTTATTATCCATTTATCATTCAATACATATTTTATACTCCTAAATACATCAAATTTAATTAATTAATTCCTAAAGACTAATATTAATCATAATATTTTATTTTCTAATTTAATTAGTCATTCATATTTATATACATTAAAGACTTTTATATCTATTAAATTAAGAATTAATTAAATTATAAATTGTTTAATTTATTTGGTTAATTTGTTTTTCTTGTCAATTTTTAGATAATGTAGATAATTTAATTAAATCAATAGTGTTTCTCTTAATTGTGTTGTATTCATATATTTTTCAATATCATTTTATAAAATTAAAATTGGATTTTTGTGTGATTATATTTATATCAAATATAAGTAGTCTTCTAATGTACTATGATATCAAATAAAATAAAAATAATTCATTAAGTATATAAAAAGGAAATTAAAATTTAAATACCAATAAAAAATATTTTATTAAAGATTACATTTGAGAAAGAGATGATCAAATTAATTTGAATTTATTTTATCAACAAAAAATGAGTTTTTACTAATATTTATTTTCTTAACTAAAAATTTTGATAAGATTATTTAAAAAATAGGACTTAACTCTGTTAGATACTAAATTATGATTGATTTCTAATTAAAAAAGTGATGAATTTTATGATTCTTAATTTTAATTTTTATAAAATAACCAAATTTGAAAAACCATTAAGTACTTTTCAAATTAACTATGCCTTAAAATCCTTGTTTTCTTATTTTATTTTTCGAATTTATGATTCTTAAAATTTCTCTTATTTTTTAGCTCTCTCTAATATTTCCATATCAGGTTAAAATCCTTAGAATAAGTAATCACTTTTATTTAAATCACTCTTTTCTAATAAATTAGTAGTGGCTCGAAACAATTAAATTAAGTCTTCATCCTATTTATCCTATTCATTTAGATTTAAAACTGACAATGTTAATCTATCAGGTATACTAATTTAAATTATAATATTATAAATACTCTTAGAAATTACTTTTATCTTAATTTACAAATGGATATACTAAATCTCTAGTTGTTTTGAGAGATCTTAGATTTGTGATATATTCTTTCTCAATCTTAATAAAATTATTAATTAATCCTATAAAATAAAAGTACATACTTACTTCTTGTCATTTCCAAAAATCCAATAATAAATATAAATACCTCTTTATTGGATATATTGAGATATAAATACATATTTGGAGATACTGTTAATATCCAAGTTAACCTTAAAAAAAAATTAGAAATCCCAATAAAGTAATAAATACATGGATGATTGTAACCTAAATCATTTCTTAAAAATCTAACATTTGATCCTTCTTCAAAAAACAACCAATCTTTCTTTAAATCCCACCAATACTAAAATAAAGAGCAAAATGCAGCAAATGGTATCCAAATTATTCTAAATAAATAATGTTTATTAGCTAAAAAGGAAAGAACTGCTACCCATGTTGCTAATAGTGTCTTAAAGAAATTCCACATTTCATCTGTATGCCAAAACTTTCCCTTGTCTCTTGCTCTAGTTAAGTAATGAATAGTTTTCATTGAGAATGGTATAATTGCTATCAAAGCTCCAGTTAATCTATTAGATGAGAAGCATTAGTTATCAGGAATCTCTCCAGTTTACCACTAATTATTAAAATTATTTTTACTATTGTTTTATAATAGCAGATTGTGTAATCAAGATCCCTTAATGGTATAGCCATCGATATAAATTGATCCAAACAGAATGTAAATCTAGATTCATATTTAATGAAATGTCCATATACAGCTCCAGCCAAAATTTTGTATAACCAAACTCTGCCTGGTCCATTTAGAATAGTGGTAAATGGGAAAAATATATAAAGTAATAAAAGACACCATAAGACAAGGGGAATATATTTAGTATATGAATCCCTATATTAAAATGGTTCTATATTTTCAGCTTAGAGACTATAGAAAACAAAGGATAATAAAAACATTGTTGAGAAATAGCTCACACGTTTAAATACTTCTACTACAGTAGAGAAGTGATGATTGAATCCTAAATATATTTTATAATTTATTCGGAAGTGAGTCCAACCCCATAAATCTAATGCTAAGTACCAATAATATATTATAAATAAAGCTAATCCTCTAAAACATGGAAACATCTTTTAAAAGATACTGTGTTAATTTTAATCATTATCAGGATCAATATATCCTTCAATTCTTAATAAAAATATAAATGTTAATAATACTAAAGCAAAGCCTATGAATAAACCAAATTTAAACAAAATTTCACCCTTAACAGTTTTTTTCTACTGATACTTTCTAAGATTATATCTCCCTTTTTTAGGATTAAGGGCATAAAAATTATTAAGTAATAATCTTTCAGTTACATTTAATAATTGAGAACATTTATCTGGAACTTTCTTAAGAATTAAAATTTCATTCATAACTTCACTAAGAACAAGGCTTTCAAATTATTTATCTCTAAATTATGCTATTGACCATTTTTTATATTTTTTTAATATTTTAATCAACCCTTAATGATTACTAGTTACAAAGCTTTTATATTGTAAAATTTCAATATAGAATTGATAAATAGTTTATTTAAGAATATATTATTTTTCTTTGAAATTGTCCATTTGTTTTTTATAATCGCTATCATCACCCATATATTATTTCAATTTTATAAACTCTAGTTATTTCTTCATAAGTTTGATCTACTCTTATACTTTAGTGTTTTTCTTTTGGATATCCTAATATTTCCAGATGATAAAAGACTAAATCTTAATTAAATCTTCTTTTATGGTAACACAAAAGCCTTGAAGATCTGATTTAATTTTAGATTAAACTAGTTCATTTTCTAACAAAATCTATTTCTCTTATTTATATTATTTTTTTTTTGTCTTGTATTTGCTTTTCAATAATTTAAATTTTTTCTTTATGTAAACTGAACTAGACAATTAAGTTTTTAATAATTTGTAGTTTAAGTATAACTTAATCCATTCAGGTATCATTTCATTCAAAAATAATTTTGCAAACTTCATTTTTATGTGAAACTAATTAAATAATATAATTAATAGAAATATTATTACATATCATAAATGCATTGAATAATTTATTTATTGAGTCCTAAAATAATTCATCTATGAGTGAAGACTGGAAGAAAAAAAAAATAGATAATTTTGTCATTTTAAATAAAATCTTAGGCAAAGGTACTTATGGAACAGTCTATCTGGGATATATGGATACTGGATAGAATTAAGTGAGAATAGCTGTCAAAACAGTCCCTATGGATGTAAATTAATTAATTATTACAAGTCGGTGAAACAATCTCCATAAATATTAAATCTAATAAAAAGAGAATCAACCATTCTGAAGGCTGTTGAACATCCTAATATTGTTCGACTCTATAATGCAAATCGAACATTAAATTATATATATATCTTTTTGGAATTCTGTCCTGATGGAGATTTGAGAAAGTTTATGTAAAACAAGAAAGAGAAACACTTATCTGAAGTTTCTTTTATTATAATTCTTTTTAGTTGGAGGCCATTATATTCTTAAAGCATATTGTTGAAGGATTCAAAGAATTGTTTCAAAAGAAAATCATTCATAGAGATATCAAACCTGAGAATATACTTCTATCTAATGGAATAGCTAAAATTGCTGATTTTGGATTTGCTAGAGTAATGGAGGTTGAAATGGATGGTATTAAAATATTTAATTATTTATTAAGAACCGGGAAAGTTTTCCAGAAATGGAACTCCAATATATATGTCACCATAAATATTAAGAGGATAACCATTTTCAGCTAAATGTGATGTTTGGTCTTTGGGTATTGTATTCTATGAGATGTTGTATGGAAGAACACCTTGGCAAGCTGAAAGTTAGATTTAATTAGAATAATTGATTTTAAATAAACCTCTTAAATTTCCTACAAAACCTGTTAGAAGTTAAAAAGTAAAAGAATTAGTTGCAATGATGCTTTAAGTTGAAGAGAAAGTAATATAATTATAATTAAATATTAGGATAGATTAAATTGGCAATAAATATTTGAAAATTAAGTTATGAAAATGAATGAAGATATGGTTAGATAGAATATGAATGAAATTATGAAAGAAGATCCTATGACTAAATCAATGAGTTTAAATAAAATTTATTTGGATTAATATAAAGTTGTTGGATATTTACATACTAAAATTGAAGATTATAGAGAGGATAGTAAAAATGATTTGGATGGACTTAAATAAATGTTTGATGAAGAAAATGTAATTTACTAATCTTAATTATTATAGCCAGATTTAATATTATCATAATATTAAAAGGAAATGAAAAGAAGAGAATCCTTCTAGAAATTTTATACTTATTATCTTTATGAAAGGAATGTTGCCTTTTTTATTAATTATACTTAATTAAGAATTATTAAACTTTAAACTTTTGGAGATATTACACTTGCCAAAGAATAATTTTTATAATTAATTTTTATGTTGGCCAGAAATTAATTATTACATTTAGACAAAATCAATTCTGCTTTGAATTCAAATAAACATGATTAATTTGATCAGGAATTATGGGGGAGATTTATAGTCAGTAAGGTAAAACTTAATAATAATTTTAGGATTGTTCAAGATTACTTACAACAATTAAGAATGACATACTTATAATTAAAGAGGTGTTTATCTAAGTAAGAGAAAAATGTCCTTAATTTTAACAATTCTTTGAAAAAATTGAAAATGTTAAAGATTTTCTTGGATAATATAAACAAATAATATCTAAAGCAATTGAAACTCTAAAAACTGCCTCTATAACTTCTTTAGGAAAGGATATTTATTCTGGAATATATTATCTGAAAATCTGCTTAAATCCCTATGATTTTTTCAAATAAGTTGACTTTGATTTTAATGCATTTTATGAAGAAACAGAAAATGCTTCTTTAGATGAATTATTAAATCTTATTTGAGAATTATTAGTGAATCTATGTTATTTATTTAAATATTAACCATTTTTAATTTCTATTTTATTCTTTTCTTTAATTAAATGAAATTAGCACTTTTAATTGTTAGTTATCAAATTATAGTATATTTTATTAATATAAAATATTGTTTATATTCATTATCTTAATAACATTAAATAATTTATTCATTTAATACACATTTGATTTTCTAAATTATAATTTGTAATTGGTTAATTAAAAAGAATTTACAAAGATTAATCAGTTTTTTTATATGTGAAACTGAAGTATTAATAATACTCAAATTATTAATAATAATACAAATTATCTTAATCTTGTACTCTATTATTTATAGAATGAGGAGGTGAGAAAATAAAAGAGTTTGAAACTGATAATACTTAAGAGGGAATATTACTCAAAAAATTTAATTTTTTATTATAGTTATTATAAGCTTGTAATCAATCAGATATAAATAGTTAAAAATAGCTTTATTTATTTCGAAAAAGATATTTATAAGTGTAGATAAGTCAATATTTTTTAAATAGGAAAAATAAGTTCTATTTTCATCAAAATACCTTAAAAATTTCTTAAAAAAAAAAATAAATAAATAAATTATTAAATTATTTATATTCAGGTAACTTTTATGTTACTTACTTCAACTCATATGAAAAATAAATTTAGTTGGTTGTCAATATTGAATACTAAAAAAATTAATATTAGCTATTAATCAATATTAAGTTTACTATAAATATAGAAGAGTTAGAAATTGGAATTCTTCCAAATACCCAGTATCTTAATTATAGGTTTACTATTAAAATAACTATGGTTATTGTTTTCTTTTCATTAAAATCTCTCTTCATGTAAACATTAAATAATGAAATTGTAGATAATATTTTTTTTTAATTACATGTTTTAAAAATGTAATTAAAAGAAATAAAATACATTACAAAACTTTAGTTTAGCATGCCTGAAATCATTTAATGAATATTAAACTTTTTTTTTTCTTTATAATTATAATTATGAAACAATCAAATTGATATATTGATTCATAGTATCTATAAATATAAAAGTTTATTATAAAAAATGGAGAAATTTTTATTCTTATTGATACTTTTTAAAGTAGCATTATCATATATATACTATGATACTGGATTAGCTAGGGACTTTGATTATACTTTTGATTCAAGTTTCAGTTGCAAAACTGGTTATTCTAAAACAGCAATCATCCAGTTTTCAAATCAATTTGAGAAAATCCCTTAAGTATTTTTTACTCATGAATACTTCGATTAAGAAATGGCTGATTTAGGTTTTAGATTATCAATAACAACTATAACTACAACATGTATATAATAAAACGATATTGTCAATAGCATTTACAACATAAATAAGTTGTAATTAACAAAGAGTATTTACATTAAAATTAAGATGGTTTGCTATTGATGATCAACGTATTGAAGTTATAAGTAACTTCAATATGGATACTCCAGATCATAAAACATTTTCAATTAAAAATCCAAATGCTTAAACTGGATTTATAGCTATCACAAGTTTTCGTTATCTAGGACCAATTGATTTTCTATTATCGGTAATAGATGATAATACTTAAATAGATAAGCCAAATAACAACTAACTCAGTGACAGTTAGTATTACTAAAGTGGCAGGAAAATTTACAAACCTTAAATAAATTGGATATTTTGTTGTTGTTGGAGTTGCAGAAGCATTTATTAATTTAGGATTGAAGACGGTAACTGGAGGATTTAGTAGTGGAACACTTCCAATATAATCAAATAGATGGTTTGCTATTGCATTATAAGGCTTGAATTATCCAAATACTAGAAATATGAGGATAAAAGCAATATTTACAGATACATCAACAACAAAATCTTATACTTGGGGCACTTGTAATTATATATAATCATTCTTTTATTTTAGGGGATGAAATCGAAACTCCAAATAGCCATTCTTAAATTTGGGTTGCATATTAATTTACAACTTCATACCAGCCTTTAGAATGTTTTAGTATAAGAACAAGTAGAAAATAAGCAATTGATTTAAGCATCTTGCCTACATTCTTTTTATAATTAGTTTAGCCTAATTAAATTTATATTACGAATGGAAATTATGAATATATCGTTGATAAATCAATTACACCACTTAAAATGAATATCTAAATGAAATGTGAAAATGGAAAGAAAGTTTAAGCAGATTTTAATAAATGCAATTCTTGTAGTATTTAAAAGACTTATTCTTTTACTTATAATTGCTTTAATCAAATGAATTATATTGGTTTCTTCCCTTTATTTTAACAAGCATTTCTATAATATAATCATTTAAAAATCAATATTCAATCATCATTACTTGAAGTCATAAATGTTGTCTATGATTAAACCATTACAGAAAAGACAATAGTGAAAATATAAATATTAAATTAATGAATAAATAATATAATAGCATTACTTATTTATCTTATTATAAAAATAATATATTTTTTAATGGTTTTACAACTCAAATCTAGCAATTATTATTCTTTCAATAAATGAAAATATTGATATCTTCATAATAATTTAATAATTTTTAATAATTGAAATAATTCATTAATCAATAAATTTAAAAATATTATAATTAAAAACTTTAATATAGTTGAACATTACAATTAGAACTATCAGAATAAATAATTTATTAAATTCTAATAAACAATTTAAAATTTATAAGCTATATTTAAATTATTAGTTTATCAATTTAATTTTATAGGATTTTAGTTGCCTTTTACTTATTTTCAATTTAATGTATAATAGAATACTAAATTAGAAAAATAAGAAATCATCAATATTATAAAGATTCTCTTTTGATAAAATTAGGGTTAATGTAGCTGAGTATATTAGTATAATTTAAAGATCATCCTAAATTGTAAAAATATCAATATATTAAAGATAAAGTTTTATTAAATTAAATTTATTTAATATTATAAATAATGTAACAAATATTATTTTATAAAATCAGTGTTCAATTTTTTTATATTTTTGAACCCATCAAAAATCATTATAATTTTACATTTATATGCGAGGACTTGTCTACATTTTCTCATAAAAAGAAGTGAATTTTTTAGAATTCTAAATATTCTTTTCTCTAAGTATTAAACAATTTAAAGGATGTAAAGAATATATAGGTATTAAATGATAATGTTCTTCTAATACTGAAAAAATATAAAATTCTATATAATTCTAAGCCTTTTTATTCTATTATAAACGCATTTTATCGTAGGGACCAATTTTACGAATAATCATCAATGACAATGGTATTTCTAAATCCAATGGTTTTTATGAATTATGAAGTAACTCTCCTAAATTTTAGGGATTTATTATCTGCAACCCTTATAATTATTAATTACTAAGATTAGGACCTTAATAGTTTATTTTAATTTTAATTACAGGTTTACTTGGTTATCCATGAATATCATGTTGTAGTGTAATTGTTACAGTTTGAGAAGAATGAGAAACAAAGAACAACAAATTGTAAAATAATTATTTGAGTTATTTTTCATCTTATTATATATTTTATTGTTCAGTGTTCAATTAATTTATAATGTTAAATTTAATATCTTTGTTTATGTCATAAAAACATATTGTTCTAATTAATTCATTAAGACAATCAATAATATTAAATTTTTTAATAATTGATTATTAAAAATCTGAATTGATAGTATTAAAATCAATAATATTTTAAAAGTCATTATTAGCTTTTATAATTTATCCATGAATAGACTATAAACATCTATTAATTAATAATATTTCTTCCTTTTTATTAGCAAATTTATAAATCCATTAAAAATAAATCAAAGAAATTCTAACTTAATGTTTAAATATTAATGAAGTTTAATCTAGGGATTTCTTTAACATTTTATTTTTTAAAGATAATTCTTCTAATTGGACTTCTTTTTTCTTCTCCTATAGTATAAGAATGAAACAAGGATGAATATCAAAAACTTTAGTAATTTAAATCGAATAATACTCTTATTCATAAATAGCTTCACCTAATATTTGATTATTTTCATTTTAATTATCAGTCATAGTTTTAGTTATTCTTTGATCTCTGAGAAATAATTCAAATAAATATGATTTTAATTCTTACTTTCTTTAAGATTAATTTATAGGATCTTAACCTAAGATGGATACGAACTTTCCTGAACTCCTAGATTATTGTATTTTCATATTGTTTAAATAATCATCGAAATCATCTAAAATTTATTTCTATATCTCCTATTAATCATCCTTCTAAACTAATTCAATTTTTTTAGTTTCTGCTTTATAATGTACAATGAAGGTTTATATATTTGTTAAATCATATATGCCTTTCAAAGTTGTTGTTCTTTTTAAATGGTTAAGAAAACTGTATTTTTTGTGCTTCTCTGAACAATACAAATGTTATAAATAAAGGGATGTAAAAATTGTCGATTTTATAAGTTAATTCCAAAAATTCACTTCAGAAATCATGCTCAAACTCACTAGAGATGTAAAAATTATAGCTATAATGATAGTTTTATATCTGAAACTAAAAATATTGATCACACTAAAATATTTAAATTTCGATTTACCCGAAAGTGCCAACTGATATAAAATAGCCATCAACATAGAAGTTTTCACTTTAAATTATAGAAAAGTATTTAGTTATAGGAAAGTATAGATTATAACTAACAACTACAAATGTCAGAAAGAAATCATATAATTTATGACGTTGAGCTATAAATTTGTAACTAAATATGACTACTAACCAATTAAATACAATGAATCCCAAACTTACCCATTCCTATTCGATAATTTTTATAATAGTAAAGTAGAGTCCCATGACAATGAATATCCATTTTTACTATTATTGAAATTCTATAGATTGTTTTTTGTTTATAGATTAGTATTATTACTCTACATCTTTATTCAAAAAGGTTAAAGTAAATCTATGCATTATAAAATATAATTAATATTTCATTTTATTTTAATTTCAATATACTACTATTATCAAAAATAAATCTTTCATTTTAAGATTATTTCTTTTTCAAAAAAGTTAAAATACTAATTTAAACAAAATTATGCTAAATATTTTTATAAATTAAATCAAGTCTTCTTTTAATAAGCATGAATTTTCTCATAAATTATTCATTATAAGAATTATAATTTATTGCTAAATTTTATGTTTTAATCATCACCTTAAGTATTTTACTAAAATAATACAATTCATACTTATACCAATTATATTATTAAAATTAACTTATTTATTTATCACATTTTACACCTCTTCATAATTGTAATAAGTATATTAATAAAGATTCAATTTGAATAAGACAAATTCTTTCTTATAATCAAAGAGATTCTACCCATAAATATTAACAATGAAAAATTAATATATTTTTGTAATTTTGACCTTTTTAATGGCTACCAATAATTTTTTATAAATAATTATCCTCAAACTAGAAATCCTTTAAGGAATATTTGTTATTCAAAATTTTAAAAGCAAAGATGTTTAATCTTAATGATTATTAAGTTTAATGTTAAAAACCATTGAAAAATGATAAACAAATCAAAATTGCTATTAATGTATATGATAAATGAAAATAATAAGAAACGTAATAAAAGGGATAGATTTTTGGATAAAATAAATAATCGTTGAAATAAGAATAGTAAATAAATGAGCATGAAATTATTGAAATATTTAATACAGAATATTTACAATTTCTTGTTCAGTTTTAATAGAAATGAATAACAAAATAAATTTTATATTATTATCTTATAGATTGTCTTGATTTTAGAATTTTATCAAATAATATATTAATTTGATCCAAAAATTTATGACATAATTTGGAAAACTAAATTATAATAGAATTTAGAAATAAATTATAAAAAAATTAGTTTTAGAAAAGCTAAAATAATGGAATTGATTTTCAAATCAAAAATTAATATTAATATGTTTAATAATATTCATATGATATATAATTATATTTAATCAATCAAATTCTTCTTAATCTATCATATTTTATTTAAGCAATAAATTATAGTTATTTACATATTCTCAAATTGAAATTACTTATAATATAATAATTTTTTGTAAATTTATTTTAATTTAATCAAACCCATCAAATACTGATAATTAGTATTTCTAAAATGCCATTTACAAATAATAAAAATCTCCAAAATAAATTATATGGATCCATTTCTAAAAATCTAAACCCCTTAAAAATCAATCATAAGAATAATTCTAGACAGTTTGATTGTGTTTGTTAAATTACCTTTATTTGCTATCTTGATATTAGAAATAGTAATCATGAATGATTATATATTTCGCTAAATACAAAGACTATAATTTCACATTGTATTTCATAAATTTTTAAGAATTATAATCTTAGTTCACAATTATATAAGTGGAAGATTATTATTGTTAGTTTTAGGATACTTTAAATATAAATCACTTTTTCATAACAATACTTCAAATTTTAAACATGTAAACTTATAATCATATTGTTTTTATTGTTTAAGAACTTCTCCTATAGATGTCCTTGTTTTTATCACATAGTAATATATTTTATAACTTAGTTTTTCTCCATCATTTACTCATATTTCAATTTAAAAAGATAAAGTTAAGTGCAAAATTATAAGTTATGGAAGGGCCATTTTAGAATCATTTTACATAAATAAATGCAGTTTTAAGGATTTTACCGATGGAGAAAATATAAAAGATTTAATGATTTAGATTAGAAAAACAAGGACTGGTCCTTTGATAGTATTTTGGGAGGGAGGAATAACAAATGGGTACTCTTTCTTAAAAATTGATTAAACAATTATTAATGAAATTTATAATATCAATAGTTTTGCTAAGGAACCATTATAGAAATCTCATTATTTGAACTAAAATCCTTAAGGGATTGTATGTTTGTAGAATGATGATAGAATGAATTTGATAGGAAATAGTCCAATTTAAATGCTAATTACAATTTTAATAAATTAATTTTGTAGTTTAGAGATGTTCTTCTTAAAATTTTAACCATATAATTTTATAGATCATCTTCCTGATATTTATTAAGGTTTTATTGAAGGTAGAATAAAGAGAGTAATAGTATAATATTTTCACATAATTAGAGCGATTATTCATGGATACATTATCGATAGTAATTCATTTAATAGAATATGTGAAGCGAATATTAAAATATATTTATTTGTAATTTATTATAAATAATTTATCATATTTATATTAATTAACATAATATAATTTAATTACATCAGCTATCCACATTAAAGAACTTTAGTAGTTGATGATTTTAGTGTTTTTTAGAGTTTCATTTTATGGTTTTTAGAAGAATTTATCCATTTTAATAATTATTAACAAAAAAATAACAAAAAATAAATTATATTTTTGTATTTAAAATTATATATGTAGATACATATTTTTCCTTTAAACTTTTTAATATATTTTTTATGATATACTTTTTATTGAAATAGTATTTAACATAAGTTAGAAATATTAAAAATAAAATTGTATATGGATAATAAGAATCTTATATATAGATTCTTATTATATTGTTTAGTAAATAATTATGTTTATTTAACTTATTATGTTAATAATGAATTTAAATAATTAAAGTCAGAAAGTATAAGAACTATAAAATTTTAACAATATATTATTCTTAATAAATAATCAACAGCAACCTCCATCTTTTTATTTTTTTTAGTTTGAAGTGTTAGCACTAAGTTTATTTGATTATGAAGTGTTGGTATTAGTTTATCTAAAAAAAATAATAAATAAATATATACCCTCTAGATTATGATTATTGTGTAACATTTGATGTTGTATTAGTAGTCTTGGGTGGTTAGGATGCATCCTTTTTAGCCATTAGTTTTCGTGATAATTCAAGAAAGGCATTATTAACATGATCAGCTGTTTTAGCACTACATTCCATAAAAAGCATATTATGAGACTTACAATATTCTTCAGCCTTTGATGTTTCTATTCTTATTTAAATAAATAATTTTGTTACTATTTCTATTCATCTAAATCATTTTTATTTCCAATGATTAATAATTACACATTTTTTTCACCATATGATTCTACTTCATGCAACCAGAATTTATCAATATCATCAAATGATTAACCTTATGTGACATCATATACCATAACAATTCCATCAGCACCCTAAAATATTATTAATAATTATTAATTACCTTATAGTATGCACTTGTGATTGTTCTGAATCTTTCTTATCCAGCAGTGTCCCAAATTTATAATTTTACATTCTTTCCATCAATAGGTAATGTTCTGAATCTAAAATCAACACCAATAGTTGTTAGATAAGATTCACTAAATTAGTCATCTGCAAATCTCAACAATAATGAACTCTTTCCAACTCCAGAGTTACCAATAATTACTAACTTGAACAAATAATCATATTCTTTGATCATCTTACAATTTCTTTTCTTTTTAATTAAATATTCAAAAATTAGAATTTATCAAATTTGGTATTTCTCATTAATTATTTCAATACATTAAAATAATAATACCAAATAAAATATCAATTTAGTAATCTAAAACATTCTACTTAAATTAAGTGTCTATTATTTTCATTAATTAATATATATATAATATACTAATTATATCATCAGATTAATTATATTAGTATAATATATATATCTTAAACTTTTACTATGTTTCAGACTTAAAAATAACTGAATAAGATTAAGTATTAAAATATATATATAATTATTTAATAGCTTCTTTATAAATTATTCAAATTTTTTTAATTATTATTATTTAAATCATAGTTTTAGATGAATTCAGATATATTATATAATCCATATTAGTCCACTGCTTATTATTTCCAATAATTTACAAATTGCTAATAGCAATATATTCCATATAGTAATTAAATGTTTAAATTAGCTTAAAAGTGATAATATAATAATAGAATGTACCAATGTAGTTTACATAATTAAATTATGATTGGAGAGTATAGCCAATAAATAACTATACAAATTATTAATAAGATGTACAAGAAATTAAGAATATTGAATTAAATAATCATTTAACTTAAGTAGAGTTAGGATTTTAAGAAAAATCCTCATCAAAAGAAGAAGACTCTTAAGTAAGAGTTAATGGTAAGAATTTCTTATATATTTAGGTCATTGGACAAACTAAGAGCATTTATTATATTTAGAGTTTGTAAAAAATCACGAATCCATCTTAAAATCAAAATATGACAAAAAATCTAAAAAAATATTCAAACTAATGAGTTAATATATACCAACAAGAAACGCTACTTAATGCAGATCGCATCATTAAAAGTTTAATCCTTTAATTAAAAGAAAATTAAAGAAATCATTTGGTTATACTCCTATTGTGATTCCTCCATAAAGTTGACTAATTTAAATTATATATTAATTGTAATTAATAAATCAAAAAATATATTATTACATCATATAATAATTGATTAATGATTTAAGTTAAATGAATGAAATTGAGCAAATTATTCAATCTCCAATTCCTTAATCAAGTATCAGTTCATTTTTACTTATTATTAGACTCCAGTCAAATATTCAACAATTTTATTAATTCTCATTAAATAAAAATATAATTCAAAATAATCAATTTTATTCAAATTAGAGTTGTTATTATACTTAATTTTAATTAATGACATATTTCTATAATTTAAAACACTAATAAATCCATAGATCAAACTTCCATGCCAGTCAAGATAGATAATCATTTATAATTGAAGAATATATTATTTTCAGACTTAAACAAGAACATTGATTATACTCTACATATTTAAAAAATGAAATTACTTTTAAGAATATTTCAATTCAGTTTTTTAAGTTGTATAATATATTCTAACTTATGAAGATTATAAAATATCAAAGTTTAAGCAAAAGATATAATTATATAAATATATATGTATAACTCTTAAAAGATTATAATAAAAATATCATCATTTATTAAACATATTTTATGAATTTAGTTTTCTTGAATTAATATGATTCTATAATTTTTAAGTTTTATCACTATAATCTTATTTAGATTAATTCAAATTATGATTATATGTAATCATGTATTTATTGGATGGTTATGAATTCCAATCTAATGCTTCCATTTTAAGGGGAGCTTAAATAGTTAATATCTATTTTATTTTTTAATCAGCTAAAAAATCATCAGGATCATATTATATATTATCCTTATTAATATAAGGTTAAGATAGAGATGAATAACTCTTATAATTATTTTATTATAAAAGACTCTAACTCCTGAAATTATTGTGATGATATTAAGGTTATTATAAATTTATTTCACCTAATTTAGGTAATTGTATATCAGGATTCTACTTTAATTATTTCATAGATTCTAAATTTTATTTTATTTAATATGACTTATCAATTACTTATTATTATGAATAGAATTAAGATTATTTTCCATTCATATTATCTTTTGATTAATAATTAAATATTGGATTATTACCCTAAAGTTTTCTTTCAGCTGATATCAACCAATAATTATTATTGAGATATAAATCAGAATTTTATCTATATCCTTATAATTCATTATGTTAAAGATCATTTGGATATAGTTTTTTTGGATCATTTTATATATTTGTAAGTACTGATAAATCCTGTAGATTTAAGGTATTATTACTATTTTTGAACTATTCAATATGATAATCCTTTTCTTTAATTATTCTTTCCAAATCTATGATTCTATCATTCATTAGCTATAGTTTGATTTCACAGTTCCTTGTAAGTTCAGACATTTATTGATCTTTTTGTATTTACTGTTTTTTTAATTATTTAACTTCTTCTTGTAAGTTTAGTATTAATTAATCTTTAGTAATTAATGAAGCTTATAGTAAACTAATTTTCATAGATGTTTGAGTTTTAGATGATTTAGATGAATTATATGAGATTTATGTTTATTTCTTTAGATCGAGATCTTTTAATAGAGTATCCTAATCTTGTAATGCTGATTAAAATTATTTATGATTGTTTATTGATTAAATTGACTATCTTTCAATAGTTTTATTTATTGATGTCTAAAAATTAGATTCTGTTCGAGATGGCGTTGGAATATTATTTAATAACATTCTGTTTTGAATTGAATCTGAATTGTCTTCGTATTCATTATCTTAATTGTATTCAAACTGTTACTCCTTTTATATCACTAAATTATTCATCATTTATAATTATTTTTTATTGTCCTCAAACTTAGACAATTTGATATTTTTTTGAAATGATTAAGAGAGAATCCTTTATTAAAATTAATAAGGTCTAAGTATAAGATATCAAATTTAAGTAAATCAAATAATTATTATAAGAAAGATTATAGAAGAAATTCAGGCTTTAGGTTTTCTAAAACTACTGTAAATAACTTTTTATTTTTTATCGAAGGTGACTTTTTTAATTGATCTTTGAGATCCAATAGATTCTATGTCTTTTTGAACATCTTTTGAACTGAAAGAATTTGATCCAGCCATTGCTTTATTTTTTAAAATAGATTTATGTTTAACTATATAATATATAATTGATAATTACCTTCTTGTAATCCACTATTTGAATCATCTCTTGAATTATTTTGGAGATCTAATTGATCATTTAAAGCATTTGTTAAATTATAGTCTAAAGGATCATGTTTATTTAAATTTAATTCTTATTTAGTGAGAGTATTGTCTGAAGAATTTTATTTAGGTAAAGAATTCATACGTTCTCTTTCAATTTAAATATTTTCTTCAGGGAACAGTAAATTTATTATTGGTTATGGTTTTTGTATTTAAGGAAGTCTATAGATATTAATTTAGACTTTCTTCTCTTGTGTAATTTAGTCTTCATTAGAGGGTTATACGTTCTAACAAATATGAGAACCCATTATGATTGATATCTAGAGTAATTAAGAAAGATAATAATAATTTGAGTTGAAAATTTTCAGAAATTTAAATACAACAAATAATATTAAGCAAAAAAACTTAATATTTTTATAATGAAGTTTAATATTAATACTAAAATGAATCCACCATTCACATTTGGATTTTTTTTTTTATTAATTCCTACTTATAAAATTGTTTTGAAATAATAAATAAAAAAAAATAAATATAAAAATGATTTAATTATCATACAACTATCTAGAATTTCTTAGTTTTAGAAATATGAATTTTTTATCGAAGATTAAACAATGATTTAGCTTTATCACACCAAATTGTTGATGGAATACTACCTTTATCTGTTATTTTCTTTTATTAAAGTTATTCTTTTGTAGTTTTACCATTGTAAGCCAAGCAAATGTGAAAACAAACAAAAACTAAAATACATAAAGTCAATAAGATTGTTGGAATTCCTAAAGCAAATAATACTATAACTAATATTGTTTAATTCTATATTACTATCAATATATATATAATATAATTACATATGCCATCCTTTCCTGATATACCCTCTCCAAAATTTCCTATAAATAAAATCAAGAATCCCCCTAATTCTCCTATAGCTAATAAGAGTAATGAAATCAAAAAAGCTATAAAAAATCTATAATTTCTTTGTCCTATACAATTATTTACAAATGGACAATGATGATCAAATACTTAAACACAATTACCACAATCCTTACAATGAGAACATCTTAAAGGTTTTACAATTTAACAAGTTGAACAAATTCTCTATTCTTTATTTTAATATTTCTTTTTTCTTTTATCTGGACATCCACCAGTTCCTTCAATTTTAACTTCCTCTTTACTAATAAAATGAGTATTTTAATCAGATAATTCTAAAATAGATTTTCTTGGTATTATTCCTGGATCTGAAAACTATTTAAATATAAATTGTTATTATTACTTAAGTTAACACTAAAAATAGTATTGTACTTAAAAATAAATATATTACAATTAAAACATAAAGCCAATGCAATTTTTACCAAACATATGGAGCAACAATTACAAAAAAACAAGTACTTATACCAATAATCATTATCCAAGTAAATATATTATGATATCTATCACCTTTTGGACCTGTCATTATACGACCTTAACAAAATATTTAATTGAATGATGGCCAAAATTCATACAAAAAACGAAAACTTAAACTATTAAAATATATTAACATACTTGTTTTTTTCTGATTTTGGTTCAAATGGGAATAATTCTAAATCAGCAGGTTAAAATCCTTTTAAATCAACCTTATTACCAAATGGTGGAGTAACATCATTAATATGTTCAGATAATCCATTTAAAGAAGAAGCAACAGAATTACTCTTATTTTTTGAGAACTCCAAGTTCCCATTAAAATCAGCACTTTATTTTGATTTATTATATAATCCATCAGGTGGAGCATCTTCTTTCAATGTACACCCTTAGTTTTGATATTTAGTATTCATAAATTTATAATATAAGTATTTATTATTAAAATTTCTACTCTTAGATCGTTTTTAAACTGAGAAATCAGAAAGTCATTAAAAATTGATTATCAAAATCTATGATATATTCAGAAACTAAATTCATAACACAATCATTGAATAATTGATTATATGACTTTTAATGATCATATTAAAAAACTAAAATACGCTATTCCATTTATTTCCACTTTAATTTATATCATCTCTAATTTGATATAATCTACTCTTAATCATAATTATATAGTTTCTTAAATTGTATTAATCTTATAAGTTATTAAACTTAATAATAAAGATAGGATATTATATAAATCTAAATAAATTTGATTTCAAATATATTTGCTATAAAAGTAAGGATTTCTGATATATATTTTTGTATAGAATGGATTTTGAAAACACTAATTTATTGAGATCAAAGTATTGTTAATAATGCATAAGTTTATTTGAATTACAAGACTCTTCTGATAAAAATAGAGAACATTCATATAGTCTAGTAAATTATTAAAGAATAATAAAGATAAATTGTATTTGAGTCTCAATATAAAAAATTTGACTTTAAATAATTTTAATTAATGAGCAAGTAATATAATAGGAGAGGTAATTAAAAGCCTCGTTAAGAAGTGTATGAGTATGTAACTAAGGAGGAATATGAACAATAACAAATATAGTAGAATTAAGAAGAATAACAAAAAACATAAAATCCATAAAAAAAATAATAATAATAGATTTAAAAGAATAAATAAGTTGATGAGAGAAGAGAATATTAGTAGTAATAGAATTAATAAAGAAAATAACCTGAGTAAAAGTAGTATCAGAAACAAAATAATTATAAGGACAATAAAAATTATTAAAAAAGATTTTAATAGAATGTTGAGATAGATGAAGATTATAGAAGAGATGATCCATTAATTGAAGAAGGTATTTAATAATATACAAAGTAGATACTTAAAAGTTTGATATAACAAAAGTGAAGTAAAAAGAGTTAACATAGACTTTAATAAAAATGCTGAAATATAGAAAAATAGAATGTCCAGTATGTTATGACAAAATTCATTAATCATAAAAGATATGGAGTTGTTCTTAATGTTATTCACCATTTCATTTATATTGTATGCATAAATGGATAAAGAATTTAAATCCAAAAAATATCAATGAATTGTATTATTGGAGTTGTCCAAAATGTAATTTATTAATATAAGATAAATTACCTGAATATAAATGCTTTTGTGGAAAACAAATAGATCCAGAAGCAGATTCCTATTCTATTCCACATTCATGTTCATAAAAATGTTAAAAAAAGAGAGGATAATATTGTCCACATCCTTGTCCTATGGATTGTCATCCTGGACCATGTCCTGAATGTCATGTATAAGGAGTGGAAATTAAATGTTTTTGTGCCAAGAAGACTAAATAAATGCAATGTAGTGAGATTAAAAAGGATTTTTCATGTGGTTTACCATGTGGTAAAATGCTTAATTGTAATAATCACTTTTGTTAGAAACCGGTAAGAAATATAATAAATTATAATCTTAGTGTCATAATGGAAATTGTTAACCATGTAATGAAACTCATGAAGTCTAATGTTATTGTGGATCATAAAAAAATATTATTAATTGTGCCTAGCCTTCATATTCTTGTGGTAAAATATGTGGTAGAATACTTGATTGTGGTAAACATTAATGTTTAGAATAATGTCATCCATAATGTTAACCTTGTAAATTAAAACCAGAATTAGTAATAAATTGTGCATGTGGAAAATATAAAATTAATGATTTAATTAAAGAATAAAGAAAATCATGTTTAGATCCAATTCCTAATTGTGGAACACCAATAGAAACTACTCTTTCATGTGGACATAAAAGTAGAACAATATGTGGTTCTGATTATCCTGAATGTGTTTAAAAAGTAAAAGAGAAATGTAGATGTGGAGATTCTACTAGAGTAAAATTATGTAATGATAAATCAATATTTTTGTGTGATGATGTATGTAAAAAGAGAAAATCTTGTGGAGTACATTTTTGTTAAAAAGAATGTTGTCCACCTGGAGATTAAGAAGCTCATCTATGTTTGAAAGTATGTAATAAACCACTTCCATGTGGTCAACATAATTGTGATTAATTTTGTCATATTGGTGCATGTTAATAATGTCCAATAATTATTAACTAACCTCTATATTGTCCTTGTGGTAAAAGTGTAAAAAATCCACCAATGAAATGTGGTACTGCTCCTCCTTCATGTTTAGAAGTTTGTAATAAAGTATTAGAATGTGGTCATATTTGTAAATCATTATGTCATCCTGGACCATGTCCTAATTGTATGGAATAAATTGATAAATTCTGTAGATGCAAATAAAATAAACTTTCAACTATTTGTTCAAAATAAGCTGTATGTAGAAATGTTTGTAATAAAATATTAAAATGTGGACATAAATGTTAAGAAATATGTTAAGCATAAGAGGAATGTCCTGGAAATGGACCTGAAGGTTGTAGTTAAAAATGTAATGCTAAAAAATTATGTAATCATTTATGTTAAGAAATATGTCATCCAAATGAATCTTGTCCAAAATAACCTTGCAAAATATAAATTAGAATAGTATGTAGTTGTGGTAATAGAGATACTTTCACTGAATGTGGTGTTGTTGATGAATTAATTGAAAAAACTTTAAAATGTGATTAAAAATGTTAAAATATTAAAAGGTTTGGTGCTTTTTATAAATCTAATTCTCTTGTAGATATTGAAAAAACATATTATCCAGATATCTTACTTAAATATACTCATTATAATTTATAGAATCTTTAAAAAATGGAAGAAAAGATTGAACATTTCCTTGTACATTCTAAACCAGAAGATGGATATGATTTTTCATTCCCTAGGTCTGAATGGTCTGAATTGAAGAAAGTGGCTTTATAAACTCTATTTTCAAGACATTATAAATTTGATGTTTAAATTCTAAAAACTCAAAATAAATAATATTTATTCAGTCTTTATAAAACTTAAGATACTTGTATACCTAAAATTAAATTATCTGAATATTTTATTAAAGTATAAAAAGGAATAATCAAAAGAGATCATCAACCATTTAAAGCAAAAATTAAGACTTTTTATGAAGTGTCATCAACTGATGCTTATAATATTGAAAATGCCTTGTCTGATTTTAAAGGAGATTTTTATTCTGAAAGATAATCTTAATAATATATACTTAATTTTTGGGATGAAGCTCAAGCTGAATTAGCACTTAAGAAACTCAAAAAAGCAGTTGGATTATTAAATGTAAATTGGGTTTTAGAGATGAATCAATAATGTTTAGATGAATACAAAAGAATATTTGATCCTGCTTAAGAGACTGATATTATTATTAAACCCAAGAAAATGAAATAATATGAATATGAAGAATAAACAATTGAAATATAATATACAAAATTAGAGGAGGAAAATTTCAATAAACTTTAAAAATAATATTCTGACAAAGCCAAATTGACTAAAAAATGTGATGATGAAGAAATTGAAGAAAGAATCAATAATTAATAATTATCTATTTTCGAATAAGATGGATTTTATTAATATGAAATTTAACCAATTAGAGATAATATTATTAGATAATATAAATAAGAATAAAAACCATTTACACCAGAGTATGTAAGAACACCAGATACTTTATGTAAAACTGTAGATTTCCTACTTCAAAACTTCTTGAGAGCAGATGATCCAGATTCAGATTTCAAGAAACCTATGAAAGGAGATACTCCAAGAGATATTGTTTATGAAGACATTTATGAATTCATAAATGATAGATTAAAATAAATTAGAGTTGAATTGAATTACCTTCAATATGAGGATGAGAGAATTTATGGTATTAATATTAATTCAATATTTTTTAGTTAAAATCATTCGATTTTATGTATTATCTCATTCTTAATTAATGGATAATCAAGAAAATCTTAAAATCTTATGTGAATTACTTAATACATTCAAAAATGATGAAACATTATAATATATTTTAATATTATCTTGTTTCAATGAAATTCCAGAATGTTAAGAATTCTATTCTCAAATGTTATAGATAAAGGAATATTAAGATTAAAATCCTATAATAAGATTAGTTACTTAAATACATTCAAAATAATATCATAAATATTTTGATTTCTATCATAAGTAAGAAAATTAATTGATTAAATCATTGATGCATGGTTTCCTAAATATTATAATTAAATAAGTGAATTAATAATTTTAAGAAATAGTTTCAAGTTTAGAATAAGATTAATAATTTATAGCTATTAATAAATTATTAGAATAATTATAAATTGAAGATAAGAATAATTTAATTGAATATTTAAATTAATTGGGGTTGAATGATCTTTAATTTTAAGTTTCACAATTAGATTGTGAAATTGAAGAAATAAATATCTCATAAATTTTATAATAATTAAAGAAAAAGAAACCATTTGAAATTCTAGATATTGATAGATTAGTAACAATATTCTGATATAATAAATTTAGAATTTTATTTGTCCAAAAATATTATATATTAATAATAATATCCGTTTATTATATTTATTATAATGTATAAAAAATATTTATTCATCTCTCTATTATTAACATTAGTTATTTGTGAAGGAGGATATTAGAGTGTCAAAATAAAAGAATTTATGAGTTAGAATAATGAAATATTTACATATATAAATGAAATATTAGATGATGAAGCAGGACCAGAATATTTCCTTTGGAAAATAGAAAGTGTTTAATAATAAATTGTTTCAGGAATCAATTATAAAATGGTTGTTGATTATTAAAAAAAAGAAGATCCTAATCAATATATTCAATTTGAGATCATAGTTTACGATTAGTAATACTTTGATAATAATTTAATTTAAGACCATGGACTAATACAAGAAAAGTGACTGCTTTAGAATAACAAAATCTTAGAGTTGATAATAAAAAATCAAATAATTTTAAATATCATGGTTGGGTAGATCTAGATACAAAATAATTTAATGTAAAATATCCTCAAATTTAAACATTATTACTCTCAAAGTTAATACCTAAATTTGAATTAGAAGAAAATACTTCAATAATAGATATATAATCAGTTAAAGAATAATTTATAGCTGGAAAAACTTATTTAATATTTGTATAATTATCAGATGGTAAAAAATATAAAGGAACATTATATGAAAAGTAATCTAATTAATTATAAATAAAGTCCATGGTCAAAGAAAATAGAAGTAGTAACAGTGGAATTAGAAGAAGAACAACAATGATTATTAAATTTATTAATAGTAAAAAAATAATATGTTAAACAAAATTTAAATGAGAATTTATATGAATCAAAAAAACTATTTAAAAATATCCAGTTTTCCTTTTTATCTCAATACTTATTTATCATAATTAAGTGATATAATTTCATAGGAACCATTAACTTAATCAACAGGAACAATTTTCTTAAAAATTGCTGGATTTTTCCTTTTAACAATATTATCATTTTAATCTTTAATTTTATGTTCATTTAACATTTTTTAAACACTTTAAGTTTCTTTCACTAATTTATTCTCTCCTTCTATCTATAAATAAGTATATTAAATACTTAAAGATTATCTAATTATTAACCAACACTAGCAACTTCATTTACTTTATCTTTCCTTTCTTCAAATCTTTAAGCAATACTTCTAGGTCTTTTGTATATAGCTTAATAATGAGGATTTTTAATTATTTCATGTCCTTACTCTTTAATTTTTTTATGTTATTCTACAGCATCAGAACTTGATCTAAGTTATCTTTCCTAAAATGAATCTCAATATTACCCATAATTTATTGCCATATCTTTCTGCATCAGTTTAAATTATTTCTAATAACTTTTTATCTTCCAATCTTTCACGTTCCACTTATATTTAATTGTAAATTGATTAAGAAATTGGTCTATTACATTATTAAGCTGATGAAACTACTCTTCGTTACCATTTTTATTATTAATTTTCAAATTATTTGATAATTCTATCGTCTTTAGCTGCAGCAGCTTAATCTGCTTTACTTAATTTTTTAAGATGTAAATATTATTATTATTATTAAGTCTTTCTATTGAGAATTTATTAGATTTCATTTTCAACTTAACTTGGTTCCATATCAATTTGAATAAATTCAGCTTCCTCTTAAACACTTAATTATTACGATTGTTTATTTTTAAATTCTTTATATGTTGTTGGTTTAATTTTACGATTAACTTAAATAATTTCTTCTATTGGTTGTGATTTGTTTAATCTCTTATCAATAATTTCAGGTTTGCCAACAACATAATAAGGTACAATCTTACCATCTCTATATAATTAAGATTCATCTATGTCATGTTGAGTCATAAAGATGTTTGGATGTTAAATTAGAGCAATTTGTTTTCTCAACAAATAATGTTAAACTGAAGACATTAACTTAATATAAAAATAATAAAAATGAAAATTTTAATGTTATCTATGATATGTGTCATTTATACATTTGACTTACCAGGTATACAACAAAAGACATATTCTGAGGGATAATAGATACCTGTATTAATAAATGAGATGACCTCAGAATCTACTCAACTTCCATATGATTATTATGATCTTGATATTTGCAAACCTGATTCGACTGAAAATCAAAATTAAAACATTGGATCCATGATCTTAGGCACTTTAACATAATAATCTAAATATTAAGTAATTAAATAAATAATATGATAGATATTTATGAATTATGATATCATTGATGAAATACTTTGTGTTAAAAATTTTACATTAACAGAATAGAATAATTTAAAATGGTTTATTGATCATGATTATAGAGTCAATATGTTAATTGATGAATTACCTATTCTATCTAGTAATTATTTAAATAATACAATTATTGGAGTACCTTTAGGAATTAGAAATATAAATTAATATTCATTTTACAATCATTACAATTTCAAAATAGAGATTTATAATACTTCTAAATCAGATATTAATTAGACTTTTAGTATTAATTCAATAACAGTTGACTTTTAATCAAAATGTATGGACAGTGTTGAAATAGATTCTGGAATCAATTGTCCTATCAATTAAATTATGAATATAACTTATTCTGTTAAATATCTAATGACTAATTCATCTAATCGATGGTCAGCCTATTTAAATATAGTATCAGATTCTGATTAATAATGGATATCTATTAGCATAACTTTTACTGTATCTCTACTCTTAACTGCTTTAATTGCTTGGTTTATTAGATTTACTATAAGAAGAGATGTATTAAAATTTGAAATGTTGCCATAAGAAGAGAGTGATGGTTTGATTGATTAAATGGGATGGAAATAGATTAGTAGAGATGTATTTAGACCTCCATCTGGCATACTATTTTTGAGTGTTTTAATTGGAACTGGTATTCAATTTACTATTATGACTATTTCCATTTTCTTTCTTTCATCAATAGGATTTTTGTATTCTGCACATACAGGACATTTAGCAACAGTAGTAATTGTTGTTTATGTATTTACTGGCAGTTTGAATGGATATTATTCTTCTAAATTTTATAAATATTTTAAAGGTGAATATTGGTTATTATGTACATTGGGAAGTAATTTGGCATTCCCAATTATGGCTTTATTTATATTTGGAATTGAAAATATTGCATTAATGTTTGAAGAGTCTTCAAGTGGATTAGATTTTAAATCTGGAATTACATTTATTGCATTATAGCTTGGTATTTAAACTCCATTAAATTTAATTGGATCATTTATTGGATTTAAGATTGAATCTCCTAAAAATCCATGTAAATATGGTTAAATTGCTTAAGAAATAACATAATAACCATTTTATTTGGATTATTTTTATAGTTGTTTGATAGGAGGACTTATATGCTTTATGTAAATTTTTAATTAAATTTATAGATCTGTTGGTCTTGAGATTAGTTAAATAATGTAATTAATATGGAAGAATTCTTATTATGAATTCTTTGTATCATTATTTTTTACTGCAATTTTATTGATTATTATTAGTGCTGAGGTTTCAATCTTAACAGTTTATTTGCTTCTTTAAAATTAGAATCATAGATGGTGGTGGAAAGCATTCTTTGTACCTTTTACTTCAGGAGTATATTTATTTATATATTCAATCTAATATTACTTAGATTCATTGTAATTTACAAGGTATATTTAATAAATTAATAAGATTCTCAACAATATTATATTATTTTGGTACTATGTATATGGCATCTTTATGTCTGGGATTAATTTGTGGAACAGTGGGTTTCTTAGCAAGTCATATATTTGTTAAAAAAATATATTCAATGATTAAATTAGATTGACTGACTGAGTGTAAATATTTATATTATTTTTATATAAATAAATATATATAATACAATATATAAATAGAGAGTAAATAAATTTATTTGAAATATTATTTTAAATAACGGAAGATATGAATCCTCTTTTAAGACATAATAATGCTGAAAGTATATTTTTAATGATATATTAATTGATTAGGTTCTGCTTTAAACATTCCAGCTCCATAACCAACAGATTATGATTGGGTTTTGATATCTGGATTTATAGTAATTTTGACATAAGTTGGATTTGCATTTATCGGAGCAGGATCAGTGAGATATAAAAATGCATAATCAGTTGTAATAAAAGTATTTTTGGGACTATTTTTAACAATATTAATTTGGTGGTTGGTAATAATTATTATCTAAATTAGTTTGGTTATGGTTTTTCTTTTGGAGATGATTTCTAAACTAAATTTTTGGGAGGTACAAAATTAGGAGGTGCAAAATGGGAAGCCACTTAATATGGAAATGATTATACAAATTTTGGTAATTAATTAATTATATATAATATAGTATTTAGAGCATCAGGAGCAGCTATTGGTATTGCAATTTTAGCAGGAGCAGCAGCTGAAAGAATGACATTTTTAGGATGGTCTGTATTTACACTTATTTATTCTGGATTTATATATGCAGGTTTGACTCATTGGACTTTAGCTGCAGGATGGTATTGTTTAAATTAATTATTAAAGGTTATCTTCATTGGGATTCAAAGATTTTTCAGGTGCAGGAGTAGTTTTCTTTGCAGCAGGAGCAGCAGGATTGATTTTGACTATTATCTTGAAACCAAGAAAAACAAGATTTGATAATGGTGCCACAATGGAATTCAGTAGACATTCACCACTCTATATTGGATTTGGATCATTATTAGTATTTGCAGGTTGGTTATTCTATAATGGTGGTGTTGTTGCTTAAGGATCTAAATCATAATATTCTTAAGGTTTGGTTGCAGTAAATACTTTAATTGCTGGAGCAACAGGTGGATTTGTTAGTTTTGTTATCAGATATTTCTAATATGAAACAACAAATTTAGTAGCATTATCAAGAGGAGTAGTCAGTGGATTAGTTGCTGTTAGTGCTGCTGCAGATGATATGAAACCATGGACTGCATTTGTTTATGGATTTATTGCAGCATTATTTTATAGTATCTTAGCCAAAGCAACACCATCTGCTCATATTGATGATCCAGCTGAAGTTATTCCAGTTTATCTTGTAAATATATTAAATTTATATTAATTAGGGATCTGGATTTGTTGGTATTTTCTTATCAGGATTTTTTGATACTAAAGCTGGAGCATTTTATGGATTTGGATTTAAATTATTAGGTTATCAATTATTAGGATTATTGATAATCTTTGCCTGGGTTGTTTTCTTTACTTTATTAATTCTCTTAGCTTTGAAAGGTTTTGGAGTTCTTAGAATTGATGATGAGACAGAAAGAGTTGGAATTGATAGAGCATAATGTAATATATCATATTTATATTTTAGGCTTGGGTGAAGCTGTTGTATTTGCTAACCAAGTTGATGAAGTACCTCTTGTTTAAAAAACTGAATTAGCTAATTTTCCAAGTTAGTTAGGATCAGGATATAGATCAGGATTCAAATGAAATTATATAATTTCGAAATTATTATAAATATTTTATTAATAATTTATCTTATTTCTTACATAATAATCATAAAAATCAAATTGTTAAACAAATTTTATGTTTGATTTTACCAATGTCTTTTACTTTAATTAATATTGATTAATATAAAGAATTGAATACTTTATAATTTTTGATTATTATATAATATTATTACTAAATTAATTATATGTTTTTCTTTTACTTATAATTTATTATTTTAAGTAATCATTTAGGCATTTTGATAATTTCAAATAATTATGGAAATTTCAAATTATTAAACATAATAAATCAAAGTAATATTATTATTCTCTTTATATAATATTACATCTATTAATTAATTTAAATTTAAGATATATTATTAGGTTTGATATGAAGATTTAAGAATTATATATATAAATTTAATAAAAGTGATTGATAATTATATTATCTCAGGAAAATTAAATTTTTTTATTGATATTTTCTTTGTCCAAATTATCTTGTTTAGATTTTTTAATAGTTAATTACACTGACCATTTCTTTTTCTCTGATGATTAACCGGATTCTAATATTTATGAATTTTTGTCTTTTAAACCTTTTCATATAAATATGAAATGAATACTTTTTAAAGTTAATTATGTTCTAATTCTGTTTAACTAGATTAGTAAGTATTTTTTGATTGGTAAACCTTATTGTTGAGCTGCATATTACAATTTGAATTTAAGAAATATTAAGGCTGAGAATTAAATTTATGGTAATTCTCTGGATTTGAGAATCCAATTACATAATAATATAAAAGCACTTAATTTTCTAAATGAGAGAAAAACAACAGAAAGTTATTTCTTTTTATGTAGAATTGTCAACAGGTATTCAGGATAAAGATCATATTTTTTGAGTGCTTTCATAACTTTATCATCAAGTTGTTAGTATTGAAATGTAATTTCATTAAGTGGGACTAAAAATTTGTATTGAGATACTTTTTTTATAATTTTTGGTCAAAGGAGCATCAGAATATCTTATTTCAGAATAATTATCATTAATCCAAAGATATCTTGTAACTAATTTTTTATCAGTTTAATTAATTTTGAGAATTTCTTATCTATTACATACAAATTATTGGATTGCTTATTGTAATCTAATTTCATAATTTTTGATTGCATAATCTAAACGATTAATGAATAATTTATTGAAATTTTGTAAGACAATTTTATCATTAATCATCAATTTATCTGATTTATATTATACTTTAGTATGGTTATCAATTTATGTTCTAGAAATAACAAGATTTCTCTATTAAAGAATAAAAAATAATGTTACTTAATTCAATTCAACCAAATCTCCTTTCATAGTAATGTACATAGTTAACTGTTAAATTTTTATGTGTTTATAAAATAATAATTAATTTAAACGATATGATATCAAAATTATTGTCAATATTATTTGGAACAATATTTACAATGTTAATAGGTTATTGTTGGTATTCAATTATATTTCGAAATCGATATATGAAAGAAGCAAATATAAAATATGAGAAAGAAAAAGAAAACAATTAATAAAATAATTAGCCATTATTATTTGAACTAACAGGAAGATTTTTATAAGCTTGTTTAATAACAATCTTTTACAATGTATTAAAGTCCAAAGTAATGACTCATAATAAATTATAGGATGAACGTGATTTAATTTTGGCGCTTACTTTAGCTGTGTTTTTTTGTTTGAGTTTTCAAGTACAATACTACACATCTAAAGTTGTTTGGGAATAGAAGACATGGAATTATTTTGTTATAAAGGTGTGTGAACAATTTATTTCGCTCTCCACTCTTTCCATAATTGCATACATTTTTGTAAAGTGATCTATGATTCAAATTTTTCATATGTTATCAATGCGCCAAAATTACTTGTTTTCTTCTAGGCACATTATCAGGTACAGAACCAGGTTTTTGGTTAGATGCCGTATGTTATGCCAACTCTGGTGGAACATTTTATCCACTTTTAATCAAATACTCTTTTAAATCATAAAATAGATCTTAATCTGAATTAGTAAGAAATGTCACAGCTAATCCTCTTTTTCCTGCTCTTCCTGTTCTACCTGTTCTATGAATAAAATCCTTTTAATAAATTTAAACATATACTTAAATATTTTTTGGAGCATCAAAATTAATAACCATTTAAACACCTTCAACATGTAAACCTCTAGATGCTAAATCTGTAGCAATTAAGATATCAATCTTTTTAGACTTAAATCCTTCAACTGCTGCTTCTCTTTGTTATTATGTTTTACTTCCATGATAAACAACAGAATTATACTAAAATATTTTGTATTATTATCATTACTCCATATTTCTCTAATGTTTTACTTAATATTTCAACACTTTTCTTTTAATTAGCAAAAATTATAATCGGAGGTTTATTTGATGCTAACAATTACAATAAACGATTTCTATAACTAAATAATCTAAATTACTTTTTAGCTGCTTCATTAATCATATCTATTTTTTATTCTATATCTTTCTTACCACCTCCTGGTTCACCTATACTAATAAAACAAAATGCTCTTAAATATCTTTTTGCTAATTTTTCTACTTAAGGAGGCATTGTGGCTGAAAATAAATGAGTTACTCTATATTACTTTTCTCCAGCTTATGCCAACTTCTCTTCAAATTCAGCTGCTATATCATCTTCTGATTTCATTTCAGTTGTAATTGAATCCAAAATATAATTTACATCTTATTCAAATCCTAAATCAATCATTTTATCTGCTTCATCTAATACAATCCATGAACATTATTCTAATACCAAATACTTTTTCATCAATAAATCTTTTATTCTACCTGGTGTTCCTATTAAAATCTCTATTCCTTTTTTCAAATGAAATTCTTATTCTTCTTCTTTCCTACCTCCTACTATTACAAATGATCTTAAATTATATCCCTAAGATAATTTTTAAAATTCTGCTTCAATCTAAATAGCCAATTCTCTAGCTGGAGCCATTATTAATGCATATGGTCCATCTTTACATATTTTATCATCTTATTTTGGAAGTGTTGATAAATAAGTAATTAATGGTATTAAAAATGCTGCAGATTTACCACTTCCTGTAGGAGCAATACCAATCATATCTTTACGTTCTAAACCTATTGGTATTGTTTGCATCTATATTGGTGTTGGTTTAACATAATTTAAATTTCGAATAGAATTCATTAAATTTTTTGGTAATTAAACTTCATTCCATTCTCTTATAGGATTTGGAACACGACCTCCTTTAATTATAATATCCATATCTTCTCTAAATATTCTCCAATCTCTTGGTTACATTTGACCTAAAGATTTCTTGCTCCAATGATCTGATGATAACAATTAATCAGGATCTTTATCTTCCTATGCTTTAGAATGTAAACCACTAGCATTTATCCTATTTATATAAAGTGGATTAAAATCAATTGAAGTATCTTCTGTGGCATCCCATTCAAAATTAAATATATTTTTAAACTTTTCAGAAGGCTTTAAGATTTTTTTCTTCTCTTTATTCAATCCTAAATATTGCATTTTAATATGCATTAATTCTTAATTTTCTCCATCCATTTTTACAGGAACTGTTGCTCTAGTGTTAGATGTTATATAACGATTGTTTTTCTCTTTGCTTCTTGATCTGCTTCTACTTTTTGATTTTTTTCTCTCTAAAATTTATCTTACTTTTTGATCATCACCTATATTTAATATAAATATTACTTCTAAAATGAATATATTCTTTACGAATCTAAGCAATCTATTATTACTTTTCTTATTATTATTTATTTTGTTATTCTTCTTATTTTTATTTTTATTCTTCTCTTTATTATTTAGACAAAAACTGAGGCTTAAATATAGACTTTCCATTTTGAATCAATTAATTATTATGATCCTATTATTCCTCAGCTAACTCTTCAGCAGCAATCATTATTTTTAAATAAATTATTAAAATGTAATTATATTTTTTTTCTTTTTTTTTAATTTCTCATATGTTAAAAGATATATATGATATAATTATTTTTATAATCCATTATATTCTAAAAAATACAAAAATAAAGATGATAAAAATCAAAATTAATTTATTTATTAATATTCTAAATGAGGTACATTATAAAAGGTAGAAGTTTCTTTTCAATTCAATTTAGGTGGTGTTTGGAAGAATAGTGAAGATGAAATTCTTAAAGCAGCAGTTATGAAATATGGTCTCAATCAATGGTCACGTATTTCATCATTACTTGTTCGAAAATCAGCAAAGTAATGTAAATAGCGTTGGTATGAATGGCTTGATCCTTCAATCAAGAAAACAGAGTGGACAAGAGAAGAATAAGAGAAGGTCCTTCATCTTGCTAAGATATTTCCAAGTTAATGGAGGACAATTGCACCTATTGTTGATCGTACACCCATGTAATGTGTTGAGTAGTATGAAAAACTCTTGGATCTGGTATATACTTGATTTCATAATATATGTTAGGCTCAAGGTAAAGATCTAAATGATCCAAATGATCCTAGAAGATTGAGACCAGGAGAAATTGATCCAAATCCTGAAACAAAAGCTGCTAGACCAGATCCTATTGATATGGATGAGGATGAGAAGGAAATGTTAGCTGAAGCAAGAGTCAGACTTGCAAATACAAAAGGTAAGAAAGCCAAGAGAAAGGCAAGAGGAAAGTTAATTGAAGAAGCAAGGAGACTAGCATTATTATAAAAAAAGAGAGAATTAAAGGCTGCTGGAATTCAATATATTAATCATAGAATTGAGAAACATCATATCAAATTACAAGATCGCAAATATAAGGGTATCAATTATAATAGAGAATTGGCCTTTGAAAGAACAGTTCCTGATTTTGTTCATGAAACAACAGGAGAAGAACCAGAACCTGATAAAAAGATATCTAATGTTAGTCTTTAAGCATTAGAAGGTTAGAGAAGAGATGAAGAAGAAGAAATAAGAAGGAAGATTGATTAAAGAAGAATTAAAAAATTAAAAGAAAGAGAATTAGATTAAGCTGTCACTTTTTAAAATAAATATTAAGTTAAATTTACACCTTAAACTAAATTATAATTGCCATAACCATAATTGAAGGATTAAGATTTAGAATTATTGGGTAAGATTAATGCAGTTAATGAAATATCTGAACATACAACTTCTGCTACTAGAGCTCTTGTAGGAAACTATTCAACAAGAGATTAGAGTCAATCAAATATTAGAACTCCAAGAGCACCTAATACAGTTTTGAGAGAAGCTCAAAATATTATTGCTTTATAACATACAGAAACTCCATTGGTTGGAGGAATGAATAATCCTATTGATATTATCAAGAATATTGGGAATTAAACACCAAATTAATTAGCAAATATGTTGAAGGAGACTCCTAGAAGATAAGTTGATGTATCAAATGATGCTTTCGGTATTAATATTGAAGAATACGAGAGGGCATGGGAAGAACCAAGTTAAAGTGTTGCATATGTTAATGCTGAATAAGAAAGATAATAGTAATTAAAGAATGAATAGAAGTTAAAAGAAATGATTAAACAAAAATTAAAATCATTACCTAAACCTAAAAATGAATTTACTATTGAAGTTCCTAAAGTGGATAATGAAGAACAAAAAGAAATGGAATTGTAAGACATTATTATTATTTATTTTAGGGAAATGGATGCTGAAGATAAACTAAAAATATTAAAATAAAAGAAATTAGTAGATTAATAAAAGAAATTCAGACAAAAATCATAGGCGCATCAAAAGAATTTACCTACACCTAAAGAATTACCACCTGGACCAATTTATGAATAAACAGAAGATTAATTTAGAAATGAAATAGAAGAGATTCTCAATTACACATTGATTTAATTAATAAAAGAGGATATTTATGATAATTCAAATGGTTTAGGCGATATTAATATAGCTAAGGAATTATTATAAGAAGAAAGGATAAAATTATTGGGAGATTAGAATTTGAATGATCTTGATATGATTTGGAATAAAGTTAGATAATAATTATATTATGATTATGAAGAAAATAAATTTATTAATATTGAGAAAATAGATGAAGAAGTGAGGATGGCTATTTTAATTGAATATTTTAGAAGAACAAGAGTATAATATGAAAAATTGAATAAAAAATAATAATTCTTTGCTAATAGAATTGGTAAATTAATGAAAGGTTATGAAATGAGAAATGCTTAATTAGAAAAGGAAATTACATAATTGAATGATAAGATTAGTGAAATTGAAATGAATAAAGAAGTATATTCATAAGCATTAAATCATGAAAGACACATATATAGAGATAGAGTTCAAGAATTAGTTAAATATCATGATATGTTATAAGTTAAGAGTAATGAATTGTAAGATAAATATTAATATTTGACTAAATAACTATAAGAATTAGATTAAGATTAAGAAATTTTAGCATGATATTTATTATTATTATTATGTTATTATTATTTCATTAATGAAGAGTATATTATTAATAATAAATAAAATTAACAATATACCACTATTTACTATATTATAACCAATAACCTTCTCAAAAGATGTTGCATAATCAATTTTTGAATCAGGCAACCCAGCATTAATATTATTTTATGAAAATTCTCATTAAGATCAATTAATTCAATTTAGGAAGGTGAACAAATAAAATTTATTATTAGTTGAAGCAAATAGTTCTAATAAATTTGTAATTAAATTAATCCAATTACTTTAAATTCATCAATTACCTACTAGAAAATTACTGAAATTTAATGTTAATACATGGTAGGATGGTAGGATGTATAAACTATAAATTATGATGATAAAATCATTAAAGAGAAATTGAATAATTTATTATGAGATATAAAGATGGCTAATTATATTATGTAATTCAAAGTGAAGAGATACCTGTAAAATAAATAGAAGAAGGTATAGAAATTATAGTAGGACATAATTGTGATGAAAATATCAAGAATATAAATAGACATTATTTGATTTATTTTTATTCTTAAGACTGTGATTTATGTGCATCAATGCTTTTAAACTTAATTAGATTAAATAATTAAGTTAGAACATGAAGTCTTTAATTAAATCAACCTAATTGAGAATTGGTAAAATAAATGGTGAATTGAATAAAATTAATGGACTTAAAATATATAAATATCCTACTTAATATTTATATAATATGAATGAATAGACACCTATTGAATATAAAGGAGATAGGACAAATGAAGGAATGTTAATGTTGATAGAGAGTGTGATTATTTGATATATTTATTTATCAATTAAAATGGCTAGCAAATCTCAACCTCCAATTTAAGAGAAGACTTTTCATGAGTGGTCCAAAAATAACTTTTATAGGACCAGTTACATCAATCATTACACATAAGTAAATGAATAAACTTAATTGATTCAGTTACCTTAAGAGCCTAAGAATACTGCTGTGCCTGGATATGCAGGATATGTCCCATATGTTTAATCAGAAAATCTCTATGGAGAAAGATTCTCTGAAGTAGCTAGAAAATCATTTGCAGATTCTAAGTTGGGCAAGTTTAATAGATTGTCTTCAACAGGATTCAATTTTGATGCTAAAGAATTGATTGATCCTCATAAAGAAGCTTATTCACACAAATATGGTTGTCAAACAATATTAAAACATCATCCTTGCACTCATATTGATAAAATGATCACATCATATCAAGACGGTTTCAAGAAGCCTTAAAATCTTGTTGCTCCAACGTAAGAAATTTAGAAAATTAATCTTAGATTTCGAAAGACTGATAGATATTTAGAAACCTAATAAGCCTAAACAAAAACTTCAGGGTTCTAGAAGAATCATATGCAATTTGATGGATCTGGTTGGATTCCTCATGAAAATATGAATGGTTATAATTTTATTTTTATTTTAAGGTGATTAAGTGAGAACAGAGTATCGTATATAATACAATTAAGAAAAACCTTTTCATAGAAATCCTATCCAATTCAAACTAAGAAAGATGAAATAAACAGAAATGAATTATAAGCATACCTGATTTAATAACATATTTAAATATATATATTTATTGATTGTTCTAAGATTAAATGTATTTTTTATTATAAATATCTATAAATTCTGGTTGAAGAAGTTAACTTATACCATACCATTTTTAGAGTCTTATTTTAGACAATAAATAATTACATAGAGTAATTGCGGAATCATTTATAAGATCTTCCATTTTTATCTATTTTTTCTAATTATCATTTATTAATAAGTAAATATCTCCATTATCTTTTCTAATATTCTTAATTAAATTGTCTTTCTAGGTTTTGTATGATGAAGGTTTTTTGTAAATGTCTTTTTTCTAATATTACTAAGAATTCTATTATCCACTTACGGTATTATATCTTTTGGTAAGAGTGTAATTAGATAAATAGCCACTTTCCTGTGGGGAATAATTATATGAGCTTTATTGGTAATTTTATTTGTTTCTTGTTCTTTGAAAGAGGATGATTGATTGAAATCAGTAATTGATTTTGGAAGTAAATAACTAGAAGATTAAGAGGAAAATTAGGTTTGATTTAGTATAACTTTTTATTTATTTTATGGTACTACTGTAATTTATATTGATGCATAAGTTCTAGCATTTTAGGTTTAAATTAATTTATTGGTTTAATAGAGATAGTGCCATTATTCCACTTAAATTTATAGGTATTTGTATATTCATTAATCTTCTTATTATTAATTCTATAGGTAATCTGATATTGTAAATTCTTAGGATTATTAATGTGAATAAAATGCAAGTTAAGGAATTGTAGTTGGAGATTAATTTTGGATTCTTTTTTTTTAGATGAGTAGTAATAAAAATTTATGGTATAGGATAATCAATTATTGTTAATGAAATAATTAAATGTTATAATAATCAGATAAGGACTTTACCCTTGAATAAGTGGTAGGCACTGGAACATTTGGAATGGTGTACTTGGTAAATTTGGTTAAGAATGAAACTAGGCTACTGATAATAAGACTAAGGAGAAGGTGGCAATAAAGAAGGTGTACCAAGATCGGAGATATAAGAACAGAGAGCACCTTATCATTCAAGAATTGAATCATCCATGTGTGGTTATGTTAAGACACTCCTTCTTCACACCAGGGGAAAATGTATATCAATTATACAATCATTCTCTAGCCATAAGATGTGTACCTAAATCTAGTTATGGAATATGTACCTGAGACACTTTCAAAAATGATTAGATAAATGCGTAAATAGAAGCAAAGCATTCCTGCTCCATTAATAAAGCTCTACAGTTACTAGATGATAAGAGCATTACTTTACTTGTAGGGTATTAGAGAAAATATTTCACTCTAGCGATTGGGATCTGTCACAGAGACATAAAGCCTTAAAATATCTTGGTTAATTTAGAGAACAATGTATTAAAAATTTGCGATTTTGGGTCAGCAAAAAGACTTGTTGTTGGAGAACCAAACATAGCATATATCTGTTCACGTTACTATAGAGCCCCAGAATTGATATTTGGTGCTACAGATTACAATACATAAATTGATATGTGGTCTATTGGTTGTGTTATAGCTGAAATGGTCATTCTTGAACCAATATTTCCAGGAGAGAGTGCTTAAGATTAACTACTTTAAATAATTAAGATACTTGGCACTCCTACTCCAGATGATATTAATTAAATGAATCCTTCTAAAGCTGATGTTAGATTACCCATGATTAGAGGGAATCCTTGGACAAGAGTATTTGCAAAATAAAAACCAGAACCACTCTTTTTAGATCTAATTACATAAATGCTTACGTATTCATCATTAAATTAATATTAGATATTCACCTAAAACAAGAATCCAACCAATTGATGCTCTTTTACATCCATATTTTGATGATATTAGAAAAGAAGGATTCTTTAATCAAAATTTTAAGACACCTAATCTTTTCGACTTCAATAAATAAGAATTAAGCATCAAACCAGAACTCTATTCCAAATTAGTTCCATAATGGTATTAAAAGCTAAACAAATGATGAAGATTCTTCAAACAAATATTATATATTATATTTTATCTTCTAAGAATGATTTGTTTTATTTTACTTCTACAATCAAAGTGATTAAATTTCCAATTAAAAAAATTATTATTATTTTTAATAATGTTAGACCAATTGAGAATGGCAACTGTTCGTCGATAATCAGAATTAATTAAATAAAACAATTAATTAATAGAATAATAACCTAGAGGTAGATAATAATGTGTCAAACCTCATCAAATTTTAACAGATATTGTTAATTAATGCATTCAACGTTCATAACATTCCATAGATGCACTTCAATAAATTAGAGCCAGATCTAAAGACAGAAGAAGTTCCTATAAGAAAACAACAAGATAATCAACTATCAGCAGTTATAAAGGACAAACATCTCCTAGTTTTAGACAAGACGATTAATCAGTCACATCATCTATCTAAGAATCTTTATAAAGTTAGTAACCTGTGAGATTGTTTAGTTTTATTGAAAATGAACCTAGTTTTAGAGCTAAAGATATGCCATTATAAATTAATAAAGCAAGTTTACAAGCTAAGAAAAAACCAATCATTTCACTTAAAGAAAATTAAAAAAAGCTAACTAATATTGATCAATTATTTTAAGAAGCATTGCGTAAAAGTTAATAAATTACAGAAAAGTTTTATCACTGAATACTAACTTTATATAAATCAATAATTATTTCCTAAAGTCAAATCTATTTATTTCTAGAAATTTATTGTAATTTTGATGGCTTTTATGAGAAATGTTAATTATTTTGATTGAAATTTAAGTTATCTCCCATTCCCCTAAAAACATCTTAAAATTATCTACACTACTTAGATTATAGATTAATTCATTATTATTAAGTGTTAAAAAAATTAAGATTTTAATAAAAAACAAGTAGACTTTCTTAAATCTTACTTTCCGTCTTTTACATTTCTAAAATATCAAGAATTTAATTGTTCAATACCCTATAAAATAAAATAGATAATCAAATTAAAAAGTAATACCAAGGTTATATATCATATGATTATTCCATTCATGATTGATTCAAAAATTCATAAATATGAATATATTTTTTAATTATTTTATAATTAATTAATCTCAAACTCTAAATCTACAAAAAAATTATATTTTTATCTTTTCATCATAAGCAAAAAAAGAAAATCTAATATATTTTAATGTTTACTTTCGATTAAAGAAATCAGAATTTTTTTTGAATATGAATTTGAAATATAAAGATTTTTGTCTCTATTTTTGAATCATTTGAACGATAAAATATCTTTTTTTTAAACATATTTTATATTGAAATTAAACGGATCAATATTGAATTTTAGTATTTAATTGAATTGTTTTAGAAGGCCTAAATTAAAAATATTAAATAAGAAATTTCTTTTCTATTGAAGATTCTCTGTCTTTTATAATTTGAAGCCATGGCTTAAATAACACTATACTTATAATTTTTCTTAATATAAAATTTCTGTTTTAAAAGTAACCTTTGGTTGAAAATGTTAAATATTATAAAGATAGAAATTAATACCAAAACTGATAAAAATTAGATAAATAAATCTTGAATCAAAGTTTGGTGATTATATATTTCATAAATTTAATATTTAAATTTTCACTATAGTCTTTTCTGTAATGGCTTAATCATAAACAACATTTATGATTTCAAGTGATGATGATTGAATATTGATTTTTAAATGATTATATTGTTGGAATGCTTGTTAAAATAAAGGGAAGAAACCAATATAATTCATTTGATTAAAACAATTATAAGTAAAAGAATAAGTCTTTTAAATACTACAAGCATTGCATTTATTAAAATCTGCTTAAACTTTCTTTCCATTTTCACATTTCATTTAGATATTCATCTTAAGTGGTGTAATTGATTTATCAACTACATATTCATAATTACCATTTGTAAAATAAATTTAATTAGTTTAAACTAATTATAAAAAGAAAGTTGGTAAAATGGTTAAATCAAATGCTTATTTTCTACTAGTTCTTATACTAAAACATTCTAATGGCTTGTATGTAGTTGTAAATTAATATGCAACCCAAACTTGTTCATGTTTGTTTGGTGTTTGACTATTCAAAACTATTTTAATCAAATAATATATTTACATGATTTCCAAGTGTATGATAATGTTGTAGCGGTATAAGTGAAAAGAGCCTCAAGTGTTAAATAAGTTGTGTTTGGAAAAGTAATACTTTAAACAGCAATAACAAACCATCTATTTGGCTATTTTGAAATATTTCCACTTATAAATGTACCAGTAGAAGTCTGTAATCCTAATTTAATAAATGCCTCTTCAACTCCAACTATTACTTAATAGCCAACCTACTTAAGATTAACAAATTTCCCTGCCACTTTAGTTATAGTTACAGTCACAGTATTCATTGTTATGGAACTCATCTAGTATTGAAAATATCAGAATTACTGACAATTGAAAATCAACTGCACCAGAATAATGAATACTTGTAAGTACTATAAATCCAAATTTAGCATTTGGATTTTTAATTGTAAATGTTTTATCATCTGGATTGACCATATTAAAATTATTTATGACTTCTATTCTTTAATCATCAAGAGCAAACCATCTTATTTTTAGTCTTCTGACTCTCTTTTAACCACAATAAATTTCTGAGGTGAAAGCTAAAATATAAGTAATATAATTTACATGTTTTAGTTATAGTTGTTATTGATAATTTTAATTCTGCTTCTGCAACCTCTTAATCAAAGTATTCATGATAAAAAAACACTTAAGGAATATTTTCAAAGGCATTTGAAAATGAAATAACAGCTATTTTTGAATATCCAAAATAGCATTTAAAAGTAGGATAAGAATCACTATTAAAATCTAGGGCCAAACCTGAGTCATATTTAATGAAGGCGAATGTATTTAGAAGTATAAGAAAAGCTATAATTAATTTCATAATGAATTATAAATAAGTTTTAATTAGAAATAATAAAAAATAATTTGAATAAAATTTTAGCGTTAGTTTGGTTTTAATAATATTCATTTATTTAAATTTTATTAAATCTAAAAATAGTGAAGCACAAATTTTAGAACTCAAAAATACATAGGGATCGTTTATATTTTAAGAACATTTCTAAGATTTAATAATACTTTATCTAATCATAAAAAATCTATAAATTTAGCAATAAAAACTTAAATTATATTATATAAAATTAAAATTCTTATAAATATATCGATTATTTTGAAAAACACTCTAATTCCTTAATGAAAAAATTGAATAAGGAGGAATAGATAAAAAGATTATAAATTAAAATACAAATGAATATAAATATAGTTTATACAGAAAAAATTTTTATATTATCATTATTCTTCCTCTATTTCTTTTGCTGCAGCCTTTTTTAATTAAAGCTTTTTCTATTTCTTTTACAATTTTTTTTTTTTTTATAAGTTCTCTACGATCTTTTTTAGTCATGTCTTCTATAGATTTTGGTTAAGTAGTCTTGTTTGAGAGAGCAGCCTTTTTGATTTATTATTTATGAAGTTTCTTTTTGATTTTTCCTGCCTTTCTGTAATTAACATGTTTTCGATTAATATTACGATCACCAGTCATTAATTAATCGTTAATTTTATTATTTCAAAATACAAAAATGTTCCATACTCGACCTCATTTACCTACTTATCCTCAAAATCGTGGTATTCAATATCATCTATTCAAGTTCATAATAAAGGAGGGAGTGAAACTAGAAAGGCTATTGATCATTATAGTTATGCAATCAATGATGAAATAGGAAGAGGATTTAGCAGCCGTGTTTATAAGGGAAGAGATGAAAACACACTTGAACCAGTAGCAGTAAAAGTAAAAATAAATACAATATCCAGGTTATTGACATGAAGATGGTTAAATAATCAATTCATGCACAATTACTAAAAAATGAAATAAATGCATTGAAAGCATTTAATAGTAAAAATATAATGAAACTTTTCGATGTCTTTTAAACATAGAATAATACTTATATCATAACTGAGTTTTGTGATTCGGTAATTCTAATTGTTATATGTACTTCAGGGAGATCTTAACAATTATATTAAGAAGAAGGGAAGAATTGATGAAAGTGAAGCAATCCGAATCTTGCAATCAGTAGTGAGTGCTGTCAATGAAATGAATTAGAAGGGATATATTCATAGAGACATTAAGCCAGCAAACATTCTTATTGATAAGAATCTTCCAAAATTAGCTGACTTTGGTTTTGCTGTGCCTGCTCATGAAGCTAGATTGTAAGGGAAGAATTTCAATGTAGGAACTCCACTTTATATGTCTCCACAAGCATTGAGATAACAAGGTCATACTGAAAAAGGAGATGTATGGGCTATTGGTGTTGTATTCTTTGAAATGTTATTTGGTAATAAATTTAACATAATTTTTAGGTAGAACACCATATAATGCCTCATCAGAAGCTGCTTTGATATCCAATATTATGCATTAGTCTTTAATAATTCCTTCTTCTCCTCCTATTTCAGACAAGGCTAAGGATTTCATTAGAAAATGTCTCTCTGTAGATGAGAATAAAAGACTTAGAGTAAAAGAGATGGTTCATCATGAAATAATTGAATAGAGAGCTTTAACACCTGTTGAAAGAGCTCCACCTCGAAAACCATTTGAAGAGATAACAAATTTAAACATTCCTACAGAACCTTCTTAAGTTTAAAAGTTTAAGCGATCTCAAAGTCAAGGAGTAAAAGAAGTTCCTACAAAAGAATATAAGACTCAATAAATAGAAGAAAAGAAAAAATAACATGAAGTTAAATAGAAGAAATTATAAGAATAAATTTAGAGATCATCAAGTTAATAGTAAGCACTATAACCATAAAAAATTACTAAGACTAGTGCTTTTGAAGAATAAGCTCCTGTTATGAAATAAAAAACTATTAGTTTGGAATTTAAATCAAATAATGAAGTCTTATTTAGTTAAATCAATTATTGTAGATTCTTATATAAATTCTCATAAAATCTCGCTAGTTGCAAAATAATTTCAACAGAAATAAGAGATAAATTATTATTTTTGATGGGTAAAAATATTGCAATAAAAATTAATAAATTGGCAACTATATTAGATAAGGAAAATAAATAAGTTAATATTTTTTAATTAGATGATTATGAAGGATACAAGAAGAGTGAATCTCATAGTAAATTTAGTTAAGCTATATCTGAATATAATGATAAATATATGAGACATTTCGAAAAGGTTTTAAAACTTGCATCTAAAAATGGTATATTTTATATATTTATATTAAAGAATTCTAAAAAGATTAATTAATTGGTTGTCTTTGTAATAATGATATTACAGAGAATGAATCATTTTATAAAATTGCATTATAATACTTAAAACAAAGTATTAATGAAATTAAATAGAATTTTAAATCTATTTCAGGTTAAAAAGATTAATTATTGCCTGAAGAAGTAAAATAATATATTTATACTTTAGCTTTAAATGCCTTCATTCATTCTTTTTGGTCTTCATGGATATTAATAATTGATTTCGAAAACTATGGAAAATTGGTCAGATTATAAACTATTTTAAAAAGCATCATCACCTGAATTATTAATAGAAAGGAAACCAGGATAAATGAATTATGGATAATTGGAACAATTACTTTGAAATATATATATAAAATATCAATAATAATTATTATATATTATCAAAGAAAATACTTATAAGATCAATTAATATAACCTGGTCTTCTATAATTTACATCTTTGAATCTCACCATCTTTTTTTAAAAAGAATTAGTCTCTATATCAGAATCTCTTCTTTTTAAAATTGGACTTGGAGTAAAAGATTTCACTTTTGAAATACATTCTGTTCCGATAATAAAATTATGATCATCAATCGAATTACTAATCTTTCTTTTCACTAAAGTTTTTTCTGTTTTAGGTGGAAGATCAGAATATTTTCTTCTTTAAATTATTTCAATTTCATTTATTTATTTTATTTTCTATTAACTCGTTGATGATTTTTTTCTTTTGCTTTTATTAGTTTTTTTATTGTCTTAATATTAAAATTAAAGGTTTTCTAATGGTGATGTTGACTTTTAGTTTTTTTTTTTTTTTGGACTTGAAGAATGATATTTTGGTATTATTTCATATACTTCTTTTTTTTTATGTTCTTTTTTATGTACTTAAATTTAGGGACGAGGTGGTTAATCACTTTTTCTTTTTATTAACTTAACTTCTTGAGTGTAAGTAAATTGATTCTGAAACTAGCTCTCTTCTGAAGGTACTCTCACTTTAGAAGTCATTAAAGATTCAAAAGAGATACTCTGTCTTGATGGAGAAGGTAGTAATGCATTTGGTAAATCTATTTAGGTTAATTAACTAACAGGAATAAGGGTGATCATCTTCTCTTACTCTGTTAATTTAGTTAAAGTTATTGAAGGTTGTCTTAAGGAATAAGATCTTTCAGTCATTTCTTTTTAGCCAGAACAGCCATTACCCATAATATATTACTTAATAATATATAATTATCAATTAAATTTTGTATCCCAATTTAAAACCTTAAATCTTTGCTGTCTTTAAAAATATCAAGGTTAGTAATTTTTAATTTCTTATTATTTTTAATTACAGATTCAAATAATTGAATAATTACAGCAAACTTACTTTTTATGATGATTCTTATGAATATAATTATGTTAGTAGAATTGTAGATATATTTTGGATTGAATAGGACTAATAAACTTTAAAAGACAATATTATTAACAATTAATAGGAATATGTTTATCATTTTATTACGAAAGTGTAAATATGAATAAAAATACATATCAAATGAGATATTCCATATCAAACAATTAGATTATGAATTGAAAACTATTAAAGATTATAAATTTGATAATTAAAAAATGAAAATTGCTAAAATTTATAAGTATTTTTATTTAGTATATTAATATATATTCTTATAAAAATAAAAAATGTGAATATCTTATATATATATATATTTAAGATAATATATTAATCAATAATCACGATTGCTACTTTGGTAATCTTCATTAATGCTATGTGTGATTGATTCATTCAAATTAAGTAATGATTTATTATTACCCTGAAAGTCTTCTTAATTTTTGAAATTGATTGAAGCATCAAAAGAGGACTTTTATTAGTTGTATTAAGATTAAACTAATCTCTAATCAGCTTTAGGAGGTAATGCTTGATTTGTTAAAATCTAAGATTGAATTAATGACTTTTCAGAAGTTTAAGTAATTAGATTTTTATGACTATTACTTTTTGCAATTTTTTATTCATGTATATCTGGATTTAAATTAATTTAATTTAATTTTTCTTAATTTTCTAAGATTTTAGAAACTTAAAGCTCAGCTAATTAATTTTGTAAATATAGAATTAAATTATCTTTTATTTCTAATAATTAATGAATAAATATTTACTTAACTTTTCAATTAGTATTAAATCTTATCTTTAGTTATTTTATTTCATTGATTGAAATCTACAATTATTATGTTATGAATTTTAATTAATTTCATAAGAATCTTAAAATTATTTAATTCTCTTTTTTTAAAGTTAATTATATTCTTAAAGTTGTGATCTTAATTATGTATTTTTGATTTCATATTTATTTATTTATTCTTGCTTTCCTTTTATTATCAATTCTTAAGACAGAATCTATTCTTATTATTTTTATAATTCAGATTCTAATTACTAAATTTTATCAACTAAATTTTAATTATTTTATACAATTCTCAGCTAAAAATTTTAAATGATTTGTTTCTTATTCTTCTAATATTTTAATCTTTTCTATTAATTAAAGAGAATAATAATACTTATTAATTTTTGATCATTTTATTTTGCATTTTTTAAGTCTAATTCCAACTTTTGGCATTTAGTTTTCAATTCATCATAAGTAATGGAATTCTCTTTAGAATTTGAGTTAGCCTGAATTTCAACAACCTACATACAAAATTATTATACTTCTTATTATACATCAAATTCCTTAATATCTAATTTATCTGTTTATTATGAATTCTCAACTAATATTCTTTATTTGCTTTGAGCACTTAAATTATCTGAATCATTTTTTAACATTGTTTATTCAATTATTATAAATTGTTTAGATAAATGATAAAATAAAAAATTAATTAATAATAAATTTAATTCTCTAAAGGTATAGTGATTAATCTAAAGATTTATAAAGACAATAGAATATTATTATTGAATTAATTAAAATAATATATAATTTATTATAATTCTTTAAGACTGAAGAGATTTCTTTATAAATAATGGATATGAGATTTAAATAACCATTTTAATAAATAAAAGGATTAACAAAATTAATGCTTACATGATATTTTTGTATTTTTTTAATATAATAATTTGTTTGCAAATAATCAAATCTATGGAATATTTTTTGATAAATTTTGAATTCTTTCAACATCTTATTAAGTTAGGCTACTTGAAAGATAATCAGAGTCCTAAATTAATCAATTGATATTATTACAGATTTAGCTCCACTTGTTTAAATATTATTCTTTACTACAGTAGTAGATGTAGTTACAATTTTTTACTAACTTTAAGGTCTTTTCAATAAATCTAATTCTGCTTCAGTTAATATTAATTTTTCTTAACAAGCATGATATGTATCATTTAATTCTTTAAATTTAGTTCTCCATATTTTTGCTTCTTCTTCATAAGTCTTTACAGATTAACTTGTTGTAACTTCTTCTGTTAATGTTTCTATATGTTAACGAAGTTCTTCAATTTCTCTTTCTAAATTTTAAATATTTTCATCTTTCTCATCACATTATGATTTATAAAATTATTTTTATTATCTCAAAGCATCCAATTCCTATCTTAAATCATTATTGTCATTATTAAGTTATTTTATTTTAGCATTCAATGTTTAAATATTCAATTAAAACTCTATTTTCATATCAGAAATTGTTCTATCCTTTTCTTCATTATCACATCTAACTTTATAAAGTTCATCTTGTAATTGTTTTATTAAAGCATCTTTTTCTTCATCATTTGAAGCTCTCAATTCAACAACTTAAGGTTCAGGTTATAATTGAGATTAACGAATTCTATCTTCCAATTCTTTCATTCTCTTATCCCAAAGTTCTTCAAACTTCTCTAAATCCACAAATTCAATTGGTCGTTAGATTACAGTCTAATTCTTAAATATATAATACAGTCATGACAGGTTGAAGAGGAACAAATGTAGGAGGTGTATATGTTTGTCTCAACCCTGATAAACTCAAAGCAGAACTTTATGATGGTACATATGTCTATCCTTATTATTAAAAGTTATTCTATGAAAAAGGTAATTTTTATGACTCTATTGATGATGGTGGTAGTTATTGTTATGATCGCTATGGAATTTATGCATAATTTTGTTAAGGGACTTATTAAGGTGGCTATGATTGTGGAGGAAGCTACTAACTTATAATTAAATATACTTATATCGACTAAACAGTTTGTTAGCTAGGTGGATATTATGGTGGTTGTGCAAAAGGAGGATTACTCTTTTATGACTATTAAACTGGATAGTTTTTGGGCGGAGTATTCTAAGGATATTAGGGATAAGGGAAAGATCTCTATGTCTAAGAGTTAAAATTCATTTATACTAAAGGTTGATTCATTGGTGATTATTATCCTGTATATGGATATGTATTTCCACCATATTAAGGATTTGGATTCATTTGATTTGGATATCCATTAATCTAAGGTGATCTGGCACGATTTAAAGGATTAAACATAATAAATGAATTAATTTATTAAAAAATAAAGCAATAATTCATAAATAAATATTTATTTTATAATAATGAAATTATGCAGGAATTCTTATATTATATAATTATTTTTTTCATCCATTTTCAAAAGATTTATCTTTAAGAAATAATTATCATATTATATTATATCAAATTGCAATTATTTGTTATATTAGATTAAGGAACTGAAAAGTTATTTTTATTTAATTATGCAAGTATTGATGTTGAATTTCATTTTATATCTATAATAAAATAAATAAGTTCTACATAATGTTAAGAGATAATTTTGTTTATTATTGTTATATCATAATGTGGTTTATAAAAATTGTATCATTTTTATTATCAATATGTTTATCTTTTAATTAATTAAGATTTTAAATTAGTATCTTATTGAATTTAGATTTGTTTACTTTTATCTTATTAAATTCAGAATTGATTAATTTTAAATATTAAATTAGTTATTAATTAATTGATTAACTTTATTTAGTTATTATAATAATATTTGTATAGGTATCTTAATTATGATATATAATTAATGATTACTAGAAAAGAGAGGAACATTTCATTATATTTGAAAGAAAATAATATAATAGTTTTTGGAAAATCTATTTATACATTTAAAACCTCATATTTATTAATGAAATTAATAATTATTTATTAATTATTAATTTGTAGTTTGATTAAGCACATGATGAAGCATATTTAATAATTTATTTAAATTAATTAGTTTTATGATTTATATTAAGATTATATTATATGTATTAAATTTATGAAATTATTTATATATCTAAAATGTTAAACTTAATTATCTAGATTACCATTCTTATTGTTATTTGATTTATGGATTCCATTTTTATAAAATAATTAAATTAATAAAATGGATTAAAATAATGAGGATGAAGAATAACGAAGAAGTATATAACAAAGAGTAAAATTGAATAATAGCCATAGTCTTAATCAAGAGTTGATGCATCATCACCTAATAAGAGAAATAGTTAAGGAGATGTAGAATAGGTTACTAGAACAGTGACACATAGAAAATCAGTCAATTTAGGATCTAAAAGCACTAGAACAAATTAAGAAAGTAATCTTGGATTTCGAGTAAAAACAAATATAATAATGTAGCATAGAGTTGAAATCTTTTTAGAAAGTTTTAATTATATGATCTTTATGACTATTGTAACTGTGTATGCATTATTTGGAGATGATGTACGAGTCTTAGCTACAAATAAGGTATATTCAATAATAATCAGGATGGTGATGAAGTATTTTGGGTTATTACTACAATTTGTATGACTCTCTTTTTTTTTGAGATTGTGTTAGCTTCTATTTGTAAGGTATTAAGATAGATAAAAAAATAAGGATGGATATTTTGTTGGTTTCTTCTTTTGGCTTGATTTATTATCAACAGTTTCAATGTTATTAGATATAGGTTGGGTAAGTGATGCAATTTTTGGTACAAGTGGAGGTGCAGCATTGAGTGCAGTATCATTAGCAAGGTTATTAATAGATAATATAAAATCAGGGCTGGAAGAGCATCTAGAGTAGGAACTAGAGCTGGAAGAATAGTTAGAGTAGTAAGATTAGTGAGATTATCAAAATTATATAAACATGCAAAATAATCTTTAGAGAAAGAAGCAGAAAAATTATTGGCAGAAGAAATGAAAGAAGAGAATTTAATGGATAATAATAATTAATTATAAGAAATTTAAAGATAAGAATAATAAAATGATGTACATTCTTCTTAAAAATCAGTGGATTCTTCATAAAGAAATGTTAAACCTTCAGAAACAAATGTTGTTCATTAATAATCAATTTAAAATATAGTTAGATAAAGGACATCTATTATGATGTATAATGGATTATAAAATACTAATTAAATTAATCAAGAAAATGATCATAGATTTTAAAGAAGATAAACTAGAAAAATTATTATGTCTGGTTAAATTTAATCACTTACAACTATTTAAAAAAGAAAATCCATTATAATGTAATCTCCAAATAAATTATTACATGCTCATTAATAAGATGAAGGAGATATAAAAGAAACTAATATTGGTAAAGAATTAAATGAATTAACAAATAAGAGAGTAATAACTATAGTAATGCTTATTTTATTTAGTGTTCCTATATTAAATTTAAATACTTATTTAGATTAAACTGTGAGTTTTACAACTGGATTATAAGCCATATAATATTGGGCAAAAGACCCTGAAATTTATGAATATCTAATTAAAGATTTTATTTCATATCATGAATCACTTAGAACTGGATTAGTATTTTTTTAAGTTAATTCAACAATATTTTATCCATAAGAAGATCCTTATTAATATGAACATTATAGAACAAATTCATTGTAATATTATACAAATACAGATTCTGAAGGTAATGATGCAATATCTATATGTTATACTATTGCAGATGATGAATTAAATGCAATATTGTCAATAATTAGAACCATTTTTGTATCTATTGTTCTTTCAGTTGCTGCAATTATGTTTAGTAGAGATGTATAAGATTTAATATTGACTCCTATTGAAAAAATGTTGGAAACTGTTAAAAAAATATCTGAAAATCCTTTAGTTGCAGCTTAAGAAGAAGAAAATAAAGCATTTATATAAATGATGGAGAATGGTGAAATGAAAGACTTAGAAGATAAAGAAGATGAGAAATTAGAAACTGTAATATTATAAAAATTAATTGTGAAAATTGGAAGTTTATTAGCATTAGGGTTTGGAGAGGCTGGATCTTAAATTATAGCATAAAATATGGGTGCAAATGCTTCTATTAATCCTATGTTACCAGGAAAAAAAGTTATGGCTATATTTGGATTTTGTGATATTAGAAATTTTACAGATGCTACAGAAGTTTTATAATAAGATGTAATGGTATTTGTAAATGAAATTGCTGAAATTGTTCATGGTGTTGTAGATTCATTTTCAGGAAGTGCTAATAAAAATATTGGTGATGCCTTTTTATTAGTGTGGAAGTTTGCTGAAAATGATTATTATTAAGATAAAGATGGTAATTTAAGTTTAAAATCTTATGAACATATAGCATAAATAGCTGATATGGCAATTTTATCATTTGTTACTATTATTACAAATGTTACACTTTCATAAAAGTTATAAAAATATAAATAACATGAAGGATTGAATAATAGAATCCCTAATTATTCTGTTAAAATGGGATTTGGATTACATGTTGGTTGGGCTATAGAAGGTGCTATTGGATCAGAATATAAAATAGATGCCTCTTATTTGAGTCCTAATGTTAATATGGCATCTAGATTAGAAGCAGCAACAAAATAATTTGGATCTATGATTCTAATTTCAGGATAATTGAGAAATGTAGCCACTAATATTACTCAAAAGAATCTTAGACATATTGATAGAGTTACTGTCAAAGGTAGTATTGAACCTATGAATATATATACTGTAGATTTAAATGTTGATTCTTTAATTAGAAAGCTTCATAAAAAAAAGACAGTTGTAGATTTTACTAAGAAAGAAAAATAGAAATAAACAAATCTTACGGAATCAGAATAATCCAAATTAAAAAAGAAGTAAAAGGTTTTGAGAAGAATGAAAAGAGATAAATTAAAGTAGGCTGTATTGAAAAGTCATGTTGCAATATCTGAAAATTGGATTAAAGACAATAATATTAAATAATCTCGAGCTTTGTTTAATAAAGTAAACTATTATTCTTAATTAGGAATTTTATCATAAATGGGAAAAGGGTTTTTCATGTTATTTATCTGGAGATTGGGATTAAGCAAAGCTCATCTTTGAAGAAACTTTAGTAATTTTCTTTTAATTATTATTTTATAATAGAATCTTTTACCAAACTATAAAGACGGTCCAAGTAACACTTTATTAAGAGTTATAAAAGAAGAGCCTTACTTAAGAAACAATTGGAAAGGTTACCGTGAGCTCACAGAAAAATGATTATAAATTGATTTCTTCTTTTTATTTTAATAACAATTTCTTTAATTATTTAAATAGATTGTATTTATTATTTGAATATTTTGAATATTCATGTTAAATGATTAAAAATTAATATAATACATAAATTAAATTGAATAATTTTACTTATATTAAATAAATATATTTAGGAATAATATTAGATATTTTTTAACTATTAAGTTAATACGTAATATTAAGTAATATTTTATCATCCTTAACTTAATTTTATATAATTTATCTTGTTTAGTTAATTCATGTTTAAATTAGATCAAATTAAAATAAGAAATAAAATATGGTAATGAATGAAAGTAATATTCAGATTGCATATTTATATTAAAATAAATGACTAAAAAAAGAATAAATAAATAAAATATTTTATTTAAAATGAATGATACAATTCAATTCGATGATTGCTTAAATGAAGCTACTTCCTAAGAAAAAGATATCATTAATTATTTGTAAGAGTTAAAATTAATATTCTTGACTGACCCATAATAAAAATAGTTTAAATTTGAACAAGCAAAAAAACAATTGATATTTTCTTATCGTTCCCTAGATTCAGATACAGATACATCAGAAATGACACCACCTATTTTAGTTAAAACATCATCCTTACTATTAACAAAATCCCCATTAAGATAAAAGAGATTATCCATTGTTTCAGAGCACCCTTTGATCTGAATTATTTTTGTATTATAATTCAATAATAGTTGTCATATTTTAATTAATCTCTAATAAATTACTTCATAAATACTAAATAAATATATGAGTAATACTTAAATCTTATAAAAATCAAATATTGAGGCTTTCATTTTATTAATAACTAAAAACATAATTAAAATTGTTAATTTTCATTTATTATAAGTGAATATATTTTAAAACAACTCTTTAATGAAAGTAGATTTCAAAAGGATAATCTAAATAGATAATTATATGATATTCATGAGAAATTTTACTTAAATACAATTTATTCAAAAGAAAAGGAAAATAAAAAAAGTAAATAATTAAGTTATTTTTATTTATAAAATATATATTTTTAAGTAATCATAGTTTATCTTTAAGTTCCTTAATATAGTTATTAAGCATTTTACTAAAGTTTTATTTTTTTTCTATTTAATAATTAAATAACTTATACCTTCTAAATGTTATTCCACTTCTTGTAATTCTTTCTATTTTTTGACTTATTCTATCATAAAATTTTAAAGAATTTATTTCATTTAAGTATTAGAACCTTTAGAATTATTGATTAAAAGTTATAAATCTATTTTAAATTGATCAGATTGTATTAATTACTTTAACTATTCATCATTGATAGAATTCTAAATTTCTTCTACTTTTTGACATAAATTCAAAATCTTTATTGGATTTTATATAACATTAGTAATTCTATCTTTAAGTGATTTTTGTTATTATTTATAAGTGTCATTATTAATTAATTAAGAATGTGTCCTTTTTTATCTATTTTCTTAAGATGAATTGATTTTCTTAACTTTATCAAAAGAAGCATTTAATGTTTTTTTAAATAAAGACTTATTTTTTAATAGTGGAGTAACCTTTTCACTGTTATCTTAATCATTACTTTTATTGTCATATATTGAAGGAGGTAAATTATAATTTATTTAAGGAGTAAATATCTTTCTAGGTGTACATGGTTTAAGTTAATGAATTTTAAGTAAGTTCTCTTTTTCGAGCATATCAACAACTTCAGTTATTTGTGTATTCGAGGGTTAAGAGTATTAAGTTGGATATCTTTCTTTAAAAGGTTGTTTATTATTAATTTGAGTCTATGTATAAATTTGTTGAGATTGTAATTGTTATGCTATTTTTTCAATCTCCTTATGGATTGATTAAAAACTATTTGAGCGAACAATTGCAGGATTCTATTAAGATGCATTGATTGATTGTCTTGGCTTTCTATAATAAAACCGATGATGAGTATAAAGAGAATTATTAGTTTTAGCAAATATTCCTTCCTTTTACATAATTTCATATTAGGTTGGCACTAAGACTGGATTATTGTTTTCTTTATTTGATAATCTATTGACGAACATATCCATTGGCGAATAAATTTTATTATTATAATCCGTTAACGATTAAATTGTACTTATTATAATTAATTCTAATAAGATGCATAACTTGATAAAGTAGGAATATATTAATTAATAATAACTAATATCATTAAAACATGATATTTATTGAATATCAATATAGATTTTTTAATATTATGATCATAGAATATAAGTAGATAATTTTATTATTATTAGTTAATAATTATTATTATATATATAGGAAAGTAGATCAATAAATTAATAATATTTGATCTTTATTGCTATGTGGAGTTGATAGATTCTGATTGAAATAAAGTAGAAAGTTTTATATACAACTTATGAATTAATTAACATCTTAACATTATTTAATTATTATAATAATTATCCAATATTTATAAGTAAATCTATTTGAAAGGTCATAAAGGATGTTGAATTATTAATAATATATAATGGGTATATTTCAAAAAGTTAGATGCATTTTAGATTAACATTATATCATGTCTCAAAAATTCATGAAACTTTATTCTATAATAATTAATATTAAATGATATCAGAAAAATAATTCAGAAGAGATTTGAATGTGAAGTTTTCTCTCACTGGTCTAGTTCATGATCTCAGTGAGTATGGGATACAGTAAGGATCTAGCTAACAAGATTTCTCTATGAAGCTATCCGATTGTATAAGGACACAAATAAGATGAACAGGAGGCAAATGGTGAAATCATTGCAAGAGATAGCCAATGTATTTATATTATCAATTAATTTCAAGAAACCTTTGACTGAATCACAATAAGTTGAATTATTTGATTGGTTTGAGGATTATTGTATTTAATCTGCTAAGAAATTTAAATAGTAAAAAAATAGAAATTTATTCATAAAATCAATCCAAGCGATCAAGAATGATTAGGCTAGAGATATAAATGAAAATTAAAATAGATAACTATCTTAATCAATTAGCAAAAAAGTTAAAGTTAATGATGATATAAATAATGAAAAATCCTCTATAAAAAATGAAGATGAAGAGGATCCTGAATCTATATCATAAGAGAACCATTCAAATTAAAAGTAGAATTTAATTTAATTTATCTATTAGTCAAACTGACTAATTGATGTTACTCTTACTTTTAACAGCAGTAAATCAATAATAAAAAACTACAGAAAATAAATCGTAGGTAAAAGTACATAATTTATTATTAAATTTAATTAGCAGAACAAAAATACCATCAATGAAAGATGCAGGTACTTTCCCAATTGTACCAACAAGCATTGTTAATATGTTCATCCAACAGTGAAAGTATTTAATTTACATATTTATTTAGTGCAAATATTTTCCTTATTGTAAAAAGGGGCATCAATGCATTTATATGCATCAGCAATGTAAACATGGAATTCATTGCAAGAACTCTTAGTGCAGTTATGAACATCCATATAAAAAAAAATGATATAATAAATTATAATTAACTAGAAGATTCATCTATATAATATATCCAAAAGAATTCTTATTATTTAAAGTATTATCTTATTTAATTTATTATCCTTTTTTAATTATAATACTTTTATCATATATAAAAGAAATAAAATATTATTTAACATAAAGTTAAACAGAATATAACTCATACATTAATTATAAATATCATTCTTAAAGCATTTTTTTATATACTTGTTCATTTCTCTAATTGTACAACTTTATCCTATTTTATAAATTTAACTTTAATTCTTTTGTTTCTTATAAATCTTGATTTAATTTTTGTAATAAAGCTTCACATTACTCAAAATCATCTTTTTGATATGAAATCTTAGCTTATCTAAATATAGCTTTTTCACTCTTTGGGTTTATTTTTAAAGCTTAATGAGAATAATTCCATGCTTCATCTAAACAACCTTAGAGCAATTTACATTAAGCCATATTATTATTACATTACTCTAATAATAAATTATATTTCTATTCTTCTTAATCCCCTTCTGGAAATGTATAATCAAAATAAACTAATGCCTAACTAATATACAAAATTATATTACTTTTTAATAAAAATAGGCTGCTTTATCATATTCTTTATTTTTAAATGCCACATTTCCTTCTTATTTAAAGTATTCAATATTTTCAAATTTTTCTTTATTAGTTTTTTCATAAATCTCTCTTTCTTTTCTTCTATCATGAGTACAAGCAATTTAAGAAAGATAAGGATTAGATTAAATAATTTTTTCTATTTCAATTTCTTCAGCTGTTTTTGGTTTAGTTTTATCACTGTTTTCCATATAATTTTAAAACTTTTAGTAATCTATGGAGTACTTTGTTTTTGAATCTACTTTATCAAATGATTAGTTTATTTCTTCGTAATTTTATTATTATTCTTCTTTTTATTTTTTTTATTTCAATAATATCTTTGGTGAATAGTATTTAAGAACTAAATCAGCAAATTCTTATGATTCTCTATTGAGTTTCATACTTGATAATTGATTAATAAATATAATTAAAAATAAAGGTAATAAAATTCAATAATTAATTTGTTTTAATTTTGATTATAGCGGATTATTCTCTTATTTTATATATGATAACTCTAATCTTAATTATTCAGATCGATTTTGAATTATTTAAATATTCTTAAACTACTTTATATTATTAATCAATCTAAAATCAAATAAATTTAAATACTTCTTTATTACTTTAATAATTTTGTTCAAGATTCACTATCTACTGCTTCAATTAATTTTATGTTTCTATCAAAAAATCGTTTCCTCTTTCAAAATTTTCTTATTGCTTCTTCTTACTACTTTAGGATTGTTAATCAAAATAGGAGTGGGATATTTTTTGTCTTATTTGAGTTTGAGTTCTAAATCATTATAGTGGAAGAATTCTAGATTGTTTTAAAATTTCTATTAAGTATTCATTTAATAGATACTTTAATATTGCAGCATTAGAAATTAGAGCAATTTTAAATTATATTAATTTCTTAAATTAAAACAAATGTCTATTCTAAATTCAATATCAATCTAATTATTTTTATATATTCTATATATCATATTATCTTAAATTTATAAAAATTTGTTAATATCTATTGATATATTAATATATTAATGGAGTAATAGAAATAATTACTAGTTTTGACGTTATTTAATGGGATAAAAATGAGTATCAAATAAATTAATAGTTTTTATATATATAAATTATCGAACTATGAAAATAATCCTTAGATAATTGTGATGTTGATCTTAATTTGAAAAAGATGAATTATGCAATCAAATCTATTTTATTTTATTATATATATATTCATATATTCATTAATTTAATATTTAAATTTTCACTATTGTCTTTTCTGTGATGACTTAATCATAGACAACATGTATGACTTCAAGTGATGATGACTGAATATTGATTTTTAAATGATTATATTCTTGAGATGCTTATTAAAATAAAGGGAAGAAACCAATGTAATTCATCTAATTAAAGCAATTATAAGTAAAAGAATAAGTCTTTTAAATACTACAAGCATTACATTTATTAAATTCTGCTTAAACCTTCTTTCCATTTTCACATTTCATTTAGATATTCATTTTAAGTGGTCTAATTGATTTATCAACTGAATATTCATAGTTACCATTTGTAATATAAATTTAATTAGTTTAAACTAATTATAAATAGAAAGTTGGTAAAATGGTTAAATCAAATGCTTATTTTCTACTAGTTCTTATACTAAAACATTCTAATGGCTTGTATGTAGTTGTAAATTAGTATAAAATCCAAATTTAAGAATGGCTATTTGGAGTTTCAGCACCAGTCCCTAGAATAAATGAATAATAATTACAAGTGCCCCAAGTATATGACGTTGTTGTTGCTGTATTTGTATAAGTTGCTCTTATTCTCATAGTATTATTATTTAGATAATTCATACCTTGTAATGCAATGGCAAAATATCTATTTGGTTATTTTACAAGTGCTCCACTACTAAAGGCTCCTGTTACTGACTTTAATCCTAAATTAATAAATGCTTCTTGAATTCCAACAACAACAATATAACCAATTTGCTTAAGATTAGTAAATTTTCCTGCCACTTTGGTAATACTGACTGTTACTGAATTAGTTGTTATTGAACTTATCTATTTATTTATTATCAATTTCTACCTCTAATAAAAAATCTATAGCTCCTTAAAAATGTAGACTAGTCATAACGACAAATCCAGTTTAAGCATTTGGATTTTTAATTGAAAATGTCTTATCATCTGGATTTAACATATTGAAATTATTTATGACTTCAATACGTTAATCATCTATTGCAAACCATCTTAACTTGAGAGTAAACACTCTACTTTTTTTACAACTTGCTTCAGCTGTAAATGCTTAAATGAATATCGATTTATTGATTACATGTTTTAGATACTGATGTTATAGCCAAATAAAACCCTGCTTCACCTCCATATTAATCAAAAGTTTCATGAGTAAAAAACACTTAAGGAATATTTTCGAATGTATTAGAAAATGAAATAGTGGCTGTTTTAGAGTAGCCATTTTAACAAATAAAAGTTGCATCCCAACTATAATCAAAGTCTCTAGATAATCCAGTGTCATAGTAAATTGCTGTTAAGGTAACTTAAAAAATAATTAATAAGATTAGGAATTTCTTCATTTGTAATAATAAACTTTTATATTAGATATATAAATGTTCTATAAAAATGCAACATATCAATTTTATATTTTTTTAATAATCTTAATTCTAAAAAAGTTGATAATAAAGATTTAACTAATGTTTAAATTGTTTCAGGCTTTTAGAAATGATTTTTATTTAATAGTTTAAAGCATTGCAAAATAATTAATTTTTCAAAACGAATAGGCAATTTACTATATATATTTATTGAGGATTACAATACTGAAGGTTTTCCCTTTAAAGCTTCTATTTCATCATTTATGTAAATTTAAAGTACATATGAGAAGTTTAAATGAAAAGAATAAAAATATTTTAATTACATAATATAAAAAGATATAATAATATTTATGATTTTTTTAATATTTTTTTTTCTAAATTGAGAGTAAGGAAAACCAGTATGTCTGCCTCTTTAGAACCAAAGATCTCTAGAACATCATCAGTCGATGAAAAATAAGATAATGTACTTTTTAAAAGCAAAATATAAAAACTGATTTAAAGCAAGGATAATAATAATCTATATCGGTTATTGAAAAAAAACAAGAAGAGCAGGTATTTATTTACCCTATAGTTAAAGAACATCATACAAATAATTAAAGTATGAAGGGATTATCTACAAAATTGGTTAAAATCTCTGCATAAAAGCTGATAGAAGAATAGATTATGTTGCTAAACTCATTAAAATAATCAAGCTTGTTGATAATGATAATGAAATTTACCCTTTAATTAAAGTTCAATGGTATTATAGAAAATTTGAATTGGAAAATATACCAAAGCCTTATATGGATTATATTTCAGAGAATGAGGTATTCAAAACTAATGAATATGATTATATTGAGATTGAAAGTATAGTGAGTTTAGCTTCTATACTAACTTATGAGGAATTTGATTAATTAGAAACAATGAATGATACTACTTATTTTATGAGAGCGGCCTATATAAATGGAACTTTTTAACCTCCAATAGAAGAATGGGCAACAACATGCATATGTTAAAAACCTCCAAATCCAGATTTGAAGTAATTTAAATAATTAAAGATTTTAAGATATATATAATGTGAGGCATGTCAAGGATGGTGCCATTTGAATTGTTTAAAATTGACTAAAGAAAAAGCAAAAAAAATACTAAAATTTATTTGTCCAAAATGTTAATAATGAAAGTGATTGTAGCTAATTATTATAAATGTTATAAATGATTTAATATAAATGTATACTCTTTGTATATCTTTTCTTTTGTATAAATTTATTTGTTTAGAATAAAATTATGGTTCCGAATAAACTGAACCACGTTTAAAAAATAACATCAAATGATTTAAATTATTAATAGAAGATTCTTGAATAAAATAATTGATATTTTAATGAAAAAATTATATTGAAAATTAAAGCAGACAATATTCAATTCAGCTAATATTTCTTAATAAAAAGTCTAATTAACAATTCCAATCAACTTGATGCTTGTAAACAATTTCTTCATCGGGGTCGCAAAATATATAGGAATCATATTCTGCAACTTATTTTTCCATGAATTAAGAAAGGTTAGCTTCGTGAACATCATCTAATGATAACATGTAATCAACAAATTTATGATCAAATATCTTCTAACTACTTAATTGTTGTGTTTGAAATATTTCAGATTCTTCATCTTTCTGTGTGCTTTATATTTCATTACCTCTAAGAGTTTTATTAACATTAACTGCCTCGATACTATCTCTCTTTTTTTATTTGTATCTAACATTCTTTTTCTTAACTTTTTTTTCCTTAGGTTTTTCAATTACTGGTTATATTGGTTCATCAATTTATACTGTTTAAACTTATTCTTCCTCTTTATTTTCAGTTTCCTCTGTTTCTTATGGTAAATCTACAATTTATTAAATAATTTAAATCGCTTAATATTATCTAATCTCTTCCAGTAACTCATCTTTACATTAACTTTGTGTAGATACTCTACAGGTTTGTACTTATTATTCGAATTCTTCTTCAATTTCTTCTTTTTCCCAAAAGTTTAAAGCATATGATTGTTTTATTCTTTATTTTATTTCAAATTTACTAAAATCAATAACTTTTAAACTTTTGTATTTTTTTTTTAAGTCTAATTAAACATTATAATAGTCATTGTAATTTTGCATAGCTGTTTAAAAGTTAGTGGGTATTTTAACTTTAAATGCTTCCTTCTCTATCCTATCTACTATTATTTCAAATTACTTTACTAAGTTTTATAATCTCAATATTATTATTTTTCATACTTCTCATCATAATCAGTGTTTTTCTAATTTGTTAAGTATTGCTTATGTTATTATATTAAACTATCCTAAACTTATTCAATATCATAAGTAGGATCTTATTTTTTAATCAATGCATCCACTGTTAAATAATCATCTTAAATAACTGTTGGTTACAAAGCAACGCTTCTAGTAAAATATTATCTTTTGATTTTAAATAACTTTAAGCTTTTCTTGTTTTAATTTAAGATGTTCTCGATCTTCTCTTTAAATCCATCTAATAAATACTTTTTCCAACCAGCTCTTTAAACATGACTCCCCTCTAATAATTATGAGTATTTATTTTGCAAATAGTTTTTTTAAAGTATTTTTCCCTCCTTATAATTAAGACTTAATGGACTAATATTATTCAATAATCTCTTATTAGAGTTTGGAATATCATTAATTTTTTACTAATGAGCTAAGATTTAGGATATGTAAGAAGATTCAGTATATAAATTATGGGAAGGAGTGACTCTTTATGCACTTCTACTATTCTTTGTGTGTTTTCCTTCCAATCGTGAAGAATGTTATATTATCATAAATAATTAATTAAAGAAAAATGCTTGTCATATCATTTTTGGCATGTAACTGTACTTCTTTACTTATCCTCTCTATGAATGACTAGTAATTTCTTTTTTTATTGAAATTAACTCTTTTTTTAGATAATTTGCTAAATTTTCATGCAAATGCAATTATTCTTTAAGGCCCATTTGCAGTTCTCTCGAAGATTTATTCTAAAAATTCGAAACTTATAATTCTATATTTAATTATTAGATTTATGCTAAATGTTCACCTAATTTACTAATATGATTAAAAAATTATAATACATTAATGCTAAATCTAAGAAATCTTTAAGTTTGATATTTTAACTATATTCTTCATTTTCTTTATCTTGAAATCTTGAGCAATAACTATTTGACTTCTAACTATATGCACTCATATTATTGCATTTCTATATTAATAAAAGAATTAAGTACATTTTTTCCAAATTTCATAAAATCATAGGATGTAGCTAATTATATAGCTATTTCATGAACTTATGTTATTTGTCTTGACAATTTATCTAATTTCTTATCAACTTCTTTTTAGAATATTTCCTGACAATTAATCATTAGAAAAGTTACAATCCCTTCTAACCAACTTTAAAGAGTCTCACTAATATTCATTTTTTATAGTATAGATTAAACTCTTTTTGAATTTGTTTATTATGCCAATGTATTTAATCCATAAAAAGTTAATTGAGTTTCTGATAACACAACATTTCTTTTTGAAAATTTCTAAACCATTTAAAGTTACTTTGTTAAAATTGTTATAGACTTTTAAAATTAAGAGGCTATATAATCTACTCCGCAATTAAGTAATTGTATATTTGTTTCATATTGAATTTTTAGTTATTATGTTTATTTATTTATTTCAGGAAAAGACTTTTTTTGTTTTTCTTCTAATCTATCAACATCTAATTCAAGATAATTAACTTTTGTTTCTGTTTCTTTAATCAACTATATTGCTTATTCTGATTCTCTTAATCTGTATGATATTGAATTTAACTGATCTTGAAGTTCAATTATTTGCTACTAATAATTTTAATTTTGTAAGAGCACTGATTAATAATCTTAAAACAAGGCTTCATTATGTTAAGAAACATGATGCAGTTTTTATTATAGTTCTTGATTGCTTCTATCAGAACTATGTTTTCTTGAATCTGCTTTTAATCCTTTTAATTATTCTGTTAATTATGCAATTTTTTCATTTCTTTCATTTAAATCCTTTGTTGAGCATTTTAGTTTTTATTTCAAATTTAATATTTCTTCTTCTTTTTAAGACAATATTTACTAAGTATCATTTAACTTTATTATATTTTATTCTAAGAGTCTATTAGTTTAATACAATTTAGCTAATAATTCTGGAGGCTAATTTAGAAATTAAATTAATTACATGAGACAATACTTCAGAATTTCTTTTAGTTGAATTAGAGATTAATTCTGGTTTTGGAGGTTTAAACTTTAATTGGGTATCAATACTTGCATCATGAAATGAAGCTGATTTATGTTTGAACATATTAATTTTAAATTTTATAATAACGATGAATTTATTTCATAATCGATATTGAAAATTCATAAATGTCTCTATTGATATGAAAATATTAAAGATATACTATTTTTTAATTAATACACTATCTATTAGTTATTCATTTTTAATATAATGTATAGTATATTTCTAAGATATTTAGAACATTATAGATTCTGCTAGTTTCTATATAAAAGATCTTCAATTTCTATTCAAGGTTTACAAAAATCATTTATTTAAATGGTGCATTAAATTAATATTCAATAAGGCTTAATTATTATAGCCATTTACAAATTATTTAGAGTAATTAATTAGTACTTGTCCCAAAGAAGAAGTCCTAATGAAATTCAAACAATATTAGATGAAACTAAGAAATCTTTAATATAATTTAAGATGTTGCTGTTCATATAATAATTGATATCCCAAATTTTTAACATTTGAAAATCACTAAAAAATTGATTTACTTATATAAGACAACTAGTAAAGATAATTTTTAATATTAAATGGGATGTTAGAGAATTTTTACAATAATTTTTATCATGAAATCAATCAATTTGTAGTTATACAATAGAATCAGAATAAAAGAATAAAGAAACCTAAAATAATCAATTGGAAATTAGTTGCAATATTTATTTTTAAGTCATTTATGAATAAATTACTTTGAATTATAGCATAATTTGTTATTTCTTGTATTTTAAAAAAATATACTGATTCGAAAAAATAATTCAAAAGAATTCTTATAACAACTTAATTATATGTTAGGAAGTCTTGAGTGACTATATTTCTTACATTAGAATTAATTTAATCGAATAGAGAAATTTTTAAAAAATCGATAACAAACATAAAAAATGGCTGAAAATAAATTAGCTATAAATTTCCCTTATTAGCTATTTAAACATTTTTAAGGAAATCTACTTTATACTAATTTGTACATTCCTTTTAATTTATTTATTATCAGGAAAGAAATTACAGATTTTGGAATTTTTTGTAAAAATAGTATGAAAAGGAATATTTCTTTCATATGTAAATTTCAATGTTTGATTCCTCAAAATTCATTTTAATTTATTTTTAATATGTCTAACATAAATATCATGATGAACAAATCAATTTAAAAATTTAGAAATCATTAGAGGATAGACAACCAAAAAAAACATTCTTTAATCAATTTGGTACTCTAAGAGAGTTTATCAACTAGATAAGTAATTAATTATATGATTTAAGGCAGCACAGAAGCTGTAAATTAAATATTCCACAGCTAAGTATATTGTGAAGAATTTTAAAAATAAAGGAAACCATTTAGATGAACACCAACATCCTCAAAGTAAATAAAAATCAATGGTCTCAAATGTAAGTATTATCATAGATGTCTCTGATGGAAATATTTCTCTAATAAAAAATAGCCAAAAATTATGCTATTCTAATTAGCATTCTCTGTAGGAGGAACTCAAAAATAGCAATTTACTCTAAACTTCAGAATTAATTTTTTAGAAGTTAGGGAAAATTCCTTGGAATAAAATATATTATAAAGACTGTAATGACACTGAATTTTTAAAGGCCTATATATTAAAATAGCATTATCTTATGAAAAAATCATGAAAAATTTATATTTATAGTTAATTAACAAAATCTTAATCAATCTAATTTAAAGGATAATTCGTTATATTTATTTCCTATTTGAATTTTATGATATTTCTTGATCAGTATCATAAATTCAACAAACTTCTAATTTTTAGTTTAAGTATTCTCAAGTTCTGCTGTATTCACAATTTTTAATATGTTCTAAGCCTAAATATATTTTTGTTACTGATAATAAAATTAAGGTTAATTCAATATTAATTTATTTTTAGTCTGTATAATTCAAAACGATGAGAATCAACCATTACATTTTATGATATGTCTAAATACAAAAATCATCATACAATAAATCATTTAGAAATTATTTGATTATTTATCCGATTAGATTATAAAAATTATTTTGAAAATTTATTTCTTTGTATGAAAGGTTTATTAAATTTTATTAGAATTAGATCGGTTTTAATTTTTGTAAAGTGATTTTTAGAAAAAGATAGAATAATAAGAACACAATTTATTATTATAATGGATAAAATATTTTAATATAATTGTAAGAATAATATAAATTAAATGAGAAAAATTGATTAATTTTTATGTTTTTAAGTAATTTATTTGAGAAATACATAAAATATAAAGGATAAAATATTTAATAGTAATTGAAATTAATCTAAGATGATAATTTAGAGAGTGGAATCTTATGCCTACCTTGAATTATGTAATTAAATTAAATATTAGTTTTTTAGCTATGTACAATATATTATATATATATTAAATTCAAATTAAATAATTTATTTAAATTTATTGCTATTAACACTCATAATCTAATTAAGTATTTAAAATTATAAGATTTGGAATATAAATAAGAATAAAAGGTTTATGTATTCTGTTAATTTTTTATTAATTATATGGCTTAAACCTAGATTCAAATGGAGTAGAAATAACTTATACATAATTCAATGAGACAGCCTTATCAAAAAATAGGAAATGAAATCAGAGAAAAAGTGATTTACGACATAGTTTTCTAAGAAAATTCGATAAAACAAGTAATCCTTGAATTTGATCATATAGACAGCTTTAAAATATGGTTTGAAGTATTCTACAGCAAATGGTATTGTTTAGACGTATTAATAACAAGGAAGATCAATGAAAAAGGATAAGAGAAATAAGAAACAATATTTTAAGAGAAACAAAATTCTTGTCATCATCGATATCAAAACTGGTGATTTGAATCTCTATCAATAACAAACAACATCTAATGTATTAATTATAGAATCCTCAATTAATTCCCATAATGTAGGTAACTTCAAATAGCAAGATTAATTTCGTCACTCAAAAGAGTGTACTGAATAATTCATCCTTCAGGACATAGAATCTATCTCGAACAATTTAATTTTTTGGATGAAACAGAATATGAAATTTGCAAATAGCAAATATGATGTTTCATTTAATAATTTCAAAACTCAAAAAAGGATGACAAAAAGCAATAGTGTATTAACATAATAGGAAATTAAGCCTACGTTTTAATTAAACAAAGCATTAAAGAAAGAAGGATTTTAGAGCAAATGTACATCTAACTAATTAAATTATGAGAAGAACAAATAAGAAGAAGAACACATCATTTAAGAGCAGTCTGATTAAATGAAGAATTATAATGAATCACCCATCTTGAATTTAGATAAAAATTATACGCTAGACAGATAGTTAGAAAATATGCTTAGATTATGGAAATAGTAAATTTATTTAATGTCATAATAATGATGAAATATTTAATTTAGATATTTTATATAAATTTTTTTTTAAATATATACATTTATTAATTTTCATGATTTTTAGTTATATACCTTTATGATTATTATATTAGTGTTTTTTTATGTTGTAATCATCATATCTCATATCAAATACAATAATACTCCATTTATCTTAAATAAAATTATAAATATTTGCCAAAGTTTAAGTCTGACTAACAAATAAATTAAATAAATATGATAAAAAAGCTTTAAATTTGTATATCATACTGAAATATGAAGAAATATTTTTTATATTTTATCCATAACTGAAAATGTCCTTTATTAATAGTATTTTGAATAGATAAATTACACTGTTAATTTAATCATTTTAAGGATATTAATTATAGAATATTTTATTTAATTCTTTTATTTGAATATTTAGAAAAGAAATTTAATTGTCTAGATTATATATCAACCAATTATATTTGGTAGTTGCCAATTTATTATTTTTATGTTATAACATATATTCAATATATGTAGTCATAAACTAAAGCATATCACTACATTTAACATATTATAAACTCAATTAATTGATTTTTCCTATTCTTGTTTTTCAGAATTGAAAATTTGGTTAAAATATTTACTAAAATATTATTTGGTATCCAAGTCTAACAATAATTATTTCTGAGCTTTCCCCACAAAAATCGAAAAATAAATTTGATATTATAGTGTATTAAGGAAATTATTGCATCACAATGAAAAAAAAAATATAGATTATTATAATTGAAAGCTATTTATTTATTGGTCTTAGTTTATTTATGCCTTGGAGATGATGAAACTGTGTTTTCAGTTGATTAGAGACTTAGAAAATTCTTAATAAGTGAAGGTAAGTCTTCTGTTGCTTCTTTTTGGAGTTACTACAAAAATATGTAGTATAAGGTGGATGGGGTAAATTATACATTTGGACAAGCGATACTTTTAAATCTCATTAATTTAGTTAAAGAAATCTTATGCAGCTAGTATTTAACGATAGATATCATTTAGAATATTTGAAAGGAGCATCGACATATGAACATATATATAGTCATTTCTGGTATTGACTTTTTGAAATCAATAATTGACAAAGGAATTATCATAATATTTATTAAAATGAATTTACAACGTAACTAATCAAAGACAATAAGGGTGATGAATATTATGAAGTATTGGTAGAATCTTTGCATATAATGATGGATTATATTAATCTAAGTTAATGTTCCAATCAATAAGAGATTCACATGAGTGCAATTACTATACTTACAAGCACGCGAGGATATTTATGAATTTTAAGAAGCATACAAACCTAAAAACCTAAGGCTGAAAGTATTCAATGGCATTTATTGAGTCCAGAGAAATTTGAATGGGAAAGAGAAAAGAAAACTTCTTGTTCTGTGTTAATCAAGGCTTTAGATGATTGGAGTGATTTATGCATGGCTCCCTCTACATAGACAAATTTTGAGAATAAGCTTAGATTAATAAAAGCTATAAGTTTTTTTTCCAAATCTATATAGAGTTAGTTTTTCATTTATCCAGGACAATTATATTTAAAGGAGAATTACAATATGGTAGTCATAGAAATGAGAAATTCAATCTTGGATAGCAAACTCTATGATTTGATTGCACCAACTTCTCTCTTGACTTGGTCAAGATTCATGCAATATCAAAGGGAAGAGAACTAACACATTTATTAGACATAATTCAGTAACATATAATAATCAATATATTGATTTTAAAGTTGCTAAAAAATACTAAAGAATTTTTTAAATTTAGTTTACCTCCTGAAAGAACTTTATTTAGATTTTGAAACAGTTCCGTTGAAGATGTGACTGCTTAAGCGAAATCAAATGGAAATTATTGGCACACTTTCTTCATAAGTGAAATANTATTTCTGAGCTTTCCCCACAAAAATCGAAAAATAAATTTGATATTATAGTGTATTAAGGAAATTATTGCATCACAATGAAAAAAAAAATATAGATTATTATAATTGAAAGCTATTTATTTATTGGTCTTAGTTTATTTATGCCTTGGAGATGATGAAACTGTGTTTTCAGTTGATTAGAGACTTAGAAAATTCTTAATAAGTGAAGGTAAGTCTTCTGTTGCTTCTTTTTGGAGTTACTACAAAAATATGTAGTATAAGGTGGATGGGGTAAATTATACATTTGGACAAGCGATACTTTTAAATCTCATTAATTTAGTTAAAGAAATCTTATGCAGCTAGTATTTAACGATAGATATCATTTAGAATATTTGAAAGGAGCATCGACATATGAACATATATATAGTCATTTCTGGTATTGACTTTTTGAAATCAATAATTGACAAAGGAATTATCATAATATTTATTAAAATGAATTTACAACGTAACTAATCAAAGACAATAAGGGTGATGAATATTATGAAGTATTGGTAGAATCTTTGCATATAATGATGGATTATATTAATCTAAGTTAATGTTCCAATCAATAAGAGATTCACATGAGTGCAATTACTATACTTACAAGCACGCGAGGATATTTATGAATTTTAAGAAGCATACAAACCTAAAAACCTAAGGCTGAAAGTATTCAATGGCATTTATTGAGTCCAGAGAAATTTGAATGGGAAAGAGAAAAGAAAACTTCTTGTTCTGTGTTAATCAAGGCTTTAGATGATTGGAGTGATTTATGCATGGCTCCCTCTACATAGACAAATTTTGAGAATAAGCTTAGATTAATAAAAGCTATAAGTTTTTTTTCCAAATCTATATAGAGTTAGTTTTTCATTTATCCAGGACAATTATATTTAAAGGAGAATTACAATATGGTAGTCATAGAAATGAGAAATTCAATCTTGGATAGCAAACTCTATGATTTGATTGCACCAACTTCTCTCTTGACTTGGTCAAGATTCATGCAATATCAAAGGGAAGAGAACTAACACATTTATTAGACATAATTCAGTAACATATAATAATCAATATATTGATTTTAAAGTTGCTAAAAAATACTAAAGAATTTTTTAAATTTAGTTTACCTCCTGAAAGAACTTTATTTAGATTTTGAAACAGTTCCGTTGAAGATGTGACTGCTTAAGCGAAATCAAATGGAAATTATTGGCACACTTTCTTCATAAGTGAAATATATTAATTGATATTAGCAATGCTGTCATTAGTATTTAATCAAAAGCAATATTGAACAAAATTAAATTTTAATTTCTTTCTAACCTATATACGAACCTCCATTATATTTATCCTCAAACTAATACTACATATTACTTTTGAAATGTCGTACCACAAAGTACTCCTTTATCACCAGAACTTTTTAATATATATTTAGAAAATTTATTAGATACCCTAAATTAAAATTGCCCATTTTAATTCACTTCATTTGAGTTTGAAGATGACATTGTGATAGTCATACTATCCTTTCTTTAATAACTTGTTTAAATATCTGAAAAATATGAGCTAAGAATAAATAATAATTAATTCGGTGTCTTCTTGATTGAAAACCATAAATATTGCAAAAACAACAACCTAAATGGATTCCCTATTATTAAAAACTATAGATATCTTGAAATAAATATAACTAATTAAGGAAAAATCAACTTGCAGCTTGAAAAAATTTAATAGACTTAAAAATTTGTAATCAGAAGACTTCTTTGGATATCTAAATAATTGATCATTCTAGTTTCCACACTTCAGAGTTTTTGATGAATCTTCAACATTTAAATCACTCTTAGTTTTAAATAAAATATTGTAAAAGACTTGTTACATTATTAGATTGTTTATGACTGATTGAATGAGTTTACATTTATGTTAAATAGCAATAATAATTTTATGGATTATTATTTATTTTTGTCTCAGAAAAATAATTAATTATAAATAGAATCCATCGTACTTTCGATAATAAATATTTATAAGTATTTATTATTCTACAACCTTTTNGTTAATCAAGGCTTTAGATGATTGGAGTGATTTATGCATGGCTCCCTCTACATAGACAAATTTTGAGAATAAGCTTAGATTAATAAAAGCTATAAGTTTTTTTTCCAAATCTATATAGAGTTAGTTTTTCATTTATCCAGGACAATTATATTTAAAGGAGAATTACAATATGGTAGTCATAGAAATGAGAAATTCAATCTTGGATAGCAAACTCTATGATTTGATTGCACCAACTTCTCTCTTGACTTGGTCAAGATTCATGCAATATCAAAGGGAAGAGAACTAACACATTTATTAGACATAATTCAGTAACATATAATAATCAATATATTGATTTTAAAGTTGCTAAAAAATACTAAAGAATTTTTTAAATTTAGTTTACCTCCTGAAAGAACTTTATTTAGATTTTGAAACAGTTCCGTTGAAGATGTGACTGCTTAAGCGAAATCAAATGGAAATTATTGGCACACTTTCTTCATAAGTGAAATATATTAATTGATATTAGCAATGCTGTCATTAGTCTTTAATCAAAAGCAATATTGAACAAAATTAAATTTTAATTTCTTTCTAACCTATATACGAACCTCCATTATATTTATCCTCAAACTAATACTACATATTACTTTTGAAATGTCGTACCACAAAGTACTCCTTTATCACCAGAACTTTTTAATATATATTTAGAAAATTTATTAGATACCCTAAATTAAAATTGCCCATTTTAATTCACTTCATTTGAGTTTGAAGATGACATTGTGATAGTCATACTATCCTTTCTTTAATAACTTGTTTAAATATCTGAAAAATATGAGCTAAGAATAAATAATAATTAATTCGGTGTCTTCTTGATTGAAAACCATAAATATTGCAAAAACAACAACCTAAATGGATTCCCTATTATTAAAAACTATAGATATCTTGAAATAAATATAACTAATTAAGGAAAAATCAACTTGCAGCTTGAAAAAATTTAATAGACTTAAAAATTTGTAATCAGAAGACTTCTTTGGATATCTAAATAATTGATCATTCTAGTTTCCACACTTCAGAGTTTTTGATGAATCTTCAACATTTAAATCACTCTTAGTTTTAAATAAAATATTGTAAAAGACTTGTTACATTATTAGATTGTTTATGACTGATTGAATGAGTTTACATTTATGTTAAATAGCAATAATAATTTTATGGATTATTATTTATTTTTGTCTCAGAAAAATAATTAATTATAAATAGAATCCATCGTACTTTCGATAATAAATATTTATAAGTATTTATTATTCTACAACCTTTTTCTTAACTGATTTTTTATTGATATAAATTACAATTTTTCAATCAGGTTATAAGATTGATATTTTAATTCTCATTTTTTATTGTTCGCTTTTTTATCATTAGAAGTTTCATTTAAAATTAAATTATATATTTTTAATATATTCATTAATTTAATATTTAAATTTTGACTATTGTCTTTTCTGTGATGACTTAATCATAAACAACATTTATGATTTCAAGTGATGATGATTGAATATTGATTTTTAAATGATTATATTGTTGGAATGCTTGTTAAAATAAAGGGAAGAAACCAATGTAATTCATCTAATTAAAGCAATTATAAGTAAAAGAATAAGTCTTTTAAATACTACAAGCATTACATTTATTAAATTCTGCTTAAACCTTCTTTCCATTTTCACATTTCATTTAGATATTCATCTTAAGTGGTGTAATTGATTTATCAACTACATATTCATAGTTACCATTTGTAAAATAAATTTAATTAGTTTAAACTAATTATAAATAGAAAGTTGGTAAAATGGTTAAATCAAATGCTTATTTTCTACTAGTTCTTATACTAAAACATTCTAATGGCTTGTATGTAGTTGTAAATTAGTATAAAATCCAAATTTAAGAATGGCTATTTGGAGTTTCGATTTCAACCCCTAAAATAAAAGAATGATTATATATAATTACAAGTGCCCCAAGTATAAGATTTTGTTGTTGCTGTATCTGTAAATATTGCTTTTATCCTCATATTTTTAGTATTTGGATAATTCAGTCCTTGCAATGCAATGGCAAACCATCTATTTGGTTATATTGTGATTAATCCACTACTAAAGGCTCCTGTTACTGACTTTAATCCTAAATTAATAAATGCTTCTTGAATTCCGACAACAACAAAATAACCAACTTGCTTAAGATTTGTAAATTTTCCTGCCACTTTGGTGATACTGACTGTAACTGAATTAGTTGTTATTGAACTTATCTATTTATAATCAATTATTACCTCTAATAGAAAATCTATTGGTCCTGCATACTAAATACTCGTCATAACTACAAATCCAGTTTAAGCATTAGGATTTTTAATTGAAAATGTCTTATCATCTGGATTATCCATATTGAAGTTACTTATAACTTCAATACGTTAATCATCAATAGCAAACCATCTTAATCTGGCTACGAATACTCTTTATTAAATACAGGTTATTTGGACTGTAAATGCTATTTAAATATTAATATTAAAATTACATGTTTTAGTTATTGTTGTAATAGATAGTTTGTACCCTAAAATTGCTTTTTCATAATCCATGTATTCATTCGTAAAAAATACTTAAGGCATATTTTCAAAAGAGTTCGAAAATGTAATTGTAGTTGTTTTTGAATAACCATTTCTGCAATTAAAACTTGAATCTATAGTATAATCAAAGTTTTGAAATAATCCGGTGTCATAATAAATGTAAGAGAAAATTACATTCACAATTATTGATAAGGATAAAAACTTCTTCATTAATTATAATAATGCATAATTTATTATTCAGTATAAAAACGTAAATATTTGATAAATGCTTTAGTTGTAATAATTAAAAGATATAATGATTATGATTTGACTCAAAAATTATCCTATTTAATAAATTATTTTAACTATTGTAACTGTATACTTGATTTTGTAAATGAATACTTGAGTTTAATTTAGAGATGATTAAAAAAAATGGAATTAAAAATATAATAAATAAATAAAACGAGATTAGTTTAGTGTAATTTTATTCACACTTTCATTCTTATATCTGTCTATTTTACTTTATGTTACTAATCTCATTAACAACTAATTAACCCGCCTCTGTATTTATTCTTAAAATTTGTTTTATATTCTAAATGAAAAGGAATAAATACTTTTCTACACAAATAACATTAATTTGATTTAAGAACAATATCTTCAGCACATTTTTCACATATTCCACCATGTCTACATGGAATAAATAATATATTCGGTTAATTTTCATAACAAATCAAACATTTATCCTAAGTTGATTACTAATCTCCATTAATAGAGTTTTAAGATTTATTTGATTTTTCTTGTTCTTATGAGATTTTTTTAGATTTTATATTTTCCTTTACTAATTCATCAATATTTTCTATTTATTATTCTTTTATTTCTAAATTATTAATCTTATAATCTATTGAATTGCTATTTGCTTTAATTTCCTTTTAAAATTCCATTCTATTTGATGATTGCTATCCTAATACTCTTTAAGAAAATTATTCAGTTTGTTTAACATTATTCTAATCAAAATTTATTTTATCAAAAATAGCAAAAAATGTGCATGACATTTTAATTAAATATAATGGGGCATTTAATTTGACAAACCTAAAAGGTTATTTTCTTTTTTTTTTGGACAAAGTCTCAGTAGAATCAGGAATATTATCAATTCTTTATTCTAATTCTTACTAAATTTAAATTGGTTGTTGAGGCATTCCTATAGAATATTATTCAAATCCTTAAAGCTCTTTCAAAAACATTCTATTAGGTTGAATATTTTAATTAGTTACCTTATATTGTTTACAAAAAAAGTAGTATAAATAGTTAATAACAACATGTAAATTCCATTTAATACAATTAATTAAATAGTTTCATCTTCTCCAAAGGTTTCCTAATTATCATACAACTGAGTCAATTTATACAAAAATGTGAATGGTAACAAAGTATAACCTATGATATTGATAAAAATCCATATGTTTCCTATTACTATAATAGATATAAAAAATACAATAATTTTGATTAGTTTGCTTTTTTAAAAGATTTATAAAAGTCTCAATACATCCTATAAAAGATATAAATAATAATAATGCAAAGACTACCAAAAACACCCACAATATTATAAAGATCTAGGACCAAACCCATTCGATTCTCTCCTCCCATTTCAAAGCAATAAGTGTTATTTAAACGCATAATAAAGTTTTTATGAATTAAACAATCTTTTTAATAATTGAATAATTACAATTTATTGATTGTTCTATAATTAAAATTTCAATTTTTGTACAACTCTCATAAACAACACTAGAATTGAAAGTGAAATCATCATTATTGTAATAAAGTAAATTTTGAATTTTTGTATTTCATAATAAAATACTACAAAAACCTATATTAATAATAATAAATTACTTTTAAGAAAAATAGAAACATGGTTTCAATGAGTTACCAAATACATTCTTCTCCTTTTCGATAATTAAAATATATTAATATGAACATAGTTAATAAATCTTAAATCCATAATTAAAGTAAAACATATCGAAAACTATATTACCAAAAGATGTATCCATAATAATTAATAAAGAAACCTTACAAAAATAAATTAAATAATAAGGATTTAGTAATTTAAGATTGGCTAGACATTGACTAATTTATTAGATTTACATTATTACTTTCATAGTTAAAGGAGCAATAGATTATTAGAGATGTTGTCTAGTTGTTTATTATTATCTGATATAAGAAACTTATTTATTTACAATTCTCGAAATAATGGCAAAGCAGTAGGAGACATGAAATTCCTCCTTCTTGTGGAAAGTTATTGATCATCTGTCATTTCTATTCTTAATTGTGAGGGTCTCATTCTCAATGAACCCATTTATGATTCTGGCATTTGACTAAATTAATCTATCATTTTTGATACATCATTATATTCGAATAATAAGTTTATAATTTTTTTAATAATTTATTTTACTATTCATCTTATTTTATCAAATTTGTTAATAAACCATCCATTTAAACAATATTTTTGACTTGATTTTTAAACAAATTTATTTCTCTGTAATAATATAAAATAAATAATGTCTTATCATCAATAATATTAATATTAATATTAAAATATTCCTCCAAAAAAAACTAAAGCTATAATTTAGAGTATTCATAAAATAATAAAAATAAAATGATGAAAAAGAAAGATGATTAAGAATTATATGAAGTTGATAATGAGAATAAAAAAATTAGTAAATGATTAAGAATATGATAATAATAGATATAAGAAAACAGAATATATAAATAAGCAGATGTTAATAAATATTAATTAATTACAGAAATAGAAGCAATGAGAAAGGAAATTAACTAAATAAATGAAGAGTTAGAAAAATTAGATCAATTGATAGAAGGAAATTTAATTATAAGTAGAATCAACTTTGGAGATCAAAGTGTTTAAAATAAGTCAGTTTCCTAAGATTTATCATATTATTAATACTGAAAAGAATATGAATAATTTAAATTATAACAATATGTTAATCCAAAATCAATGAAAGAGTCATGAGTAATAACTAATTCTTAATCATATTTTTATTATATTTTATAATAAATATTATAATGGTTTAATTAACAATTTATTACATATTAAAGAACAATATAAAAGTAGAGTAAAGTATTAAATGGAAATTTATGATATTATTTAATAGAAATAGATTTCTATTTTATTTAGTTATATAAAGGAAATGAATCATCTATAAAGAAAGACAATTAAGAAGTCTTGTTTATTATACATTTAAAATCATCTGTTAAAATAATTATCATTAAGATAAAGGAGTACATCTTACAAAAAATCATTAATTCAATTCTATTTTCACTTTTTTTAACTTCTCATCAAATATTAGAGTTCTCAAAAGAGAAATATCTTCCAAAATTTCTTTATTAGTTAATTTAATTATTGTTAAGGGTTATCTAGTTTTAGAATTGAAAAGTTCTTGATCTTCAAAAGTATCTTTGATTAAATTTGACTTTGGTTTTTATTTTATCTTTTTATGACATTAGGAACATAGATATTATGTTTAATATGTAATTTTGATCAAATTCTACTTTCCTTAAGACTATTCACATTCAACATGATTCTATAAGTATAAATACTAAAATTTACCCATCTATTGCATTTTTCACACATAATCCATTGTTTATCGTCCATTTCATATCCAAGAGTGGGATCATATATCTTAAATAATTGATAATTATATTACTTGAATACAATATTCACAATAGTTATTTGAGTTAAAATTGTTTAAACATCTATTACATAATAGGATAGTTTGACCATTAATCTAAGTTTCATTTAATTTTTTTCTTTTATTCTAACAATTATTATTTTAACAACTTATCTTTTGTTACAATTATTTAGGGTAGAGAGTATTTCTATTAAGACATTTTTTTTTAGTTTAATGAATCTAAGTAGGACTACTGGATTGAGAATCCTAATTTTTGAGACTTGTTTCTGTTTTTATATGTTAACCAAGAGAATTTGAATTTTAGAGCTTTTCTAAAGCATTAGAATTAAAGATCTTAAGAAATTCTTAATAAATAGGAGAAAACTATTGTAGGTTGGTAAAATGGAATGATTCGTTTAATATTGTTTATTAGTTTTGCAACATATATGTTTTTTAAATTAATGAAAATTTTACTCTATTTTATATTTCTATATAAATGATTTAAAAAATAAATTTATTATTATGCTATATAAGGTATATACAATTTAATGATGAATATAATTATATTATTTTATAAATTATAATATTAAACATGAATTAAGAATAATGTGAATAATAGTATGACTATGAACTTAACTTTGAATATTTGGGAAATTGTAGAATTAGTTATGAAAATTACACTCCTACATAAGAAGAAGAAGTGAAATTAAGTGATTTGGATTCCTAATTTTTAGATGATTTCAAGATTGAAGATGACTCTAAATATTTTTTATATAAAGTTGAATCAGATGATTCATATTTTGGACTTGAACTTAAATTTAATGTTAGGTATTTAAGTTTGTAATAGAAGTGCAGATTAATTAATGTAAATTAATGAAATTTCAGAAAATTCCTTATATGAAGGAATAACTATAAAAATACCAAGAAAACAATCCGTGCCAAGTTATGAATAAATTAAAAACTAGGAATAGAAACAAGAAAACTTGTTGGATTCTTTTTAATATACCTATAATAAATTTTTTGATATTAATTATGTTACAACTTTAGGTTACATAAAAGGAAAATTAACAGTCCATGAAGATGTATTGTTTTTTGATCCTGATTATAATAATCTAGGAAATGAAAAAATAATGTAGGAAGCAAAATTAAAAAATGTATAATAATTACAATTTTAAATCCTATTAAAAAATGTCATAAAGGTAACAAAAAGAGAGTTTCCAGCATGTATTTAATTAGGCAGCAAAGAAATCTTTAAGATGCATTTTGTAGAAATCCATCTATAAACTAAACGGTCCAAAGTTGCCTTAATATAATTAATTGATGTTCAATAATTAAGTGAATTGATGGATTCAATTAATTCTGTTTTGGTGTCATACTTTCCTCCTACTCCAAATAAAATAATAGAGACTCCAACAAAACCTTAATTGAAAACTTTACTTCCTTTTTACTATAATAATGATCAAAAATTAGAATAAAATATTCAATTAGCATTTGAAAGTATTATTATAAATATAAATGATAAGAGCTGATGGGTTCGAATTCATTCATTTCTTATTTAAATTCAGAATCTGAAATTATTGATTAGACTATATTTATGATGGTAGCCTGTTATATTCCAACTATTTTTAAATCATAAAGATGGACATTATTATATTCATCAACATTAAATGGATCATCAATTAAGACTTTGATGAGAAATACTTAATATATTTAACCTGTTGTTTTATTTATTAGAGATTTAGATAAATATTTATTTGGAGCTTATTTGTCAGATGGTATTCAAAAAAGTCAAGATCATTTTTATGGAACTGGTGAATCATTTTTATTTACATTTAAGAATACTTAATCTTTAACTGTTTATAATTGGATAAATTAGAATAATTTTATAACTTTATGTGATGAAAATGGATTAGCAATAGGATGTGGTGATAAATATGGATTATATGTTGATTCTGAAATTTATCATGGGTATTCTCATTATTGTGAAACTTTTGGAAATGAAGTATTATCTAGTAAAGAGAATTTTGTAATCAATAGAATGGAAATATGGGGAATAATTTAAGGTTGAATAATGAAAACACTTAAATATATTTTATATATGATCAAAATTATTTCAATATGTTGAAAAAATCTTGAGGGATTCTTCCTTATACTATTATTTTTCTTTTGTTTTTCTATTTTTATTATTGGAATACTTTTTTTAGATCACAAGTATTAAGCAATAATAAATCAAGTATTCTTTCTGTTGATTCTGGAAGTTCTTTTATTTCTTTAGTTTAAACTTTATTAATTTCATCTAATTATAATTACAATACAATAGTTACTTGGTACTAATTTTGTATAAGTTAATTCTGTAATTATTGGCATTGGTGGTATAGTTTAAGAATCCTAAAGTTAAGGAGATGGAGAAGATCTTTTTTTCAAAATTGGAAGTGAATATTTTTTGCGCTGTCTTTCTTATTAATCTCCAGGCTTTGATTATTCCTCAGACATATAATTTGTAAGAGTACCCAACCTCTCGAAAAATATCATATACAAGTATCTTGTCCTCTGATTTTTAACGGTTATCTTTTCTATATTGCATACTTTTATCTTAGTCTTTTATTTATTAGTTTTCTAATGTTATATTCACTGAGTTAAAGTATTCTATTTTCTTTAGTAGCTGTGTTTTCTCATTTACTTTTTACTCATTGAAGGATTTTCTTTTTTATAGTATTTAATATTTCCCTCTTATTGGAGTTTAATGAGCTGTTCTCTTCGGGCTAGGTGCTTAATGTATACTAAATGCATGCAATGAAAACTTCTATGTGGAATCATACTTTTCTCGTTCGATTGATTTTCTCAATCTCAAAGCTATATTTGATCTCATTATTATTAATATAATAATGAGATCTAAAATAATAATTGTAATAATTAAATATTATTAATTATATTTATAAAGAAAATAGCCTCCTTATCTTAAAGCAATAAACCTTTGGACTTTAGACTCTTTTTCTTTTGATTACTGAAATTTAAAACTCATTTAATTTACTTTATAATATTAATATCATGTGAAATAATATTAAAAATAAATACTTCTTATAAAATATTATTATAAATATTATATATTAACTTTTAGTAATTTCACATTTATATATAAATAACTCTATCCATACTTAGGAACTATTATAATAAAAGAGTTAAATTAACCTTATTCATATAGGCTCATTTATTTGGTTTAATTTTCAAATATAAATTTATCTGTAGACTCACAATAATATTTATTTCTTTGATTATTTGAAAATAAATATGTAGATTAATGAGTAATGATATAAGTATTCAATTTATTTTTTAATAATTTAGTATAAATTTAGTATATATCATTTTTAAATTGAATTATAAAGAATACTACACATAATAAAGTTATTATTACTTTAATCAGCATATTGAATATATTTTTTAAATATTTAAAATTAAATAATAAATAATAGGAAGTTTATTTTTGTTATTTTATGATGATTTTAAGATATATAAAAATAAAGTCATATATTAAGTGTTTTCCCAGAATATCTTTACAAAATAATTTAATCATGGGCTATTTCATCATAACCAGTACTTTAAAAGGGTGAAATACATTTCAACATAGGCGAATCTAAATATTTAAAATAAAAATACTTTCAATAGAATTGATTCTACCAGTGATTACAGGTGTTCTCATGATTATTTTAAGATCTTCATCCGACGATTAGTTTTACTTTAATTCTTAAGTGGCTTATAGTCTTAATTCTTTAATATTCTAACTATTTTATCTTTTGATTCTAGTAAAGTCAACCTTTTCTGTTCTAAATCATTATAAAGATGATATATTAACTATTTATTTAGAATTTTAATTCTCTCCATTAGATTTGGATCATCATCTGTAGAAATATGTGCTTCATCATCATCAATCAATAAAGCACTTTACAAATAGGGATGCTACAATGCTTCACTGCTCTTTATTCTTAATAAAGGATCTTTTTAAAGCATTTAAAAAATGAGACCTTGAACTTCTTTAGGACTGTTTTGGAAATGAGGAGAATCAAAATTAACATTCGCCTCCTTATTTTATTTAACAATAGTATTATAAGTCTTACCAGTAAAGGCAGGTCTTCCAGTTAATCTATTAATATGAAAAAATAATAATACAAAATATAAAAGACAACTCCCATTGAATAAACATCACAGACTGAATCATAAGGTTAATACATATTTTTTAAATTGATGATTTCTGGAGCAACAAATCCAGGAGTACCACATTTTTAATATAAATAAGGTTTCTTATTAACATGAGTTGCTAATCCAAAGTCAGCAATAACAACAGAATCAAAGTTACTATATCTATCTTAATAATAAATACCCTTATTATTTAAATAGAATATTCTCTAATTTTAAATCTCTATGCATAATCCCTTTTTAATGCATATGTTTAAGTCCCATTAATAAACCAACCATAATACTTTGTACTTATTTTTCTGTAAATTATATTTTTTTCTTTAAATATTCAAATAATTGATCTCCTTCTAATAATTCAAGACCCATATAGATGGAATTCTTGGTTTCATATACTTCGTACAATCTCATTAAATTAGGATGATCTAATTCTCTCATGATTTATATTTCATTTATTAATCCTTCCTAAAATGAAGAACAGTAAATTTACTCGTCCTTTCTCTTCATTATAAACAATTTATTTTGAAAATGCCTTCACTGCCATTCTTAAATTATCTTCAATTCTTTCAGCCAAATAAACAGATGCAAAATTTCCTCTCCCAATTTTTTTATAAACACGAAATAAATTGTGAAATCCAATTTAATTGATTTTGTTACCTAAAAAGCTTCTTAATTGATGCATTTATTCAGTTTTCCCCTAAATTTCATAGGGTTTATCAATATTTTCTACAATTAAACGAATAGCCACAATTTCCCCTAATTCCAAGATCTCTTCACCTCTAACTTTAGTATGATGTTTCTCTTGTTTTAATTTTGAAGGAGTTCTTATCACTTCAAATTTGCTGGTGAATTCTAAATCAAATAGTTTATAAGGGATAGTATAGAAGGGATCCTAGAATCCTTTTAAATGTTTTACTTTATATTTTATCAGATATTCATTAAAACATCCAATATAAAGATCATTAGATTTCCTGCCTACTTTTTGAAATTTGAACTAAAGAATAGGCTTTTCTCGAATATCATAATCAATCTTTCTCCAAACATTGTTCTGTTGCATTAATAAATAATCTTATTTATAAAATATATTTTGGACTGTTTTCTTTTATGTGATACTTTAATTTTCCAAGTTAATTACATTCAACAATCCTTTATACAACATTTTAATCTGAAATATATTTTGCTTTTTCTATAATCCTTGTTCATATAATTAAAAATTCTAAGAATTACTTAACAGTATAATTATATATCTATAAAAATGTACAATTTATTTAACAATGACAATTCATTAATTAAATATAAAACACTCATTTAGATATGGAAATTTAAATGGTATATTTTAATGAAAAAAAGTATAAGCAATAAAAATCCATTTGTGTAATTTATTCAAAAGAATCTCATATAAATCATAACATTTTTTAAATTGATCAATGTATAACTAAATTTTAAGAAAGAAGGATAATATTAAAAGTAATTGGTGAATGATTTCAAATAAACTTTATTCAAGTATGGATCTTAACCCTCTTTGATATTAGATGAAATAAAGAAAGAAAAAATATACACACTACATTATGAAGTTTCAGAAACAACTTATAAAATTTTATTTAAGGAATAGACAAGATTAAGGTTATTTTTGTTTGAATTTCTATGTTAAAGTCTTGTAACTGTAATCTAAAAAAATATGATTAAATATAGTATAAAAATCAAATAAAATGTAAATTTGTTAAGGTTTTTACTTTTTAATTTTTGTGACATAAGATATATCTTAAAAATACTTATATTTGTTACCAACACAAAAGGCCTTAAAGTCTGATTCTTTTTTTAGATTTTTTTGTTATTAATAAAATATAAGACTTTTTTCATGAATTCTATTAAATTGAATGAATAAATAATTGATTTAGAAATAAAAACTTTAATATTAAATTAAAATCATTTTTTTTGTTTATGTATCCATTCTATCTTATTATCTTTATAATTAATGATTTGGTTTATTTTTGTTATCAAATTCAATAATATAAGTTTGTAAAACAGTAGTTATAGTGAGATATTATAAAAAATATAAAAATTACATAATAATCTAAAATTTCATTAACTTTTTGAAATCTATTTCAACAAGATTTTAACATTTTAAATTGGAAAATAGAAGAGAAGTTTAAAGAATTAAGCCATCATTAAAAAAAATATTATAACAATAATTGATCAACTAAAATAATTAAAAGTACAAATTATTTATATAAAATCCAAAATTCAATAAAATCATGCTTTCCCAACCAAATTTAAATTGCTTAAAGTCAACTGAATAGCTATTAGGGGAAGTATAGAACTCATAAAATCCAAATGAAAATATTATTGTTGGAATTTTCACTCTTCCAAAAAAATCATGATTTTAAAAGTTTTCGACAAATTTCAAAAATTAACTTTTTCCATTCATAATCATCTAAGGTGGTTTCCTTCCCACTCTTTCTCCTCAGTAAAATTACTTTTCTTGCGGGAGGGGAAAATTAGTTTTCATAAATTTTGTCAAAAAAAAATTCTAATTTTTTTAATTTTCTTTACTCTGTCATCAAATAAACAATAGTCCGATTTTTTATTGTTATTGAACTTTTTCTTATTTAAAATCTCTTTTGCAGCAAGTATAAGTAAAAATTATGACTCCATACATTTTGTATTTAGAAAAAAATCTATTCAATTCTGATTTATCTGTATCTATGGTGCACTAAAATATTCCTTCATATTATTCAACTAATCATATTGATTTTGCTTTTTCTGATTTAAATTTTTATTGTTTTTCAATATTAAATGCATACAAATCAAAATCATGAATATCATTATAAAGTTTCTAGATTCTCTTTGAATAAATTTATTTTAATTTTACTAACTTTTATATGAATGATAAAGGTAAATCTAATTTTAAGCTCAACGTAACTAAAGAGCATCTAAAAAATTATTTTGTGTTTCATCTTTTTGATTACTCTCAATTTTACTGTTTTATAAAGAAGCATAGAGAGATATGAGGATTAAAGAAGAAGTAGGGAGAGATTAAATAGTTTTGGAGAGAATAAATCAACTGGAAGAATTATAGCTAAGCAGGTAAAAAATAGAATAATTTAAACAATTAAAAAGAGCAAGGAGAAATAAATAGATTTTAATAGATTAAGAATCAACAATAGTGAGTAGTTAAAAAAATTTAAGAATATTTAAAGAAAGTTAAGAATAATGAGAATAATGAGAATGGGAAAGAAAAAATAGAACAATTAAAAGATATGAAAAGATCTAAATAAAAAGATTGAAGAATTAAAAAAGGAGAATATCAGAGGGAAATAAAGTTAATATAAATTGAAAGCATTGAAGAAAAAATCTAGAGAGACCAGATGAAAAGAATTAATGATATGCTAGATGAATTGAAGAAGAGTTGAGAAAGATGGGAGTACCTATTTACAAAACTAAGTATCTGGATTGGTATTCAAGGAGATCAGCTGGTAGGTTATATTGATTGATTTTAATAAAATTGTCTAAATACGAATATGTTTGGATTTTTATATATAAATTTCAATTGATGGAAATTTAATAAAATTTAGATTTTACTTTTTAAAATCTCAAAAGAATAAAAAATATTTGGATAAATATTAATAAAAATTATGAATAAGTATAAAAACTCTTAAGATTATGATGTATTCATGGCTAAAGAAAGCACAACCACTTAATCATATTTAATAACTCTTATTGATGGAACTGGGTCAATGGCTGGAGAATATAATTAAATTGTGGAAGCACACAATACCATTTTTAATTATCTTGGATCAAACTAATTGAAATATTAATGGGAAGAAGAATTATTTCCATTTTTTCCGTTTAGGGAAGCTGGTAGAGGAAATATAACTCTAACATTTTAAACTATTTTCAAAAAACTCTTATTTGAAAACTACCCATAAAATATAACATTTTTATTTGTGAGTGATGGCTAAGAAAGTTTTGAATTTAAATAATTAGAAGCTTTGATTGATAGAATAAATAGGAAATACTAGATATAATTTATTTCTATTGCAATTGGGGAAAGTTACCCAGCTTAACTGAATTCTTAATTAAGAGACTTTTACACAAATAAAATTCTGATTGCGAGAATGGTTTTAAAATTAGTAGATCCAAACCTCCAAAAAATTTGGAAGAAGAATTGCTTAAAATATTTACAAAAGTTAAGTAACTTCTTTGGGTTTAATCAACTCGTTTTAAAGTGAATAAGCCTGTTTAGTAAACAATAGGTTCAGAATTGACTGAAACAGTAGCTCCTAATCAACCATTTATCAAAGTTAATGATGGTTCTTTAACATCATTAAAATTGGATGGTTATGAAATTACACCAACTTAAAATCCTATACATATATCACTTCTGGTCATTTACTCTGTATAATACGAAATAAATAAATTGATAGCATGGTATACTAATTAAACAACAGTTTTTTTAAATATGTATAACATCATTTAGGTTATTCTATCTAAAATAGAAATCAATAAGAAAGAAAAAAATGAAGATGCAGTTTAATTAGTTTTACCCCTTTTAAATGTTGTTGAATGTATTGCAAATGGAAGCATAGACATTAAAAAGTTGAATGAAAATTAGATGACTGTCTTGCAATTAGAGATAAGAAAAAAAGAAGAAATAAAAATGTTTTTGTAAGCATTTTAATCAAAAGTAAGTAGAATTGAATAAATTTAAACATATGAAAGTATAATTAATCAATTTAAGGCAAAATTAAACAAACTCAAATTCGAATGCTGTGACTTAGAAAATATTTTTATTAGAATTTTGGATATAATTTTAGAAATGCTAAAAGACATATAAATATTAATAGCAAAAGAGAAAACTTTAAATATTCAAGATATCTTAGTTCAGCTGAGAATAATGTTAAATGAACAATTAAATAAGATTTTCTGTGAAGCGGAAACTATTGATTAACAATGTTTGCCTATAAAAAAAATAAATAAAGTCCTTTCATTTTTATCTTATGAAAACAAAACAATATAAGAAATAATAAAAGTCATAGAAAATGATGATTTTATGTTTCAAAATGAGACATAATTTAAATATCTACCAAAAAATCTTTAACCTCAAATTATTTTCTACGATCCTTAACCCCAGAGTATTTTAAAAAATTCTAAAATGATCCTTTATTCAGTGGCTATAACAGTTGTATGCTTAATTTCGTTTAATTTTAAAAGAGTTTTTAAATTGTGATATCATTTTTTTAGTTCAAAAAATATAAAATAGTTTATAATAAAATCATTCTTCATCCATTATTTTTAAGTTAACTCACACATTTTAGAAATACATACCAATAAATTTATCAAATTGAATGATATTTACAATTACAGGATTGGTCTTAAAAATTAAATTTTTATTGAAATTTTATTCTAGAATTTATTTTATCCTATTTTTCGATATCTATTTTTTTGAATTTCTAAAATCAATTAATATAAATTTACAAATAACTTACATTCTAGTTGAAATTCAAATATATTCTAATATTTTTTTAAGTAATAGTATATGTAGTTATTTTGTCATTCAAACAATTTTTGCTTATCATAAAAATTTTGTAATTATTAATAACAAAATTAATTATTCATTTTAACTTGATAATCAAGAAAAATTTCATTTAAAAAAATGACAATATCTTTAAGTAAAAGTAAAATGTATTTATAAAAATTATAAATACTTTCGGTCATTTCTATGAAATAAAAGTAATTAAGATTAATATCATTATTTTTGTAATTTTATCATGAATATATAAATTAACTAATGGATTATCAATATCAAATTTATCCCTTTTTCAATATCATAATATTTATTATTGTTTATAAATCCATTTGTGTATATATTTTGTTAAGCCAGTTCCTATGAAACTATTTTTTGTCAAGCTATAACCGAGATGAACACCAACTATGGTCCAGTGATTATCTCCCATTTTTAAATATACTGGTGAACCATCTTATCCAGGACATGCACTTAAGATATCGTAAAGTATTAAAGCCTATCCATCATCATGAAAATTAATTTCCTTTATTATTCCATCAATAGAATACAATTCACCTGAAGCACTAGATGGATAACCAATAATTTTAATTACAGAACCTTAAGTTGCTCCACTTTCCTCTAAAGGTATTCCCCAAAAAGAATTAGTGCTAACAGGAGCATCTTTCATTATTTATTATTTAGTAAGTTTTACTAAAGATAAATCAAATCCATCATCTATTTTATTGTTAAAGAAATATCCAGGATGTAAAACAAAATTTTCAGCCAATAATCTGCAAAAATATGTTTTGTAGTTTCTTCTGGAATAATAATAGGTTATTTTATTCGCTTATTTAATGGATTGGTGATTTTCACTTAAATCTACTAAATTGTGAGCACAAGTTAGGAGAAAATATTTATTACTTTTGAAACCTTGTCCAAAAATACATAATGTACCACTGCCAACATATGTATTCTGATCATTTTCGAATTAAATCTACATTTATCCTTAAACACCTTCAAGCGTATTATTTGATGTATTTATTATATGTTATAAAAACTTATGGTTTTCACTATTTACTTAATTAATTGCTGGTACAGAATGAAAAGATTTTGCTTCAATACAGTTTTCTGGAGGTATATAATCCTGTTTCAGAGTATGTGAGAGGGGTTTTTTCTTTGGTAACATAATTCTATTAAATAAAAATAAAAGTAATATAATTGTTTAATTATCATTTTTAATTAAAGATGTTGAATTTTATGAAAATAAATTAATTAATACTATGAGATTAAACATAATTTAATATTAGGATTATATTTAAATATGTGTATTCATTAATATAGAACTACGGTCGAAATTTATATAATATTCAGCTTATGGGTAAAAATAATCAATTTAATGATCATAAATAACCCAAATTACTATATCCAATATTTATCTTGATTCTAAAATACAATCTATAATGTTGTTTTAGGAAAAATTCCACTCTTAACCACTAATTATATTGTTGTCATATTTCTTTGAAAATAACAAAATATCAATAGAATTCAATGTATGTGGTTTTATATGTTAGTTTATATAATGTAATAAAATTTAATATAAAAAGATGAATAAAGTTATAATAAGAAATTAGATATAGGATTTATTTGTTTGATTAAGCCTTATTTAAAAATTAAGAATTCAATATTAAAAACCAATATTATCATTTAATTATATTATTGAAACACAATTATGTAATAAACAGCAAGATATTTTTTATTTGATAATGTAAAGGTGTAATTGTAAAAGAGCTATCGTATGATTAACATTATAATTTATGTTAATTAATAAATAAAATAAATAATTTATTTTATAAATTTTAGCATAAAATATTTTTTAATGACATTCTGGATTTATTTAAATTGATTAAAAAAACGAAATCAAAATATAATTCAATTCAAAATTTTTATTTTTATAGATATTATTATTTCAGTCAATAGAATAAACGAAAAAGGTAAAACTTCTAATTTAAAAAATTCTGTAATAATAGAAAAACAACTTAAAAAATTTATTGAATATCATTTTAGAATCTACTTATCTATATTTTTAACAAATAGGATTGACAGTTACATCATTAGATTAATTACGTCTTTTTTATTTTGAAACAAATAAATAAATATTGAAAAAATAAAATTACCTTTTCATTTTTCCCCTCTATTAGGCTATCTCTACTGAGATAGTTAACACCTTTATTTTATTGATTATACTTCCTTGTTGCTTAAGATATTAAAGAACAAATAAATTTAAAATAGCTCTTCTCGTTCACAAAAGGGTACCATTTAATATGATATGTTGTGAAGAGGAGAAGATCTGTATAAAGGCTTTACTTGTTAAATAATACTTTTGGAATGGTAAGAAATTAACTTTATTTTCACTGAGAAAGAAAATAAAAGTTAATATGATTTAACATTTGGATTTTTAATTTGCTTCAGTTAATTTATATGCTAAATTTAGTTATATAACATAGAGTTTTATGGTTATATCAACATTATTGTATAATTAAAATCACAATCATTTTGAATAGATGCTTAATTTTTGTCAAAAGCAATTTTCTGATGATTTTATTTAAAGTTTCTTTATTAATTAAAAAAACAGAGCTGCATTTCTTCCTAAATTTGATTATTCTCAAGCATTAAATCTGTTACTTTGTTGTTGTCATTTTATTTAGATTTTTCTTCCATTTTTCAATGGTTTTTCAATAATTACACTTTATTTTTTTTAATTTTTAGATACACCCGTTATTCCTTCGGACTTTTAAACAAAGTTCCTTAAGATGAACTACCAATAGAGGTGTTTATAGATTAAATTATCCTTAAAAATAGTGTAGTGTTCATTTCATATTTGATGTCATCTAAAGTAAGTGCAGATTTACCTTTTGCCATACAACTTGTAAAAATAAGATGATTCCCCTTCAGATTCTACGACATTTGTCATCCATATTTTATTGGGAAGATGCAAATCCACATAATTTTTCAGTTTTTTTTTTTAAGGTCTTCAAAAAATTTTAAGGTTGTAACTTGAATAGAAATCAACATTATATAATATGAATCATATTTTTTTTTCAAATTTACACTTTTTTTTTGGATTAGAAAATTATATTTTAAAAATTAAATTAAATTATTTTCAAACCTTAATTTGTATTTAAATCATTTTTCTTTTTAATATTAAACTTAAGTTTATTTCGTCAAGTTATAGATAATTGTATAAAATTGTTAATTTTTCCTTTTGATTATCCTATAAAATTTGAAAAATTTTTTGAGCAATTTAAAATAAATTCTTTTTATTTATTTTTGTATTTAAACTCGTTTTCATTAATGAAAATTCAATAATAAATGATTATTAAAGGACACTTAACCAAGTAATTAAATTAAATGAAGTATAAATTGATGAAAATTACCATTACATATAAGTTGGTAATCTATTAAAAAATTAACATTGTATATATTTATAGATTTAAAATACTAATTTTATACAAAATATAATAGATCTAATCTAATTAATATAATCATATAACTGCATTATTAGTAATCAATAGTTGTTGCCTTGATATAGTATAAAAATCTAAATGCAACCTAATAAAATCTCTTTCTACTCATAACAATATGAATGAAATTCCTAAACATATAAAAGGAAACTAATCAGACATATGATAAATTAATATAAAATTTAATTGTTTCTATTTACTTTAAAAATGAATTTAATCAAAGCCATAAATTAAGCTTATACTAAAATCTCTATAACCATTTAGAAAATTAAGAATATTTTTTTACTCTAATGAGAATGGTATATTGATTTAATCTAGAAGTGACTTTTCAAAATTAATAATTTGAATTAAATTATCTGAGAATTCTAAATATAANACTTCCTTGTTGCTTAAGATATTAAAGAACAAATAAATTTAAAATAGCTCTTCTCGTTCACAAAAGGGTACCATTTAATATGATATGTTGTGAAGAGGAGAAGATCTGTATAAAGGCTTTACTTGTTAAATAATACTTTTGGAATGGTAAGAAATTAACTTTATTTTCACTGAGAAAGAAAATAAAAGTTAATATGATTTAACATTTGGATTTTTAATTTGCTTCAGTTAATTTATATGCTAAATTTAGTTATATAACATAGAGTTTTATGGTTATATCAACATTATTGTATAATTAAAATCACAATCATTTTGAATAGATGCTTAATTTTTGTCAAAAGCAATTTTCTGATGATTTTATTTAAAGTTTCTTTATTAATTAAAAAAACAGAGCTGCATTTCTTCCTAAATTTGATTATTCTCAAGCATTAAATCTGTTACTTTGTTGTTGTCATTTTATTTAGATTTTTCTTCCATTTTTCAATGGTTTTTCAATAATTACACTTTATTTTTTTTAATTTTTAGATACACCCGTTATTCCTTCGGACTTTTAAACAAAGTTCCTTAAGATGAACTACCAATAGAGGTGTTTATAGATTAAATTATCCTTAAAAATAGTGTAGTGTTCATTTCATATTTGATGTCATCTAAAGTAAGTGCAGATTTACCTTTTGCCATACAACTTGTAAAAATAAGATGATTCCCCTTCAGATTCTACGACATTTGTCATCCATATTTTATTGGGAAGATGCAAATCCACATAATTTTTCAGTTTTTTTTTTTAAGGTCTTCAAAAAATTTTAAGGTTGTAACTTGAATAGAAATCAACATTATATAATATGAATCATATTTTTTTTTCAAATTTACACTTTTTTTTTGGATTAGAAAATTATATTTTAAAAATTAAATTAAATTATTTTCAAACCTTAATTTGTATTTAAATCATTTTTCTTTTTAATATTAAACTTAAGTTTATTTCGTCAAGTTATAGATAATTGTATAAAATTGTTAATTTTTCCTTTTGATTATCCTATAAAATTTGAAAAATTTTTTGAGCAATTTAAAATAAATTCTTTTTATTTATTTTTGTATTTAAACTCGTTTTCATTAATGAAAATTCAATAATAAATGATTATTAAAGGACACTTAACCAAGTAATTAAATTAAATGAAGTATAAATTGATGAAAATTACCATTACATATAAGTTGGTAATCTATTAAAAAATTAACATTGTATATATTTATAGATTTAAAATACTAATTTTATACAAAATATAATAGATCTAATCTAATTAATATAATCATATAACTGCATTATTAGTAATCAATAGTTGTTGCCTTGATATAGTATAAAAATCTAAATGCAACCTAATAAAATCTCTTTCTACTCATAACAATATGAATGAAATTCCTAAACATATAAAAGGAAACTAATCAGACATATGATAAATTAATATAAAATTTAATTGTTTCTATTTACTTTAAAAATGAATTTAATCAAAGCCATAAATTAAGCTTATACTAAAATCTCTATAACCATTTAGAAAATTAAGAATATTTTTTTACTCTAATGAGAATGGTATATTGATTTAATCTAGAAGTGACTTTTCAAAATTAATAATTTGAATTAAATTATCTGAGAATTCTAAATATAAATTAAAAAAAAGAAAAAGAATACTTTACTAAAGAGATGAAGAAATTTCCAACTTTCATTATTGTGCATAATTATTGTAAATTTAAATTTAGATTAATAGCTAAATAAATTAAAGATTATTCCACTAGATATAGTATAACAATTATGCTTAGAATCAAAATCTATATGAGATCTATACAATTATTAATCTAAATACTTCTAGTAGAGAATAAAGCTTAAAAGAACGTCCAACTATTTAAAAGCATTTTTTTTAAAGTCCTTTATACGAAATTACATTTTCCAATTTTATTAAATTAAGGCACCAACTATATAAGGATAAACTATACTTAGGAACAATTTTGAATTAAAAAATAATGATAAATATAGCTGATCTCATCAGCAAATTATAATTAATATTACTCCAATATATATTAATTAATTAAAAGTAATCAAATTTATTCTAGTATCTTTCAAATATATTGAGTCAATATAATAAGCCTATTATATTGACACAATATAATTAATGATTTTTTTTCACAATACATTTTGGAAAAAGAATTAACAATTTTTTTTGGATTTCTTTATCTAATTAATTAAATAATTGGTGAAAAAGAAATTTATCTTTATCACCATCATATAAATTATTTTTTGGATAAATCAATTATATTGAGTCAATATAATCGGCTTATTATATTGACTCAATATAAATTTTATTATTATAATAGAAGAGGCAATTATATATTTTTTATGCAAACAGCTATATTGATCTCCAAGTATTTTTTAAGACAGCATTATCGATATTAGTATTAAATTAGATTAAATTCTGCTTTTTAATAATAAGAACATATAAAATAATTTATCAATTTTAAAGTTTTCTATAGCATTTATAAAGATTATCAAAACTGGTCTAAACTGAAATAATTAGAGTACTTTTATTTCCAAAATGTATTCACTAAGATTCGCATATGATCCAACATTTTTTAATATTTGCATATTGCTATTTGGTTTTTCTTATCTTTACCATATAAATCAACAATAAATCTTTTATAAGAATTGTCAAAAACTTTAGGCAGTTTTAAAAGGAATTTTTTTGAATTAATGGACTAAGCCATCATTTATATATTATTGTCATTTGCCATTGTAAATTATGAATATTGTCTCTAATTAATTTTTCTTGAATAGGATTAAGCAAGTGTTCAATTTACTAATTTAGATTAGTGACCAAAAGCTTTTAATGTATTTTAAAAATATATCTTTTCCAGTATTTAAAAAATTATCACAATATCAATCATATAATAAATATCCATTTCGAAAGTATTAAGTCCCTACAGTATATGAATATAATAAAATTAAATTTTCAAGTGTATTTTTCTTCATTATTCTTTTTTTTAAATAATTGTTTGAATTTTTCAAAATATTCACATTTGATTAAAAAATATAATTTATATACAATTATTTATATTTCTGAAACCTTAATTTTCAATAGCAGACTTAATCTTAGTCATGGGGCAAGCAATTTTAAATAATTAATTATTTTCTTTTATTAATCGAATAAAAGAATTAATCAAATTATTTAAAACGAAGGTTAACGTTTTGTGGTTGTCATCATAACTCTATCAAAAGGAATATATTTTGGATAATAGATTGACTTTTCAGCTTATCTATCCTTTTTGCCATACCAAGTCTTATAAAATGGGAGACTAGATATGAATTATATTTATTCCATTATTAGATAGTTTAAGCGATAGCAATAAATTATTTAATTGAATTAATAATCATTTACACTATTGATAAAGTTTGGGCTTATAGCTACTAAAAATTCAGCTATAAGCTACAGAATGAAAAATACATGTCGTAAATTTTTTCTGAAGATTATCTTCAAATCTGAGTTATAATATTTTAATAGTTAAATATTAAATGTATTTTTAATTATTCAACATTCATATTTATTGATATTTTAGTGGATAAGAGTTTCACGAAAAATTAATAAAATATTAGTTTAGGATTCAAATAAAAATTAAATATCGATGCTGAATTGTTTTAAATTATAAAATAATTTTATCTTTCAAAAAAATTTTATTTATTTTTCCAAAGAAACCATTGTAAT